AGGCGTTCGGTGTGTTTTTGTTCAAACCGCCATGGGTGGATATATTCACTCAGTAAATGTAACTCTTAGTGGGAATATCCAGAGAATTGTCGATAAGCAAATAACCTAGTACGCAAAATATACTCTCGCAATCTTCTAATCACGGCTTCACCTCATCCCTCACCGCTACAGGCTCCACGTCGTTGCCGTCCGCCGTCTTAGCCACATCGGCCTCTAACACGCTCTCGCCAGCCATGTTGGCGACCAAAGTCTTTTGTTCCAACTTCGGCTCTTGCTCGGGCGCATCCTCGTGAGCAACCTCTCCCGCGGAAGATTCAGGTTCCGGCTTCGGTTCCTGCTCCGTAGGCTTGGGCTGCTCCAGCGTCTCGGCGACCTCGTCCTGAACCTTAGATGTGTCCGGTTCGGGGTCATTTGCCTTGACAGTAGGCGCATCCTCCGCAGGTGCCTCTGTCTCCTCCGCCGGTTCTGTCGACTCGCCCTCGGCTTCCCCAATAACGGTCAGGATGCCCTCGCCGTCCAAGGACCAAGTGGCGACAGGCGCGGAAACATCCAGTGTTGACACACTCGAGCTAGTCTGTGCTGCTGGAGCCGCTTCCTTCGCAGGAGCCCTCCGTTGAGGACCCCTGGCTCTGCTCTTGCGAGCGTCTGACAAGGGAGCCTTCTCCTTATCGGCCTCAGCCTCCTTCTCAGGGGATTCATCCCGCTTATGGACCTGAGGACCAATCTTGAGGCGCTGATTCAAGTCGTTCATGAATCCAGCCTGCAAAGCGGCAATCTTACCCCCTGCCGGGCGCGTGGGCACTGGTGGCTTCTCCCTCGTCTCGCCTGCCGAGCTCTTAGCTGGGCGAGCAGGGATTTGAGGCTTTGGTTTGTCGGATACGGCTGGCTTGGGTCGGCTAGGGACGGCTGGACGTTCCGGCGATCTTCTCACAGGCCTTGTCTCTGGCTCCTGCTCTTCTTCTTCTTCCTCCTCCTCCTCCTGTTGGGGAGTGGAGACGGTCGTCGACTGCAGGTGGCTCTCTGGGGTATCCTCCCAGACATCACGACTAGGGAAGCGAGGGCTACCGGTAGCAGCACGCTCAACCTTGAGATGAGCCTGATGGGCGGCCCAGTTCGGCTTCCTTTCCTCGGAGAGAGGCAGGAACTTGCTGACAGAGCGGCGCTTGGCCTCCCTCTCGGCAAGCTCCTCTTGCTGCTTAGCGAAAGCGTGAGCCGGGGTAAGCGGTCTCTCGGCCTGGCCAGCCGAGCGCGCACGATGGTGCTCACTCTCGGGCAGGTCGGGAGTCGACACTGTCGCCGTGTAGTGAATGCTGCTGGGTGCATCCTCCCAAATATCCTTACTGGGGAAGTGGTGGTGGTGCTTGTTCTCGTCGGCTTGCTCCTTGAGCTGCTTCTCTTTCTTCACCTCCTCGGGGAAAAGGGGTTCGTACTCCTCGACGTCCTCGAGAGGAGTGTAACGAATCTCGGGTTGAGAGCTCTCCTTGTGAAGGCTGATGGGTCGGCTGATAGGGCGACTAGGGGCTTCTTCCGCCTCGTAGTTGCTGCCACGACGATCGGCAGGAGGATGCACAGCAGGGCGCTGACGGTACGCATTCTTGTTCTTCTGCACTTCGTCTGAGGCAAGAATAGGGGCGGTATAGTCCTCGTCCTCGGCTTCCGGCTCCTCATCACCGTAGGAGCGGTACTCGGGGTGCTTTGGGTCATCAACGTGGATTGCATCCTCGTCCGCGCCGGCGTCTTCCTCGTTGAACGCGGTAACGGAATGCGCGAGCGATGAGGTACGGCGGTGATGGCCGGTCTGCGGAGCCGCCGACTTGGGGCGAGGAGAGGTATGACGGACGTACTCCTCGCTGGCTTGGAAGGCAACCTCATCCGTGGGGGTGCCACGGAACTCCTTGGCAGTGCCGAAGCCACGACCACGGCTGGCGGTGTCTCGCACCAACTTGTTGAGGTCTTCACGGCTCATAGCGTAGTCGTTCTGGCGATCGTGGATGGGGGTATGCTCCTCGCGAGCCTGGATGTCGGGGTGCTTCTTGTAGTACTCCTTCTCCAGCTTGTCCTGCGGGGCCACGCCGTGGCCGTGAAGTCCGTAGCTACCAGGGGGCAGCGCACGCGCACTATGCCTGCGGCTGTGGTGCCTGGGCTGGCCTTCACCGGGGCCAGGCGAAGGAGCCTGGACGTCACCGAGATGGGGGTTCATGGGCACTCGCTGGCCAATCTCTGGGATTCCGTGTTCGTCATCGTGGTAGTCGTGATCGCTGCTCTGGGACAGACTGGTGCTGGGTCTCTTCCTGTGGCTATCGCGGGACGTAGCGCGGGTTTCGTCACGGCTCCCAGGACGGCCAATTCCAAAAGACGCCGCACGGTCGGAGTCAGTGCGGGTGACCGCCTGGACCTGAGCTTTGGCCCGGTTGGCAGGCAGAGAAGGCTTGGGCGCATGCAGTTCGAGACCCGCAGAGATCGTGCGAGTCTGCTCAGGGGAAGCGTTCCTTGAGCCTCTCTCTTCCTCCGCTTCACTTGCGAGTGCGCCGTATTCCGCGCCCTCCTCGCCAACGGAGGGCAGGTCGACGCTGCTGGACCTCTCAATGGGGTCACGAGCACGGTCACCGAAGCTTGAGCGGTGGGGGCTAAGCATTGAAGGCGGTGGCCGAGCCTTGGCCAGAAGGCCCTCGTTCAGAGGTGAGGGCGCGAAGCGGTCGGCGCTCGGGGACATGGAGCGCTCCGGGCGAGTCCTGTTGGGACGAGGAGGGATCTTGGGGCCAGAAGCAGGAGCGTCCTTATCGGCGCCTCTGGCTGGGCGAGGAGGAATCGAGGGCGTTGACGTTGTGGCTGTCATGGCTGCTGTGTATGATGGCTGTAGAATGAGATGGTTAGCCAGAGTCTGGAAGACGAAAATCGAGGGACAAAGGGGCCCAGGGCTAAATGAAGAGTGGCTACCAAGGACAAAGCTGGCGGCCCGTTATCTGGGCTAGATAACGCGCAAACGCTATGACATGTCCGGTACGGATAACGACACCAGGAACAAAGTTCAAGCGATAATGCATGAGCTCGCAGCTGAAGCCTCACCGACCATGTCGGACCCAATGGCTACAAGTGGCATTGAGGCTGCCTGCACCGCCGCTACAGCTAGCCCAGCTGCCAGTCGGCTGCGCGTGGACTGGATCATCCATCATACCCATGGATTGGGAGGCCGCATAAGGTTCTGAGCAGGCAAGGCAAAGCACTTACATGGCGTGTGGTAAAGAATTTCGACAAGTAGATCTAGACACCCGGTTGCTGTCGTTGCTATAACATGGAGCACGCGTAGTGAACTGAAGGTGTAGTGGTGGAGGCTGGTCTTGTTCCTGGTGGTCACGATAGCTTCAAGGGGGAGAAGAGGGAGATCAGGTACAGATTGAGCAAAGAGCTATAGATAGATGTATTGCACCGCCAATGGCACGGGCGAGGCGTTCCTGGCGCGATGCTTTATACGAATGCGTCGATGGCCGCCAAAAACCTCTGCAGCAGCTGACCGATGGATCGTGACGGTCTCGAGGCGTCACTGTGAAGGCGCTGCGCGGCAGTGGATCTGGGAAACAGGGTTCTAGATGAGCAGAAAGAAGCCACGCACACTGTACGCTGTGTCAATGCGACGCTGCACGCCATTATTCTGTCTCCCACTGCTTGCACCTTTTTCACAGTGTTTGTTGGCTTCCACACCGTGCAGTCACTGGCACAACCGGCCCCACGAGATGCCGGTCAGAAACTCTGTTTCCGGTTGCGAGACGGGTTTGCATCAACGATTGTTCGAGATAAGCATCTGTAACAATTTGAACCCAATGGAGACTGGTCTTGACCTTTAGCAAAGCACAAACTCACGCGGTCGTCCGCTGCCTTTTAAGCATGACCCTACGCGTAGCTGACCTTCGGCCTCGCTCGCATTGGCTTGCCTGACCGCTGCGCACGCCGACAGCACAGTGCGCGCTAGAATAGCACCCCCCGCATGCCCCACCCGACGCCAGCTGGATTGGAAGCGCTGGATTTGCGCCCCAGTTCTTGGCCATTGTTGGCTCTTCCGAGACTGACCATTTATTTAGACGCCTCAGTGGTCGCACCGCGGCTTGCAAAGCGGTCAGGCTCGTGAAGTATGGTGGCACAGGGCGCTCAGGTGTTCTGATGGATTGGTTGAGGAGGAAGAGGGTTGGTGACTGAAAGGCAGCTCTTGCGCAACACTGGGCTCTGACAGAAATCAAGTGACAAGACCCCGCCAAACCGTCATAATTCTGGGTCGAGCAGACCCTCCGTCTACAACAGACATCTGCTGGCGCCTGGCGCCATCCGGTGGCTATTGCGACTATCTGCGAGTCCGATACTTCCAGGCCCCCACCAGTACAATACATCACCTTGCGTTGGAACAACGTCGCTCGTGGACAAATCGAGATGAGAGGTAGACGGTCACGGGAAGTAGAGCCGGGCGCCTCATCTACATCCAGGACTTGAAGATTGCCTGCTTGGCGATTCTTGAGACACAGATTCGTGGGGTAGATGACGTGACTTTTAAGTGTTTCCACCATGACGATCATGGAATACGTACTTGTATATACCTATGCCAAGCGCGAGGAGCAAACCCTCCATGAGGTGGAGTGGCATATTTTGGTTGTGTGTGGTCGAGTACCAATTGTAATGAGTAACAATACTTATAATAGCATATTGCCTATCATTCGGAATGATTGAGCATCTACACGTTGGTCGTGGTCTGATGCGACAGACTTTTGTCGCCCTGATCCTACAATTTAGAGTATCAGACTAACAAAAACAACGTTGACCAGTTTGTGTTTGCAGATTTGATTATACAAGTCAAAAACCAGAGTCACTTATAATCCAAGCTTATATGGTCTTCCATGCGAATGCTTGCTGGGCTTGCGCGTGCCTGGCTACAAGCACTTGTTCATAGTTCTCCAGGTCCAGGGTAACTTGTTGATGAAGGCGGTAGCGTAAGGTAAGGTACGCTGCTGGCGTGGCTGGTGACGGAAGCCGCGTAAACTGCACAACGTAAGAGCGGACGACTGCGCCTTACGCAAGTTATCATCGTGCCTTACCTCAAGAGATGCCTAGAACCTCATTGCAACTTGAAATCCGTCCGCACAACAAAACCACGCCAGATGCGCAATTCAGACACAGCTCATCCTCTTCAATTGATTCTGTGAGAGAGACCTGTAACGCATCTGTCAGCTGCCGTTTCACTGCCACACTGCCTGCCGCAGCCAATCACCGACGTCCTGCCACGCAACAACCAGCGGGCCCATACATTCTCCAACAACAATCCTCAAGGGTCCGACCTCAAACGCCCTAAGTTACTCCGTAAACTAGCTGTCATCAGCAGAGAACAGCACAGCATCATCAACTGCCTACACGTCGTTCCAGCACGAAGCCACATCACCACACCACAACCACCACGATGACGCTCAAAGAAGAGTTCCAGACTCGCAACTTCAGTATGTACCCGGGCGCGCGGCTTTGTGGAAATGACCCTCGCTGACATGCTGCGCGAAAGGCATCTATGGGCAATGGTAAGCTCACACCGACGCTGCGCACATGGCGGACATCTCCGTCTCCGACGGCAACGGCCATGGGAGAGCTATCGCCGCGCGGGAACTAGTATACAGGCTGACAATGAGGAATAGGCTGGGCATTGCCTCGATGATTGTCTGCTTCGCGACAGGGCTGGCCAACATCTTCAGCTTCCTTTCAGCGCCGATCATCATTGTATTCTGCGCGCTTGCTCTGTATGCCTCTCTCTTCCTCTGTTCTAAAGGAACGTCGCCAAGCTGACCATTGCAGCGCCTCCTCGTTCATCATCCTCTTCATCGAGATTCCGTTCCTCCTGCGCATCTGCCCAACGTCGGGCAAGTTTGACGAAATGATCCGCAAGATCTCGACCAACTACATGCGCTCGGCGACCTACGCCGTGATGGCCGTGCTGCAGTTCCTCAGCACCATCGGCCCCGACACTTCGCTGATCGCCGCCGGTATCTTCCTGAGCCTGACTGCGCTGTGCTACTTGGCGGCCGCCATCAAGGGCCAGGCGTTCATCTCGAGCAAGACGCTGGGCGGACAGGGCATCGCGCAGATGATTGTCTAAAGGGCGGGCCTGGTCTTATGATGAAAGGTATGCAGGCACGCGTCGCACCGCAATGCGTCGTCATGCGCCGGATCAGTGTCGATGGAGCAGACGAGAACAATGATATATTAGAGAAGCGAGAAGGAACGAGCACGTGTACGAAGACCAGGCGTTGGTTGCTGTTGATGTTATGACTTATTTATATCATTCCGAATCACATCAGTTTGGGCTTTGCCATTAGAGTGCAGCACGCAGAGCGATATATGGACGGCTACAAATCCGGAGGATAGTCAGGCTTCTCAGCATGACTCAACTTACCAAGCGAATCCACATCCGACGAACACCACTTACGTACCAGGAAAGTAAGTCAGCTTCATTGCTTTTCCCAAACCGCCAGCCGAGCCGTTAGAAGCTACTTGCTACCGCTTGTTACGTAGGTGAAACCACCACTGCGGTGTAGAATCTCTTCTCTCACAAGTAGGTAGATCAGGACAAGCACTCGCGTTGCTGGGTCAACGAGAATATATCTGGTCTTGCAAGCGTGAGTATCAATGAGGAAACTGACCACATTGGCACAAAATCCTGCGAGGAGCCATATGCGAATTACCAACTCATGGTCGAATGTGCGTCTTCTCGTACTCATGCCCTGTCGATCGCTTTTCATGCGGTCAAGCATCTCGGGACAATGGCCGAGCCAGCGCCTGCAAAGGCCCACCCAACAAGCCATTAAATGACGGGAGTCGGCAGACTTGCCCGGATGAGGAACGCCTCCTCCTCCTGCTCGTGGGAAACCAACGTTTCCCCATCGAGTGCTCGACGATGACTGGTGGTTTTCACGCGTCGTACCTCGCTCTGAATTGCCCCGCGTGGAGAGAAAAGCGTCTATCTCTCTTCCCCTGATGATGCCCCTCACTCAGTGACAATGCTGAGGTGGGGGAGCAGTGATGTGTGATGCGCAGCAAAGCAACAGAGTGGTTCACTCTTCTCGTCTGTTGTGCTTCTTCATGCTTCGGTTTTCGCAGATTTGTGTTCTCTAGCATTTGTTCGCACTTGGTTTCCTTCAATCGGCTATTGTTTGCATTGCTTCCCATCGAAACATAGAATGTCGTCCGGACGCACTTTCAAGCTCGCCACAGGCTATACCATTCCAGCTGTGGGCCTGGGTACCTGGGTTCGTTTACTTCTCTTCTCTCTCCCTTTCTGTGTAGACACACTCACTCATGCGATCCAGCAATCAAAACCAAAAGAGGTAGCCCGCGCCGTCGAGGAGGCTCTGAAATTGGGCTACCGCCACATCGACGCGGCCGCCACCTACGACAACGAGGAGGAGGTTGGCGCTGGTATCAAAGCCTCGGGCGTCCCGCGCTCAGAAATCTTTCTGACATCCAAGCTCTGGAACACTCACCACAAGGCTGAGGATGTGGAAGAGGCCGTCGACGAGTCCCTCAGGGATCTGCAGACAGACTACCTCGATCTGTACCTGATCCATTGGCCCGTGGCCTTCCAAAAACCCGAGACACCCAGGGCCCGTGCGGCGATCGATCCCAAGGATGGCGGCGTTCATGTGATCGATGTTCCGGTGGAGGAGACGTGGCGCGCTATGGAGAGGATGGTTGAAAAGGGCAAGATCAGGACCATTGGCCTCAGCAACTTCACGCGAGAGCGCATCGAGGAGGTCCTCAGCTTGTACGTTTTTACCTACAGTGAACTCGCGAGAATAGATGTGCTAACAGGCAGCAGCGCCAAAATCAAGCCCGCCGTCCTCCAGATCGAAGCGCACCCCTACTTCCAACAGCCGGCCCTCCTGGACTGGTGCAAGAAGAACGACATTCTAGTAACGGCCTATTCACCCTCGGGCAACAACGTCTATGGATTCCCCAAGACAATCGACGACCCGACGGTGATCCAAATCGCCAAGGACCTGGGCAAGACACCCGCTCAGGTGCTCATTCAGTGGGGTGTACAGCGCGGCACTGTCGTGCTGCCCAAGAGCGTCACTCCGTCGCGCATCGCAGAGAACTTTGTGGATTTCGAGATCCCAGAGAAGGCAATGCAGCAAATCTTTGCTCTCGACAGGAATACACGGTATAACTTCCCTGCGAGATTGGGTGTCAATGTCTTTGGGGAGAAGACGGAGGAGGAGCTGAAGAAGGGCAGGGCGGACTGGATCGCCGCGCAAAAGAAGTGAGGCAGTGAGCGGTACAGCAAGATATTTTTGGAAGCCAGATAGAGAGTTTGGCGTTAGATTTGTAGCCCCTGAGTATTTGTGGCTTGCCATGCTCGTACTGCTTGTCTGTATATGTATCTCGTAGCCACCTGACCCGATCCAACGCCACTGGACAAATGCGACAACACCGCAACTTCGTGGTGAAGAAAGTTGTTTCGCACTTGCAGACGAACAAAGCTCCTGCATTCTATATGTAATCGTTCATCTTATTTGAAGAGAATCCAGCCACACATGCCGAAGTCGGCGCAGTCCTAGGTCCATTGGCGGCCCCTCATACGTGCGCCTCTCCTCTTCCACGCGATCGCCGTCATAAGACTGGTTCTTGCAGCTCACACATACACTCCATGATAATAAGGTCATTCATTGACTTTCTTCTGTGCGGTACCAAAGGTTTGCAACATGGGCAAAATCGCAAAGATTGAATATTTCCGCGTCCCGCCTCGGTGGCTGTTTGTCAAGATCACCGACGACGCGGGCATCGTTGGTTGGGGCGAGGCCTCGCTCGAGGGGCACACGCAGGCTGTCGAGGGCTGTCTGGATGCCTGGATTGACCAGTACACGGGCATGGAGGCTGAGTACGTGAATATCAGTTCCAGTGCAACACAGAGAGACTGACAGTACCAGCGACATTGAGCACATCTGGCAAAAGACATGGCGCATGGGCTTCTACCGCGGCGGACCTGTCTTCATGTCCGCCCTCGCCGGCATCGACATTGCGCTCTGGGACATTAAGGCGCGCAAGCTCAATGTCCCCATCTACCAGCTCCTCGGCGGCAAAGTCCGCTCTACCCTCAAGGTCTATGCCTGGATCGGCGGTGATCGTCCCGCCGACATTGAGGAGCAGGCTCTCAGCCGCAAGGCGCAGGGCTTCACGGCCGTCAAGATGAACGGAACCGAGGATGTGGGCTGGCTCGACTCGCCCCACACGCTGGATAGCTGCGTCGAGCGTGTCAAGGCCGTCAAGGCGCTGGGCCTCGATGCGGGTGTGGACTTTCACGGACGCGTGCACCGACCCATGGCGAAGCAACTCGCCGCCGCATTGGCAGAGCATAAGCCCATGTTCATCGAAGAGCCGCTTCTTTCAGAGCACATGGAGGGGATCAAGAGTCTGAGCGCGCTCACGACGATACCCATAGCACTGGGCGAGCGGCTACACTCCCGTTGGGACGTGAAGCCCTTCCTCGAGGCGTCGTGCATCGACATACTGCAGCCAGACATCTCGCATGTCGGCGGCATCTCCGAGCTCAGACGGATAGCGGCCATGGCAGAGGCGTACGACGTCGCGATCGCACCGCATTGTCCTCTCGGCCCGATCGCGCTGGCGGCGTGCATCCAGGTCGATGCCACACTGGCCAACTTTGCGATTCAGGAGATGAGTCTGGGCATTCATTACAATACCGGGGGTCACGACCTGCTGTCCTATATCAAGAACCCGGAGATATGGGATGTCAAGGACGGCTACATCAAGCTAATGGAGGGCCCAGGGTTGGGTATCGACATTGACGAGGACAAGGTGCGGGAGTTGAGCAAGGGTGCCGAGGCGTGGGTGAGCCCTGGCTTTGTTGGGCCAGGCGGCGAGTGGCGCGAGTGGTAGGGCCCTTCGGTGGAAGAACGATCAATTTTGTGAGATGACAGGACTTTGAAGAGTTAGTTTGGCACATGAGCTTCCAGTTGATATGCAGCTTATCATGGCGGAGCGACCTTTGTTTACCATTGCCCCTTTTCATCCTCGACGACCCCAAGGCTCGTCACTGCCAGCCTCTGGCATACAGTCTACGCAACGCTCTTTGGCTCAGCACTATCGCGATCATTCAGCAGCTTTGTCAGATTGAGCAAACCTATGGGGTATCGAGTGCAATTTGAACTTGTTCTTCGTTGGCTCATAGTCGAACGAGCGCAGCTTTCACGCTTTCGCCAGCAGTCCTGTCCCTACATCTTCGCCGCAGTCAATCTGCAAAAACACGACGAGCGGATGGGCACATCTGCCACAGCAAGCGCCTTGTCGAGTTGTCCTTTCATGGCCCTTGCCTCGTCAAGACGGCCTAACCGCACGAGACATTCATGCCATCCATGCAACGCCCACACATTGTTGGGATGTTGGTGTGTCCTCGGAAGCGTATTGTCTACGCCGAGATCAGCCATATACACGGCCAGCGCATCCTCGACGAGGCCTTGCTCCAGCAGTAGAGCCCCGTACGCGTGCCGCGTCGGCTGCATCCAGCCCCAGGGCTCGTCAAACGGCAACGCGTCGTATCGGTCGATGGAATCGCGCAAGTGTGCAAAAGCAATCTCAAAGTTTCCCCTGCGATATTCAAGTTCGCCGTCGAGGAGCGCCTCCGCCACGGTCAGAATGTCGACGCACTTGTTGTTGAACAAGGTCCTCGAGGGTTTCACGCGGGGCACGGCACGCTGAAACTCTTTTCTTTGCTTCTCTGCTTCCTCGACATGGCCAAGGGCGGCCGATGCCATGCCCTTGGCGTATAGAGTAAGTGCTGTCGTGACACAGTATAGTTCTTGGTCTGACGGTAGGCGCATATCCATAATGTCACGCCATCGTCCGAAGCGTATGTAAGCGTGAACACGCATCGCGAGGAAAGACTCCAGCCAGTCTGCCATCGGGGGCGACTCCATCCTCAACAGGTCGTCTGAAATGGTCGCCTCGAGTCGTGTCACGGTGTCGAAAGCAATCTGCGATTGCCCCGAGAACATGGCAGCGTAGAGCCGAAAGTGGTAGTCATGCGATCGGTACAAGGTATAAAAGTTCATCGGTCCCTCTCTCTGGAGGAAGAGCTCATCAGCACAGATGGCGTCTGTATTCGCCACCACTGCCGTTGCATAATCACCGGTCAGAATGTCCAGATGGGACGGCATATGGTTTAAATGCCCCGAGTCAGGGATCATTCCTCGCAATCGATTCGCCGCCGGCATTCCCATCTCGGGGGTTTTGGACATTTCCACCAAGTGGATGTAGAGGTGTAGTACACCTGCGTGGTTGAAGCCCGCTTCTGTGTCCATGGCATGCTCAAGAACGCGCTTCGTTTCGAGGGTGCGCGCGCCCGATGCAGGCTCGCCGCTATGCAAGTCCCATAGTTGCCAAGGGGTGAGGTTCATCATGGCATCGGCATAGAGGGCGGCGACATCGGGATCCTCGGGAAATTGTGCATAAACCCGGCCCATGGCATCGGCATACTCGCGGTTCCACACGGAGCAGTTTGTCTTGGTGGGCTCCTGGCCACCCGGGTATCGGAATGCCAGAGCTTCTACAAGAGCGCGCTCGACAGCTGTCGTCTCGGGGTGGGCGCACATGGATGCCTTTTCGACGGCATCGTGCGTCCTCTCCACTGTGTCATTTCTCTCCCTCTTCCCGAAAAGCTTCCACGGTTTATTGTAATTGGGTCCTAGAGAGTAAGCCAGACCCCAGTATGCCATAGCACAACCAGGGTCATGGGCTATAGCTCGCTCAAAGCATCGTGCGCCTTCCTCGTGGTTGAACCCGTAGCACCAGATGAGACCGCGATTGAACCATGTTTGCGCCTGTGGATGACGAGTGGTGACTGGACGAGCAAAGGACCCAAGGTCGTAGTATGTGTCTCTGGAGGAAGAACGGTGCATGTCTTGTGTGGAGATGAGGAAATGAAGCAGGGTGGTGATGGCGGGACACGAGAAGCTTGGGAATTATGGTGTGATTTCATCGAAGTTCTTGTAGATGCTCGGTCGATCGCTGCAGGGCCCCGGGTTTGGGCAGGGACCGCCTGGACAGGCGGTGACCCGGTATTGCAGGATCACTATGGCCAATGATGTGTCGTTATGGCCTGAGAATTATGGGCCGACTAGGATTAGCCCGTCGCGGTCGGTGAGGCCCGAGCCAGAGACTCAGAACTCAGAAAAAGCAACTTGGGCTTGCAAATAGACCGATAATCGGAAATCTGATTTCTTTGACTTTGATTGGTAGCTCTAGCCTTTCAGTCTCGAGTGTGTCAGGGTCTGATATCAGCTGCGGGCTCTGGAGTCTCGGACCAGATGTGCCCTTTACAGTACACCCAGGCTCTGTCACAAACCGAGCCCCTTATCGAAATAAACAAACGTGTGAACTTGTGTAAAATCTAGTGTCCCATCCTTTTGTCTGCAACTCCTCACCTGCTGCGAGTAGTTTTCAGCCCAGGGTAGTAAGCATCTCCCCCTTTGACTGCTAGCTAAAACTTCATCTGAAAATCGGTGCAGAGCTTGCTTCTACCTACTTTAGCCATCACCTCACTATCATCTCACATTCTCACATTCTCACTCACAAAGAGAGGGGGAAAGATATACAACTAATCTAGAGCATAGACTTCTTTTGCTTCAACCACACTCCTCTTCAATCGAGCCGGGAGTGGGCAGTCGACACCCTCCTCTACAGAGGTTCGCCTATCAATCAACACCTCGTGCGTGGTGAAGATTTGGTAACCATGCCTCCTGCTTCAGCATACCCCCAAGAATGGGGCAAATACATCGACTTGAACCCCATGCCGCCTGGCGTATACAATCATTCGGAAGAAAACGACGGCGAGCTTCCCAGGCAGTTCTTGACTGTGATCAATACATGGAATCTGGAAGCATTCGAGGATTTCTTCGATTTTGTGCGGGACATTCCTGTCTTTGCCAACATCAACCGCAAGCATTCCCCATCGAGGTACAATTTAGGCTTCTTGACAATATTGAGTCAGCTCGCGGAGCATCCACTCAAGCCCAGCCTTTGCAAGGTGAGAACGGCGATTTCGTGTCAGCTGTTGCAGAAAGCGAGCCGCGAAAGCATGAGGATCACAAATGCTCACCTGCGAGCGGTATTGGACGACTTCGATGCCGAACTGGCGGTAAGTCGCACGCTGTTACAAACCATCAGGTCGAAGGGCTGACTTTGGACTTGCTACGCAGCAGTCTTATGAATCTCAGATTGCGAAGGACATGGCAGTGACCACGCCTGAGAGTCAACTGGTAGTCGCACTTGAAGACACGGACCAGAGCCATATCCCCCCGGACAGAGCAGAGGCTTCAGACTCCATGAACAGGCATGTTTACAAACGACAAATGTCTCCGGAAGTTGTGGACGTCGAGAAAAGCCCTAGCAGGCATCTGGATACGCTTGCCAACGACCCCAGACATCATCCGGGAGTCCCTAGTGGGAGTCTTGACGACCATCACGCAGCGGTCGCTGTCGAACATAGCGAGCATCCAGATAGATCCGAAGAAGAGCATGCTCCAAAGCGTCGTTGCACGGATCTGACAGCACTTCGGTTAAAGCTTTCGGTCAAAAAAAGCGAATTGAAAATGGCTCAGTACGAGTTGGCCCAAGTAACGAGGGAACGAACCGAGTACTCAGCATCAGCGACCCGCGATGCCAAGCAATTCAAAAACGATCTTCCCCAGGCTATGGAAAAGCATCCTGTCATCTTGACAAGCAGCTTTTCACACTATCTTGGCTATGATGCCCAAGGATGCATCGACGGTTTAGCGATCGAATGTAAAAAGTACCTCACTTTGCACCTTTCGAATGACAGGAACTTTCGTGGGATCTCAAAGAGATGGAAAGACCGAGCAAAGTCCGTGTACGAGCTTGAAACACAGCTATGGGACCTCGATGACTCGATCAGCAAGAATCAAGACCATGGGATAGGTGCATAGACTCGGGTCTGGAGTGCGCCGACTGGAAAGGCAGAAATCGGCTTGACGAATCCGCGGGACTTTCTTTCGTAGGACAGCTTTAACAAACGGGTCTAGTCGAAAATTGATGTACAATATGCCTCTTCAGCCAATCTTGTGGTACCTCCGCTTTTGTGTGCAGCAATGGGTCGGCAGAGTTGAGAGCTACAGTGACAAGACAATGATCTCAATAACGAATAGAAAAATTGGTCAGATCGGAGTCGTGACCACTTCCTCGAGCCTTGCATCCTAAGCAGGTCGACTTGCCCCGTGGTGGCTGTGTAGTTGAAGCCCGACGGCTGGAATGTAAAGGGGCAAAAGTGTAGGGTAGCCGATACACGATTCAGGGGTAAAGTTGGTAGATGAAAAACCAAGAGCAGGTTGGAGCTAATCGTGTCGCACGCGCGCCCAAGTTCCCCCGAAATAAGTAATAACGGTAACACATTGTACGACACCTCGTTTAAGCAAGCGTCTACTCTTAGCCTGTCACTCGTCCCAATTGGATACTCACTACATGTATTATTGTCGGCTACGGCAATCTGTGCCGTAAACTCCGTTCTGGTATGTGTTTGGAGGCGGACATGGAGGCCACTGCGGCTGAGACAATTTCCCATCTCACTTGCTCCAACTTTCCCTCGTGTTTGTGTGCCAGTCACCCGTTTCGTCGTAACCACATCACGCTCGTTCCAATGCCATCATGACGCCGCGCCAATTGCGCGTTGTCGCTGTTTTCTGCGCCATCGCGGCGTTCTGCCTGCTGCTGCGCAACTTTGCTGTGGATCGCGAGTCCTGGACGTCGCGTAATGGTGCGCCGGTGCGATCAGGGGGTAGCGTGGTGCAGCCGGCATTCGAGTTCGTCCCAGAGGACCCAATCTTTGATCGGCCAGAAAAGATTGCCGAGGGCCCAGCACCACAAGAGAATGTGGAACAAGCCTTGGAGACGCCTGTATCTCCGGTCCCAGCGGAGACGTCAATTACAGAGCCGGATACCCCCCAGGAAGCATCACCAAATCCCAACAATCCAGGGACTGAGGATGCGGAACCAGACGAGGCACCTCAACCACCCTTGAGGCCGGAAGAGTCCCCAACTCCTCGGCCAGACACCAAAGTGTCATTTGCTGTCCCCGACGACTTTGACTGGTCGCGGTTCGCGTACGTTCAGTATGTCACGGACCCAGCGTACCTCTGCAACTCACTCCTCATCTTTGAGTCTTTGGCTCGCCTGGGGTCCAAACCAGCCCGCCTCATGCTGTACCCGACGCATATGCTGCCTTCTCCCGATGCTCCCTCAGCAGAGAACTTGGACGGCAAGCTCCTCATCAAGGCGAGGGAAGAGTACAACGTGACGCTGAAACCCATCATGATCCAGCACAAAGATGGCGAAGACGAGACATGGGCCGACTCGTTCACGAAGCTGCTTGCCTTCAACCAGACGCAGTACGACAGGGTGCTGACACTGGACTCGGATGGCACCATCCTGCAGCCGCCGGACGACCTCTTCTTCATGCCGCATGGACCTCTGGCTCTGCCGCGGGCGTACTGGTTGTTGTCTGCGGATCCGCCAGAACACACACTCGCTTCCCATGTGATGCTCATTGAGCCTTCCATGTATGAGTTTGACAGGATCCACGAGCAAATACATCTCGCAGGAGAGAGGGAATACGACATGGAGATCATGAACAAGCTCTACGAGAACTCGGCCATGGTCCTCCCGCATAGGGACTATGCCATGCTCACCGCTGAGTTTCGCAACGAGAACCATCGGGATTACCTGGGCAGCGACGAAGCATGGGATCCCGTTGCGGCTCGGGACGCGGCCAAGTATGTCCATTTCTCGGACTGGCCGGTGCCTAAACCATGGGTGCGAGTGGATGATGAGGTTCAGGCATTGCGGGAGGAGTACCAGCCAACGTGCGTGTCAGTGGACGGGCGTGAGGATTGCGCGGCGCGCAAGATCTGGAACGAGTTGTACGATGACTTTGCCAAGCGAAAAGAGGTTTGCCGCACTTTCGAAGATGTGTTGAGAAGGTCATGCTAACAATCCTGGTAGGCGATATGCCGACTTGTTTGAGAGGACATGGAGATCTGCGTACTGAGTGAGCTTGCCTTGCCTTACCGCTTTGAGTTCGACGCCGACTTGATGCTAAAGATTTGCGAAAAGGGGTCCAAGACGCATCGCATCGTCTAGCGCGAGATCTGCGAAATTTAATGCCATGATGATTGACACAAGAACTGAGGCGATTGCGTTGCAAGCTTGCAACCCGCCAAGGCCAGCTGAAGAGTTAAAGGGCGCCTCGAGGTGTAATCCAGTGTACTTACTCCGTGATGCAGTTTCACCCTCGTATTATACACGTGCTAGCCTCAACTGCTAGGGACTGGAGAACTGAGAGCTAAGGTCAGGTACATAACGCTAGAGGCCAGAGCTACCGTCAGGCCTAGACCCTTTCCACCTAACCTACAGGTAGTAAAGTCTGTAACGGGCACTCACTGCGCGTCGTCACCAGTGGGCCGGATCTGACACGCTCCAGGCCACGTCCAGCTGAGACAAGTCCAGTCCACGTCACTGTCAATTACGACTGGAGGCCGTCGGTAGGACAGGACCGCATTCCGCTGCCTGCGTGTTTCTTGACCATCCTCAACTGTCAAAGAACGAGTCAATCCAGCACAGTTATTACTTCCGCCCATCTCCTCCACCAGCGCCGTCAGTCCGCGCCGTCTTGGCAGTCCGGAGCACGAGGCCCACAAGGCGCGCGCAGCGGCCTGGGCCCCTGCGCCTTTGACGCATCCGTCCCTCCCTCATCCCTCGTGTCCAGTCTCCAACAGACAGAAAAAAGCGGATTCGACAAAGATTGGTCTTATCGACCGACTGCCCATAGCTAATAACACTCACGCTCATCTCGGATTCTCCAGGGAGACTTTATTACCTCGCCATCTGGCCCAATGCCGTCACAACATTCAATCGCACGTTTCCCGCACCTTCACGGCCGATAGAAACTCTCGTCACGCACCTCGACATCTGGCCGTCGACCCCCTTCCGCACCAAACCCTCCCTACACGCACGTACGTAGCCGCGAGCGCGCCCTCACGACACGCACGATGCTTAACTCTCGCCGCGCCCTCGTGGCGGCGGTCTTCATCCTCATTGTCTTTTTCCTCATTACCCGATCGCACGATTCGAGCTCGGACGTCGCGTCATCAAATACCAAAACTGAAAAGACCTCCTCGTCGAATAATGGCGGCAGCGCTGCTGACCCCCTTGCTGCGGCCGCCGAGATACCCCCCGAGAAGCCCAAGCCGGCGCCTGCCCAGAAGCCGAGGAAGGACATGTCGCGCATGAGCACATACGACAAGCTCGCCTACGCGTACCCGTACGACGTGGACACCAAGTTCCCGGCCTACATCTGGCAGACGTGGAAATACGGCCCTACCCAGGCCGAGTTCGCCTTTCGCGAGCAGGAGGCCTCGTGGTCAGACCAACACCCTGGCTTCGTGCACGAGGTCATCACGGACGAGGTGGCGGTCAACATGCTGCGACTGTTCTACGCGGCCGTGCCGGAGGTCCTGGAGGCCTACCAGGCGCTGCCACGCCCGGTGCTCAAGGCGGACCTTTTCCGGTACTTGATTCTGTACGCCCGAGGCGGCATCTACTCCGACATCGACACGTTCGCCATCAGGAGTGCAGTGGAATGGCTGCCGCCCCAGATCCCGCGCGAAACGGTCGGCCTTGTCATTGGCATCGAGGCGGACCCTGATCGCCCCGACTGGGCGGAATGGTACAGCCGCCGGATCCAGTTCTGCCAGTGGACCATTCAAGCGAAGCCGGGGCACCCAGTGCTCCGCGACATTATCACGCGCATCACGAACCAGACACTGGAGATGAAGCGCTCGGGCAAGCTCGCGAGCTTTCTGGACAAGAACATTGTCGACTTCACCGGCCCCGCGATCTGGACGGACACCATCTTTGACTACTTTAACGACGAGCGGTTCTTTGACATGCGCGACAGCAGCAAGAAGATTGACTGGAAAGACTTTACCGGGATGGAGACGAGCAAGCGGGTGGGTGACGTCGTGGTCCTGCCCATCACGAGCTTCTCACCGGGCGTGGGACAAATGGGTGCCAAGGAGCCCGATGATCCCATGGCATTTGTGCTGCACAACTTTGAAGGTTGGTCCAACAATGGCCATACGCCTCCCCAGATAAAACTGACAAGAGAACAGGCACGTGGAAGCCCGAGAGCGAGCGCCATATCGGCGAACAGCAGCAGGTGATGTAGCGCGTCGCGCTGCTCAGACCTGACTAACCCTTAGTCTACATTCCCGACGACCGGAATGACATGAAGCCCAGCTCAGCTCAGTCCCTTCCTGTCATCCGCCGACTGTACATATCAATACCCGACAGCCATGTGTTGTCTCCCGCATTGGGTCGAGCGTGCGGCGCTGTATATATTGGAGTTTGGCTGCTTTTGGGAACGTAATTTCGTTCATTCATAGCGTACTATAGAGGATGCGTGCGGTCAAAGGGGACAGTCTCAGCAGGCTGAGTGGGCAGTTCCCCAGCCACGCACCAAAGAGATAGAGGCGCCTGGAGCGACATGAGAGGATCGAATTGCACCACAAAAGACACATTCGCATGTCCGCACTTTTTGACAGTGATGCTGTGCGGAGCTTGCCGAGTGCCCCAAGTCGCCAGATCGTATCGTGGGGAAGCCCAGGCTCTGTGCGGGGACATGGAGGCTGCATGTGCGTCGGTCTTGGCTCGCGTCTCCAGTTGGGGGTTGGGTGACCGACCCAAGGTTCCACGGACCACGAACCACGGTTGGTGACAGCCTCGGAACCGATTGCCTCTCCGCTCCAATTCTCCAGCCCTTCCCTCGCTCGCGCGCTTGCTTGCTGTTCACTGCACATCCTCTTCTCTACGCCCGTCCTCATTGACCACGCCCTGCCAGAATGCTGCTCTCACGCAGCGGCAGATGCCTCCCTCAACGGGTCTCTCTGGCTTCGCTGGCCAGCTCACGAACCGTGTATCCTTCATCGTATCGCTGGTACTCAGCAGACAGCACCAACAACCTCAGCTATCGTCGCGGGCCGACGACGCCAGAGCTCTTCCAGGGCACCATCCCCGAGCACTTTGCTCAGACGGTCTCCGCGCATGGGGACCGCCCTGCTGTCATTGCGCGCTCGCCCATCCCCTCCTCGTCCTCCAGCATAGCGGCGCCAGAGACGCGGTTGACCTACTATGACCTGGACATGCTCTCCAACCGCCTCGCCTCGTCACTCGCCGACCTCGGCGTGTCCAAGGGGGACCGCGTGGCCGTGTCACTCGGCAACGGCGCCCCCTTTGCCGCCCTGACATATGCCTTGTTCAAGCTGGGTGCGGTCCTTGTTCCGTTGAACCCGACCTTTACCAGCACCCAGGTGTCCGCTGCCTTGAAGCACTTGGAGGCCGAGGTCCTCATCATTGGCGCCGTGACGGATCTGGCCTATCGGCCTGGAAAGGGCAGAAGCAACGAGTCCCTCATCAAGGAGATCGCGGGAGACATTGCTTCCTCCACCATCCAGAGCGAGGCGGTCCCGTCGTTACGAAAGGTGGTCGTGCTAGATAACCGGGCATCTCACCAGGACGTGTCATTCCCCCTGGAGAGATACCCTGCATTAACACCCTATGAGACTCTTCTGTCCGGGTCATCGGGTCCCGTCACGCCATCGACGCCTCTCTCGCCCAGTGACACGATCAACATCCAGTTCACCTCGGGGACAACCTCGATGCCCAAGGCAGCCATGCTCAGCCACACATCCATACTGAACAATGGCCGCTTCATCGCCGACAGGATGGGTCTCGACCCCTCGGATCTCATCGTCGTGCCGCCCCCCTTGTTCCACTGCTTCGGCTGCGTGCTAGGCTACATGGCCACCGCCACGACAGGCGCGGCCATCCTGTTCCCCTCGCCGGCCTTTGACCCCGTGGCCACGCTCAAGATGTGCTACGAGCACGACGCCACCGGCCTGTACGGTGTGAGCACCATGCTCGTCGCGGTGCTCGAGTCGCTCGACAAGGGCATCATCCCCTCCGCGCCCAAGAACCTGCGCAAGGGCATCGCGGCCGGTAGTTCCGTCCCCAGCGCCGTCATGGAAAAGGTCCAGAGCAAGCTCGGCCTGCAAGACCTCGTCATCTGCTACGGCATGACCGAGACCAGCCCCGTGAGCTGCATGACCAAGCCGTCGGACCCCTTTGCGTACCGGACGACGTCTGTCGGCACCGTCATGCCGCACACCGGCGTCAAGATCGTCTCGCCCACCGACAGGAACACCATCCTGCCCATTGGCGAGAAGGGCGAGCTGGCCGCCGCCGGCTACCTCACGATGAAGGGGTACTTTAACGACCCGGACAAGACGGCCGAGGTGCGGATCCCCGATCCCGAGACGGGCGAGATTTGGATCTACTCGGGTGACGAGGCGGAGATGTCGCCCGACGGCTACGTGACCATCACCGGCCGTATCAAGGACCTCATCATCCGCGCCGGCGAGAACATCCATCCCCTCGAGATTGAGAACGTCCTCTTCACCATGCCCGGCGTCCAGGAGGTCTCTGTTGTCGGGGTGCCGGACGAGAAGCTCGGCGAGGCCGTCGCGGCCTTTATCATCTGCAGCGACGGCTCGACGGGCAGGACGGTGACGGATAAGAGCGTGAGGGACTGGGTTAGGGACCGCCTGAGCGGGCATCTGGTCCCGAAATGGGTCTTTTGGGTAGACGCGTACCCCAAGACAGCGAGCGGGAAGATTCAGAAGTTCAAGCTGAGGGAGATGGCTGGGGAGCTCATGAAATCTAGCAAGTAGATATAGTAAGCGCTTACATACATCATTAGGATGGCCAGGCGTTTTGTTCTCTCGCATATACAAATTCTTCCCTCCTCACAATGGTGCGCACTTGGAATGCTTCGGTCCACAATGGTCATTCATCGCTTTTTCGCTATCGATATGAGTCTTCCCTCTTCAGAAACAATTTCAAGTAACATGGTCCCCAAATACATGTAGGCGCTCGCACTTCTATGGATCCTGTGAAAAACATGGACACGAAATGGAGAGCCGTCTCGTTGGCGCTCAGCGCTTTCCAGAATATCGAAACGCCGCAAAACGCCAGTCTCAGGGTAATATCTATCACCTGAGCGCTCTTCTGCACAGCCCAGGCAGAGACCCTTCCTCAATCCACCTGCTTGTCGCACCCGATGCGGCCCAGAAGCTCTTTCCGGTCGCTGTGCCCCGGCAGACTCACCCCCGAGCTGCTCGACTGGAACTTGCCGTGTCGGCGTTCCCAGCCCTTGAGGTCCAGCGATTCGACGCCGACGTCCTGCTTGAGCGCCTCGGCTTCCTCGTAGACGTACTCATCCTCGCTCTCCTCGGCTACGGCCTCGTCGTCACTGCGGGTGTCCTCGGCACCTGCGCCGCGAAGGACCTTGACGGCCACGCGGATGATCAGAGTGAACCAGAAGATGGTGATGAACTGGAGAATGATGAGCGGCGTGAGGAAGGCCCATTTCACCGTCTCATTGTAGCACACATGGCCGCTCGAGTTGTAGAATGGCTCCAAAAGGTACCCGTAGCCCGGTGGCGGGTCGACAGGCCCAACGAGGTTGTTGTTGCTGCCCTTGAAGCAGCCCGTGGGCATGATCTCCGGCGTGTGCGCGTAGATCGACCAGCAGACAGCGCAATATGTCACGTGGCGTGCGAGTAGCCACGAAACCATGAAAAGTCCAAAGAGGTAGTCGCAAATAGTGGTGTAGCCCGCGTACTTGAGGCACTTGGCAAGCTGTACGTACAGGTCAGCATTCCGAAGGAATAGGTCGACCTACCGACATCATGGCAGACTTACCGGCAGGAACAAATCCACAACATCCATGATGACCAGAATCAGGTTGCCCACGCGAGTGTGGTGATAGCTGTAGCACGAAGAGATGAGAGCGCACGTCACAAAGTGGTGGCTCAACATCTGGTAGTGATCCTTGCGCTTTTCCTCCACGTGAATGACCAGGATCTGCTGGATCCAGAACGCCCATTGCACTAGGATGTATCCCTTCATCAGACCGTCCATCTCGCGGTTGGGCCAGGCTGTCCACAGTTCGCGTAGATTCAGATAGTGCGGCGAATTGCAGTAGATGTACTAAGAATCGTCAGCTTCATGCTTCTCGCAACGTTGCGGGACTCCTTACCACGCCCAGTGGCCACAGGAAGCAGTAGTAGACCAGCAACCAGGCCTGCTCGCTGAAGCGAGTCAAGTCCTTGCGCTTCGTGACGCCCTGCATCTTGGCGATGGGGGCAAGCACATATTCCATGGTCCACGCTCGCAGGCCCGTGAAAGCCACAACGCAGAACGCTATCAAGTAGACATCGTCAATCCCCACGCCATATCGTCCTGTCGTGTCGTTCAAGTAGGAGAGGTGGAAGAATTTGTGCGTGACGGCTCGCGCCTTGTGAATGAACCCATGCGCGAGGAAAAGCAGGGCAATAAGGTTGAACGAAAGACCTAGAAAAGTCAGTAGGGGTTCCTCACCAAAACGAAGCGTGCGGGTGGCGCACTGCGCCGCCATGTGTCTCGACTGGAACATACCGACTTGGTTCTCGACAAACCAGCGTGCTGCTGCTCGCCAGAAGCTCTCCTCCTTGCGCTTCAATTTCCTGACGAGCACCACGTTGCTCCCCGAGGTCTGCATGTACAGCGGCCCGTTCATGCTGGAGCTACTGGAACCCTGTTTCATTTGTGGTCGCTTGGGGACGCCGAGCGAAGCACCAGTCTGCTCGTCGACCTGCGACGAGGCATGCAGTTCGTCACGCATGGTCTCCGGTGGTCAATGGCACGCTTGGAAGCGAGTGTCGGGACGATGGTGTACGTGAGGTGATTCGGTCGGACTGGTTGAAACCAGGTCTCAGCTTAGTCCCGAGTAGGGAAAGAATGAATCTGAGACCGGCGGAGGGGGAGGAGAAGGTGGTCTGGAGGAAAAGGAGAGGACCCGGGAAGCGCTCAGCTCGCTCCGTTGCTACAACGGTCGATCGTCGAGGAGTTGAGATAAACAGGTAGGGATACGACGGCTGGACGTCGAATAGGGGAGGCAGCAAGCCAGCCGTTGGAAATTCTGCCACTGCCTGCACGGGGGCTCAGATCGTGGGGCGGCGGCCTGTGGCGGGGGGGTCTTCCAGCTGCAAGTGTTCCAGACTGGATAAGGAGTATCAACACGTTCTGGTTCTCTCCCTGAGGCTCAATGGATCGCGTGGAGTCGGGGAAAGCTGCAGAGCACCGTGGCACAGCTTATCAGAGGGGAGAGAAAGTCGTCTCTGCCCGCCAGTGTTGGAATTATCCACGTCGACTTCAAACCTGCGTTCTCGAAAAAGGTTGCAGTGCGTGACGGGTCCCACACAAAGCTCGACCCCGGTGGCAGGGGGGGCCGCTGTCAGTGGGGCTCAACAGCAACGCGCCAGCCAAGCACAATTAAGGGTTTTTGGCGGTGAGAAGACTTCGGAACAAGAGAGGCCAATGAGAGCTGACGGTAAAGGGGGGCTACAACGTTGTTTTAAGACATGATCTGATAATTAATGTCTCCCCATGTCACAACTGGCTTGCCAATCTTGAGAGGCCTGGATTGGTTAGAGTACGTGCTTGTATACTTAGGAAGATGCTCCCACTCACGGGTCACCCCCGCCGGCCTCCCAGGTGCCGTTGTGGACTGGGCCAGGTCATCATGAATACCATCATTGGGCAACCACAGCGTTAAGGCACTATAATCATGAATATCCATCTTCTGCGTGGATGTGCGCTATGGGCCATGGCCCACGACGCCTACTTAGTAGATTCTATGCTCAGATGAATCTCATGACTGCCCATAGATACATGTACTCCGCGATCGACTTGCTCTATTGAAAGAGGCACTCCGCTGTTGGTACATGTAGGATCAGCACGAACGTTCTACGTAAGTACGCTCGACAATGTTTGTTGATGCCAGATACTAAGCTCCACAAGCCAGAACAGGCCAGTGCTATATATTAATCAGTAGTTCCGTTCGACTCAATCGCGGATGATCATCGGCATGGACGCCCCGCGAATCTACATCACCGTAGCACAGACCCGATCCCAAACACCTTCGAGATGACATGCAGCGGTATGTATAAGTGTACTCACGTCACACAACATGCGAAGATAGGCAAAGTCGGAAACAGTTAGAACATTCAGCGCGTCATACTACCTCGCACTGTTCTGTCACCCGCATTGTGGCGGAGAGGACAGTGTCATTACCACATTAAATACTGTGCCCCCCCTACGAGGTGTATTTGCACCGCCACCCAGTCAGCCACGCGCCTTCCCCACATGACCCTGAGGACTGTCATCGACTGGCCTGGACTACGGATACCACCTGTGTCCTTGTCGCCGCCGCCAGCAGTCAGACCAGGTCACTTCGACTCCTCGGATCTTACATCAACCATCACCACGATCGCGCAATCTATCAAAAACACCCGCACCACCGCCAACATTTCGCAGCCAACAAATTACTCCACGATGGCGTCCAAGGCCAAGTACCAGCCTGCGCCGCAAGAGGAGCCCGTCAACGACGACTACACCAGTGCGCCACCAGCGTACGCAGCTGAATCGTCATCCCGCGACGAGCAGCAGGGCCTGTTCGGCGCCCCGCGAAGCAGCGAGGACAATATTCCCGATGACTTCAAGGTTTGCATGCTCTCCCTGGACTGATAACACTCGACACATGCTGATGCGCTGTAGTTTGGCGGATCCGTCGCAGAGGCCACCCTCGACATTCGCAACCAGTTCATTCGCAAGGTCTACACCATCCTCTCGGCCCAGCTCATCGCAACCGCTGCCGTCAGCGGTCTCACCTTCTGGAGTGATGGCTACAAGACGTGGATTCAAAGCCACCCTGCCGTTGTCTACGCATCTGTACGCTTTTCCTTTCCCCCTTCCATACAATTTCCTCTGCTAACCGCATACAGCTCTTCGGCTCCCTGATCTTCATGGGTCTTACCTACTGGAAGCGCAAGTCCTACCCGACCAACCTGCTCTTCCTCTCGCTCTTCACGCTCACCGAGGCCTACGCCATTTCCGTCATCGTGTCCTTCTACAAGTCGTCTATCGTTCTCAACGCCGTCTTCCTGACGGCAGGCATCTTCATCTTCCTTACTGCTTTCGCCTGCCAGACCAAGTATGACTTCACCAGCTGGATGCCATACTTGTTCGGTGCGCTCTGGGGCCTCATGCTGTTCGGTTTCATGTCCATCTTCTTCACCTACAGCTCCACGGCGGAGCTGGTCTATGGTGGCATCGGCGCCCTGGTATTCAGTGCCTACATTCTGGTCGACACGCAGCTGGTCATGCGCCATCACCATGTGGAGGAGGAGATCGCGGCTGCCATCAGCCTGTACCTCGATATCATCAACCTCTTCCTCATGATCCTGCGCATCCTCAACAGCCAGAACAACAACTAAGCTGTGGTGTTTGCACAGATAATCGATTTGACAAGCAATTGTGTTTGTATTTGGTGGATATTTACAGGTGTTTGCGGCGTTTTGTATTCTAGAAGTGCGTATGAGACTGGGTGCGTACGTTGCATTACAAGTCCAGTAGTGAAATAGGAAATAACGGGCTATCTGCAGATTGGCTACCAATACACTTCAAACAAGATAACCGAATAGGCATGAGAAGATTCATCCACCGCTTTACCATAGTGCCATCGTTGTGCCTGGACCAAGCCAGGTGGCATGAACCTTTTGTGAGAGAAACACTCCAATTGATCCACGGATATTATCCCTCCCTCGTCTTTTCTCTTCAGCGAGAAACACCAACGCCAGTATTATAGAACAGACCATTGTCCATAGTCCCCATGTCGCCGTGCAGTGTTCACTGGTGCTCGGCATCGCCGTTCGCCGCCACGGGTTCGGGCGTGGCCTGGGCGGCCGACTCGCGCTGCATGCGAGCCTCGATCTCACGAAGCTGGGACTCACGAGCCAGCAGCTCCTGCCGCTTCTCGTTAATCTCGCGCTGGACCTTGAGCTCGATCTCACGCAGCTTCTCCTCTTCCCTGCGCAGCTGCTCCTCCTTGAGACGGACGGATTGGGAGGCAAGGTCCTCGGGGTTCATCGACCTATCAACACTTTTAGGGTCAGCAAAGTCCTTGCATATCAGAGACACAACATACCCTCCGCTGGAACCATCGACACTCTTGGACAAAGCCTCGGTACGGTAGTTCTCGTACAAGAAGTCGTGGGTAATTTCCTTGAGATCGGCCAAGTGGCTGTGGAGAAGCGCCGAGCGGATCGCCAGGAAGTCAGAGTGGCGCGGGTTGTCCACCTCGACAACACCCCAGGGGTACTGACGAGCGCGGACCTTGCGACCGCCAATCTCTACAACATCCTCCGAACCCACAATGGCGAAGGGCATCAAGCCCCTGAGCTCAGCGTTCTCTTCCACTGTGTCCTCGTCATCCTCCTCAATGTCGTAGGGGAAGTTGTAGACGGGAATGCGGTAGTGCTCAATGTCCTCCATGACAAGCTTCTTCGACTCGGCGAGCTCGGCGGGCGTAAGGGTATCGGCGCGGCCAATAACGGGGATGACGTTGACACGGGGTGCAAGACGCTTCATGAGCTCAATGTCGAGCTCACGGAGACTAAAGATGATCAGCTGGGCGACTCGCATCATGCATCATGCTGCGTAGAACTTACCCATGACCGGTGGGAGTGATGAAGTACAGCGTAGCGTGCACACGGTTGTCCCTGAAGCGCGGGTTACGCTTGATACGAGACTCCTCGGCGAGGATGTCATCGTATTGCCTCTCGAGGTATCCGACAATCTCTGAAAAGCTGCACATCAAACATCAGACAGGAGCTTCGCTGCTTGTTGGCTTCATGTTCTTACCTGGCCTCGTTGTCGATTTGGTCTCCGAAGCCGGGGGTATCGACAATGGTCAACGAGATGCGAGTGCCTTCCTCGTCCAGCTCCAGCTCTGTTCGTCCCGTCAGCATTATGGCGCTTTGGGCATGTTGTCAAGTCACGAACCGACGGTGATGGGCTTAATCTTGACGCCATCCTCAGTGTGAGCGTTGCTCGCATCGTCAGACTCCTTGTGCTGCAGTACGTCCTTGCCGCAGAGCGTGTTGACGAATGTGGTCCTTCCTGTGAGTTTTGATAAGTATCCATTCGTGTTGTACCGCGTTGCTGCTCGACGAGCGGGCGCTTCGAGCTGGAGGGGGTCATCGTACCGGTTCCTGAGGCGCCACAGACCATCAGGCAGAACTGAATACCCTTCTTGACGTTCTTCTTGCGGCGGAACATCTTCTATAAAGGCGTAAGGCATTAGCATTCGTCTGTTGACCGTCGACGCGGAGCATGATTGCGCTGGCTGAATTGGGTTGGAGCTATCGAGAGTGACCGCTAGGGGGTGAACATACAGCGGAGGACGACATCTTGGCGATTGGTCGGCTGGTTTGTCGCAGCGAATTTCTTTGCACTTGGTTGCAAAGTCGATTGAGGAATCGCGGACGTCGTGACAGCTGTCCCTAAGATTGGTGAGTGGGCGAGGTCAAGGATACGAATGCGTTGTGCAGAAGGGCAGCAACTGAAAGGAGAAAATGTCCAGAGCAAGACAGGTGGTTGCCCAGAATGGCGGTTGCAGTGGCAGTCTGGGTGCTGCAATTTCGGTGGCTCAGGGGGTCCAACCATCCAGCTGTTCCTTTTCTACTGTGAGACCCTGACCGCAACTGCCCATTCCCCGTTGCCCGTTGCTCCTCCCCCCCAAGTTCTGGTGGTCATGCCCCTTGCCAAGACTCGATAGTGCGCTAATCCCCAAGAGGAAAGGCCTGAGGGGCGGCAGTTTCTCGGGGCAAGGTGAGGAGCAATTCCCGGGTGGCTTCTGAGATCACGTGTGAGCAGAGAGCTTCAGCCACATCAGTAGCAAACGCCACACTGTGCCACAGATGACCCCAAGGGCCAAGGCCGGTGACTTCCTCGACGGAGGCGCATCCCGTGATGCAATCAACCACGTAGCTCATTCATTACCTTAGAGTGCGGCGGGCGATTTCTTATTTCTACGTGTATTTCGGAACCTTCTCCTTCTGGGTTTTGTCCTAATGGTGCACGCTTATTCACGATTCTGCGAAATGCAGCACAATTATCGCTTTTGAGATCCGGTCCTTATTAATTCCCACCATCATCATCATAATAGAAGCCTAAACACAGGGTGATATCCCTTTTCTGGATTTGCACTTTCAAAGACACGCAACTTTCGAGAGACACCGCGCCTTTTGCTTTTGTAACTGAAGATCTCAAGTGCACTTCCTGGCTATCGGATCAAAAAATACCGACATTGCTCTCGAATCCTACAGCAACGAAGTCTCGACTACCCTGGATCCATAGCAATCGTCAGGATCCTGACCGGAGCTGTCGACGATATGGATGTAAGGCGCGCAATATCGACATCAGTCCCAGACAGGGCACTGTCTGCAGCTTTCAATCAGAATCGCGGATGTTTCAGTGTTGGGTTGGAAACAGGTGTTTGCAGTTCGATCCTCCACAGCTATTCCTCATGATCTTTAGTGAAACTAACTTGCTGCTAGTTTTCGACTCCAGGAGCGGTACTTTGAAAGATTCAAGAGGTTCGCCTGCGACTGTTTATCTTGCTCACTATGTCTTACTAACAACGTGCAGACTTCAACGGCGGCTTTGGCCTTGTTCAAATGCTTGGAACGTCTCAATACATGGCCCTCGTCGGCGGCGGCAAGTCACCGAAATTCGCCATCAATAAAGCCATCATTTGGGACCAGGAGAAAGGCAAGGTGGTAACGGAGATCTCAGCCTTGGAAGCCGTGCGGAACGTGCAGCTGAATCGTCAGAAGATTGTGGTTGTCCTGCAGCACAGCGCGCGAGTGTATGCCTTCTCCAAAAAGCCCAATCTCCTCCACGCGTATGAGACGGCGGACAACCAAGGGGGGCTATGCTGCCTCACCAACGATCAACTTGTCATCCCCGGCAGAACATCTGGGCAGGTCCAAATAGTAGAACTGGCAACAGGCAACGTCAGCATCATACCAGCACACTCCTCTGCGTTGCGCGCGCTGCAAGTCAGTCCTGACGGAGAGCTTTTGGCGACAGCAAGCGAGACAGGCACTCTGATTCGAATATTCTCCACAGCGAACTGCGCAAAGCTAGCAGAGCTGCGACGTGGCGTTGATCCGGCGACGATCTTCTCGCTAGACTTCTCACCTTCGAGTACACTGCTGGCGTGCACGTCGGACAAATCGACCTTGCATGTCTTCGATGTGCCGCATCCTCGGAAACCGAATAGCTACAAGAGCAACCAGCAGCGAGAAGCCGAAGGGAAATGGGGTTTCATAGGCAAGCTGCCCATGATGCCCCGGGTCTTCTCCGACGTGTACTCCTTTGCCTCCACAACATTTGAGTCGGGAGATGAGTTGGTGGCCGGAGGCATCATCCCAGCGACACAAGGGAACCATGCGAGCTCGCCGCGACCAGCCAAAGGCCTGATAGGGTGGATAGAGGAAAATGCCCTTATAGTGGTCGGTACCGGGTACAAGTGCCGATGGGAGAAGTTCATGATTGGGATAGGTGAGGATGGTAAGCGGACCTGTTATCGAGAAGGGTGGAAGCCCTACCACGGGCAGTCGTAGCAGTTACTTAGCGCTATCGCAGAAAGCTCAATGATGACTTCGCCGAGGAGAATGGCTTCGGCTGTGACGATGCCTGTCTTTGCGATCCCTGCGTTTATCCTCATCATCGTGCCTTCGTCTCCTCCTTTCGCGGTCCCCGGAATCGTCTCTGTGCTTATGAGTGTCTCGCTCTCGCTCTCGCTCCCGTCGATCGCGCTTCCCTGCGTCATCATCCCGTCGCGATCTTCTTGGGCGATCTTCTCCATCTCGATGCGACCTGTGAGATTTGTGGTGTCGTCGTTTCTCTCGTTTGTCCGCCCGTTGCCGCGCCTCTTCGACTTCCTTCTTCTTCTCTTCTATTAAGAAAGCCTTCATGGGGTCATCGTCGTCATGGTCTCGCATCAAGAGGGCGAGTTCTCTTTCTTCTGGTAGCGCAGGTCGGCGCTCTTCTTCCTCGCTGCTCGGTCCATCCTCCTCGGGGTCGTGTCCCTCTTTCTTCATGATATCCTCCCATCCGACCTTGAATTCATCTTGATCCTCGTCATCCCGAGCCTTGTATTCCGCGTGGTCCACACGCACAAGTCGGCCTTGAATTTCGGCGCCGCCAAGGTTGTCAACCGCGAGGTCCGTGCTGCGCTGATCTTCGTATTTGAGCCAGCCAAAGCCTTTCGACTTGCCCGTTTCCTTATCGCGGACAAGTTTGAGGAATGTCGGTTCGCCGAACTGAGAGAATATTGTGATGATATCGCCTTCGGAAAGCTCGTACGGCAGGCCGCCAAAGTATACGAAAGCTGTGTTGCGATAGTCACGGTGCCAAGACGCCTCTGGGGAGCTGGGGGAGGTTAGCTGGGAAGCACAAAAGGGGGTAGCTGACTTACATTCCGTTCTCAATCTCTTTTTTGTTGAGTGCTTGGATTGCGCGAATTTGATTCATTGCGTTGACTGAGTGCGCGTCGAATCGTCGCGTGGCCACAAACTGAAGATCTTGTCGACTGGCTGGCTGGCTGGCTGGCGAGCTCGTCCAAATGCTGCTCGCCCTTCTTGGGCTTGTTATCTGACGGAAGGCTCCGGCTGATGATTGTGTTGGAGTGGCCAAAGAAGAAATGTACGTGTGAAACAACTGAAAGAACGAGCAATGACGAGGTGGCCTTATGATGTAAACTTTCGGCTCAAGCCTCTGCGGCTCTAGGTTAGCACTCGGTCAGAGACCCGCGTCTTTTTTTGCGGGTCCAGCCATTTTCGGACAGACGCGACAAAGCTCTCCAGTCTGTACCTCATTTGCCTGCTACGAACCTGGACAGAGCATCATAACAACTACCACTTACCGATTGTCCGCCTACTGACGCATTTGGGTCGACCGCCTCCGCATTGCGCATTGCTGTCTGAATTTTCGACACTCTTTGGACGGTTCCAAGGAGTTTCATGTGCAAGAGCCAGCGCCATGATCGCCTAACTCGGTACCCCTGATCCACCTAGCAAACAACTAGCACCGTCGACACGGGTTTCGAGCGTGCTTCGGCGAGGAAGAATACGAGTGCTACTGAAGAAACCGCCGATCGAAACTCCCTTGGCTCAACAACATGAACTCACCCGCAAACCGCCACTCGACGCAGACCGCTGGGTCGGGCGAAGCAGATGGGCAGAATGGGGAGCAGAAGAAGAACCTCTGGATCTCGATGCTAGAGTCCGTCGCCAGTGGGAAGCGACTACCGGAGAAGAATCTCGTGGTTCTGGGCGGCACGCCAGACTCGCAACGGGACTTTCTAGATTCCTTGTCCAGCTCGGAATCGAGACGCAATTTTGACCGGCACAAGATACCGCCGGTAGCGAACAACTTCGCGCTAGGTTACACATACTACGATGTGCTAGACGCTGATCAAGATGGTCTGCAAAAACCTGTCCCGTCACGTCGCGGGCCGTACTGACATGGCGCAGACACGCTGGCTCGAGTCTCACTATACCTACTGTCTCAACCATCCGCCGAATTCGCCTCTCTCATCGCACCCCTCCTGACGCCCCGAGCCATACCGAACACTGCGCTCGTGATATTGCTTGACTGGTCCCAGCCACACCTGTGGCTCCGCCAAATACGTCAGTGGATCATCCTGTTCCTGTCCGTCACCAAGCAGCTTGGAGATGACGAGCGTTACGAGATGAACGACGTGATGGAGGCGTGGAAAACGCGTGGACGAGGTGGTGCGTCGGTCAACCTGGACGGAACCCCTTCGGCGCAGGCAGTATCAGGGGAAGACGACAGCTCCTTGCCACAAGGGCCTGGAGAATGGACCGAGCCACTTGGTCTACCCTTGTGTGTGGTTTGTCAGAATGTGAGGCCCCTATATTTCCCGAGTCGAGTGCTCGGCTGACATGTGCAGGCGCAACGGATGGAGGTCCTGGAGAAGCACAATGGCTGGAAAGAGCAAGCATTCGACCACGTGCTGCAGTATCTCCGGACGGTGCTCTTAAGGCGTAAGTGTAAGAAGACATGGTGTGTTGCTTATGCGCTGACCTTTCTGCAGACGGCGCCTCGCTCATATACACGTCGCAAAATGCCCCCTCACAGCTCACGCCACTCATTCATTCGACGCTGGGGATCACATCTCTTTTGAAGAAGCAGCCACTGAAGCAGAACGTCATTGATCGCGATAAGATTGTGGTCCTGCCCAACTGGGACTCGTGGGGCAAGATTCGTGTTCTGGGCGGGCAATTCGAGGCCGAGACGATATCACAAGGCTGGGCCGAGGACATTGACGAGCGATTCAGCGGCGAATTCCCCAGCTTGGAGGTATTGGCGCAGAATCGTACCGCGCAGAAGGAGACGGCCGATCCACTTCAGACCGAGAGTGCAATCGCGCAGTACGAGGAGTGGTGCCAGGAATCCGCTAGTGATGGCCTAGCCATTGTCGAGTCGATACTGCAGAAGAAGCAAGCTGGTGTCACGGTGTACAGTGAAGACGCGCAAGAATTCTTGGAGAAGCAAGTCAAGCGCCTGGAGATGGCCAGGAACAAGGCGGCGCCGACGGAGAAGACCATGCCGGAGCCGCCACCAGGCTGGTCGGAGAGAGAGCATGTCAGTGAGCACATTGGCCCCGTGCAGTTCAATGTTGGCGGGATCCAGGTGGACGCGGATGATATGTTGCAGCGCATCAAGGTACGGATTCCCCCAAATTTCTTGTGGAGCAGCGTTAACCCCAGACAGGACCGCAATACATTCTCCTCTCCCGAGCCAGCGCCGGAAGAGGCAGAGCAGCCCGAGGCGTCTAACGTCACCAAGCAATACGATAACGAGCAGCTACACAATTTTTTTCAGAATCTCATCAACAAGCCCGCTGGAGGAGGGTCTTAGACGTGCGAGGGCATTCCTCACGTGCTCATTTGTTTAGACGCCATAATACTGTACTCATACCGCACGGCGAGTGGTGGTAGATTAGATACCCTTTTTGACAGCAGAAAGCATGTACGTGTGAGCGAGGGATTTGACAAAACGTATACTATTGAAACACTGTGATGACCCATGAAAATACGTAACCCAGAACGCCGTCAGCCCATCGCCCCAACGCTACATGTGCACAATAATAACCTCTGCTGCTAGATACATTATGCTTTTGCCCTGAGGAGCCTGTAACGTGTTGGCGGTGGCTCCTTGGTCTCTGGCAAGCGTGCTTTGACTACGCCCCCGAGCAGACCCGGGAACAGCCAAGGGTGTTGCAGCATCTCGGCCTCAAAGGCATTGATGGTGTCGTGAGCCCGGGACACATACTTGTCATCTGCAAGGATGTGGCCTAGCTGGAAAAGATTATCCACCGAGACGGCGTTGGTAGATGGAAGAGTGGTATCAAGTCCATCCTTAAGTCGCAGGATTGTGTGTGGCGCATCCGCGACTGTCGAATAGAACCCGCCGGCAGGGTCGTAGAACTTTGCGATTTGAGCTTCTGTAGAGTTGTCAGCAAGTTTTGCATTCATTGGATCACTGGGCAGCACACTGACTCTGTAGTTGGTCTGCAAACATGAGCAGGCTGTCATCTTTCGTGGAGTGCCAGAGTTGGAGAAGCCCCTTGATCAAGTAGGCGTAGTCGTCTGCAAAACCCTCGCCACCCCTTTGACTATTCCACGTCCTGTGCAATGTCTGGCTCACAGGGTCCCACAACTTTTCCCGCAGTATAAAGTCCACGGCGTCCGAGCATTTCTTCTGGTACGGGTAGACGCCTTTTGGCTCATCTAGCGCGTCCTCCGCTCGGGCCAGAGCAGCGATGACCAAGCCTACTGTGCCCACGACAACCTGGTCGTCAATCTCGGGGCGAACGCGGTCCTGTTGCTGCTTCTTACTGAGCGCGGTCTTGGCAAAATGGATGCAGTCCTCGACCCTCTCAACAGAGACGCCAAATTGCCTGCTCAGCTCATCAAGTGATCGGCAGACACTGAGTGTGTTCTGGTTGATGAACTCGTCGTTGGGATCGTGATGCTGCTCCACGTTGCCATCTTCGTGGATGCCGAAATACGCAGCCGCGATTTGGGCGGCTTGCTTGTCGAGGGCCTCGACCTCCCGGTCAAACTCCTTACGTGTCCAGGTGTGATAGGCGCCCTCCCGCATCTCTTGGTCGCCTTTCTTCTGGTAAGAGTCTGCGGCCTCGGCAGTTGCAAAGGCACCGTTGGGCAGCGCAATGGGTGACGTTGTGAGGTAGTCGGCGAGCTCGATCACAACGTCGCGGAACTCATCGTTCGCCTTGCCTCCCTGCTTCCAAGCGTCCGTGTAAAGAGAAAGCAGCAGAGCATTATCTGAAGTAAGCTTCTCAAAGTTCGGGACCGTCCAGTCAGGTGTCAAAGAGAACCTGGAGAACCCGGTGCCCCCCACATGATCGCGCAGCGCTCCGTCGCGCACCTTTCGAAGGGTGGCAAGGGCCATCTGGAGGCCATTTTCGCACTCTGCGTGCCCAATGACATCTTTGGCCGGTTCCGGCAACTTGGGGAGCGACATGAGGAACGCCAGCTTGGGAGGCGTGACGAACTTGGGCGCAAGTCCGAAACCACCGTATACGGGATCATAGGTCCCGGCAATGTGGGAGTAGGCGTCTTCTAGCTGATCAAGATCGACCTCACTGGCCGTCTTGGCCTGTGTCAAACCGGATTCCTGGGCAGTGGTGGCCTGAGCTGCTTGCTGCGAACTTGCGGCGCCTGGGGTGAAGTTACGTGTACCCAAGGTACCCTCAGCAGCAAAGTTCCGCAACTGCGCTACCATTTCCGTGGCTTCTTTCCGGCACCTCGACTCCTGGTCTCTCCAAATATCTCGGACCTTTTTGACAATCGCCAGAAAGCCCAAGATGTCCTCCTCACTGTCGTCCGTTGTCGGCGGTGATGAGTTTGCGCATGGCCAGTAGGTGCCGCCAAACACCGGCTCGAGGTTTGGGGTGAGGAACACGTTCAATGGCCAGCCGCCGATGTTAGCGAGTGCTTGAACATAGTTCATGTAGATCGCATCCAAGTCTGGTCGCTGATCTCTGTCAATTGCCACGGGGATGAAGGAGTCGTTGATGATATTGGCGCATTCATTGTTTGCGAATGACTCGTGCGCCATGAGGCGACAATCTGGACTATGGCATCAGCGGGAAGCCGGTGAGGTTGGTTCCATGTGGACTCACGGTGGCAAGCTCTGTAGCCGATGTGCATGTATATGAGCTTGTGCTCCCTCCGGGCTCGCTCAATTGTAGCATCGTCTAGGGGCTGCCATGCGACAAGACTGTTCGCAAGGCTTCTGACAAAGGCGCTCGAACTCTGGTCTGCTCGGTTTGTGAGCGGCTGCAATGGCAAAGCCGTCTGTTGGCCGCCATCTGAAGGGATCGGCCCCATGGCCTTTGCCGAAGCCGTGAGCTCAGAGGCAACCATTATGCCGGATGTTGGACCTAACAGGGCTGCAGGGTCGGAGGGACAGGGTGTCGAGTAAGATTGCGTGGGCGATAGTATATGATTATGATGTAGAGCGCGAGATTCGTGAGCGTCTCGTCACGATCTACCAGCGTCAATCTCACAAAAGTTCAAAGAATTGAAGGGCAAAATTAAACCCCGCCAAGTTATCAGACCCGAAGTTGGAAGTGCGCCCAGGGTCTCGTTGGTGGGATGAGGTCCAGCCGCCTGCGGGGGCGCAGGGCGCAGGGGCCTTTTCCCGGATAATCGCAGCTTACATAATGGCCGGATCAAGCTTCGGCAGGGATCTGCAACCGCCGTCTCCAGACTCCACACTCCAGTCGCTCACGCTCAATAAAGTTATGAACGTCATCGAAGAACAATGTGATCGACCTTTGCAGCCTCGAAGCTCTTGTCTCTGGAACCTACAATATCGCCAGGCACCAAGTACACAGCCAGATGGCGACCTCAACTGGTGGTGCTGCGAGTGCTAGCCAAGACCTCTGCCACGACCCCTCAAGTTGTGCATATGGCACCAGACAGATTTTCCTCGCCCGAACCGGGCGTTGTCATTGTTAGGGCAGCCTCCTAGGTGGACTGTTTGCAAATGCGTGCTAAAATCAAGCGCCTGTGCTAGTGGCAGAAGAATTGGTATAAGTATGTGAAGAGTGCCTCGTTACGCCTATTGGGGGGATAGGCGATGCTCGACAACTCCGCGCGCGGCTTCGCCACGACGACATGGGTAGACTGGAAAGAACAGGCTGTTTCCACAGAGCGGCACCAGCTGAGGATGGTTAAACTACCGACTGGAGGTCGAAGACAGCGGTGGGGGCATTGGTGTTGAGGCTGATAGTGATAGTGACAGTAGGCCATCTGTTGCTGAACTCGTGCCGAATGGCCTCTGCGGCGCAAGTTTTATATTAAAGGCTCACGTACCAGCAGAAGAGTACGTATGTAGACAGACAACCATAGTGACAACCGAGACTGTGCTTGGGCGCCACCGACCACATGTGCTCGACACTCGACTCCGACCTCGATTGTAGAAGAAAAGTTCTTCTATCTCACCAAAGAAGCAGATGAAGCCCTTTAGGTCCATGTTGCCCTCGAGACTCAAGCTTCCTGAGCAACAATCCAAGAGTCCAAAACCCCAATGCCAGGCAGCTAGTGTGGGGCAGGCACAGACGCGACCCCTGTCACATGGCAGCGGCAGGCTGGCAGCGCTAGGTGGCTCCGCCCGCAAACTAATGCCTGGATGGAGATCACTCGTCTCCGTCACCGGCCTCAACCTTTACATCATCCGTCCCCGTCCTTCGCTTTTTATCAATTCGCGTCCCTCCTCCTTCTGTAGTATGAACGGCGATCGCGACGATGGACGAGTCCGAATACACTGTCTATATCCGGGTGCCGATACCCCGCGGCGACTTCGTTGACCCGCCATCCGTGAGCGACACCTTGCTGGTATCACAGGTAACAACGCTAATGTGAGGAATGCTCAGGTTGCTTGGAGACCTGCGGACGATGCCGCTCTGTGGAAGATTCTCTCCAAGACAGGGACCACCCAGGACGACATAAACTGTATGTAATGGCCTTGCCTGCGCCCACAGAGCCCGCTAACTAGTCTTGACAGGGACACAAGTGTACGATGATTGCCCACACCTCGCCGCTGTCCTGGCTAACCTCCTTCCAGCGCCATCCGCTTCAATGTCCCCGTCGACTTTATCCTTAAGCAGGTCGCATACCTCACCGAACGACATACATCGCAGGTCCGCGCGCAACTGCTCAAGGCAACGGCTGCTGCCCGCGGAGGCTCAAGCAGCGCACCCTCCCCCGTACCTCGATCTGATTCAGCGGCTGCATCCAGATCACTACGTCGCGACTCGCCATCGATAAGGAATGAGGCAGGCGGTACTGCGTCGTCTCTAAACACGTCGCGACCTGGTGTGTCTAGGAATGCATCTACCAGCACGGCCGTTCTAAGAGATGCCGTAGAGGCTTCGTCCCCCCAGCTGGGCAACTCAGCGCGAACCGGCACGGCAAGCCGCCAAGCAGACCAAATCCCTCGGAAGAGGCTCTCTTCGCTCCCTGTAGATTCGACACCTCAATCACCGCCTGCAGAGGTAAGCCCTCCCAGTGACAATGATCAGCCCTTGTCTCCGGGTCCGGCCGAGTCGAGTTCAGGCTCCTCGGAAGACGAATCATATCCTGCACAGTCCCGGATCATTCGCCGACCGCCAAGATACCAGCAAGATGCTTCGAATGTGTACGACGAGGACGATGACGAATCCGAACCGGCATTCCAGCCCTATCAGCCTCCAGCCGGCGGCAGTGACAGATCGGGCCAGAGCATGACATCAACCCTGAGGGAGGAGGTGCGCTCGTCCGGGGCAAGGCGGGTAGGCAAGGCTACACAGCGTCCACATCACTCGCAAACATCGGATTCCGACACCAATTTACCGACGCCAGCGCGCAGACCAGCGCGCTCTTCGGAGCAGAGGACGCCAGGCCCACTGTCGCCCCGACGAACGACAGAGCTGGCCGGTCGGAGCCCAACCGCGAAGTCGAGGGAAGGGAGCGATGGGACCCCAAGTATGGGAAGTAGCTTCAGTGATCTTGACGGTATGCTTGACTGATTTTTTGCCCGCCTGCAGCGCTGACCATTTACGTAGATGCTTCGGTGACTCAATCCGCGCTGGAGGAAGCGCTCGCCAGTCACATGGGACGTCCTGGCTCAAGCAGTCGCTTTAGCATTAGCCAGGCTTTCCGAAGCCGATACAACCAGGGGGGGAACTAATGATGTAATGAACACATATAATGTATGATTCTCATTCTTCGGCGAGGCGTTTGGCTGTCGATACGCGTAAGGGTTCCTTGGGCTGGCATAATTCGGTGTTTGATTTAAATAGCGGTTGTCTGCAGTAGTCTGCAAACAAGAAGAAATACATGTTTGCGCCGCCTGAAAGCGAGCCTTTGTTTCCAAGCCGTGCGGAAGCTCAATCACGGCATGCTTGCTGGTGTCGTCCGATATCCTCCACCCTCCTTGATTCTCTGACCTAACACTTAATCCTTCTCAAGTTCTCGACTGCCTTTTCAACCTTCTCTGCGCCTCACACCTCGAGTCTCCCGCTTCTTAAAGGAACACATTCGGAGGCTGCTCTCTTTGCTTGGACTCATCCTACTACGCCATGTTTCGCCGACACTGGTCTGGTCTGCCCAAGGACGCGCACTTCCCATATGACCTGAAAGAGCTTGGGTGCGTCTCGCCAGTCCTGTACCCGGCCTTGGCTGACATGGTGACAGATACTTCGTCAATGAGGTTGACGAGGTCCGCTCGATCGCGAATCCAGACTTTTACTTCAAGTACTTTCTTGACCGGAACGAGCGTATCAACTTTCGCCAACGCTTTTGCATGGACTGTACGATTGAAGCCGTACCTTTACTCGCGTACATGCCGCTGATCTTTGCTCAGACGCTCTTCAGAAGATAGTCCACCAACGCCTGGAGTATGAAGGCCTCGTCAAGATCCCTCTCCCGCTTGGTACGCCGTCAACCGAGAAACACATCCCCATCTTCGCAGAGAAAGGTCTTTCGGAAAAGTCCCGGGTTGTGATCATATTTGGCGAATGCACCAAGGCCCTCGGTTGGGTTGCTGGGCGGGTCATCACTGGCGAAGGAGGCATCGACAAGGGCAGCATGGTTCGCGTGGTCAAGGCACTCCACGAGCAGACAAGCACCGCTGCGGATGCAGTACCTCCAGGAGTTGTTCTCGCCAACGTCGGGGAGTGTTGGTGGTGGCCCGAGGAAAAGAGGGCTCTGACTGTCACATCGAGCTTCAATGTCCCCATGCCCAGTCTTGTGCACGCTGGCGTCAAGACGATACCCGAGTTGAACCATGTCAAGGGGTATACTAGCCCAGAGGACAACGTGAAGAGCATGTTTGAGGACGTCCTCCCACACATGCTCGGGGAAAATGCAGTCGTTGACATTGTTGCTATCGGCGACACCTGCTCGGTGATTGAGAAATATCTCGACGAAAAGGCAGCTTGGGATACCTGGGGCAAGAGGATCAGCTCCATGGTTCTTGTTGATACTCTCCTCCAGGCTGATCAACTTGCCAACGCTGACTTCAAAGAGTTTCTGGCCAAGGTAGGTGGTTTCCCAATGTTCGGAATGGATATCAATGTGAACTGACGCCTATAGCGCGCTCGATGCTACCAGATCTGTTCGGATACTGTCGACTTGCCTTTGGCACCTCCGTCTGGCAATCCAAGCCTTTTTATTCCTGCCCTGGGTGTGCCTTGCTATTCTTCCTCCGAGCCAAAATACGCAGAGTGCATTCTCATCACGGCACTTGAGCCTATTCTCAATTACCTGCAGCGCAACGCCTTGGATCCCACGTTGGAAAACGACCAGATCCCCGTCCCTCTCATGCCACAACTGGAAGGCGAGGAGGAAGGCCCGGAAACCCAGGAGCTAACGGACGAGAGCTGGGGGCAGGTGGCTGAAGGAGACAAGCCGGTTGTGGAGGTCTTTGATCCGGCGCGGCTAGATCATTACAGAAAGCAAGCCAAGATGTGGGAGAGGTTTGTCAAAACAGGGCAAGCAATGGACCCGGCCTTGGAGGATCTTGAAAGGGGCGAAAGCGCTTGAGCTATGCCGGGTCGTCAGGCAGTCAGACGGTGAAAAGGATCGCTGTTGATTTACGGGATATCACAGAATAGTGCTACAGACAGACTCATAGCAATACAACAGGGCAAAACAGCGCTCGTCGCTGTACGTACAGTCGCCACTCAAGCTTGGAAAAGCGACTTGGCACCAACGCCCATCATGGGGCGGGTGTCATCCACCAGGTCTAGCGTCCTCTTGATCCTCTCCTTGACGACCGTCGCCTCCGCCTCCCACCGCCCTTCCGTCTCTTGCGGCGCGCTATTCCAGAAAGACAAGGCGCTGGGCTTGGATGCCTCTTTCTTCTTCTGCTGCTCCTCCCGCATGAGACGCGTCACCATCAAGGACCAGTTATCCAGCCCTGTCTTCAGACACTCACGGCATCGATCCTTGGCCATGGCTGCGTCCCGGCCATCTGTCAACTTGAGCTCGCGCATCTGCTCTTCGGCAAGATCCACACCCTCGCGTGTCCAAGCCACGCCATCCTCTTGCGATGACGACGCATAGAGGATCTCGCCTATATATAGGTCAAGAGACCCTTCTTGACAGAGCTCCTCAGGGCTGCGCCACGGAGGCTGTGTGCCATCGGTGGGAGGCGCGGGATAGTCGGGTTCCGACACAAAGTCGACAATCTGTTGCATCGTCGAGGGCTTGGGTCTCTTCTGCACAGGGACGCGCGGCGCCTTTGTGGGCAATGCACGGCGGACTTTGAGAAGAGAAATGTACATCGGCAGAGCAGAGGCTGTGTCTCCACCGCGAGCCTTGTGATTTGCAACGGCTGTCACAGCCTCGAGAATGTTTAGTGAAGGCAACGGTCCTTTCTCCTTCATGACCAGGGTCTTGGGGTCATAAGGCAGAGATGCTTTATCGAGGCCCTGCGTAGCCTCCGCAAGTGCCAAGTCGTATAGTGCCCCAGCCCCCTCCCCGCTGCGCTTCAGCTCGAGAAAGTTGGCGTATTCTAGCGCAGCCTGCATCCTCTGCCGCTGATTCAGACCCTGGGTCGCCAGTATCTTGAGATAAAACCGGTCTGCTGCAGGGAAGGCCACCTCGCAATCTTCCTCGCGCGGAGGTGGGGGGCTACCTGGGGGGACGGGTGCCGGACGAGGGTTCGATGGTCCGATGACAAACTTCGGCTCCCAGCACATGACCTTTCCACTGTGTCCCTTGTCCTTGAGCCACCCATCGCAATCGCCGGCCGCTTTCGCCGCCAGCATGATCGTTTCAAAGTATCCACGCCTCCATTCTTCGCTCATCCCAGAGATGTCGTGCGGGATGAATTCCCAAGGTGTCTCGTCATTTGGATCTTCGTGATCATGTAGCCGTGGGATCTTGTGTCCGTTTCGGTTTAGATCCTCGTGTGCGAGGCAGAGGTTTCTCGCCAGTTGGAGTGTCTGCGAAGGCGAGGCGTACTTGTTCCCATGCGGCTTGGTCCACTTCTTCGCTTCCCGCAACATGTGCCTCTCCCGCCATTCCCACTCATGCGGCGTCGGATATTCCCGTTCCAGCTTCTCCTCCTGGTACATGAAGTATACGACCTGGAAGCAGGCGAAGCCGGCCAGGGATATAAGCCCATAACGGATGAAGAGCTTGAACTCGTGTCGGAGCCAGTGGCGCGTGCGCTCTGAGGCGTATGTGCGGACTAGTGTCGAATTTGACGATGTTGTAGAGGACACGGTAGGGCGATATCGCGTGCTGACATTGGCGGATTGGGTTTGAGCCGAAGGACGTGGTGTGAAGCTTTGCTGGCAGCGAGGCCCGGATGCTCGAAGGCGCAGGGGCTGCCAAAGTCGGCAAACCACAGGACGTGGTCGCATCTTGATGGACAGCGCGCCGCAAGGTGCCCGTCTTCTGATCAAGATTGACAACTTGGATGGTTTGACGTGGACAACTGTGCATGCAATGGGAAACGTCGTCACGAAAGCTCCACCAGTAGAAGGAGGGTCCGAATGATGACTAATCTGTGCATTGCTAGTGCGAGCCACAAGTTATAACCTCATTCGTGATTTGTGCAAGTGTGGAAACCGATACACTCTCATGTCGCATTTCCACCCCTTTTGTTTAGCCCAAGGCACCATGGTATAAAATGGCTCCGTTTTCTTTGGATGTCTTCTCGGACCATCGTTGGCAGCTTGTAGCCACGGCGATACTTTCTGGGGCCACCGCTGCCTCTCTTCTGCTCGGCTATCAAACGCTTGACAGGGATCTACGGTTGTCGCAGCTGAAAAGTTCAATACCTCCATTGGCGGACGATCAAGATGCGCAGAGGGTATTTTGGAGTCCGAGATGTCCAAAAGACGAGGGCTAACGTGTCGCAGCTGAATAGCTTTGGGGCCGCTTCCTCGCCAACAGCCGTTGACAAGGAAGATGCAAGGAATCAAGCGTTGGCGCAACGAGCGCAGGCAGGTGATTTCGATGACGAGCTTATCCTCGAGCAACTAGCCCGCAACAGAGTCTTCCTAGGCGATGATGGACTGGCTAAACTACGAGACGCCTTCGTTGTAGTGGTTGGCTGTGGAGGCGTTGGATCGCATTGCGCAGCCTCTCTTGCTCGTTCCGGTGTTTCCAAGATTCGCTTGGTTGATTTCGATCAGGTCACATTGAGCTCCTTGAATCGCCACGCTGTTGCGACCCTCGCTGACGTGGGGATACCAAAAGTCCAGTGTTTGGAACGTCGACTCATCGCCATCGCGCCGTGGGTGAAGTTTGACTTGCGCCAAGAGAAGTTCGACGGCGACGTAGCCGCGCGCCTGCTCAGCGCGTGGAAGGACACTGATCGCAAGCCTGACTATGTCGTCGACGCAATTGACAACATAGACACCAAAGTGGCGCTGCTAAAGTATTGTCACGACAACAAGCTGCCAGTGATCAGCTCTATGGGTGCTGGTTGCAAGTCTGACCCTACGCGCATCATTGTTGGGGACATTGCCACCACCACTGACGACGGTCTTTCACGTTCCACCCGCCGCCGCCTCAAGTTGCAAGGCGTCACGGCAGGCATCCCAGCGGTGTATTCCACTGAAAGAACCGGCGAGGGCAAGGCAGAGCTGCTGCCAATCCCGGAAGAAGAGTTTCAGAAGGGGGCTGTGGGAGATCTAGCAGCGTTGCCTCAATTTCGGGTGCGAATCTTGCCCGTGTTGGGCACAATGCCTGCGATATTCGGTCTAACCGTCGCGAACCACATCATACTCAGCATAACGGGATATCCGCACGACTATGTCCCTGCAAAGGGGAGGGACAAGATGTACGAGGGTATCCTGAACTATGTGAATGGGTCGGAGGAAAAGCTTGGTCGGTTGTTCCATCCCGGTCTCATTGGACTCAAGACGCCCATCACGCTCAATGACGTTGCCTTTTTGTCCGACGACCTGTACAGCGGTCGAAGCATCATCTCGGGCATCCCTACTCGCATTGTTCTAGTGCGCTGGCAGAAGCCTGAAGAGACAAACGTGTCATTCACGGGCGACGAGAACGATAAGGACTCGCAGCGAGCGTCCAAGCTGCGCCTCAGTGATCTCGTTTGCATGACCAAGGAAGAAGCTCTCAAGCACGAGCGTGAGGTTTTCAAAGAGGACAAGAAGGTGGAGGAGGTTTACGACGCGGACATTGTGGACAAGGTCGCTAGAAAGAGGGCCGAGATCGCCAAGTTGGAGAAGTATCGCTGAAGATTGACCAGTGCTTGGTCTTGTACTAAAATTATGTCATGTATAGAATATTTACGAATCAATCTGGGCTCTCATTACGGGAGGATGGCTTTCACATGCGGTTCTCGCAGCAACCTTGCATCGGTGGATTCATGCCCATTGGGCTCACCGCCTCCAGGTTGGAACTGGAACTTTTATGAGCACCCACAGCAGCGGACGGAAAGCTGCATCTGCAGGACTTCAACAAAGACAATAACGATCATGATAGAGCGAGATCTTATCATGCAAAGCAGCTGGGCGAGGCTGTGGTCATTCATCGACCATAGAGTCTGCTGGAGCCTGGAGGAGGTGATAGCATTAAGGTGACGTGGAAGGATATCCTTGCGAGGACTAAAGTCGGTCTAGTCTATCAGCCCGTCCTCCTGCAGCTGGGCGGAATCAAGTCGACTTCTGCCTCCCGATGCCCCGGTCGCGAAGATTGCACGACATGATGCCAGGTGAGTGAGTCGGTGTGCCAGCTCACCTACCTCAGCGTCAGCGGTCCTGAGAGGGGACCACATGCTCACCGCGAAGGGCAGGGCTTGCAACCCCAATAGCTGAACGCCTTATTATTGGGTGTGTCGTGTGAGGCACAAGTCTCGGAAGCTGTGAGGAGTCGCTCAAATGGATGAGTGGCGGGCCCTTTCTTTTGGCGCTGTGTCACTACGCACTACCAATTTGACGTACGCGCACAAAATTCCCTGGACCCAGTCATCGAAAGTTAACCTTTCAAGAGACACAGGACGCTTACTCCAAAATCGAAGGTCTCGACCAGTGGATGCGAGCAGGGCTGACGTCCTGGCTCCAACGTCCATGTTGGCTGATGGCCACTCGCCCTTAGAGGACTGTGGTATGATTGGAGGTAACAGAACGTTCCTCCTCCTCCATAAGCCCTGTCACTTCACGTAGTGACTCGAACACAGCGTTACTCCATCTGCCTTGTCTGGAGCCGGGCCCAGCATTAAGTGATGCTGAGCCTGGGTACCGGGATACAGCCTATCGTGCATGGTAGGGCGATCACTCTGTACCTTGGCAAGCCTTTTCAAATATCTATTTTCCGGCCCCAAATTGCGGCCACGAGGGCACAGGCATTAGGCAACCGTTGTTACTCGTGGGCGGACAAGCAGGGCTGCCCTGGTCACCAACACGCCATCGATTGTGACGCATAATCTGGCTCTACTGCAAGGCGAACATCGAATCGGGCATCTAGACAGGAGCTAAGAAGTATTGATACCTCATGGCCCTCGCGGCCGCTTGGGTGAGGTCCACACAGTTGCCTCACTTGTTGTCTGGTTACTTGTTACGGCCAATAGTCAACGGCGGACAGCGAGCTCTGCGTCATGTGTCCAGGTCACCGGGCCCGTGAGTAGGCCATCCTGCTTCAGCATTGGATGAGTTGTTTCCTCCCGCTATGAATCCGAACTCGTGATCCAATCAAATCGTGTCAGTGGTTGTCTACTTCAAGGAAAAGCCCAGCGGCTCAAGCGTCCCGGTAACATGACACGAGCTTTGTAAACAGTCTGCCTGAACTTGACAACGCTGATCGCCTTGCCCAGAGTACAGAGCAGCTCACACGTTCGTGTATGAATATGAGTCCATACTGGTTCTAATGTGTATTTACAGTTAGTAGACAGCCCCGACCACATGTGAAGCGCCATGTCGACGTGTCTCGGGATGTGGTTGAGGGTGTCACGGTCCATCTTGTTAACTTGAAGTCCACGAATGTATCTACATGTGCATCTTGGTGAGACTTCAACACGACAATGCGTTAAACCCATTTTTGGGCTGAATGTGCGTCCTCGAGAGGCCCTAGGCTCATACCTCATGTCGCCAAAGTGGTAGCTCTGCGTGACGTCGAGGAGGCACAACAACTTGAAAGTAGCAGAATCTATGAAAGTCCTCCGCGCAAGGCGGTACGGAAATGAGTGAGCACTGCTCACAATGACTGGACATTGGACTTTGGCCAGTGTCATATACTGATCAATGTTGCCCTAGACACCAGACTGGCACCAGACTAAGTTAAGCGCCCGAGACAGCACCTCAGGTTACACGAAATTTCCCAAAGGAGCCAATGATACCCGAAAGCAAGCAAGCGTCCTGGTATTCAATTTTACTTTGAGAATGACGAGACAATCATCAAGTAAGACTTGGAAGTACCTAGGCTAGACTAGAAGGCAGATTCCGCTCCGCTGGGCGCCACGAGGCAGCGTGGTGGTGGTATGTCGTACAATGTTCTTCAAAGTCGTACGGCGCATTGCATCTCGTATTCAAACATTGACTGTAAAGAGGATTCCATCGACACGCCTCCAGTCGCCTTGATACTGCCAGGCTTCGAAGACTAGGCTCGGAAGTGTTGGCTGTCGAGGAGGCCACGAGCAAGCCTCACCTTGGGTCTGTTCAATGATACCTACCTCCAGTCCTTCCTCACGGAATGGGCTGGCCGCATGTGATGGGCCACCGTTGCCCTGCCATTCTGATACGTGAACTGTCTAGCTGGCAGTGAGCTGACACCAACCCCCCTCGCGCGAAGGTGTCGAGTCCTCATTCGAGAGTGGCTCTGTGATGGTGTGTCTCACCCTAGAGGACGCCAAAGGCATTGAATAGATGTATCTGGCCAAAAGGCAGATATGAGGTGCACTCGTAGGAGCTGAGGGCTGGAGGTTCCTCGACGATGTGGCCTAGTGGCGTGGCACAAGCCGAGCACTTGGGTCAATGGCACGCGGGCGTGTCGCCTGTTGCAATGACCAACGTGATGCGCTGCTATAGCCTGATTGCCCATACTGCAGTCGCTCAGCTGGTAGGATGACGACTGGATCCAACCGGTGAGACGTCGCGTCCATTCCGTCCGAGCTGAGAAATAAGAGCAAGGGAACCGGCGCTCCAGAAATATTCCACGCCCCGTGCAACAAGGTACATATGTTACCTCGACCTGTCATCTGCAGGTCTTTCAGGGCATGGATGCGGGCTTTCAAATCTCGGTATCGATGATGCTGAGGAGGACGCCTTAAAGCGAGGCATTGCACAGTGAACAGTGGTTCGCACGGCCGTTTGCGAACCACTACTCCAATCCGCGGGGAGTATAAGGAGGGAGGCATCAGTCCGTCCCGGACCAAGAGACAGCAGACATTCGCTCGCAGTGGCCTTGATCAGCCATTGAAGCAGACATATTGATACGTGTCTTGGCCTTGTGTTGATCCACAGCATTGAGTTTGGCGGCGACAGCGCCATTCAGCACGACGCCCCGTTAGTGCGATAAATACCGCCCACAAATTAAATACCAGCTTTCAGTTACAGGCGCAGTGGCCCCCGCGACGAATTACGAGGTGGGTGACACTCTTCCCGATAAATCCCTTCACAAGCACGTTCAAGACGCGCCACGTCTAGACAGACAGACAAACAAACCCAGCCTTTGCAGACCTGACACGCAGCTTGCTCACGCGCGATGCAGGGTAGAGCCGCGCTCGCTGTGCTGACGGGAGAACGCGAAGAGACCCCCAGCTGATACGCAGCCACCCACGCACGCGCCAGCCCCCAGCTTTCGAACCAGCGCGCCCTTTGTAAACTCGTAGTAGGTCTATGCGTCGCAGAGCCGGCCTGCCAAGGTCATGAGTGCCCGAGATGAGAGGGCGGCGGCAACTGGCACGGGCGTGTCCGACGGTTGGATTGCGCACCTGAGGCGGCGGGATCGCAGAGTCAAATGCTCACTGTGCGAGGCAGAGATGCCAAAGAGCCTGGAGACGTTTCGCGAGCATGTGCAGGCCACTCATGGCGATCTCGCCCAGGACACTGCCGCGGTCGAGGCCGCGTTTGCGAGGATGAACCTGAACGCCTCCGACATGTGAGTGCTGGCGCTGCGCAAGAGCTAGTCTTGGTTGTTGGGTATTTTTTGTTTGTCTGACAGGAACAGGTCGGCAACGCGCTCCCCCGCGCAAAGACAACCGCAGACTACGCGGAAGCGGCAGAACTTGAGCGCTGGGTCGAATGAGCCAGGCCCGGCGTCAGGAGACGCCAATGATGACGAGCCGGTCGTCAAGAGGCTACGATCTCCGCCGCTGACCAGGGCCAGCCCTCGTCACGGCCCTTCTTCACCGTCCACGCCTACTGCGACCAACGGACGTCAGCAGGCGCTCAAGGACTCGCCAGAGGAGTTCTCGCGGGGCACCCATCGCGCACCGGCCTCTGGGCGGAAACTCTTCGACCCTGCGACGGACAGTGCCACGCGAGGCCGTGGGCGCGGCGCTTCAAGGGGGGGGACGGCTCGACCGCCCCCAGCGGCTCAGCCGAGGCCAGCCCCCCTGACCACGTTCGCGCAAGGCCATGTGCGGATCTTTATACAGGAGAAGCCCCAGGTCCCCAACAGCGTGCAGGAAAGGGAACCGTTCACCACGCCCATGACGCCGGCGCAGCTTGCTGCCGAGGTGACCAAGATTTCCAAGATGATCGCGGACGGTCAAGAACGGTGCACGAAATGGACCACGGCTAAGAAAGCGACACCCGACGCCAAGATTACCCCCGAAGAATGGTATTTGCAGTGGCTGGAGCACCGGGCCCTGCTGAACAACCACTACGACTTGCTCATGGCGTGTCAAGATCCAGCTGGGCAAGACACGCTCACATATATCCCCGTCGAGAGGGATATGCCGGCCAAGCTGTGGCAATTTGGCATCTACCAATACCTCGAGCTGCTGAGGACTCGCCTGCCCGACGCGTACGAACCGCTGGTGTGCTTCCTGTACACGGCATACGGCCTCTTGGGCCTGCTCCGAGAGACCAACCCGCTGTTCCAGGACACCTGGACAGAGTGTCTCGGTGATCTGGCTCGCTATCGCTATGCGATTGAGAACAAGGAGGAGGTCCGCGAGCACTGGGAGGGTGTATCCCGGACGTGGTACATGTACACCTCGGACAAGCTGCCGCACGTCGGTAGGCTGTACCATCACTTTGCGGTCCTCAACCGGGGCTTCGTGGTGCCGCAGCTCTGCTACTGGGCCAAGTCGCTGTGCGTGCTGCTGCCCTTTGAGGGCACACGCGCGAGCATCCGCAAGCTGTACGACCCCTTGTTCGGACAGGCCACGTCGGACTGGTTCCGGCGCGATATACGGTTGGTGACCACGGGTGACGGCGAGCAAGCTACGGGCGACGAGGACGGCGACGCGGAGGAGGAGCGGGGTGCCGCATCCTCCTCGGACAACGCGATCCATAAACATCGCATGGTCGATATGACGTTTGCGCTAGTCCTTGGCATTCTGTTCACGGGGGAGCACGAGGATCTGCTTGACGAGGCCCAGGCGTATTACCTGCGCAGCCTCGACACCCACATTGCTATGATGTCGAAGCGTTGGTTGGAGAGTGGGTGAGTAACTTTTTATTCTTGCTGTGTGATCTAACTTGTTGGCTGACCACTTGGACATAGGTACCAAACAGGCATCGCCATCGCATGCAACCTGCTTGGGTACTGGCATCAAAATGGCAACGAATTCAGGGCGAGCGTCATGCCCGACCATCTCAAGAAACCCACTGATCCGGTGGTGGAGGACAACGAAGCCACACGCGCCGAGTTTGACGTGTCCCTGATATTTCTAACCCAGGTCTACGAGATCGCTATCCGACGCACGGGGGATACCAACACGCTACCCTTTGCGCACACGATCCTGACCTTTTTACTACACGTGTCCAAGTACCCAGCCGCCATGGCGCGTATAGCAGAACGCTTCCCGTGGGATCTCACCGCCGACATGCTCAACTACTGGCTTTTCACGGCGCGGAACAACAAGAGCAACCCGCAGTTCCGCGAGGAGACGTTCCCGGGCTCCCACGGCGAGCAGCAGCCCACACGCCCGCTGCCGGAGGACTATGCCATGCGCGGCCTATGGTATACGGACGACTACTTCCCCATGAACTGGTTCCGGAACAGCAAGGTGGAGTTTGAGGAGCGCTACTTTGAGCGTCGGTCCCTCGTCGACCTGCGCGTGGAACGCATCTTGTGGATTGCGATGCGGCTGAGCAAGGCGGGCGATTGGTTGGTGTTTGATGTGTCGTTGGAGAAATTCGGCGCTGCAGGACGGTTTGTCATGGATGTCAGTGGGTAAGTGATCAAGGGCTAGGCGAGGCTAGGCTAGGCTACGTAGGCCATAATTATTAGATGCATTTGTTTTTTCGCCATCTAGTACATGTCCGCGCAGAGGACTAGTCAGGGGCATGTTCTCTCGACTTTGCATGCAAGGCGTCTGTCCTAGCTCGCTGCCTCGTTACGACGGTATAATAGCATGCAGCCACACGAGGCTGGGGACGACGAATCTAGTCCCTTGCATCCTCCCAGTGTGACTATGGTCGCGTTGTGTAACGGTTCCAGGCAGAAGCATTGATGACGCGGCGACACGAGCTCCTCGACGGCACCACCAGGACGGATAGAGGATGCATGATTGCTGTCCATGCGTGAGCCTGGTAGGAATGGGAGGGAGGGCTGTCTGGGTGGAGGGTGATGACTGGAGGTGCCATGACTCTGGTACATCAGCACATAGTCTGTAATGAGCATGTAGAATACATGTAGGTGAATGTTGCACAGCATCTGGGGGCGACGCAGGTCGTCATCGTGTACGCATGCCAGCATCACATGATGGTGCACAGTATGCGACCACAGAAGGACGAGGCTGTAGCGCGTCTGACCATGCAAGGCGCGATGAGGATCAAGGCGGCTGACGGGCCGCTGACGGGGGCACAACGACCACGAACACGCGATCTGCTGGTTCGCACTGCCAGGGATGACCGGGCTCGAGGTTCGGTGGAATGTGTACGTGTGATCTGCAAGTGTGTTTTCTCCGATTGTGCACATGCAGATCAGGCTTCATGTCGAACTGTGTGCGGCATGGCAGTACGTACGTACTTACTCGTGTATAGTGATATGCAGGAGCGCATATGCATCAAAGGATGCTACGCAAAGCGCCCTCGTCTGTGTGCGATCGACAGCGAGCCGAATCATCCACAGCCAAGCCTCGTGCTTGCTTCCATGTTTCTTCTAGCTGTTGTGTAACTTGAAGACAGCTCGGCGACCCTAGGCCAGGCCGCCGCCGTGGTCTATGCACATGACGACGGTTGGTGATGATGCACTGTTACCAGGTACGCATGCGGTGCAACTTGGGCCGTGGCCGCCTTGCAGACCGACCGATCAGCCATTATTGACGGCCCACGACCTATCGCGAGGCAGAGCTTGTGCGAGCCAGCCAATGCGGCTTCTGTGCGACCGATTCTTGGAGCATGTCGTGTCACCTCAGACGCACCATTAATGACCAATGTCCTTCCTTCGGCACTTAACCGATGGTGCTACTGCGATTCCCCAGTGTGTGCTCGTACAAGCTCCCTTGGCACATGCTGCTGACATCAATTGAGAACAGGGACCAGCCTCATTGTGCACTTTGCTGCCATGGCGGTAGAATGGGAAACTACATGTAGAAAGGGCTGCATGCCTCTGCCGTCTGGCAGCTGCACCGGGCGACAAGTGTATATGTGCTGTGCTGCTGCGCACTACTCATGTTTGTTGTGAAGTAGTAGGTGTCGTGCCAAAGTGCAGTTCCTCTCCGCACGCTGGGGATTCAGGGTCAGGCCAGATCCCATGTCGTACAAGCCAAGTGTCCGAGGCTATCGTTGTGGTTCCTTAACTTGAGGCCAGGGGTTGGCGAATGTCAACATGGAGTCGCCAGGACATGACACAACTTGGCAAGGAGAGATACATGACCGTGATTGCTAGGACGTGCATCATATGCAGAGGCAGTATACTTTATTCCAAGACTCATCATCAGCCGTAGCCCTCTACGACACCCTCCACCCGTGCACGACATCAAACAGCGTCTCCTCGCTGCCCACGTTCCCCGGGAAGACGACATACGGCAGACCAGGCCACTTTGCCTCGGGCTCATCGCACCGCCACAGCGGCACGCCGGGCGCGGCCTGCCCCACGATGAGCGCCCTCTTGAAGCGCAACCCCTGGGTCGCCATGTCGCTGGACGTGATGCCCCCCTTGGCCACGACGTACCGCGGCTTGGTCTCGAGGCGCTGCAGGAACGAGACGAGCGCCCGCGCGACCGTGGCGCCAATGTCCAGGCTGCGCGCCTCGTCCGCGCCCAGCACCAGCTCGCGCGAGGTCATGATGAGCACGTCCTGCCCGCGTGCAATCTCGCCCGAGGCCGTTTCGAGCGCGTGCCGAATCTCCGGATCCGGATCGGAGAGCAGACGCCGCACGTCCAGCACGACCGTGGTCAGGTGGGCGCCGGACCTCTCACGGAGAACGGCGAGCTGGGCTGTCGTCTTGGGCACGTAGGACCCTGCGATGATCAGACCACCCACCGCGCCCGAGAGGCCGAGCTTTTGGGCTGATACGGGCGGTATGCCCTCGATGGCGAGACGTGCGGATACAAAGGCGGCGCCTGTGCGGTAGAGGAACCGCGTACCAGCCGCCGAGGCTGTGAGTAGGGCCTCGACGACAACGTCCACATCCTCGTCGGCCGCAGCGTTGATGACAATCACAGGTCTCTTGGTCGATTGGATGGTGCTCTGAATCTGCTGCAGCACCGCCTGCGCACCCCCATTGCGGATGGTGTCCAGACTGACGGCAGACACCTGCTCCTCCTTGATGGCGCCCTTGGCCTTCTCGACGACATGGGCGCACAGGTCGCTCTTTGTGTACCCAAAGGTGGCGTCCCTGGCAAACGGCGTCTGGGCGGCGGGCACGAGGTTGGCGCCCTCCTGGACATAGTGCACGTTGCCAATGGTGTAGCGTCCACCCTGGAGGAAGAAGGGGCAGAGGATCCAGGCGTCCGCGGGACCCAGGACGTCCTCGCTCGCGTCGGCCTCGAGCGGAAAGTGGCCGCGCAGGGTCGAGTCACTGCGCAGGACGACCTCGAAGCGCAGGCCCGTCTGGCGCTCGGCCTCTTGTAGGTTGGTGCAGATCTCCGTGATCAGGGCACGCGCGGGCGCCGGGTGCAGCGCGCGCGAGTTGGTGAGGAGGAAGAAGCCGCTGCCGGGGGGCGTGGCCTTGAACTCGGCGACGAGGCGGGGGACGTCCCAGGCGGTGAGGATGTGGATGTCATGGCATGTCTGGGTGCCTGTTGGGTCGTCGTCGAGGACGATGAGAAGAGGTGCGTTGGCGGAGGAGGAAGAAGAAGAAGAGGAGGAGAGAGATGCGCGGGTGGCGGCGCGTAGGGTAGGCGAGGGCTTGGGAGGGAGGCTGGCGAGGGTGGCCTCGACGGGCAGCACGGCGTCTGTCATGTTATTAGAGTGTATAAAGGACAGATTGCTGGATAATTGACCGAGTCTGGTGTTTCTGCGGCCATGAGTGGCTATTTCTGCGTGTATAAGTGACCGTCGTCGGAGCAAACACCGATGGGGCCGGCCTTGACTCCGTGTCGTCCGCCCTCATCCGCCAGAACAGCAGAGCAGCGGCTAATACACCGTCTCATCGGGTGGAGAGAGGTTCACAGTGCAGTGAGCAATAAAGATCATATGAACGAACGATTCTGACATATACGGGTGTTCCTATGTAAACTGGAATATATTCAAGAATGGCAGACAGACACATGACTACTGCCCGTTGACAAAGGCGATATCCTGCTCGACCCATCCATTCAGCCTGCTCTCCAGCTCGGCATCGTCGTCCGCAGAGGCAGCAGCAGCTCTGGTCTTGGCCGCGGCGCAGACGGACGACGACATGTCGCCAAAGTAGTTGAGGTGCGCGTCAATGTCGAGGCCAAAGGTACCCGCGTTGCACTGCACGTTGGCGTTGCCCGGGCACACGCGAATGTCGCTGACGGGGTAGTCGTCGCCCGTCGCGTCACCCACCGACAGCCAGTACTCGGGCGACGTGTGGCGGTAGCCAAAGATGATGGGCGGCAGACGGGGCACGGGGTCGTCCAGGTGCGTGATGCGGAACTCGGGCCCGGCCTGGTTGCTGATGTAGTCGCTCAGCACGTCGTTGCCCGCGCGCGGCGAGCCGTACGTGTAGAGGTCGACGGGGATGCCGTCGTTGCGCAGCTGCGCGGCCGCGAGCGTGGCCACGGCGGCGCCGAGCGAGTGGCCCGTCGCCACGACGCGGTACCCCGGGTGGGCGTTCATGGCATCGCGGATGGCCGCGGTGACGCCCGAGCGCATCTCGTTCCAGGCGCGGTTGAAGCCGTCGTGCACTTTCCCGCCCGACACAATGGGCGAGTCCTCAAAGTTGAAGTCGAGGTTGGCGATCCAGTTGCGGACGTTGGACGAGCCGCGCACGGACACGACGATCTCGGTGCGCGCCGTGTCCAGGGCCACGTAGCTCGCGATGCCCGTCCACAGGCCGTCAAAGGTGCCCAGGATCGTCGCGCTGTTGGCCTCAACCTCGGGACAGTTGCCGCCGCACGACACGGTGGCTCCAGCCGAGGCGCCCGCGTTGCAGTACGCGGCCGCGGCGTGCTCTGCGTAGAAGGCAAAGTTGTCCACGTCGGACTCGCTGACGGATTCTGCGCGTGTCAGACTTGTCACGGGTTGTCAGGGGGAGCAGATATTAGAACTCACGTCTAGCAATGTTCCTCAGCGACGTGGCATAGTCCTGCGCAGAGCGGATGGGGCTGGCCACCGCGAGGGCGGCGAGGGAGAGGATGGAGAGCGCCAACATGGTAGCAGGGCTGCGAGTCTGTGCGGATGGATGTCCAGTCAGTCAGTCAGTCTGCCATGAGGGCGAGACAGCGCTCTCTATATACTCGAGGCCATGCCATCCCTCACGAACTCAGCTAACCGCGCTGGGAAGCCTGCTCCGAGAGAGGCGCCGCTCGAGAAGGGCGGAAAACACGACGACGATCTCGAGCCAGGCGCTTCAGGCAGGTACTGACAAGCCACGACACACCGCCAAGATGCTCCAGCGCCGTCCTGTCCGGGGTAAGTACATGGCGCCCCTGCTGGCGAGAGCTTCGACGGCTAAACGGACAAAGAACCAGTAGCAGCTGGCAAGTCAGGTTCCTCTTCGCGGGGGCGGGCGGGGTGGCTTCGCTCGAGAGACAAGCAGATAGTACTACTCCATAGTCTAGGAGGATAGATACCTTCCCTTCGTGGCATGGAGCTTGCCGCCGGGACGTTGTCTGCCCGCCTACCGACTAGTTTCGCCCACGTGAACCCGAGGGTTCGACTCCGTTCGAGGGGGAGCAGTGCCGATCCAAGACTGTGGGGAAGCAGACAGGCCAGTGGGCATTCGAGAATCGTATGTACGTACTCCGTAATGGTATGGGGCTTGGGTTGGGGGATTCAGATTGAGCCTGAGGGTGTGGTGGGTCGTCGCTGGGCAGGCCAGCCTTCATCTATTATGCTCGCTTCTTCCCTATGCGGCCTCATCAGAGGGTTGCAGCGCGTCGCCATGACGGGCTTGTCATGTTTGAGAAGCTGCGCGTGCCGGATGACGAAGAAGTATGCCTTGTGATCGACGGGCGATGGATGCGCGTACGTATGTGTGTGACGGTCCACGGACTCGAGGCGGGTGCTGCCCCGCTCCTCTTCTCGAGGGCAAGGAGATGGGGAAATAATTAGAAAGGTCCATCCAAAAGGGTCGCCTACTAGTCAATTCAATGGGCCCAATCTCCTCCCCAGGATTCAAATTGACGCATAGTATTCATGGACTGCCGCTCGGCAGACGCCCAATCGGGTCCCAATGCCGAGCGACGACTGCAGGTCATGCGCATAGTCGAGTGAATGCGGAGAGAGGCACCAGCAAATAGAAGCAAGAAGAGGTATAGTTTGAAATTTGCCCAGCGCTGTGAAGCCTCTGATCGGCACGCGTGGTGCCGTCTTCCAGTCTGGTCGGTGCGACAACATCTCCTCTTGGTCTCTCCAACATGAACAGCCACCTCGGAAAGAGATCGTCCTCAGCTGGCGCCCATCTCCTGCCCTCACTTCATTTTTCTTTCTATTCCGCACTTCCTTTCTTCTCCTCTCCTGCCAAGCCGCTTCGACCCCAAGTCCACGTTCCCAAACGCACAGCATACATGTACTCCGTACCACCATCCCGCTGACTGGCGAATAGGGCGGCTCGCGTGACGCCAGACTTCAATGTTGTGTGCTACTCCTACCTCCGTCTGTCAGGTTGGCGTGCCTTGCCCGCAAGATCACACGCGGCTGACCTCGGCGTCATGAACGTCAGAACTCTGGCGGCGGCGGCATGTGAGATGACTGCATACATCGGATATGGATGCCTATTTGCAATCAGTTCGGATCCAACGATCTGTCACTCGCCTCAGACACAGTATTTCCATCGTATTATTAGATACTCGTCTCAAAACAAACGCTTCTATAGACCTTTTGAACTCCAAACAAGCTAAGTTATCATCCCTTCCATCTCCCAACACGAAACGGAGCCGGCATCAGGTGATGTGTCTGTCTGCACGCACTCTGCCTCACATCTCGTTGAGCCAGCCCCTTCTGCCCTTGGCTTTTGTCTTGCCCAACGGCCGCTGCCCCCTTATCGCCAGGCATCTCGGCTCGGACCCGCCCGTGGGCTCGACGAGATTTGCATGACCGCAATGTAGACAGACTTGACTCCGTCCCTCGTGTTACTGCTGGACCGCCTTGTCGAGTATGGACCAAGACTGGACAGGTGCCACGAGAGTGACGCAGCTGGCCACATCAGTGCCGAAGCGTCATTGTGGAGCGTCCTTATGTCGTCGTGGCTCACAAGTCTTCTCACCGTCAGAAGCAATGTGCAACTCGTTCGGCTGCCATTCCTAAAACAATGTCGTGATCGTAAATCCTTGTGCTGCTGCTGCTGCTACCGTGGCTCACACAATCAAAAAGTTCATCTTGGGGTCCTTGAGGATCTGGATCCAGCACTTCTCGGCCGTCCCCGAGCTATCCAGGCTCCAGATCATCTGGAGGGCCTCCATCGCCGTGTACAGGAACCCCCACGGGATCAGCCGCACAAACGTCTGCAGCCGGTCCATGATCATGATCCGGCTCTCCGTGTCCTTGGCCCCCGCGCCCGCGATGAACGACGGCCAGCTCGTGGCCTTGTAGTTGGGGTCCTTGGGCGGGATGGTGACCAGAAGATCCAGCAGCTGCCGGTTGAGCTCGGCGGCCAGGCCCGGCCCGACAATGTCGTGCACCGGCTCGATGGCCTGGATGATGTACAGGCACGCCGCCAGCCGGTGCGACGTGCCCACCTTGATGCGGCTCTCCAGTGGTATGTCCTTGAGGTAGGGGATGTTGAGCGCGTCAATCGCCCACGCGGGTATGTCGAGCGTCTGCGCCTGGCGCAGCAGGTCCATGCCGGCCGCGCCCACCTGCCGCGCGACATCCTCGTCCTCAACAATGACATTCGACAGCTGGGCCGCCGCGTACAGGATCTCGAGGACCTGCGGCGGGCAGCACAGGTAGCTGTTGGCCGTCGCCCGGCCGAGCATGACGGGGATCTGGGACGACTCAAAGTACGTCTGGACCGTCGAGGTCGGCGGCGTAAAGGCCGACGCCATGACAAAGTAACTGAAGCAGTCGGATGACATGTAGTCCCGCAGCTCGTTCGTCGGGCCGCCCTCCGTCGGGCCCAGGAGGCTCATGATGCGGCCCGCCCCCTCGAGGTGGGCTTTCCAGCCGTGCTTCCCGGACTCGATCAGCTCGAGATTGATGAAGAAGAGGGACGCCGCCAGGACGACGTCGGCGCCGACCGTCTCCACGTTCTCCACAGCCCGGTACATGAGCCGGAGCGCCTTGTGCTTCGCGACGAGGGCGTCGCGCAGCGCCAGCCGCGAGGCCTCGTTTGTCGTCGGGGTGATGATGCCGCTGCCGGGCAGCGTCAGGGCCGGCAGCGACGGGCGGATGAGGTTGGACATGTGCGCCGCCGCGGCGGCGACGAGGATGTGCTGCAGTATGGGGTTGTCTCGCGTCAGGGGTACAAGACTGCGGAACGGGTTGCGGTCCGCCACGTCAAAGGACACCAAGTCTTTGCACACCTGGTTCGTGACTGCGATTGAGATCAGATCTGTCCGTTTCTTTCTTTGGGAGAGGGTGGACAGTGCTTACAGTGTGAGAGGTAGTATCTATAAGATTGGGACAGGTCCTGCACGAGTGGATCGGCCAGTATATACGGGCTTGGGGGCGCTTCATCTGCGATCCGGCCGTGGGGGACGAGCTGCCAGTCGTCGACCTCGGCCTCGCGAGCAGGCGACGACGCTGGGCTGGTTCTTCGCGATGATGATGACGACGATGAGTTGGCCTCTGTCCTGGCAGGTTGCCTCACGGCATCCGCGCTCGACGTCTTACCGGCCAGCTTGCCTCGCGAGGCGACGGCCCCCGTCCAGCGGAAAAGCTGGCCATAGCCGAGACACTCCTTGCCGGCGCGCAGGCACTTGTTGCAGTGCGGGTACGAGCGATCACACCGCAGGCGCTGGCGTCGACAGTTGTGACATTTCTGGTTGAGTGCTTCCGTCGTCCGTGTCGCAGCCTGCACCATTGTCCGGTCCACTGGCCAACGCGGAAGGAAGGAGGGACTGTCTGTCTGGCACGTGATAAGACAAGCTCTTGGCTCGGCGCAGGTCCAGGTCCAGTTGTCTGTCTGCAGTGATCTGATAAGGCACAATAGGTGCGTGAGGTATCCGTACGTTCGCTGACAAGGGACATGAGGTGACCCAGCGGGCATACGCAAGCCTGTTTTTTAGGCGTGAGGGGCTCTCGGCGCACGCAACACGACCCTTGCGGCCGAATTCTTCGCAAATCCGATGGTGTCGGATGGGCTTTTAGTGAGAGAATCACTCTAGGGTAGCTAGATAGTTCACTAGTCTCGATTAGGCAGCCAAGCCTCGCCATCATCGGATCAATCCCGATGAGTTGGACACGCTGCGGTCTGGCCTACCCTGTCCACCATTTCAGAGGAGTCGCGAAACTCACGTGTCACACTACGGAGTAGTCTCATCAAAGTTTCATCTCATTCAAATAAATTCCCCTATATGTCGTGAATAAGATACTTATCCACTGTAGTATTTGTGGTCCTCTAGTAGGGCGTGGGAGGACTTTCTCCATGATCAAATACTCATTCGTTTCTATCACGCGGCAGTTGTTCGTTGTCAAGGGGTTTGTAAGGAGTATATAAATAACAAAGAATCAACCACAGAATAGCTGACACTCGTAGGTTGTTACAAGACAAGAACTTTAGCTACACCGTGTTTGACGCCCAAACAACTACATTCATCTCGCCAGGCTGTACCATCATATCAGAAACATGGCTGATAGTACGTACAATGGAAGTATCAGCTTCGTCGATCACTATCCGCACCGTCTCAAATTCAAAAGGCGGGGATTAAAGACGGGCATTGAGCTTCAGAAAAGGTTTCAAAAACTACCTACGACAAGGACAATTTACGACAAGGACAAGTGAACGGCCGGCTGGTTGGAACACAATGGCCGTAAAGAATAACTCACGTGAAATACTCACCCAAAGTCAAGCAGCCTGGATCAAGGCGCAGCACACCTCTCCTGTCCCAGATACGCAGAGCAGCGAGCCTTGCCGAGCATCGTTTCCCATCTCTCATCTCGACTCCCAGTGTGCTGCCGTAACGTACACCGACCGTCAAGGCACCACGCGGATGCAAGGATCTTCCTCGGCGATTCATGAAACTTCGACACGTGTGCTCTAACGATTTGAGCAAGCACTCCTTGTTGCTTCAACACTGGAAAGTTTCGTACATACGTCACTGAGTCGTGCAGTGCGTGCGCAACTTCAAAAGCGTTCGTGAGCTCCTTGGCCAACTGAAATGGTGGCACAGATCATCGGACGCAAGCTACTGTCCTGTCAGCAATCCGTAATCAGCACAGGGGGGTCTACTTGACCTGTCACTTTGTCCAAGATTGGGACTCGAGAGACGGGATAGCACTCAGGAGAGCAACGCCAAGTTCCAACACGGGCCTGCCTCAACGTGGCCGCGAAACGGCGAGAGTGTCGGGGCGCTGATGGTCTGACTACAAGCAGCCCTTTTGCGCGTCTGCAATCACAACTCTCCTGGCCAAAGTGAGTTGTGATCGCAGCATCGTGACATCAAGATGCTGCACCCGTCGTGTTGTATCCCCTACCCAGGCCGTCAGCAGTGTCACATCACTGTTTCCGAACCCACTCCTAGGTGCCAGCATACGTACAGGCAGGCCGTCCCAAATTCTGCAATGTCAACTGCCGTACATTGATGGTGATCTGCACCCTCGAGCAGGGAACATTCTCCCGGGCATGTTCGCGCTCGGTCGAACCATCACCCACACACTGGCGACGTATCACTTCCATCTGTATCGGGAGGATGTGCGTCGCTACAACCGCACCCCCCTCCTCCAGCGAGGCACACACAACGTTCTGTCCTCTGCAGAGACTGCAGTGTGCAGAACAGATAGATCATCACCAACCCCGATCCCCATGCTTCTCCCCTTCTGCCCCCATCACACCGGCCTTGGGTTCTTCTTCCGATCTAGCTTAACAAGACCGCATCTCGCCATAGGTCAGATCTGTAACATGCATCGGCGAGGATGCATGGGATTCGGGACCATGCCGCTGGGTAACAGTACAGGATGAACAGACGCCCCTCTCTGGGCGGGCAGCGAGCGATCTGCCCGAAACGGAGCGAGAACGCGCCCCTGGAGCCGTCGTCTGCTCCTCCGGACGACGAGTATCATGTCCAGGCGGCAAAGCACTGCGCGCGTGCTGCTCCTTGGGCCATCTTTCATCGGACCAAGTTGCTTCGCCTCTTGCACCGGTCCTCCACGTCTCTTCGTGCCGGCAGCTTGCGTAATCGGATTGCGATAGCAACGAACACGCGGCGCGCGACTGCCTCTCCGCTCCGTCTTGCACTGTACTTACGTACAAGTACGTAGTAGTAGTGGTAGTGTACAAACGCAGACACCCGGAACGACAGGGGCTACTGGTGTTCCCCGCCACACAAGGTGACATCTGACATATGCAGAGTTGACCCTCTCTAAGGTCTCAGCAACTCCGACACGCTCAGACCAGGCTTGATGTGCCCCCCCTCCTCCACAAATTTCCGGCTGTTTGCGTTCTCGATCCCTGTGCGATTTGCGTCCTGCGGTACGCTAGGTCCGTTGACCGAGACGTCGGATACCAGCCAATGGCGTCCTGACGTTAGTATACTCCGTACACACATAACTGTGCCATGGGCTCCCAAGATCTTGCCTATTGCTGGGAAGCATGCATCGTGCCGTGTTCGAGACCGAGCACCTGCTCGACAACACCCGGCGTAATCTCATTGGGCTCGTCTGCCCCCTATGCCAAGTCGTCGTCGCCAGAGTGCGTCAATCAAAGTGATCCCGTTGCCCCTGAGCTCCCCAAAAAAATGTCACATCTGTGAATCAGTATCAGTGGAGTGGCAGCGGTGTACGCCATATGGCAGGCATCACCACTCACTGCCAGCAGGGCGCGTCCAACCAGGCCCTGGTATGCATCGGTCTTGCGTCCGGAAGAGTCAACGATATGCCTGCCTCCCCTCGATACCCCCGTCCGTCAACAGGGTGCCGGGGCCCTCCACTAGTTGACACCTCTTGATGGTGTGGATCTGCTCGGCGGCAGCGCATCGACCATCTAGATTACATGTTGCGGCATGGACAGAGGGTGATCATCAGCACTGTACGTGTCCTGCCTGCCAGGGTATCCGTAATTACTGCGATCTGGCCGAGTCCCTGCACGCGCGGGTTCCGACGGGGTGCCACTGCAGAGTGATGATGTCCCTTTGGTGGACTTTTCTGCTCAAATTGACTCTTCCTTCTAGGCAAAGCTGCGAAGCGTGTCTTGAGGAAAATGACGAAAGACACTGAGTGTTAACCCGTCATGATGGTCGGAGGTCTTGTCCACCGTTCCAGCAAAGAGAGGATGTCGTTTTGTGATGATCGACTCACAAACCCTTCTCGCATCGGCTGCAGAGGAAGATCCCGAAAGTCTATCCGCCGGCCAGGTAGTCTGAGTGTGTGTGTCTTGTGGGCATATACAAGACGAAAGGAAAGCATAATTCGGCAGTGCGGCTACGGGCATGCCAATCAAGAAGCCCAAAAAGGTCCGCCGCAGACAAGTCCGCTTACGAACAGTTGGGGTCGCCGATTTTGCTTTTTTGGTTCCCGACTGACTCGAGTCTGGCAGTTTGAGGGACGACTGCGCATTCTGCTTGCGCCCGCCACCAGTCTGCACGCGAGCTTCCAAAGTTCCCGGAAGAGGATGCACTGCCAGGCCCAGCACAAGACCGTCGTCGACCAGCCCCGTTTGGTCGCCTGCCCCTTTCTGGCTTGACCCCTGGACAGTATCGTCCCAAAGTCGACGGACAAGAACAGAAAATCAACATGACAGAGCCGAGTTTGGTCATGAAGCCGTGCTCGATATGCTCGCATGGGGCTCGTCCCGTCTGTGATTCAAGGTAGATCCTTCCAGTGGATGGGTATAATGTAGGTATGATATATGCCTGGTATACAGACCCTGGTCGGTGTGTACCGTAGGCTGCGTCAGAGTGCGGTGACAATGAGCTTATTGGCAGTACCCGCGGTTCTCGTTCTCAATGGAGCCTGGACAACTTCCGAGTGACCGCAAACACTTGCCATGATGATGGCTTCAGTGTGACTGGGACATTTTCCAATTGCGTATCCGTATTTGCTCAACAAGGAAAGGGGGCAAGTTCGAGCTGTAGTGCAATGCAATTACCACGCACGGAGTACCAGGTACCAAGAAATGACAGGTCGATTCGTTGTCGATAATAAAGGCAGACAAGAGCGAAGCTATCGGTTCGATGCATTCGGGCAATCGTTCATGCCCGCGACGAGAACAGCGATGGTTGACGTCTTGGGAGCTCCACGGTGTACACGAGCGATTATTCCCATATTGCTGTTGTCGTTGGACACGAGGCGGTTGGAGCTCGCAGGGCAGGCTTTGGTAGTTCCTTATTGCTGCGTCACCACCCGCTTCTGCCGTGATGTATAAGCGCCTCGTGGTCGGACCATAGTTACCCAGACTGGCAATCACCTCGTGGCGACACACGAGCTAGCGCCAAAGCCTGGTATGTACGTACGTGTGTAGATGGCCTCTATTGTTCCCTCGCCAGGCTGACCTGGCTTAGGGGAATTCAGTAGCGCGTTTGAAAGTGATGCAAGGTACGGGATGATTTCGCAGCCACTGTGCCTACTCTGTGCAGAAATTAATATTAATGAATGATCGCCTTGCTTGGCTTGGCCAGCAGCTGGCACCGACCGTGACGGACCGAGGTACTAAGAACGACCTGCGCCGGCGCGCGTCTGGAATGCTCGCGCCCTCACATGGGTGGATTGAGGGGCGTGTGTCTAAGACATGCTCATCCACATCTCGCGTGGCTCCTCGAGTTGTGTCGTGTCCAGGGACCCTGGAAGATCGCCGCGGGCGCTGGAGATCACAGGAGACAGGCCCCGTCTTTCCCAGCATTTCGACCCCTTTCGAGTGGACGTGCTGTAGATTTAGGCCACATTCCTGACTAGAGAATACGAAATGGGGACAACCCTGCATCACCATTCGCTGGCTTTGCCCCAGAAAGTAGCGACGGGCCAGACTTGACTCTTAAGGCGCGCGAGGAACTTTGGCATTCGCTTCGAGCCTTCGACAGCCATTGTGAATAGAGAGGGAGAGGGAGGGGAGTCCTCGAGCAGCTGCGGCAGGGGCTTGTACGTAGCGCATTGTGAAGCTCTGCGTCGACACGGCAGCGCTGAAGATGTGCAATGCAACGAACGCGACGATGTGACCACGATCGAACAGACTGATGCCTGAGCCAGAGCAGAGGATCTCGCGTTCCATCAGTTTTTACTCGGAGAGTGGCTGGTGAGGTGCAAGACGAGGCGTCCTCCCAGGTTGTACCTTCCACGGCATTCGTGCGATGGAGTCACATGACGCAGCCAAGCTTGGCCCAACCCCTCCTCCCGTCTTCGGTCACAGATGATCCATCTCCAGTCCCCTATCAATCGTGGGAAGCTGCAGCCTTTCCGGAGATGTCTGCAAGGCCGATCGAGGCGTTTTCGCTCAGTCGAATCCTCGAACGCGTCTTCCGTCGGTGAACGAAGCCGTTGAAGATGAAGAAGACGACGACGACGACAGGAGGCACCCGATCCCAACGCCCGCAAACAAGAACAAAGACGCTCGACTCCGCATAGCGACCGCTTGGCTGCGCCGCGGCTGATCAATGGCGGCTGACGATGGAACGATTCAGGAATTTTAGAACGCTACTACGTACGTGCCTACACATGGCACGCCTAGGGCGGTTTTGAGGGGGGTTCCTTGTGGTCGTGCACCAAGCGTCCACGTTAGCGTCCGCGCCCAGCCGCCAAAGCCATCGTCCTTTTGGGTAGAGTTGCGACGATGATGCACGTTCCCACGCAGCGCATTGTCTAATCAATCTCTCCATACCATACCAGTCCCAGGATGCCAAACCGCATGACTTGGATTTATGACAAGCTCCGTCGCAGCTCAAGGCTGGTCCTTCCGCGGGTCGCGGGAAGACGACAGCGTCTGACGCGGCCTCGACAATCCCAATGTGGGCCAGACAGAGATTGAGATGCCAGTGACGAAGCTCGCTTTCACATGGTACGATAATCAGCATCGTTGCGGCGTCTCGGGCCAACAGACCACCTTTCATATCCGCCATTCCATTCCTTACTGTACCGTGCATATGTACGTACCTATATTTGACGATCTTGCGCGAGGCAGACAACGCCAAGCAGCCACGGCGGATCCCCCTGTGCTGATCGCCGGACGCCTCATGGTACGGGCCCATGATCTACGCCGGAAAAGGAAGTTCATCCGGGACTTGGACAAATCACAGCAACTTCAAGGAGATGCCCCAGATCTTCCGTGCAGCATTCACCCCTCGGCACCGTGCAATTTCTGCTCGTGTTTCTTTTGGGTACGTACTCCGTATGTCGCTCACGGCAGCCTTTGGCTCACCATTTTGATTGACGGTATCCAGCACCCTTCGGACAGAACGTCTCACAGAATTCCACGGTACATGCCCCCGCTCTTTTCAAGCGGATGTGTTCGCGCCATCTTCACTTGACTGTGTGTCATTGTTTTATCCAGACTTGGACCGGAGCCGGCCGTGCTTTGATTCACCAATGGAGCGACGCAGGGTAGGTCAGCCAGTGCACCCTGGCCGATGGCATCGTGAACAACGGCCCGCGACTCCGCGCAGACATCACCTGCTTAATCAATATGGCGGCAGAGCGAGGGCTCCTGGTCCGATAGATCCTCCCACTAACAAGAAGAGGCCCCGACATGCAGCCGTAATCAGCAACAAGCTTCCCCCGGCCGTAGCACTCACCGCCCAGAGCCAACGACAAGGACACCAGTCTCAGCATCAGTGAGGAGCAGCAGAAGCAGGCAATTGCCTCTGGGTTCGTGCCGCCGCGGTGCGGGTGGTTGCGGCGCACGGGATGGAAGAACAAGTGGGAGATCATGACGTGGGTGTGTTGTTGTTGCTTCATTATTCCCGGTGTGGCTCGTCGCTGGCGGCTGAACATCACCTAAGACTGCTCAACAAGCAAGCACGGCCTGTCGGAGGAGATGGACCGTTCGGATTCCAGCCAGTGCCTACGGAGTACGTGCAGCAAGTTATCATCACTTTCCAGACTAGTCGATGGGCGATGGTGTGAGACGGGCCACTAGCCTGGGGCGCCAATGCGAACCTAACTTAGTCCCAAACCGAGACGTCGGGTGCTGCTGAAGATTTCTCTGCAGGCAAGCGCAGACCGCCGCGCGAGGAGCCTCGGTGAGCGTTTCTCTATTACAATGCTCGGGCTTTTTGCTGCTCATCTTGTCACACATCAGGGAATGCCCTGGTGATGGGATGTGAGGCGCCCGAGAGGTGGTTGGCCTGGCTGCTGGGGACCGGCCAGGTATCAGTCGCACTTGTGGTGGAGAAGAAGCGCCAACAAGCTTTACAAATCGCTGACCAACCTTGCAGCGGGTCCAGCTCTGGTGCGGTGTGGACAATGGAGTTTCTCCTTCTGCCACGAGATAGTATTACCACACAAGCGGCACGCGTTGTCGATCATCACGTCTGCAAAGTCAATCCGTCCTAGCGCTGGCGTGTTGATTCACTAGGCACAACGACCAGTGTCTCATGTTGAGACTTTACAGTTCGTCGACGCCGCAGGGGCATTCAACGGACACGAAAGCCACGCAGCACCGCTCTGAGATGCCGCAGGGCCGGGGCAGGCGATCGTCGTCGTCGACAGTCGACAGTCGACAGTCGACAGTCTACAGTAGCTGCGGCACGGAGCATGTATCCTCTTTCACGAGGGCCCCACGGCCTAGAAACGGCGCCTGGTCAGGTCATAAAACAACAGCGAGGCCAGCAAGACCATTAATTACTTGTGCCTATGCACTGATGCAGGGCGCCATCATGATCAAGCGTCGGTTCGTTCAGGAATCAGGACGACAATGGGGCGCCACAGGCCCCGGGCGTGGGCATCTTGTTGATGTGCTCGCTAAAATGGAGATTGCAGCGAGACAAGACGAGACGAGGCGAGGAGCCAGCTAATTAAGCATGATATTGGACTGGCATTGTGGGCGTCGCCTGAGCTGTGAGGGCGATATATTATGACTAGCCATCGAGTCATAAGTGTTACTAGGCGCTCAAACAATGGCGACCCGGGCAGATGACCAAATGCGTGGCCACGACCGCGGAGAACGCTTTGCACATGATCACGTCGAGCAATGCATTCACTGTACCGGAGATGAGGCATGACGATCTCGAGACATGCGAGCATCGTGACACTGTTGTCGTCGACACAGTGTTATGCCTCTGGATCGGGGCGCGCAGTATGCAGACAAAAGAGAAGAATGCCGTGACCCATGCTGGACAAGACGGAACCAGGCAGGTGAGTTGACCGGCACCAAGAAAGTTGTCAGCTTGGCCCGGACGGGATGAGGCTCGGAGGAGTTGAGGGCGCGATCATCGTCGACTGCACACGGACGGCGGATCCCACTGTCAGTCTGTCTGTCAGTGATGACAATTACTACCCCTGTCGGCATGGCACGCTCGTGGGGCCCATCCGGCGCGGTTGGAAGACACGCATGAAATATGGACCACGAGCTTGCCCTTCGAGTCCACATGCCACCCCTTCTAGCTCTGTGCCTAGTGCCTTGGCTTTTTCTCGGCCCACGACACCCTCCCTGCTCCTCCCCCCGGGGACAGGGGGAAGAGAGGAGAGGGGAGGGGTGGGTACTTGTCAGATCTTCACACACCCGCTCTCCGATTGTCCGTTCTTCTCGAATCTGGAAGCTTGCTTGAAGGAACGACAGACAGAGTGAGTGCCTGACAGACAGCCTGATTACCTACCTGCCTGGGGGCGCCCAGTGCAATGCCGGGCTCCACGCTCGCCCTGCCCATGATCACCCAGGCCAGTTCCGTCAGGCAATCCGTGCGCTTCAAGGGGCGACCGTCCGCACGCCCCCCCCTTCACTCCACCTTTTCCTGTGGATGGCCTGCAATGTCCGTCACAAAGGGCCCTCGGAAAGGTTCGCTCGCCTGCTACTGTAGCTAGCTGCTCTACGGTTCTCTAGCTGCAGCGCGCGAGTGACAGCGGCGTCTCGCGGCAGACCTCAAGGATCAAGGGGTGGGATTCTCAGATCTGATATGTGTTATAGCGTGGGCAGATATACCCGGCCAGCCCCAGTGCAGAGCAGACTCATCAGACTTCTCGGACGCACCCAAAGAGAGCAGGAGTAGGCCCATCAAGACCAGGCTTCTTACACACACACCCTCCTCTCGTCTGTCAACCGCAAGCCAAGCCAAGCACGCACACAAAAGGCTGGCCTCGTACTTAAACTCGGCGCAACCCCGATCATCCCAAAGATCCGGAACCCCATCTGATACTACGACATCTCGTGCCACACACACATCATCACCAACTTCAAGCTCGACATTTGACCCGTCACCGAACCCGAGCAATCACTCTTCATTACGGAATCAAGCAGAGGAAGAAAGGCCTAGGGCGACAACAACACCAGCGTCCCACCCCCTCCCTCGCACCGCCGTGACGCAAGAAATCACCTACTACCTCACCTTACACACAATATAAACATGGCCACCTCAATAGCAAGCCACCACCACACTGGGCAGCACTTGGGCCAGTACCAGTACGCTTGCCCTCCGCCGTCGCCTCCCATGGACCAGCCGCGGTGTACTCTTCCCTCCATCTCCAACCTGATCGGTCTTGCCGACGCCGGATCACCGACTCACGAGTCTGCTCCCTCATCACAACTTCAAAGGAGGTCTTCGGGCATCAGGACAGACAGCCGCCCCGGCACCGGGTATGCCAACGCCTTCCCTCACCACCACAGAGCATCGCCTCCCTCACCGCCCATGAGCACCAGCGCCTCCACAGAAACCACATCGCCCGTGCAGAGGCCGAAGACTCACTACTCAAACGCCTCGACGCCTACAGGATACTACCACGAGACCACGCCGCCTCTAGAGTCGGACATGCAGCGCCATCACACTCTTCCTCAGACTCCCTCGACACACGCGCATGGACCCAGTACTGGTAGCTACTTCCCGCCAGCCTCGTCTACGAGCGCGCCGCCACCCCAAGCGCAAGCTCAGTCTCCCCCATCAGGCCTCGCGTATCAACAACCACTGCCAAAGTCGTTCCCGCCGCCCAGCATTCGCGTCTCTGTGGCTCGCTCGACCTTGGGCCCCATCTCCTGGCAACACCACCACTATCTCAACCCGGCGCCGGGACACCAGTTCCCAGCATGCCAGGACCGCTACATCTGCCAGACCTGCAACAAGGCCTTTAGCCGCCCCAGCAGTCTGCGCATCCACAGCCACTCGCACACGGGCGAGAAGCCCTTCAAGTGCTCCCAGCCGGGTTGTGGCAAGGCATTCAGTGTACGCAGTAATATGAAGCGTCACGAGCGGGGATGCCACTGTTAGACCGGTCATGGCGGCAGCCTGACCGTCCTTTCTGTACACACTCTTCATTTTCCGTCGCTGCGCAAGCATACGTTTTTCTGCGACTTTTGATCAATTTTTTCTTTTTACATTTTCGGCGTACTATAGGGGCAACGGACCATTCGCGTTACGAGACAGCATTTACATGGGCGCACTTGTTTGATTCACGTCCTCATTGGAGGCTACAGCTGCGGATACCCTCGAGGGAGAAAGAACATTCTGTACATAATAATGTATATAGACGACATCCACGAGACTTGCCTCAGCGGACGGGCGACTGGCGCCCGCACTCGACAGCAAGCAAGCACCCTTCTTCGGCAGAAGGGCAAGATTCAAGAATACAACGCAAAGAACGTTGATCACTCTCCACTTGGCGTCTACGTCCGTACAACGTGCTTTTCCCGACTTCTAATCCCAGGTGACATCGTAGATCGGTGGCAAACCAAAAAAAAGGGAAAGGCTGGGGGGCGCGGGAGCAGTCTGCAGACTGGTTGGATGGAACCCATCATTCATTCCTGCTGGGAACAGACGCCCAGACAAAGCCGCATGCCGATCATGATGATGCCTCACATTACATGCATAATTTACGAGTGACGCACGACAGACAACCTGGCCCCTTCTTCCCACAGTTGCTCGAGCGCCGGACAGAAGCAAAGAAAAGGACAGGACAGAACAGGAGACACCAACGGGGGACACAGAGAGTCAGAGAGGGGTGGTGCTGACGTCCCGCCCGCACTATGACCATTGTGGCCCTTCTTGCGGAAACGTCAACCTGAATCATGCCGCATGCCACATGGAGAGGCAGAAACTCATCGCTAGCGGGACCCATAATATGTCTACAGTACTAGCCGTGGTAGGCCCCTAGTGTTGTTAGGAGACATTCGATATAGGTACCTCGTGGTGGGTTTCCGCCCCCTTCCAGTCAGTCCTGTTCGTCTCCTCCTCCTCCCTGCCCCCTTGCTTGCTGGCAGGCTGGCGGTTTCTGGAGCACGCGCCTCGCTGCCAATTTGCCGTCTGGAGGAACTGGCATGGACCACCTTGTCAGTTGAGTGCCACAGCTTCGGCTCCGGCTGATGGATACCCAAGTACGGAGTACGGAGTACTGCGCCTTCATCGCTCCCCCTTCCTGCCACGTTCTGCCAAGGGTCTTTTTGCTCTTCCTTCTGACAGGGACAGGATACGGACGAGGGAATTGCTCAGAATGGACAAGTGCCGGCCGGCTCTGGCCCTCTGGGGCGCAGACGAGATGACAGTGTCATATGGATCGCCTCATCCAGATTGACGTCCCTCAATCGAGGCGTAAGCGAGCACGCTACCGGACATGATGGATGATGCGCTCTTGTATGTGCTACCTACGTACGCGTCGTTCTTATTATGGCACACGCACGCACGCACGCACTGCGCTAATCACATGAATGGCTAGCGCGACGGCCAACCACGTTCTGTCATGTCTCGGGATAATACCTACTGTAAGCAGAAGCAACACTGTACATATGTACTTCATCACATAGTGCAGTGCAAAGCGCTTGCGAGCACACATAATACGTGCACACACACACACACACACTTGTTGCGCACGCGTTTCTGATGAACAGCACGTCTGTCTTTGGATCTTGGTTGATGATCCCTGCTCGTTGGGGAGGGGCCGGGATCACGGTCCACACATTCTGCCGTGAACAATACCTGGTCCCTGGCGTCGCTACGGGATATTCCAGCAGTATGGGCCATGGGGAACCAGCATCAGCAAGAGCCTCGCGTCGCTTAAGTCAGTACGTACGGGTTTGCGGCAGATGAGCGAGGTGACAATCCTCCTGCAAGAGAATGGACGTCCGGTCCCAGGCACAGATGCGAATCCAGGCGCTTGCGAGTAGTATGTATTAGGCAAGTTGACCCGGCCGTGCCTTGTCATATGTTTCCCGCAGATCCATTGCGAGGGACGAGGATACGTCTGCAGTAGGGCTGCAAGCTGCTGCATCCCCGACAGAAGAAGGGGTGCAGTACGAACAGAAGTCGGGCCCTTTGTGGCCCACGATGCGCGTTGGGTGGGTTATTGCCTGCATATCAACTCCTGGGTGTAACCGATGGCACCACTGATCCAGGCGATGCCTGCTATAGCCTAATTATTGCTTATACTGACCGACCGTCGCAATGGGATTTCGTGGGCTCAGTTGTCATCCATCATCGGCTGCCCGCGCCAAGACCAAGCCCAATGTCATTGAGAACCGCCGAACTTGAGACGCTGGTGAATTCCACGACGCACGGTCGATCAGCTTCAGAGAACAAGGGGGCAGCTGCTCCATCAGGACCCGGGCGAGGGTGATGTTGCTGGACGTCACAAAGGGGAGGAGGGTCAGACCGGTCAGCATGCACTCTGCCGAGCGTCTCTGTGTGCTGCGGATCGCCCTTGCAGCAGACAGGAGGTGCAACGCGATGAGCAAATAAATGTCCGTCCGTTCGTCCGTCCAGCGGTTAATAGATGAACGGCACATCATGTCTGGCAGGATAAGATGCAAGATCCTCGATCATCACCAGTGCGCCGGTCACAAGGGCCCGAAACTCGCTGCCTGGAGCCTCAATGTGACGAAAGTCAGGCCACCCCCAGGTCTGTATGTGCCATGGGCCCATGATGACTATTGATTAACTAAGCCATGAGGGACATGCATTCGACGGCATGCCATGGTGATCATTGAGCCGTTGGGCATGCTGTGATCGCCGGCGCGGCGGCGGCGGCTGCTGGCAACCTATTCGTTCGATGAGGGGGGTAGGGTGAAGCTTGGAATCTTGGATAGTAAGAGCACCAATGAACTGATCCACGCTCCGTGGAGCTCGACTTGAGTTGACAGCGCGGGACTTCTGGTACGTACCCCGAGTATCGACGGTTTCTGTTCGTACGTATGTCTGCCGCGTCTGCGTCAGCATGGCGCTTGCTGAGGGCAGCTGACAAGAGCGAGCACGTATCCAGCACATAGTACCCATATCATGGATGGTAGACGGCCCATGCTGCTCGATACTATTATTTACACACTCGATCTTGGTCGGACGCCGTGAACTTACCTCAAGGCAGACTCGAATCGACATCCATCGATGAGCAACAACGCGCACTTTGGATAAGTAGGGGATAGCACCCATGTCATGTCAGAACTCAGAAGCGGGCAGCGTTCGACTCCATGTTCTCGCATCGGGCCAGCGCTCCCTTCTGGGAAACGATGTCGTCGAGCCCTTGCCCAGGCATCCCCCGAGACCCCCTGTCCCCTGGCCTCCGCGTCTGCCCCAAGGGCCCAAACACCTCACCCGAGACAGTGGACAGAGCCCGTCTTGGCACCCTGTGGGAACATTGAGTTAATTACTCCGTAGTAGCTGATTGATAGCTCACAAGGCAATAATTAACGGAAGGCAAGGGTTGGGGTAGCTCGAAAGCCCCGAACCCTCCTGCCCGCAACTCCGGTGTCGATGATGATCCTAAGTCTGAAACACCGGCGTGCCAGCCGTGCCCGGCACTTCTATCGAGCATGGGTTGAAAGCTCAGGCCACAATGCTAAGTTAGGACCCTAGTCGAGTTGGCCATTCCGATCATTGCTTTTACGTAGTATACACTTGTACGTTCATGGCGGGATTCCCAAATGCGACGGCTTTGTTACCAATGGGCGAGGTTGGATAGAATACTTTCGTGGTTGACTCGTTTGACTGGAATCTACCAGGAAATATGCTGCGGGTCCCCGGATCGTGGCTGGACTCCCAGCCGGACTGTCTAGCGATCTGAGCACCGTAATAAGTCAAGGTCGTTAGAGAATGTCTCAACCTGCCATGCTGCTGTTTTGGCTGGACTTTTGTGGGATTCGGACGTGCAAGGTCTGCATCCTTTGGTCGTGGGCATAACTCGGCTGGCTCATCGGATTGGATCACTGGCCGACGGACGACCTAGGGCAGTTCGCGTCTCTCGATGTGAAGAAGGCCAGGCTTGGTCTCATGACGTCGAGAAGGAGTAGTGACATGAGGGCAATGGCCGTCAACTCATGGCGTCAACACCAGAGCAGGGGTTGCCGATGCCTGCTCGTGACGGAGCAAGAGTGCGAATCTCGACTTTTCGTGATCCGCCAAAAATAAGTACGTCCTTGTACATTGTCAAGGGGCATCCGTTCGCCGTTGACCGGGGACTCTGGGGACGCCATAGTGCTGTGAAACGATTTCATCATAGCATCGACTAGGGAGGTTGGATAGCCCAGGTGTCGTCACACACTTCCTCATCGGAACAGATGTACTGCAAAGTTTGGTCAGAAACTCTGTCGACAGACTGCCCGTTGAGTTGGTCAATTGAGAGGATATCTCGAAAAACAGTCTTCCCCTTGCATGGATGTCGATACTACCCGTGGCACGCTGCTGCAGGTGTGATGTTATTGGGAATGTAACATGATCAGTACCATGGTCAGTAACACACTCAGCGCATCCGTGGAAGGGGCTTCATTGCAGTTGTGCCAGTATCAGCCTCCGTGTGGTCTAGTTTCGAAACACCGTTGGTTGAGTCGCCAATTGCTGTGATAAAAACCGTTGCGTTTCGAAAGTTGAGGGCTTCACTCGTGTGGCTCAGTGAGACCTACGCAAACTGAGCGAGGGCTGCACCGTTTGCTACACCCAAATACATAAGCATCGTCTCAAGCACTTAGCGTAAAAATTGAATTGAGGATTTGAGACGTCGATGTCTCCTCGTCAAGCAGCAGAAATGTGCGGACATAGCGAGTATGTTCCGTGCCGTAGAGTGTTAGCAATGATTCCAATGTCAGTGGTTCGACTAGACCATTGTTTGGGTGTAATGGGCCGGTCAATGCCCTACACTCGTTAGGGGAAGTATCTTTAGTGAATGAAGCTGGACTGACTCAATGCCTGCCATCATGACCAACCCGTATTCAACACTGATATGAGAGAAGGGGGACTGCCTGATCTTGCGCAGAATCAAGAGTGAGACGTCTTTGAGAATCACCATGATACCTTTGGTCCATCACGCGTACGCCATAGTGGACTGTCAATGAATATCCCGTCTGACTCAGTCACTCGCCAAGAGAAGCTGCGAGAGCTTTCAATAGCTTTCCGGAACGTCAGATGTGCCCCAACAACTGCACGCTGCGATTCGAGTGTATGCTGCGTAGTCCAGTAGAGCCTTCTGGTCGGGCCCGGCTTGATCCCCATTCGATGAAGAATTTGGACGGCTCCTTTCAATGCTTGAGGCGATGCTGGGAGTGTATTCGTGTGACGAGGATATCACATTGCTCAGAAGGCCGTTGGTGAACCAAGTCGCCCGCAGTTGCGACTGGAAATAAATGATTGTGACCTTAGGGCCACCGTGAGAGTTCTTGCTTGCTCGCGAGCCTTTTGAGGAGCCGCAGCTGAGCGTATGAGCTTCGATTCTCGGTAGGCTGATCGCTTTCTAGAGTTTCGATAAGAACAGGCTGGTGCTGGCACGTTTGACTCAGTGGTAGCGCGGTGATGCGCCACTCAAGCTTTCTAAGGCATTAGCCAGCCAGACTCCAGAGTGCTTTGCTGTGCCCTTTGGACTCTCATGGCGAAGTATGACACTGCTAGCGACCCAACCGCCCAATCACCCCTGTGCACGGCAAGACATTTCAACACACTATTCCCGTAAAGAAGGACTACGAGGACCCAGTTCGACCCTGAGGTGTGTTGAGGAGCTAACAGCATTATGTTGATGCTGTCTTGGTGTCGACGAACATGATAGGTTGAGATGGCTTCAAATAATGTTATACTGACATGTGTCGCGGTATTTCGGTCTGGCCACATTTGGGACTCGAAGGCTCTGTCATTGTCGGTGGAGGTCTCTCATTTCGTCAAGCTCGACTTCCTCTGTAGACTCGTGCGCAGTCTCAGCAACGACCTAGTTTCACCTATCATTGCTGGGTCAAGTGACTGGGGCAGAGGCTCACACACTGCCGGCGAAAATTGTGCATTGCAACGGCAAGTACTTTGCAAGCTCCAACCCACTGTTTGTCCACGTAACTCTGAGGGTGTACATGGCGACTCGTGGCTGGCTTGCGGCGAGTTTGCTCGCGGTTCTTTCTTTGTGATGCGGGAAGACAGTGCAACGAGTCACTCGACTGCTGTAAACGTGTTGCGTCGGTGTCTGCTCAACGTATGCCGTAAGACGCTGGGGCTCGCAACGATTGCCAGCAACGCTTCAGTACACGTTACGGGATAGGGTATTTGTGTCGCTGTTAGGTTGAGAAACCATGAAGTCTTGCAAAATTGGACTTCGATGTGCCTGTGTAAATGGGGAAGGATCGGACGGGGTGGGTCAGCTAAAGCTTCCCATGATCTCACCTCAATAAGGCAAGAACGACGGTCTATTACCTTACTAGTAGTCAAAAATGACTTCAATGGTGATTACTGGTACTCTTACTAGTACCTAAGGTACTATGTAATAGAACCTTACAAGCACATTCTCAAAAGTTGTTGATTCAGCCACTACCATAACAGTGCTCACAGAGCTCTCCTGGCGTCCATCTCCTCTCTATGTCAGCGCCTGAAGATTGAGGTCTGGAATTGGGATACCGAGGCGGGTGAACGACATTGCTGCCGAGCGGGAAGCCTGGGGGAAGGAAGGCTGCATCGCACGCACGCCCACTACGATACACCCGTGAGTTAAGTTCCTTGCCGTCCGCAACCGCACAAATCCTCAATCGGTCTGCTGACTCTCCTTCTACTCTTTCAGTCTGCTCACCGGTCACAACAGACTGTGGCACATTCTCAGTATTACTTCTGAACTATCGAAATGGCTGCAAAACGAACCAAATTGCGCCCGAGAAGCAACGTTCAAACAGCCATTCGCCAGTCGTGAGTCGCATGCACCTTCCCCAGATAGTGGACGCTTGACTGTTGCTGATATAGCGCTGGCGCTAGGCGGGACGCGCGGGCCAGTCCAGCGGCGACTAGCCTAACGTTAGTACCGTACTTTTACTTCCCATAGGTGACTGAAGTTGAACCTTTTGCCTGACCAAGGGGGCTGGACCTGGATCTGACCAGCTCCTTTTAACTCAATTTCAATTTCCCTCTCGTCGCCTTGCGTTTCCTTCAACAGTTGCGAGGCGTCAGTTTCGTCATGTCCCGCATTTCAGGACCATGACGCCAGGCTCTGCGCACCTCACCGGATCATCCAATCGCGAGCATCACCGTCGCACACTTTCCCATGCCTGCCAACCTCGTTGGGCACCGACACGCTAGAGGCAGAAAATCGAGACTGACACCAAGTGGTGCTCGGAACACCAGATACCACTCCACCATCGTTGCCGCCATCAACACCGCAATACATCGCCGGCCTCAGGGCCTATCCCTCCCGACTGCCGTTGCCCGCATGCCGAAGCGCCGTCGGCGCATCCAACCATGACGACCAATGCCGTCCCCAACACGCAGCTGGGCCTCACCTCCGAAGAGCTCCAGATCCTGCGCCAGGGCCAGGCCGCACTCGACGGGGGGTCCAACAGCTCGCGCGCCGCCAGCAGGGCCAGCAGCCAGGGCCTCCTGCTCCTCGACAGCTCCTCCCTCTCGGCCCTGGGCCGCTACTTTGACCGACTCATGGCCAACATTGAGCAGAACATCCAGTACCTCAGCGAGCAGGCGCAATTGTTCACACAGGTGCAATACGATCGAGCGGGAAACATTATCGATGGGGCCGACGAGGAGATTGCGCGCTACACGGCGCTGCTGAGGCAGCTGGACGAGCTCGAGCTCGACTTTGACCGCATCGCTCACATCAAGGAGATTGTCAAACAGTACCGCTCACGCGTGGAAGCGTTGGAACGGGACCTGGAAAATACGAGCTCCTCGAGCCGGCACCGCCACTCGTCATCTTCACATCGACACGGTCACCGGCATCATTCGTCCTCCCACCGACATCGTCACTGAGCGGGCGTCAAAACACCATGAACAAAAACAACCACTATCACAACTACCACCACGACCACGACCATCCAATACATCAACTTGACCTCGCGGGTTCTTACAGCACCGCGTCCTCCTACAATGCTCTCCGCTAGCCGAACAGAGGAAATTCACAGAAGAAACGGGGACAGGCCTCGCGGCTAGGCAAAGAAAGACTGGCCTCACGGCAAAACATGATTGGGATTCTATTTACTGGCGTTTTATTTGGGATACTTGGACATATATCACCTCGCGTCTCGCGGCTGGCGCTCAAGCTCTCGCAGTGTTTGTTCTCTTGGCTTCTGATCTTGTAGGATACCCCCCCTTTTGGTTAAGCAATAAATTCAGTGTATGCTGCTACACTGCAAGCGAGACGTTGATCATGCCCCAGCGTGCTTGATCGAACCAGGTGCCCATTACGAATTTTGAAGTCTGATGGATGGGCCCTCCCAGTAGCAGGGCTCGTTCAATCGACCATCATCCAGACACAGGGTGCTTCAATTGTCGCTCGCACGCGAGAATATCTCGCAAACACCCTCACGCGCTCGACCCCTGGCTAATGTAGGTGTCCATGTGAGCAACCCCTTGGCCACCCTTCGGGCCGCCAACCGTTCCATTGGCCCTCCCTCTTCGCAAGCCGCCTCCCACATTGGGCGTCTACTGATAATAGCATTTTGCCGGCTGAACACATGGGGGAGGCTGCTGGTTCAAAGCAGGTCTCAATTGCGACATCCGCTGGGCCGAAAGTCGATGTGGTAGCATGGCAACAGGTGAACAGACACGCAATGCGTTGTAAAAAATATATTCTCAGAACATTTAGAGAATCCAGAAAAGAGCAGCTGGATTAGTGCGAGAGTAGTACAACAATACCCAGTGAGACATGTTCAACGCCAAAAGGACTACCAACGGACTGGCACTCGTAGCCACGGCCTATCGTCTTGCCCTCCCGTCGTCGCCCATGCAAATACCAATTCGTCCATTCGTCATTCAGGCCGGACGCCTTGAAACGCCATGTGTGTGTGTGTGTGTGTGTAAGGGTGCGTGGGTGCATGCGTGCATATGCGCACGCTCTAGAACCCTTCCTCCACCTGCGCACGTCTTGGACAAAGGAAAAAGGTGTGTTGGTCCTTGTGTGTGTTCTGGCCGTCACCAGTCGTCATCATCTCGCCTCGCATCGACTTATCCTTCAGTACGTGAAGTTTCGCTTGCCGCGGGCCTGTATCGCCAACGAGCGCAACCGTCAGTCAAGGTCTTGAGCTACCGCAGCAAAGTTCCCTAAGCCTTAGCTCTGCGTTGACGCACCAAGAATGGACTCGGCATCTCATCTCTCTCCGGGTCCCAAGTAGCCACTGGCTCGCCGTTGCTATCCCTCCGCTCGCCCGCCACGCGGCGCTTGGGACTCGTGAGGTAACCACTGTTCTCGGGTCCCGTCGGCACAGGTCGCCCTCCAGCACGAGCTTGTGAGAGTTCCACAAGAGTGCGTCCCCTGACGTTGTTCTTGACTGCGACTTTACCCAAAGCCTCAGCATCCTGCGTCTTCTCCTTTCGGTTCTGCGATTGCTTACGTGAGAGCGCGCTGTGAGCATTGGCTTCACCACTGAGGTTCGCCTTTGACGGGATCTTGCTCAGCCGCCTGTTAGGCGAGCGAGGTGCGGGCTCAGATATTTGGGCCTGCCCCATCTTGGACACGAGACCACATGTGGAAGTCTGCGGCTTGAGCCGGTTGATGTTGATCGGGCATGTCTTTTGTGTCGTCAGCACTGGGCGATCCCTAGCTGTGAAGGGATTTTTGCTAGATCGGATGTTTCGTGTCGGTGAGGGGACAATCTCTTCATCGTCTGACTCTTCGATCGTCGGCTCATCTGGCATAGTCCAGTTTGCCCCCTTGGAGTTCTTGGCGCCAAAGATGTTGCCCTCGGGCATAGCCGGCACTTTGGTCGCACCCGCGCGACGGGGCGAAAGTGACAAAGATGCGATAGCGATAGGGCTTGGTGATGCCATCTCGACGTCCATTGGTGTGCCAGCACCTGCGAACATGGTTTGTGCGCGTCCGAATGGGGTCCTTGCACCCTTCTTAGGCTCCTTCTCTTTCGATGTATCGGGACTTTCGAGTGAGTAATCCGTAAAGTCGGTTGTTGATGGGAAATCTTCGCTCGCGGCAGTGCTCAGTGAGGATTGCGGATGCAGTGACCTGCCAACTGGAGATGCCATTGGAGGCGGCTCTGTTTTCGGCTCTTCAGGGGCCACGGGGGCCATAGCTCTGGCCAGCTCTTCTGCTCGCGCCGCCACCTCCGTCTCGAACTGTTTGTTCAGCGTTTCAATGTGTTCCTGCACCAGACGGTCGATCTCCAGACGGGCCTTGACCTCCCATTCCCGACGCAACGCCGAGTCAATTTCCTCTCGCATGGCGGCTCGTTCGCGCTCGAGGTTGGCGGTGGCCTCTTCGACCTCCTTCGCATGTTTAGCCACGGCCTCCTCCCTAGCCTTGAGCTTCTTGTTGTAGTCTGCGACCTCCTTCTCCTTGCGCATCAACTTCACCACAGGCAGGTTGAGCAATTGCGCCGTATCAGGCCGTCGATCGGCATTCACGCGCAAGCAGTCCTTGATCACGGCGTTCAGCTCTGCCGAGTACATCTCAGGAAGAGGCGCGACTTTGCCCTCCTTGATCTTCTGCACCAGCTGGAAATGGGTCTTGGCGTTGAAGGGGGGCTCGCGAGAGCAGAGTTCGTAGATGATGCAGCCTAATGACCAAATGTCGGATTTCAATGTGTACTTCTCGGCCGCGCAGATCTCGGGCGACATGTAGAAAGGCGTGCCGACATATGTCGAAGCAAAGTCGTGGGACTTGATCATCTTCGAAAGACCAAAGTCCCCGAGTTTGACAGAGTTGTCTTCGTCGAGAAAGACTTGACACGTTAGTCACCTTCTACAATGCAGTCGAGGCCAACTTACCGTTCTCTGGTTTCAAGTCACGGTGCAGGATAGTCATGGTACCCGCGGGTACTTTGGGGGCGCCATGTGTCGTGCCCTGCGTGAGACCGAGTACATTGGTGCCTACCTCGGGAGGATTGACACCATAGTGGCAACGGTACAGCGCGAGACTGAGCTGGGTGAAAACACTCCAGACAAAGTTCTCTGGAGCGCGTTGCCCCTTGTGCTGCAGGTCCTTGATCACACGCCCCAGGTCGCCATTCCCACAATATTCCATGTACAGGTGAAGGTCCTGGCTCAGCTTAAGATGCTCTCGGTGGTAGTAGGCAACAATGTTCGTGTGTCGAAGGTGGGATAGAATCTGGAACTCGGCGTGGAGCTGCTCGCGCTCCTTCTGGGACATGCGCTGGTAGGAGATCTCCTTGCGGCACATGATGAAGCCGTCGGCCTTGCGGCGGACCTTGCGAATGATACCGAATGATCCATGGCCTGTACACGAGGGTCAGAGATAGAGTCGGGCGCCGAGGTAGTGCAGCAACTCACCAATCTTCTCCAAGGTGTCGTACTTGTCTTCGGTAGACATGATGGGCTAGTGTCGTCCACAACGCAAGTAAAACGCTAGGACGGAGAAGACGTATCGAGGAAAGCCAACATGAGAGTCGAGTCGAGGACAGAGAAGGACGCCAAACAATGCACCGCGCCGCAGCAATATGTATCGGAGAAGTTCAAATCGTGAATGACCGAGGGCACGCGAATGGCTAACTCTGTCCTGCTGGGTTAGTAAACGAAAGGCTGTTGTTGGTGTTGTTGTTGTGAAGACGAGGAAGAGAGAGAGAGAGGAAAAGAGAAGTCCAAGTTGTTACCCAATTCTCTGTGGGTAATGCTGTCAAGCGTTTTGCTGGCGAGTGTTCCGTTGCCAACCAACGGCCACGGTACACCCTTGTCGCCTGACGTGGGATTTCGGGGAGTGCACCAAACAGTGACGTTGGCCAGGCAACCGCCTCAAGGTTCCCCTTCCCACAAAGTTACCGGGGTTCAACCGTGGCAATCGATAACGATGATTGATTCAGAAGCGGCGCACATCATGGTGGGGCACGCCGCTCATGGTGATTGATCGTCCATGTTCAACTGACGACATGCAGGCAAGGCGGTTTCGCGATGGGTTCGCATGCCGGAGGTTCTTCCTCGACAAGACTCGCACACTAACCCCTCCTTCTTTCCTTTGTTTGTGAGAGTGTATACGCCGATATTTATACATATATATACATATATTTCTAGCTTTGCCTCCTAGCCGTCCTTGATGAAACTTATCTGTACCTAGACACCCCGCAGCCGACTCGCCACCATGGTTCTGAAAAAGTATGAGCTCGAGGGCACCTTGGCCGAGGAGAACCTCATGATCAAAGCCGGAACACTACGGGACGAGAACCCCTTGGACACCAGCGAAAACTTCCAGGAATTCCTGTTAGCGTGTCGTCATGGCGACCTGAAAAAGTGCCAGGAGCTCATCAACCTCGGCGTGAACATCAATGGGAAAGACAAGTTCGATTACACGCCGCTGATTATCGTGCGCTCCACCCCGTCCCGACGGCGTCCAGATGCTTACGTCTCTCCAGGCTAGCTTGTGCGGCCACTATGAGTTGGTGCGACTACTCTTGGAGTCCGGGGCGTTGGCTGAGAGGAACACATTCCAAGGTGAGCGTTGCATCTACAACGCTCTCAACGACCGGATACGGAACCTTTTGCTCCAGTACGACTTCTCCAAGTCGTCAGATCCTTATGTATACTGGTCAACACATATCTCCTCCCTCATCAACAACCCCAACGGGTTGACCGACATTGCTCTCATTGCTGGTAACGACTCTTTCGACATTCACAAGTTCATTCTTGCTGCGAGAACACCGTACTTTAACAAGAAGCTTACTGCACAGCCTGAGACGACACAATGGAAGCTGTCCGCTGCCATTCCCACCGAGGCATTCCAGATCGCGCTACGATACGTCTATCTCGGTGCTGTCCCGAGAGACCTCGTTGCGCAGTCCAGTGCCGTGTCAGAGGAGGATGTCCTCAAGGGATTGGATAAGCTCAGCAAGCAGCTTGAAATTGAGCAACTATGGGAAGCAATCTTAGCAGGGAATGACAGGCGACTAGCCCGTCAGAGGTACGAAGACGAGGTCCGGCGGGCGCTCCGGCAGATGGAGTCTTTCTTCCAGGCGAACGTTCTTGGAAGGAAGATGGTCGTTGACTCTGACCGCGTGGATGAAGTGATCTGGAAACACGACAACTCCATTTTTGCCGATGTGCTTCTACGTGCGGACGAGCCATTAGCTGAAGATGAGGCATCGCCGCAAAATGGAACAAAGCACGCAGCCGTCAACGCGCAGGGCATACCCATCGGTCCTGCCGCAGCAGCAGACACCACAAATGGCACCACGACAGCTAAGCCTCGCAAGTCGGTCCTCTATCCAGCTCACAAGGCGATGCTCATCCGAAGCGAGTACTTTGAGAGGATGTTCTCCGGCGACTTTGTCGAGTCCCGGCGCTCTGATAACCTACGCATTGTCACTGTTGACTGCACGCCCGAAATCCTGGAACTGATTCTCACATTTCTCTACACCGAGAGTACAGATCGCATTTCTTTGGACCATGCATTAGATCTATTGTACGCCGCCGACATGCTCTTCCTCGACACGCTCAAGTCCAAGGCGGCCGTTGCCATCTCCACCCTCGGCAGCGGCTCCTCCAACGTCAACATTGGCGAGCCGACAGACGAGAAAAAGGGCGTCGAGGTCGAGCCGGTGAACATCTACGACGTGATCCGTGCCGCGTGGGATCTCCGCGTGCAGCGTCTCGAGGAATTCGCGGCGCGCTACCTCGCATATAGACTGGAAGACTACATTGACGACGACGAGTTTCAGGAGATGATCCAAGAATCAGCAAGCAGGATCAAAGAGCGTCAGGAAACGGATACCATTGAATTGCTCGACGATATCCGCTACTACCTGTCCGAGAGGTTTCGACTGCGCTTCGAGGATACAGGGCTGGAAGATGTCATGGACGAGGAAGGGGAAATCGACGCACAGGTCGCTGCGCAGATTGCGGACGCTGCAGAAGGGCAGGTCAAGCAACCATCCGCAGATGTGGCGGGTACGAACGGGTGGAAACCGGAGGACAAGGACCTCGACGCTGGCAACACGGAGAAGTTGAAGGAAGAGGAGGATGCTGACGACGATGATGAGTTTGTTGCTGACGCGATGAGTTATCAGAACCTTCTCGGCAAGATCGACATGATGCTAGAACGTCTCAAGCTAGATGCGTAGAATCAATTCACATGTGCGTACATACGCAGCTGTGTCAAACATTTCTCTTGAACCTCTTATCTAACGGCGGGCTCGTCTAAAGGTCCACAAGCTTGATCCTCGATCGCAGTGGCTCTGGCAGCTCCTCCCTTTGAATGAGGCCAAGCTGTACAAGATCACCCCAGAAGAACAGGGCTCGGTCCTGCGAGTAGCTCAGGTAGTCGAACTCGTCGTCCTCCTCCTCCGCGTCTGTGCCCAGTGGCTCTCCCGTCTCCAAGCCAGGCACCTTGGCCTGCACGCAGCCCCAGGCGGCCCAGAAGAGACTGTTGGCGGGACGCCATAATCGAGTCTCCTCGAGAAGGGCACGGACTTGCTGATCGGTACGCTCTTCACGTGCACGCTCGGCAGCGCTCCATCCTCCCGGAGGCGCGCGCGAGTCCAACATGAAATCAACGATGGAACTCGTGGAGGGCGCAGATGTCAGTGTCGGTGGTGTCTGAGGAGTTGACGCTCCTCTGCCGGCATCTTGGGGGCGGAGCTTGGGTGTCGAGCTGGCGAGAGGGAACTGTGGGCGATGGTCAACGTACGCTTTCAGGAAGCGTCGTTGCTCTTCGAGCTTGGGATAAGCAGCCGTGTTCAAAGCCCATGGGGTCTTGGCGTCGTGGTAGTTGTACATCCATTCCGTGAAGTGGTTTGCGAATTCCTGACCCGGACGACTGGCGGCAGAGTATTCAAAGTCGATGACGATAAGCTGCTTGTGTTTGTTGGCAGGTTGCAGAAGGGGCGATTTCTCGTCGTCGGGTTTGAAGCGGAGAATGTTGCCGTATTGGGTCTGCTGAGGTTAGTCAATGTGAAATCATGCGTGAGTAGCAACACTAACATCATTGTGGGCAAAAACGAGCCCATCATTGAGGCTCTTCGCATCTCCGTACTGCTGTACAAGCCATTCCCGGTACTTGTTGGCCACGGCCAAGAATTGCGCCCACGGCAGACCCAAGACGTATCCACCCGTCTTCCAGTTGTGCACGACTGAGTTTCTGCGCTGGTCCTCTCCGGTCGTCTCCTCGTACTGCTTGTCCAGGTAGGTGACAATCCTCGATACATTGTCCAGCCAGCAGTTCCAGTTCTTCCAAACAGCAGGCCCAGCTTCCCGCTCGCTATCCAACACTTCAACACCATCGTGAAGCTCGCGCATGCGCTTGGCAATCTGCTTCGATACGTCGGGGTCGCGCAGTTCGGCAGGTGTTAGGGGAGACGCGTTGAAGTACTGCTCGAAGCGACCGTTCCGGAATGTGCCAAGCAAACGAGGCCCAATCTTCTTCCGCGCCAAACGCTGCAGCACTTTGAGCTCGTTCTCTCGATCAATGAGGTTGTCGGCTTGCGGGCCATATATTCGAAGGAGGAGTTTTGCCGGCTTCTTCTTGCTCTGCTCGTCGTCTTCGAGCTTCGTGGGGGGCGTGACGACGTAGACAGCATTAGTGAGGGCGCCACTGAGACGCTCCACATCAATACTCTCGCCCGAATCCAAGGGAACTCTGCGCCAGCCTTTGAGTCGCAAAGTATGAGCCGTGCGGATGATCTCGTTCTTGAAGGTGATCCAGCATTCGTGATCTCGCCTCGACTTGGCATCTTCCGTATCGAGCAGGTTCACCGTGCTTGTGCTGAAAGCCATCGTCTTGGAGTTGTCAAGCCAGACGTCGCAATCTGGTACAATGGCATCTCCATCCACATAGTCGGTATCAGACGAGGCCGTGCGCTGCAAAGATGACCGACGCTTCCTGTGTCGCGGCCGGGAAATCTTTGGCGCATCACGAGAAATAGAACCAAGACCCATGGCAGCCATAGAGTCGTCGAGTATTCTCTGAAGCTTGTCCAGGGAAACATCACTGGACTGGGAGTCGATGGAGTCGGATCTTTCGCGGCCGCTGGGCGTTGCTTTCGCCGAGTCATCGTCCACTGTGGTAGGCGAGGCCGACTTGCGTCTGCTGCCTCGAGACCTCTGCTTCCGCGCCGACATGCGCAGCCGTTCCCTCTCTATCCAGTCGCTCACTTGAGACAGCAGCTTCTCGCTGTAGTACTTGTGTCGATGGCCATGACCGTGCTCCGGTGGTGGGTTGCCGCTCAGGGGTTCATCTACAGGGCGCAATGACGGCGAGGCGTCGTCGCGCGTGGATGACTTGGACGATTGAGGGACTTGCGATGGCAGCGATCGGCCACTCAATCTGCGACTGTGACTAGCGCGGAACTGTCGATGAGTGGCATTGTCATCATCTATGAGCGACGGCTCAGGGGTTGGCTCTTCTATCTGGACAGCTGAGAGAGAGAGTAAGCCAATGTTTCAAGTTCCATGTCTCAGTATGTCTGGTATCCTAGCATCTTTGTGTGTGTGAATATATAGCGCAACTGCTAATATCCCAGGTATTGTTGACGTACAAAGCTCGGACACAGTCTGCCTGAAACCTTGTGAGTGGAATTTCCCTTGGTCCAAACTCAATGAACCCACGTCTCTGGAAACCCTGCAGAACCTCTACCACTAGGATCACGTACCTTTGAGAGTGCCACTGGCTGGTGGTGTTCTTTCGCTATCGTCTTCGGGCTTCATGGCTGACCGCAAGGGTTGCTGGCCACTTGCCCCGCCGAGGCCGCTAGAAGCAGACATGGCGAACGTGGTACTGGCAATGGCTCGTGAGGTGTAAGTGAGGGGGAGCAACGGTCAACCCCGTCTTGGGATGTTGAAAGCGGACAATTCAGTGTCGCGCGCGAGCACTGATGAGGGGCAGGTCGATGAAGCTGGCGGTCGTGGGGAAATGGGAAATGGCGCGAAAAGATGTCGGCGGTGTAGTGGGCCTCGCGGTCGGAGCCAGGGCCGCCACGGTTCGGGGACTGCCGAAGGGAGTGGAAGCGGGATCAACTATCAGGAACGTGAACTTGAAGGGTGCCAGTATGTCTATTCATATGGGTTTGCTTCGTCGTAGGATGTCGCTTTCTTTTGATGAAATTGCTATGCACTGGTATGTTGGCGCCAGCACAATTCGAGGTCATACTTGGCGACTGCCAGCGAAGTGTCATGTGGACAGACCCCGAATCATGTCACGTGGTGTGATGTAATGGCGTCCTTCCTTCAGATCTACGAGGCAGCATTTCCACCGGCCAAGCCTGTCAAGTGATTTGACCCTGACCAACCATTTTACATGTTTGCTCTGCATTGCATTGGTAGGCATTTCGCCTGACGTTGCACGATGCATTACGACGTCAAGCATCACTACAGGGTGGTTTGCAGACTTGTAAAAAAAAGGATGTGCGAGACCCCCTGCAAGCCTCAAGGGTCCTGCTTCTTGGCGGCATGTGATCGAGTGCTTCCCGCACAAGCAAGTCGCAAAGTAACTACCCTACATCACATGCACCCACGCAACCTAAACGGTAGCCTTCGCCATGTTTGATACGCGAAACTACTAACGATTGAGCTTTGGACATGGCCTTTCATATTCCACTTACAGTCCATCCAGGTTATTCTATAGTATCCGCCACTACATGTTCTCAACAGCCTCTCTAGTAACATCAATCCCCTCGTTCCTCATGGCCCAAACGACGGCGTCAAGGACATCGTCCACAATAACTGCCGGCTGCCATCGAGGCTGCCTCTCCGCCTCTGTCTGGCGCCAAACCCCCGTCTTGACCAGGATCGGCACGTACTCGGTCCCGTCCTCGGGCTGGAACTCGAGCGCCCCGCGAACATCACTCTCCGGGTTGTCGCCGATCATGTACACCCTGCGCAACGGCTCGGCCCTCCCGTCGGCCGCCCCGTTTGCTCGCAGGAGACTGTCGTGTGCGTATTCGTAAGTGATGCGCGAGGGTTTGCCCATGTATTTGAACAAAAGCTCGTGCCCGGTCGACTCCTTCCAGACACCGCGGAAAGCGTGCAGGAACGCGCCGGTGCCGAAGCGGTTGATTGGGTGCTCTGTTTTCCATAGAAGGTCCAGGTTGGATATCCACACCTTGGGTTGGCCATCCTGTTGCCAGCCGCCATTCTCCAGGGATTGATCGCCATTTTTGTGAGATAGTGTGCCGAGATAGCCCTGATGCGACGCGAGGATGTCGTGGATGATTTGTGTCTCGAGTGACCAATCCCGAGGGTCGTTGAAGATGAAGACGTGGTCGATCTTCAAGTAGTTGCCACTCTTCAATTCGGCTGCGTCATAGGCCATGGCATCTTTGCCGCGCCATAATTTGGTGCCATTTGGAAGCGCCCGGCCTTTGGAGTTGAAGATATGCTTGGGTGTGAACGGATAGATGTGCTCATACTGCTCGAGCAGATCTGTCGACGTGATGACATTCTTGAAGCCGTACCTGATGGCTGTAAGTATTGGATCGTTCTTGGGGCATGTAAACTTACGAGTGAGCGATCTCTCGAGCTCTTTCAGGGTCTAAGCTCGTGATGTAGATGGTCTGGTCCTCTTTGGCCTGTGTCCTGAATTTTCGAAGTGGCGTGTGTGATTGAATGACCCGGTCACCAATAAGATCATCCACGCCATCGATACCGACCTTCTTCTTCAAGCTCGCTGCCTTCTGTTCTTCTGTGGTGTTGCCGCCGCCATTCGTCAAGAACAGATACCTCGAGTCATGGTCCCAGCACAACCGCAAGGCAGACTTGGCACTGTCAATCTTCTGATCACCCAGATGGAGGACGCCATCGCAGCTTGACGACAGGTCAGCACATTACCCTGCAATCAAAGGTTTCGGGAGTGCCTACTCGTAAAGGAATCCGAAGCTCCTCGCCAGCTTCTTGGCCTCCTGGGAAAAGGGGCTAGCTGTTGACGATGACGTAACCGGCCACACCGGCTGCTCGTCGAGTGTGCGCCTCTTCGCAAAGTTCAGCTCGAGATCACCATCCGGCGAGTCACTGGCAGTGCCCTTGAGAAACCGAACGGCTGGTGTGGTTCCGAATCGACGTGCCGCGCACGGGGCGCAATTCCGCGTTGAGTCATACGCGCGACGTGCTGGTTGCCGTGCTGCTCGCGCGATGGCGCCACAGCGAGGGAGCGCACCCAAGAATGTCATGATTTGGCTCTTCAATCGTCACGCTCGACTGCTGCGATGGTGACGGAGCCAGTGTCGCGAGGTCGCAAGATGGAAAGGTTGAACGTTGACTGTGTGCGAGGAGGCGGGCGGATGTGAAGCCGCTGGTCTCCACTATAAATTACGGCGACACGAGCAAGAGCTTTGGCTCCGAGCGCATCCTCTTGTTGACCTTCAACCTCTCAACTCTCGTGCTCAATCCATTATTAAACCCTGGGGCTCCAATCAAAAACTGAAAACCACCAAGCTTCGAGATGTTGCCGCCAGCAATGCGATCTTTCCAATACGTCCTCCAGCCTCCAGCTCCACGTCTCTCCCAATCTCCGTACTGCCCTCCATTCACAAGTTGTCTGAGCGATAGCTACATGTCTGATGATGCAGACTGTTGTCGTTCGCCATGATCTCCTTATGATCCGCACCGCATACCCAGCAGAACTGATACATGCATTTGATGTCTGGTCTCGTCAGCGTCCTTTGTCGTGCCCACAAGATTCACATGTTGTCACTAGTGGCCACATTTAATACGGCCATTCCACGGGCCCAAGCAAGTCCAGCAAAAGCGATGGCGATATCTGGTGCCTAGGCTAGTCAGCATGGAGACTTGCTTCAGGCCCATAACTATGTGGTTCACACAGTGACACTGCAGAACTCTCATTGTCGACACTATTCGAAAGAAAGGTGAAATTACAGAGCATATGGGCACTGCAAAGGTCAGCATGTTGATCACTAGAGGGGGACACGGCAATACATACCACCCTCCTTTCTTCTCAATGTTACTGGCACATTTGGGGCACGGCTTGGTTGTTTTGTTGATGGTGGCTTCGTTTTGCTGTTCCTGCGCCCTGCGCTTGAGGGCTATACGCCTCATTTCCTGCGCCTCTCGCTGCTCCCGATCAATGCGTTCGGCTTCCTGGCGGTCAACCTCAAGCTGCTCTTGCTCTGCCGCGCGCTCGAGCTCGGCGCGGGTTCTGAAGTTGGCTGGATCCTGCTGAAGTCGATCGTAGTCGTCGCAGGTGAGATCCTCGTGCCACGGTGTTCGATGCACGAAGCAAGTGCGGTGGCGACAAAGATTGCAAAGTACAATCGGTTGCTCAGCACCGCCTACATGCAGCTGGCCAGAGTTGCAATCTGGGCCTGAGCACCAAACGAACTGCTCGGTGCTGCCCACAACTGCTAGAACGGCGAGCAGCTCGTACCTGATATTCCTGTTAGCCCGTCAAGTGTGAAAGACCCTCAGATACCTACCTTTCGAAGTCAAGCTGGGTTGCGTATTCTTTGACGTCCTCGAAGCTTAGCACTGTATCGCATTCTGGGCATGCAATGTCCATCCATTGTTTTCGCTCAAGTTCAGCGTGTATGGAGTCTGCAACACATCTACTGCAAGTCCGAACAGAGTGCGCGCAGGACGAGGTGACGGTGCTCGCTGGGAAGTCAGCTGCAGGTAGAAGCTCAGTGCAGAGGAGCCGTCTCTAGAATGGCTTTCAGTGGAAGAGGTCGGGATTCTGCCTCGTGAGGTGGTGGCTCAACCATTTTCTTTGATTTCCTCAGCTTTAACCTCGGAGCTGGGAGAACCGCCCTCATTGCCAGGAATCGGATCGCTCCAGATTTCAGGGCTGACTGCGCCATAAAAGCATTTACTGAGAATTAACATATTTCGCGGTCGCGTTGGCGCTGAGCTGGGATGTGAATGTCGCTGAGCTCGTGACTGGGCTGGGGGAAGGTGAGGTGGAATAAAGAAAGGGGAGTAAGTTACTGAACAGCTCAAAATGTCAGGTACCTTAAGGAAGGTAGAGGATCCACAAACTCGCCAGCCTGAGCAATTCAGCCAGTCTCTGCTTTCCGTCTCATACCTTACTTACCAGGTAGTATTAAAGGTGCCTTACTTTACCTGGTGCTACTTAGCAGTGACACGTATTCTCCAACAGCATTTGTTGATTTGGTTCACATTGACGCATCTTTGTACTATGACTGAACACTGGTGCTCTGGTCCATCACATTGGCTTGATGTTTGTGGATCAAAGAAATACACCCTGAAATGCATTCATCTACTGGGTATCTAGTTGCCCCGGTCAAAGTCACTCGATGGCGTGCCCCTTGGACTCCCTCTGCACGGACTCTACTTGCTTTCCCCTTCCCATGCCTCCTGATAGCTTAGCTTCGTTTCTCGGCTTCCACAAACGCCCACAACTATGGTACGCTACAGCTGAGTATCTGAGCCCCTGGCTTAGTGCAGCTTGACTAAGCAAAACTGGTGGGTGAGTGTGGGTGGTTTGCCCGTGCAGAATGTCTCCATTGCCGCTTGTCCGCCCCATGCGACTAGCATACGAGGCGGGCGGACAGTCTTGACGTGTGGGTTCTTGTTCGATTCTGACATCCGAGAAACGTGTACCATGGTAATTCCAGGCGATAGGAGACAGATTGGCTCCAAGTGCTCTTCGACATAGCCGTGCTTGGAGCCTGAGCTCACCTTTGCCAGGTCGAATCGCTTTCTGTTGTTCAGGACATCCTCGCATCGCATTTTGTTGACGTTTGCGAAGAATTCTGGTGACGTCGAGATGCGTCTCGTCTTGTCAAGCTCGCGCGCGATATTTGTGAAAGTCGAACTCGACTTGGTGGGGACTGCACGCGATCTTTCGCTGAAGTTGTGCCGCTGGGATGACACACGATTCAAGAATGTCCCGGTGAAATTCGCCAAATCTGTCTTCGGGACAGAAGATGCCAAACAGTTGTGAAATTATGGCGGCGGTTTCCATAAGTTGCTTCTTCTGCTCCCATTCGAAACATTGTGTTGACACAAGCGCCGTGAGTGCCCCGGCATTCCAGTTGCTGATAGCAACCGCATCTGTTGCAGAATGTCAGTGCTGTAGCTTTGAGGAGAAGATGGTCCTGCGTACCTCGTTTCTTGGTAACAGTCGTGGCCAATGCTTCCGCGATCCTGTGACACATTGCTGTTTCTGAGGGCATGCAGCCAAAGAGTTTGCCTCGCGGATGGCCAAACACGTGAGAATGCAATGCTCTCATCATCATAGCAACCAAGATGTCTTCGTCTGTTTCAGAAAGCGTCATAGCAACGCTGATGTCCAATTCTGCCCTAACGAGGCCTTGGAATTTGTGTACACCCCGAGGATCAGCTCGTGCCATGCGTCGGACATGATTGCTGCACTGCTCTGCAGTGGTTGGAAGCTTTTGGCAGGTATCTTGGGCCCATGCTTGAACACCATCGACAACTTTCTTAAAGGCCTGTCCAATGTCAGCTAAATGCTGACCCATCTTGAAGAGTCTAGCCCACGTCGTTGATATCTTCAGGTGTCAGGTCCTCGTGGAATGGCTGCAAGGCGAATATGTGCGTCTGGGCGTCATTGAGTTGCTGGCGTAGAGCGGCATTCTCCTTCAGAAGTTTTGACTCCGCTGAAGCAACCGCCTCACTCTTTGTAGTCAGTGCCGTGAGATGCGCACCCATGACTCTCCAGTTGTTAAAGCACTCGGCTACCATTTGCTGGATACCTTGTTCCTCTTTCGCTTTCGCTGACATTGCTTCGACTTGGGCTGTCCTTAATGGCTTGGTTTGATGCTCAAATTGCTTAAAAGTACTGTGTATCCTTTCGTGCACCGTAATTGGCAATATGTGAGGGAGAAGTCGACGAATATGGCCAGCAGCAAAGGCAGAAATCAAGGTCAGGGTGATGATTCGTTGCTTTGAAGTAAAAATGAGAGAGAGCTGAGATTCTAGTAGACGAAGAGACTTACCTGGACCCTGCTTGCTTGCGTAATGTTGTTTACGCTCAGCTCAGTTCGAAGCAAACATGAGCCTTCAGATGATTTCGCCCCAACACGCACACAATCGGCTCTGTTGCCTGGCCAATTGGTCTTCTCACCTCTTCTTTCTTGTTCTTCTTCTCTCTTCTCACTTATCTCTTTCCGTTTTTATTTCCTGAAGAACTGTAGGTTTTACTGAGGCCCGAAGCCGCGTCACGACTCGTAAGCTCAGTCAGTAACATATTTGTTGGCCGACTATGCACGCACTGACATACACGCATTCAGACCGAACTTACCACGATCACCATGAAATCTCCCAAAAAGGCTCAGGATGGCCGCAAGCTCATCATAGGCATTGACTTTGGTACTACATACTCGGGCATCGCCTGGGCAGAAACCAAACAGCCGGACAGGAACACGGCTATCACCACATGGCCCGTCAGCGCCACCTCGCCGGAAGGCGAGTCGTCTGCCAAGGTACCAACCAAGCTGAGGTATACCAAAAAAGAAGTCCAGTGGGGTTTCTCGATCCCTGGAAACGTCCCTGAGAATGAGGTTGTCGAATGGTTCAAGCTGTGCGTATGACCGGTCCAGATTGACTCTTCAACCGGACTGACAGTCTTCCTCTAGTGACCTCGACAAGACTACCAAGGCTATGACCCAGAGTAGTCAGAAGCTGTCTGCCCGTGGTGGCCGTGCTCCAGCTCAGCTGGTGACTGACTTCATGGAGCGTCTCGGTGCTCATCTGCACTACATTCTTCAGCACAAGCTCGGAGACGCTGTACTCAAATCCACACCCATGGAGTTTGTTGTCACCGTGCCTGCCATGTGGAGTGATAGCGCCAAAGATCTCACAAGACAGGCGTGTCAGAACGCACCCTCGCTCGGTGCAAATGGTCGGCTGATTCACCTCGTATCGGAGCCAGAGGCGGCCGCACTCTATGCGCTCCAAGGTCTTGATCCCCATGGATTGAAAGTCAACCAAACTATCCTACTCGTCGATGCAGGTGGCGGTACGGTCGACTTGATTGCTTACAGAATCAGGCAGCTGAAGCCAATTCTGGAACTTGAGGAGGCCGCTCCAGGAACAGGTGGTATTTGCGGCTCGTCTTGGCTCAACCGCCGATTTGAAAAGTTCTTGCAAGACAAGCTGTGCCATCTCGATGGCTTTGGCCAGGAGGTTGTCTACGAAGCCGTCGACGTATTTGAGAAGAAAGTGAGTGAAGCGTAACCCATGACCCTCTTTCACTTACTGATTTTCCAGATCAAGCGCCAATTCGCTTCCAAGACTCCGGACAACGAGACCTTCACTATCCCCTTGGGCGGCGTGGCCAACTCGGCACAACTAGGAGTCCGCCGAGGGAGGTTTGCCATGAAAGCTTCCGACGTTCGCGAGATCTTCAACCCTGTTGTGAACGAGATTATCAAGCTCATCAAGGCTCAGCTGCAGTCTATTAAAACTCCTGTCACGGTTGTCTTACTCGTTGGAGGCTTCGGAGCCTCGATGTACCTGAGAGACAGGATCACTGACGCGGTAGGGAAGACCGTGCGAGTTCTTCAGCCCCCAAATGCATGGCAGGCTGTAGTTCAGGGCGCCGTGCTTAAAAGTCTAGCCAACAATGATCCGAAGACGGCGCCGGTTGCTGTGCGAGCGCGCAAAGCTAGACGGAGTTACGGTGTGCTCCTCCGTGCGGCGTATCAACACGAGCTTCATGCGCACCTTGCGCACCTCAAAGACTGGGATGAGTTTGCAGGCTGTCATCGTGTGCCAGTAATGTACTGGTTTGTCAAATGAGTAAGTCAAATACCACTATCACGTCAAACTATACGACAGCGGATTGACTGGTTTCAGGGTGATGCCGTGTTGGAGGATAGAGCCGTGCCTATCTCCTACGAATTCACTCAACATGTCCACCTCGGCCGTCCCTTTGAGCTCGAGATGGCAATCAAGTACGACCGAGCAAACAGAACCCTGGCAGGCGCGGTCATAACTCAGGACAAAGATGTGCTTGATTTGTCCACGCTCCGCGCAGGGCTTGGACATATTCCAGAAGAGTCTCTATCGCAGGGTCTCGGTGCAGATGGATCGCTATACTACCGTCTGCAGTGTGAGGTGCATGCGACTTTCAAGTCTGCTTCCACTGAGTATTCGCTCTACTATAATGGTAAGCATTGGCTGCTCGTTGTTTTGCTATAGTATACTGACAGGCACAGGTCGGAGGTACCACACCGTTACTTGCGAGTATGCCTAGCTTTGCTCGATGACTATCAAATGGACAAGGGAGGGATTAGCTCGGATTAGCTTGTATTTTGCTCAGGGAAAGTCAATTTAGTCGTACAGGAGAGACCTTTGACGTGGTATGGTGACGGGCAATTGAGTTCGACAATCAGGGTTTGGGGGCACTCAGTGTCCATGTGATATCATTTTGTTGCTTTGCAAGAACTCGCCTTCATCGGCCTGGATGAAAAGTTGAGACAAACGTGTGGACTGGCAAGATGGTCGTGGTTCGGTATTATATGGATTCGTCAGTCAAACAAGGCTCGCAGATAGGGTAATACTATTATCAACATCTTTGCACCGATCCTCTCATCCCTATATCCCGAAACGTATCGTCCCGCCTTGCAGGAGACGATGCAACTAACAACAAATCAAATCCACTGGATCTCGCCGGCCATGCAACGGGTGGTATCCTTGAATCAAACATGTACAGAGAAGAGAAATATGCTTCGGCCTCCTGTCCCTCTCGTATCAAACGAAAGTCCTTGTCCCCCCAGGAACACTCATCCACTCGAGAATGGTCGCCCTCGTCGACGCCCCTGGAGACTGTCAAATGCCACATTATATCGCCCAAAGTACGCTCGAAAGTAGTCGTCCTACTCTTCGTCCAAGCTACCCATGGTGGCGTTCCTGCTCCTCTTTCCGCCCAGCTTCAACATGCTGAGTCGCTTCCGCACACTGTTCTTCTTGATCAGGCCTTGACCACCATTGCCTTCCGATTCCAGATCGTGGCTGGATGCCTGAGATGGCCGCCGGAGGTCTGCAGTGATGGTCGTTGTCGTCTTGGCACCTGCGGCAGCCGCGGCTTCATCGCCACTAAAATGCCGGCTGAGTTCGTCGTTGGATTGGGCCCGGAAGAAACTACCGCGCCGTGAAGTGTCCTTGCTCATGGCCCTGCTGCGAGGACTCGCGGGCAATTCGACGTTCGGAGGGAATGCAGCGGAATCTCGGTGGCCATCAGACATCCTTCTCTTGTTGAGGAAGCTTAGACGCTTGCTTCGCTGATGAACTGACACGGGTCGTGCGACGGAGGCTTCTTCGGTCCTGACACCATTCACGACAGACGCGATGCCAGGTGTAGGTGTGCTGGTGCCGTTGGGTGACGATGGTGCCCTCCACGTTGGCGTAACACTGTGTGTGTATTCACGCAATGGTTGTGGCGGGGCGAAGACGGCCATCTCAGGCTCAAAGGTGCTCTCAAAATCTATGAGATTTAGCTGCGGTCCATCGCAATGCCTCGGTAGTACTTACAGCTCTGCAGCTCCTCGTGTCGGTGGTGAAGAAGTGCTTTGTCACTGCGTGCGAAAGTCGCCAGGCAGCGTTTGATCATGATAGCATGATCTACCAAGGCCATCTTGAGAGCTACGTCTTGAGGCTCAGCTTCCACCTCCTCCTCGTCTTCCGTGTCGTCGTCGTCATCTCTCTCTTCACTGCCAAGATCGCTTGCGGCCTGCCTCTTCGGCTGAGGGAGCAACTGACGGTAGCAAGCTACACTATGTTCGGAGTTAGGGTTCACGGAGACACTAATGGCATCTAGCAGTAGAGCCGCGTTCTCCTCGTCGCCTTCAGCCACGCGGCGTTCCAACGCTGTCATCTCCTGTGTCTTGCGCACAATACGCTCCAATGCCGTCTCGTGAGCAGTCAGCGTAATCTCAGACTGCTCAATGATCTCGCTACGGCGCAAGATCGTCGGGAAAGGCTCAGCAGTGGTGTAGACGGTCTTCTCGGAGTAGTGCTCGTGCACAGGGCCCTGGGTGACCCTCTTTGTCATGATCGTAAATGTCTGTGGGTGCGACGATAGGACGAAATCCCGAATCACCTGCGCAACCCTGGTTCTCTGAAACACGGGGTGGGCGAGGTCACGATGAGGTGCGACATTCGAGATCACCAGATATTGGCCCTCGACTTCGTCAACGTCGCCGCTCGCGACAATGCGGGCGTTGGGGTACTGCTCTTGCATGCGGTCTGTGAAAGCAGAGCCCTTCTCACGAAGGGCGCCCTCGTAGATAAACTCCTTATCCCGGACGCTGGCTGGGAACCCGAGTCCTTTGAAGACCACCTTGAAATACTTTGAGCTAGCCCTGTCGCTCTTTGAGATTGTCTCATAGATGGTGGCTATCGCGCGTTGCGTCCGAGCAAGCTTGGCGAAGTCAAAGACATTGGTCTCGTATTGCGTCTGCAGCTCCTTATAAGCGGTCAATGCATTGCTCCATGATTCACCATCCTCATAGTGTTTGATCATGTCGAAGTAGATCTTCTCTTTGCGCTCGAAGGCTGTCTGCGCCGGAAAATATGGTTCGAGCAGAGGAGTCGTTTGCTTGGTAGGATCCCATTCGTACAGATCCGCGTGGAGGCGCAAAGCCAGCCCGGCTTCAGCATGATTCCTAGTTGCAGCCTGAAATTCGGCAAGCTGATGCACGTATCGAACAAAGATCTCCTCTTTCTGCATGTCGCGCAAAAACTCCATCAATCTCAGTTGGCTGATGAGGTGCGAAGCGTCGTTGGTGCTGTCACTGCTGTGCACAGCCGTGAGGAGATCTAGGAACTCGTCCACAGTTCCCACGAGCTCCTGGAGTGCATCGTACAGAGGCTCGGCATCCGATTCCGACAAGGCGCCAAAACGCTCCAGCAGCTCACTCACAAACAACTTCTGGACGATGCTCTCCGTGAGTGGCTTGGTTTTGAAGAAGTTGTCCAAGCAATCAATGACCTCCGTCTGAATGGCGGACAGATCTTCGCTCAAAGCCCACTCGCTGACGATCATGGTCTGGAGCACCTCGACGGCCATCTTGCGAAGCCCCTCGTGAACACTCAGGCAAAGCTCCACGATCGGCCCAACCAAAGTAGGGACGTACTGGACCTGGTATCCGCCCATGCGTTCTAGGCCATACCGGTCTTGCTCTTCCGGTGTCGCATCCCAGCCGATGGCCTCCCATGTCGTTCGTAGTAGTTCGGCACCATGCTCTCTGACATCCCCAGCAATCTTCCAGATCGCGCGTCGCTTCTGTTCGGGGAAGGTCTCCAAAGCCAGCGAAGGGCTTCCCACCAACTTGAGCAGCGTTGTGAAGAACATCTTCCAAAGCTCGGTGTTGAACCCTTCTGCGTCATCGGGATCTGGCATGAAGGACTCAAGCATGAGGTCGGCAATGTATTGCAAAGCTCGCATCGTTGATTTGTGCTGATAAATGCGCACGCTCAACCAGTCTTGCGGGAAGGCCTCTCCGTTAAGAATACTAAGATGCACCTGGAGGAGGTTCTCTAGCATCATTGCCAAATCTTCTTCAGTCAACTCATCAAGCTGCATGCCAGCCGCGGATGTCGATATTGCAGAGAGCACGGCGGCTAGTTCAGCGAGTGCTTCGTCGTGCGTGAGCTCGGCAGCCATTGTTTTAGAAGGGAAGGGGTAGGAGGTCGGGAAGAGCAATGACAGGCGGTTGCGTGGTTTCTGTTCTACAGCCAGGAGAGCCAGGTAAGAATCGATAATCCCAGGAATATGCTTTGGAACTTCAAGCCCAAGATAGTCAATCTGACTGGCCAGGACGGAGCAACACAACCGTATTTGCGCTCGCCATTGATCGTTAATCTCCGGTGCGTGCCCCCAGTGAGGCGTGATCCAGCGAACAGTGTTCGCGACAAGCACGGAACGCTGTTCGGGGTCTGAGAAAAGACCTATCTTGGAGTAGTTGATGATCAGGATCAGCTTGTACAGCACCAACTTGCCCTTCACATCGGCGCATGAGTCCACAAAGTCGATGGCAATGTGTAGGATCTCTTCCGCACTAAGCAACCCGACTAGCTCAGGGAGCCACGTATGGAAGTGCTGCACTGCAAGTGTCTGACTCCCGACCAGAACGGGTGAGGTGTTGCGCATCATCGCATCGAGTGCCTTGAAAATGGAACGCAGGTGGCGACTGAAACCCGTCGTGGAAGATTTGAGTCCTATGCCAGCCTCCTTGACCTTCTGCTGCCCCCTTGAGTGGGTGATGAATTTGAGTATGTGGCGAACCACCTTGAAGGTTGCTCGCAATTTGCGGGCTGTCTCGGGCTCTGTTGGATTTTCAAGTAGCCTGGTAAACGACCGCACCAGACAAGGCGTAGCAAAGGGAAAGTTGAACTCGTTCTCCGCGTAACGGTCGACTATCGGCCCAAGATTGAATCGACGGTCGTGCACGATGTCTAGCACCCGGACCAATGCAGTGAAGACGAGGTCTTCATATTCATCGTTGCCCGAGTACTCGACCAGAATCCCAAAGAGCCCGTTCAGCACGTCGCTCAGTAGCTTGACCACCTCAATTTCAGGCACGAATATCAGCTGCCGTAATATTGGCGGTATATTGTCTCGGGGCGTATCCTTCCATCTAAGCAGGCCTAGCACCACTCGATCTTGGGAGAACTTGGTACTGCAAAGGTATGTATCGACAAAGAGTGTGGCAAGAGGCCCAGTCACCTCGGCAGAGCGCTCGTTGTTACCGCGTGGCGTCCATGGTAGTGATAGGTAGCCGCCTTTGCCGACAGGGCCGGGCAGGGGAGTTGACGTGTGCTCGTCAATCTTATAGAGAAGCAGACCATGCGTGCCGTCGCGGACAAAAGCCTGCTGATCCCATAGGGGAATGTGGGCGACAGCGAAAGGTGGATTCGGCATGTTACATAAGAAGAGGACAACATGCGCGTTACACACGTCGCTAGGCGATAGCGAAAGCCGCAGGATCTGGCCCCATGCCTCGCCTCTCTCGACTGCTACCGATTTGAACGTAGTCAAGGCGTCGCCGTTCGACGAAGCATATATGCAATTTTCAATGCGCTCCCCTGAGTTGCGGCGAACCTCGGCAGTGAGCTGAAAGTTGATCCCTTGCGTAGACGCCGGCATGGGGGTGGCGCTACCACCGTATCGCGAGAGAAGATTCTGCCTAGCTAGTGTTGCTTGGTTGATGGTCAGGTAGATGTCCGAACGTGGTTTCGAGGGGGCACCGGAGAAGCCCATGCGATTCGTTTTGCTGACTCCCGCGAGAAGTGTTGGAGTTGCCTTGATCAATGCATCCGCATCAGGGTGGCTGAAGCTCCTTAGGTAGATTTGCAAGCGTTCGCCTCTGTTTGATTTCTCGTAATGAGTCATCGGGCTGTCCATAATTTCCCTAATGATGGGATCCCAATCATCACCGTAGTCGGCTTCATTCGTAGGCTTCGGAGTCCGCGACCACATGCTCACCACCTGCTCGAACTCTTCGTCTTGTTTTACAACGTTGTTGAGTTTGAGAACACCCACCCCTAGGGTTCTCTGGGCTACTTGCGTGTCGCTGACTGGAGCGCCTGCCTTTGTTCCAGCAGTGCTAGGCGGTCCGCTGTCGGTATCGTCGGTTGCAGGGCGTTGTTCGGACTGCTCGTTGACGGACTCCATTTTACTGGATGTACCCCGTGATATAGCTGATCGCGCAGTCTTGCTAGCCCACATGAAGCTCCGCCTAGAAGATTTGGTGCCAGGTGCCGACGGTGGCTTGACATTCTCCTTGCCGTAGCCATTGGAAGGGCCTGTTCCGGTTCTCGAGGCTGGCTTTGCAAATGCAATTTGTTGCGAAGCCACAATTTTCACCACAAGGTAAAGCTCAGACTCTGACGAGGGCGCATCGCCAATATCTTGGGGCGCAATATCCGCGAAGAGGGTGCTTGTCTGGGCATATTGCGCCAGGCTCTCCAGGGTGCCTCCAGCAGCAACGTCTACCATGAAGGGCTCTGACACGCTGGCCAGCTTGCGGCTTGCGGACTTGCTCACTAAGCTGAATAGCAGCGACGTCTCCTCGGACGAAGAACCCGCAAACCCCTTGACGTCCAAGTATAGGTGATGTCGCGTGCTGGGCTCGATCGCTGTCTGCGGTGGCTCGTCCAGCAAGCTCATGACCGACTGCAATTGCGTGATCTCGACGGCCGAGTCATCGCCCGTGAGGACTCGACCTTGGGCTTGAGGGTCCCGAACGATAACATCTCCACCGCAGAGCTTGTTGACCTTGACCAAATCCCAGACTGTCTTCTCGCGTAGCCGATCGTACTCATGCGCGGTGAGAACATTGTAGAGAAATTGCTGCCGGCTCAGATCAAGGTCGTTGATGAGCTGAGACAGCTGATTCAGACGGTCATACTGTCGCGTCAGGAGGAGTTCGTGGAGGTTCGTTGAGTGCCACTCCCTAAGACATGAACCAATTTCGTCAATCAAAGGTTCAGACGCAGATGTCGGTGTTTCGTCGCCCACTTTCAGCATGGGTACCGGCGCTGGTGGTCGTGGTGTGCTGGGGTCTCGTGTGACTGGTATAGACAGCTTCGCGAGAGGGTTGTTGGCAAGGTCCCGATGTGTTTTTCGCGACCTTGGCGAAGCCTGTGACGGCCCATCACCGCTAATGGCAGCGGCCTTTTCGTCGGTCGGATCGGTCTCGTCGTCCGTCTCGCCAGATTCGCCCAGCAGCTCTCGCACCTCCACGCAGCTTCTAGGGAAAATGCCACTAAACACGCGCGCCTCAAGGGTTTGTCCCTTGACGGATGTCAAACCGGCCAGCAAACTAGGTGGCGCAACTAGATAGCCGCGCAACCAGTTGCCGTCCGGCGTTTCTTCGATCACATATAGCTCATCGCCAATCTCGAGGGGTAGGTCGGCCGGGCTCGAGGGTGCGAATGGGTATGTCGCGATAGCGAAAGCAATTCGGGGCAGCGGCTGCCAGGGCATTGAGGTCGCCTAGATCGTGTCTCAGGTGCGCTGCTTCGGGTGGTGGGAGAATGGCTCAGGAACGCGGCAGGATTCGTCGATCCAAGTCGCGCGCGAGGATGTGAAGTCGGGCGAGGCGCGACGGCGAAGGCATCAAGGTACTCTTGTCTGTGCAGCAACGGAGTCGAGGTTGAGTAGGATAATTAACGAGAATTGACATGCAAATCTCACACTGGGCTGAGATGAGTTTGTTTGGCCGTCCAGGTGCTTGGCTTGTTACTGAGCAGTCAAGTAGCGGCCTTCATCCAAATTTCTCGACGTCGTGCGACCCCTGAAGCCGCGCTTCTGGCTGGTGTACCTGGCCAGGGTCGTAGGCAAACGGCTGCAAGCCCAAAAATAAAGGAACCAGAAAACGTGGCGCACAAGCACTAGTCGCAATTAATTGAATACTAGTCGAATCATGATTGTCTATTTTCCCCCTTGAGTGTCAGCTTCAATGCTGGTGCCTACAGTTTACTTGAAATACAGTACATGTACTTGCACAGGATCTGTCTTTCGGTTGGCGACGCGCCTGCCGCCAATGTGACCTCCAGTCGGCTTCAGTGACCGCAAGGGACGATAACCTGACCACTACAGTACTTGTAGTACCTTATGCTCGAGATCGGCACAGTGCCGTATATCAACATCAAATTCTGTTTACTAGTACCCTGGTAATGATTGGTGAAGAAACATACGTAGTAAGATAGGCTTTTGATGCTATAATAGTGAACAAATCTCCCATGGGACAGCATTCCGCGATACCCACACAAGGTGCATTGATTTGTTGGTTAGTACCCTGACGCATGACAGGGTCAACGTTGGACGTCATTGTGGCAGCTTCACTTTATCAGTGTGTTGAGCTCGTTGAACTTTATATGTACTATGACAAGGTCCTTGTCTGTCGTTCAACGTATGCTCGTTGACTGTTACTTAGGTAGTTACCAAGCCTTACTGTATTTTCTGATGCTCGCGTCAACGGTGCAGGGTAGCCTCTTGAATATGTGGTGTCAATCCCTGGCTCACACCAACGAGATGCGCGCCGCGCGCGACCGCAAATATAAGGTACTTATCGACTATTATTGCGTTTGATAGATTCTCCCGCACTCTCAAGCCGTTTGACGAGTCAGTGCTTGTATGCACTACTTAAAACGTTTGTAGGGTAGCATCGACACCCGTAGTTGACCATGTCTGGCCCGTTGTTTGCTACCCAGTCTGTATAGCCTTGTGGTCGGCCCCACACGTCTTCCGACGTAATGCATCCATCCTGATGAATCGGCATCAAAGAGACTTTCGTTTATTGATTTAAGTAAGGTAAGTTTTCAATGTACCAGGCAGTGGATGCTCGCATGTCGCCTCACCCTCAAACCCCATCACGCTCTGGTGATACCGTTCCCTTGCTGACTGGTCAAACCAGCATCTGCTTGCCACTTGTTGACCTCAACCCGCATACGACCTCTCGTAGAAGGCCTGCCAGATTGTAATATCCCTCAGCGCGCGACAGAGCGAAGTTGAGCAGCTCTCCCAGCTGCCCCTCTCGCTATCGACGGCTGCTCGTCCGACACCTGCCCTATCTCTTTGCCGCACTGCCACAGGCGCGCGCAAGTATTCAAGTGCAACATCGCTGTCATCCGCCTTCCCCACGTCAAGCACGTGTATCGTCGATCATCTTCTGCACGTTGAACCCCTCTTGAGGTGTCATTCTCTCACGCATATTTGTCTTCCTAGCCTCACTTCGCTCTTTCCGATACTCAGGAAACAAGCGAACGGCAAGTGGCCACCATGGGAACACCATTCATCACTTTCCTCGAGCCTAGTAAGCTTGAGGGATACATGTCTAAAGCAGCCCGAGAGAACCAACCCAGTGCCATCCCCAAAGCCTTCCTCGATGCCATGGAAGTAAGAGAGCAAGTCTTCGTCGAGGAGCAAGGGGTGCCGGCAGAGAACGAGTTTGATTCAGACGATTCGCGGTCATGCCACTGGGTCGTCTACGCCAGCGTAAACAAGACTGAAGAGCTGGAAATCCGTGACGAGAGTGGCGCTGTCATCCGACCACGCAAAAGCTCAACGCGTTCGGTGCCTGTGGGAACTATTCGACTGGTCCCTTTCCCCCATGATCCTCATCCAGTGGATGGCGGCGAATACTGGGACGGTAAGCTGAAGGGTGAGGAAGACAAAGTCACCGGTCCCACCGGCCCTCAGAAGCCCTACATCACCGACCGTCCAACAAAGTATCACGATGGAAAAGAACCATACATGAAGCTCGGTCGGCTGGCTGTGGTGAAAGAATTTCGTGGCCATAGACTAGCGGGCCTGCTAGTCAAGACTGTCCTCAGCTGGCTCAAGGCGAACCCTGCTTTCTTCAACCCAAGTATCAAGGAGATTGGTCTTGAGAACATGGGTGCCTTCAATGAGCGCGACATTCCCACCTGGAAAGGGCTGGTCTGTGTCCATGCGCAGGAACAAGTTCAGGGGTTATGGGCCAAATGGGGTTTCCAGCTCGACGACGGGATGGGAACGTGGATGGAAGAAGGCATGCCCCATGTTGGCATGTTTCAACGCCTTGAGGTGAACTCGGACCAGATCAGGATTTAGATACCAGGTATTGATTGATGCATGCATCACTCGGGGGGCTGGGGGATATGAGCAACGACAATTACGACCACAGCAGGCACGATAGAAAATCATGATTCATTGGACATTCATTTCATTTGCTCCTGGAGCTCGATTTTTATTGAGACTCTAGAGCGAATTGGAGACAATCCGTAGCCGCGTTCCCCAGACCCGAACGCAAAATGCACTTCTGAAAGATGCCGTAACCACGCCAAAAGCCCCCCCAGAGGTAAGATCCCACGCCAGTTTTCGCAGCCCCAAGTTTTTGCTGCAAAAGACATAAACAAGCGCTTTATCGGTTGGACTTTGCCACACGCTCCAGCTCATCCTTCTTCTTGATAGCGTACGAGTTGCTGCTACCCTTGGCGGCGTTGATCAGCTCCTCAGCGAGGCACTCGGCGATCGACTTGACGTTGCGGAACGAGGCCTCACGGGCACCGGTGGTGAGCAGCGAGATGGCCTGGTTGACGCGGCGCAGAGGCGACACATCGACGGCTTGCCGACGGACGGTACCGGCGGAACCGATACGGGTAGAGTCTTCGCGGGGACCGCAGTTGACAATGGCGTCAACGGCGACCTGGATGGGGTTCTGGTCGGTCATCAGGTGGATCTGTGATATCTCAAGTCAGCCCTTGTCCTCTATCCTTCGTCCATTGGTCTTGGTGGTTCGGGTGGGACGTACGATCTCGAAAGCGTGGGCAACGATGCGGACAGCCATGAGCTTCTTTCCGTTGTTGCGGCCGTGCATCATGAGCGAGTTGGTGAGACGCTCAATGATGGGGCAGTTGGCCTTGCGGAAGCGCTTGGTGGCATAGCGACCGGCGGAGTGAGGAAGGTAGACGGGGTTGCGGAGGGAGATGTAGTCACTATATTCCCATGTCTCGTTAGCCGGCCAATTCCAAATATTCAGCACACCCTCTCCCATGGCCTGATTCCCTCTCCATGTCGGCTCTCCGGGGTCGGGTTTTCGGTAGGTAAAACGTACGTCAGGGAGATGTCGCGGACCTCAACATCGTAATCCCACTTGTTGAACAACTTGATGTTGCCAACCTCCTTGACGACATCCTTGGGGAGGATCTCGGGGAGAACAGAGTTCTCGACCTCAAGCTCGCCGTTGTCAGACATGTTGGCTGTGGTGCAGTCGTGCTCGTGCTCGTGGGCGGATTGAGACGAAGAGGAGGGGGTTGGACTGCCGTGTTAGTATCGTTGCTGAAGTGCGGTCGCGACGTTCGCTTGAGTGGGAATTTTTCCTTGGTGAGGTCGGAGGTGGGCTTGGTCCCAACGAGGGTTCGAAAAACGGGTGGTGTGGGTTTTCGGCCAATCACAAGCCACCAAAATTCAAGTACGTACCTGCACACCTCACCTGCTTAGGGCACGTCTGCCCTCGCAAACTCCGGCTGCACTGCACCCGCGATTCGAGTGGGATTATGACCTTCTCGACTGAACGCCTTGTCCAAAAATTCCGTTCCCTCCACACGCCCGTTGAACGACAACACATCCAGACAAAATGGTACGAAGCCTGCATCTCCTGATCGAAGCCGACAACGACGCATCATGGCGACGGCGATTATTCCCAGCGAAGATACACCCGGCTAACCTCTTGCGATAACAGGCGCCCACCGCAAAGAAGCAAAAGAAGAAGTGGTCCAAGGGCAAGGTCAAGGACAAGGCCCAGCACGCTGTCATCCTCGACAAGACCACCTCTGAGAAGCTCAACAAGGATGTCCAGTCGTACCGCCTCGTCACCGTCGCTGTTCTCGTCGACCGCATGAAGATCAACGGCTCGCTCGCCCGCAAGTGCATTGCCGACCTCGAGGAGAGGGGCATCATCCGCCCGATCGTCACCCACAGCAAGATGAAGATTTACAGTACGTACAAGCCAGGGAACCATGGACCGTACCCGGAGGGACCTGTACTAACGACTCACCTAGCCCGTGTCGGTGCTGCCTAAGTTAATGGCTCCACGAACTTGGTATTGGGATATGGCGTCGGGATGGCCTGCTTGATAAAAGGCCCGCAAGGTCAAGGGACGGTGTCAGGCGGAAAAGCCTACAGGGACATCGTTTTTGCAATGAATGCTCATGGACCGGATCTGCCTCCGAAACGGCGACGAAATGAAAATGACGTTAAATCATCCAAACTCCCACATAGCCCGTGCATGTCTACACTTGCCCCTCATGATGATGGCATGTTCGGGTCTTCAAATTCCTGACCACAGACAAGTCTTGGATAGCTGTAGAGCAGCAGACCATGTCTGAGCGCACCAATTGGCAACTCTGACATGATTATCATCATGTGAAACCATACTTGTCAGCTGCCCTCCTATGCCTGCTGCTTCTGCTGCTTTGCCACCGTAGATGAGTTATCTGTGCGATCGACTCACATCCACCTCTTCTTTAGGGTGAGTGATTTCGCAATACCATGAAACTTTCGCGTATTGTCCCCGTCAACGCTTGAGGCATGTTGGCCGTATGTGCTGAATCTGCGGAAACATTCCCCATGAAGGACTACTCAAATAATCTGTTAATCGCTCGCCTCGTAGTCTATAACCAACATACGAGCGGCGACATCGCCTCAACACAGGCTTCAGCCTCAAGCACATCAGAGGTTTAGTTCACCCTCTCGGCAGCCCTACCAGGCTCCCCGACTGGGCCCCATCCCAAGCAGTACTGTCGTCTACTAGCATCGCAGACTTGTCCGAAGCGTTGCGCCCGTGAATCATCTGATCGATACGTATCAGATACATTTGCAACAACCGTGGATAGAAGGAGCGACACTGTGAACCGTGGCTACGAGTATGAGGTTCAATAGATGCCGTCGCAAAGCCTGGGAATGGGGGAGCTGGGAAGTTGTGGAATGATGGAAATCAAGTTTCATCATGTGCCATAATCGCCCGTGAACAGAGCGAAAAGCAACACCAAATCGACGTAACCCGCAATCAAGTCGATGACCAGAGGCACACCGGGCTGGATTGTGACCAAGGAAGACTGCAATCGCCAAAGCGAGATGTATTGGCAAATGTCGTTTGGCTTGTGGTCTCTGCACTGAAAACAAGAACTGGCGATGTGAACCCGCAAGAATCCTGGGGAGATGAGGCCCCGTCTTAGCTCGGCTATCTTTGGTCGTTCGTATTCGCTGGGTCGGATCCCAATATGATGGCAAAACGATAATGAGGCTATGGTTGCGATATCAGTAGGACAGTGACCGGCGATACACGCAAGAATCAATTGACTCAATTGACCATGATGGTCTCAACACAGCAAAATGGTCAAGCCATCGGCAGGCAAATTTGTTACACGCTGGCCGGGGCACACCGCGGTTAGATATGGGCGTCCAAAGGGGTGCCGACGCATGCTGGCGCAATTCTACCTTGTCTGGGCAGCGAGAATGAACCGGCATCGAGCGGGCCCACATCGATCTCGCGGTGTCCGAAGGCTTGGCTTGGGGTAGACATAATAATAGGCTCAAGACCAGCCATCAAGAAAAGGGGTTGGAGCGAAAGAAGACTGGTTTGTTCCGCAGGTAGAGCAATTGGAGTGGATTAATTCTGGCGCAGTATTTGGCTCAGACGATACTTGTCTGTAAAGGCCGTAAGAAATAGAGCACATTGACGGCAATTGGTAGCTATTGCGAAATTCAGTATCGATACAGGCGCTCGCCTTGCCGCAATCTTTTTTGACCTGTTGACTGGGATAAGAATGGCCTTGTGGCCTCAGGCTTCCAGGCGTTGTCAGGGAGAGCTGGGAATTGACCGTCCGCGGGCCGTTGATTGGATCCGAAATGCTAGTGCCCCACTCGGGTGAGCGCTCGCTATCAAACTTGGCCGCCCCTTCCCGGCTGCAATTTTTTCCCTCAGGATTTATTTGGCTCGACACCTCCGAGAATCTTTCTTCCTTTCTCCCACACATCCTCCCTTTCTGTATCCAATCTCCCCTCAGTCCTTTCTCCTCACAGCAAGAGAAAGTCGTCAAGATGTCTCCTACCGACAACAAGGTCCTGGGCATGCCGGTAAGTTGCCTTGAACCGAACGCCGACAAGAGCGCGCCTACGCGACAGCGATATGATCGAGCCGCCCGATGGTCATTGAACAACGAGGGAATCCATTGGAATTGATATTCCATTGATTCGAGTACACTCTTGTGACATGAACACCATCGGAGACGTGTCCTCACTCGTTTCGGGCTGGCGCGCGCTTCTTGTCGAGCCGACGAACTATCTGTCCTTAAAGTGCGCATCAGCTAACTCAATTCACAGCCCTTCGTGGCGGACTTCCTGAGTATGTTCCATCACCAGATTCGACGCGCGAACGTCAACATTCTCGTCGACAACATCTAACATGATCAATAGTGGGTGGTGTCTCCGCCGCCGTCTCGAAGACTGCTGCCGCTCCCATCGAGCGTGTCAAGCTCCTGATCCAGAACCAGGTTCGTCCCCTTCACACACTCGCCACTCCGCAATGTATGCTTACAATGACTAGGATGAGATGATCAAGTCCGGCCGTCTCTCTCACCGCTACACTGGCATTGGTGACTGCTTCAAGCGCACCGCTGCCGATGAGGGTGTCATGTCCCTGTGGCGTGGCAACACTGCCAACGTCATCCGTTACTTCCCCACCCAGGCCCTGAACTTCGCTTTCCGTGACAAGTTCAAGAAGATGTTCGGCTTCAAGAAGGAGCGTGATGGCTACGCCTGGTGGATGGCTGGTAACCTGGCCTCCGGTGGTGCTGCCGGTGCCACGTCCATGTTGTTCGTCTACTCCCTGGACTACGCCCGTACCCGTCTCGCCAACGACGCCAAGCACGCCAAGACTGGTGGTGCCCGCCAGTTCAACGGTCTCATTGACGTCTACCGCAAGACCATCGCCTCTGACGGTATTGCCGGTCTGTACCGTGGCTTCATGCCCTCCGTCGCCGGTATCGTTGTCTACCGTGGTCTCTACTTCGGCATGTACGATTCCTTCAAGCCCCTCCTCCCCAAGGGTCTCGAGGGCAACTTCTTCGCCTCTTTCGCCCTGGGTTGGTGCGTCACCACCGCTGCCGGTATCGCTGCCTACCCCCTTGACACCATCCGCCGTCGCATGATGATGACCTCTGGTGAGGCCGTCAAGTACAAGTCTTCCCTCGACGCTGCCCGCCAGATCATTGCCACCAACGGTGTCAAGTCTCTCTTCAACGGTGCCGGTGCCAACATTCTCCGTGGTGTTGCCGGTGCTGGTGTCCTGTCGATCTACGATCAGCTCCAGCTCATCCTCTTCGGCAAGGCCTTCAAGGGTGGATCTGGTTAAATCCATTCCACATAACATTTCCTGTATAGAAACTTTCGTTGCTGTTCACGGTGAGGAGAGTTGGGAGATCGGGTTCGCTGATTTCGAACGACATGTATTTGGTCTCGGCAAAAAGGGAGAGACGTGGATTTGGCAGACAAGGGAGTGCAGATATCCAGAAGTGGTTTACAAGACCGACTTTATCTCTGCGGGTTAGACTGGCATCGGCATGGCGTTATTCGATTACTGGCTTTGCCGTCCTTTCTAAGTCGCTGTAATATACATCTACGCAATTTTCCCTTGCTATAATCTGTCTTGCTCGTCTGTATACTATCATTGTGATGCTCATTCTCGCGGACAACGGTCCTCTCTGCATCACGTGACTATTGAAGTTTCCTTGGTGAGCCCGTATCACTGCACCTCGCACTCGTTCGCAACGTGTTTACGCCCGAGACCCTTCATTCAAGAGAGGAGTCCTCACAATGCCTCCGCAAAACAACAAAGCGAAGGCCACGCGTGGTCGGCCCCCGGGAGCCAAGGCTCCATCAAAGCCAGTTGAAGATGACTCTGCCAGCGACCCTTTCGCGTCAGAGGTTGAGGAAGACGTCGCCACAGCGCGTCCATCGCCTCCCAGGGCACAGCCAGACGAGGCAGAGAGCTCTGATGACAAGACCATACCCCGTGACTTACTCACTCGTCTCCTTCACGAGTTCTTCGCCAAAGACACAACCCGCATCTCGAAAGACGCGAATGCATCGGTCGGCAAGTACGTCGATGTTTTCGTGCGGGAAGCATTGGCTCGAACGGCTGTTGAGAAGCGGTCCGGGTTCTTGGAGGTGAGTCGTGTCTTTCGAGGCGTGCATGATTGTGTTCTGAGCTGACGGCGTGTCCAGGTCGAAGATTTGGAGAAAGTGACGCCTCAGCTTATGCTTGATCTTTGAGCGGCTTGAAGAGCAAGTCCTGGTCAATGTGATCATGGTGATCTTCAATGGCCAACGAATGCCCTGCATCCCATCACCTTTTGATATCTCGCCATCTGCTGGTCATTATTCAACAAGTGCGAACGAATATCTGTGGCTACGGGGCGCTTGGCACCTCATAACTGTCTGCGGACCCAAGAAGCATGCATCTTCACATTGCTGCCAGCCGAATTCCACACGCGCGATCAACAGGGCCTGAGTCAGCCTCGATCACGTTGCGCTCGGCAATTAGGTGACAACCCATTGGTCGATGATTCTGCAAAGCCACGGTTCAAGCTGAGGTGTCGTTGAACTTGCATGCAAGGCAGTGTTCAAGGAGTCGCACTGCTGGTTTCCCGATCGACTGGTTGGGAATTATATTACACACTGAAATCAGCAGACTCTCAGTGGCCAGAGCACCAACAATTAAGGCCTAGGCTACCAATAATGACAAGTTTTGACCATTCATCAATTCAACTATATGTCCACCGCCCCATTGCAATAATACCTATGTCATTTCTTAGGTGCCGAGATGGGTGTTGCAGGGGTGAAACCGGAAGCGTCTCGCATTTGTACGAGGCTGCATGTGGAAGGCCGTCAGTCCGCCTGCAGCTTGGCAGCAACCCAGCCTCGAGATCATCTCATCTTGGACTCTTCGAATTTTCGAAGGGCAATGGGAAAGGTCTGTCAAAATTCTGTGTATCCCGCTGCAGAACAGCTCAATTACCAAGATGAGAATTCGCCCATGATTGAACCCTCTCGAGCCCAAGGCTACCGCGCGAGTGTACGATAGCCAAGCGCCTGGGATTGAGCGCCACGATACTCCCAGACAGGTCGAGACGTGACCTCAAACTGTTTCGTTTACGGAGTCGCATATTGCGGCGGCCTCACTGGCTTGCGGTGCCATGCCTGCTCTCCTGAAGCTGTTTGGACTCGACCTTGGCCTGGTTCGTCAAACGCAGGACGATTGACGGCTCGCAGTCGTTCCGTGAATGTCTGTCGTGTGTTGAAATAAGAGAGACTGTCTCCCGCTCATGCTCAACCAGTCTGCTTCATCCTCATCCAACTCTTTGTGAAGCTTGACGGTTGTTTCCTTTTCCTTTCTTTCACTTCCCTCTTGTGTTTTCTGATAATACCCCTTCAGTTCTCTTCATAAGGCCGGCCTTATTGTGAACCTGTCGCTACCTTGTCTTCTGTTGCATCAGCTCGATCTCTGGTAGATCCAACATCTTTCCTTTTCACAGCCGCCCCTTCACACATCAGCCAAGCGCCAAGATGTTCTTCCGCTCGTTCGCATTTGCAGCTGCTCTGCTCAGCATGGCGCAAGGTATGTTGCTTCTCTCCCTCGATGTCAAAGAGTGTACTGACACGGGATATTAGCTGTGGATGTACAGGTCGTCTACGTGGGCCAGAACCCCGCGAACAATGTGACGGGTCTCAAGTACTGGCCCGAGAACATCAAAGCAGAGCCCGGGTCCATGGTCCAGTTCCAGTTCTGGACGGGCAACCACACCATCACACAGTCTTCCTTTGACAAGCCTTGCACGCCTTGGACGCCGGCTGCGAACGAATCTACCACCCAGCAGGTAGCCGTCAAGAGCGGCTTCCAGCCTGTGGATGCGAGCTGGATGGATGGAAACATCCCGACGTACACAGTCATGATCAACGACACAAAGCCATTGTGGTTCTACTGTGGGCAGGGCGCTCATTGCCAGAGCGGCATGTCCATGGTGATCAACGAGAAGTGAGTGGACCCTTCTTTTGACAGTTTCTCGCGACAATTGTTGACCCTCGCAGAGCGGAGAGCGGCAAGACCCTGGCAAAGTACAAGCAGGCAGCATCAACTGTCAGCAGCGGCGACGGCGGATACGGTGGTTCGGGAGGTGGCAACTCCAGCGATGGATCCAATGGGGGCAGCTCAGGAGGCGACTCTGGCAGCGGCTCCGGCTCTGGTTCTGGTTCTGGTTCTGGTTCTGGTTCCGATTCTGGCTCTGGCTCTGGCAGTGGCTCTGGCGACAGCTCTGGCGATGGTTCAGGCAGCGGATCTGGCGACGGCACCGACGGCGGAAACACACCTGGTAACATTCCCGGCGACGCTGATCAAGTTGGCAACCCGAGTGCAGCCGCCACGGCATGGGCATGGACCACTTCGATGCTGCTGGTGGTCGGCGCTGCTGCAGCACTGATCTAGAGATTACCAGTTTGTACGCCAACCATATAATCAGTTGGGGCGATCTCCTTGTCAGATTTGGGAGGAGTTGGATAATAAACAGGCCAAGCTGCTCAATAGCTTGCAAGATATTTTGATATTTCGTAAAAGATAGGACTCAGGTTCACATATAATCATGCACCTACCGACTTTAGACCTTGGGGATCTTTCTTTTGGACCTCCCCTTTTGCGCGGGCGCGCAGAGCTGCCTCCTGGGCATCTTGTCCAGCCAGCCCTCTTCCCTCTTCAAGTACCCAACGCGGTGGTACTTTTTGCTCTTGGCGAAGAAGTCGACCCAGTGTTTCAATGCGTTGAACGCCTTTTCCTCGGCAGCCGCTCGCTCCTGCTTCTTCATCTCCTCCATCTGCGCTGTCGTCCAGTATGCGTCCACTTCGGGATCGTCAATGGGCAGATACATCTCCTCCACGCCCCGCATGTCAGGTACGGCGTCTTCGGCAAAGCAGCCCGTCACGTAGGCGCGCGCGGCGTCGCGGCCGCCAAAGTACTGGTAGGAACCGCCGGGGCCGTAGATGTGTCGCGACACGGACACGTCGTAGATGGTGCCATTGATGGCGAGATACAGTGGCTTTTCGGTATCTGCGCCGTTGTGTTGGGCAAGCTCTTCCGGGGTCATGTACATTGGGCCAGACTATAATCTCTTGGTCAGTCTGCGGTTCCAAACCTTGGGCAGGGTGCATTTAAATGGGAGTGGCTTACAAGCCTCTCCTTCCAGTAGACAGTCCGAGCGTACTCTGGTAGTCGCACGCCGCCCCATGTCCAGCTACTGCCGCCGGTTACAACATAGCTGAGTCCGCACGAGGCGACGACAATGAAGCTCAACACGCGGAGGATGTCGAGGTAGAAGCTGGCCTTGTCGTCGTCCTGTGCGTCGTCGTGTTTGCTTGAAGGCTTTGTGGTTTCTGGCTCAGCCTTTGCCTTGCGCTGGCGCAGCTCAGAGTCTGCCATTGCCTCTGATTCTGATGATGCTGACTTCTCAATCGCTGTCGACGATGTTCACAATTGCCCAGGGTCTGGCTTGGAAAAGGTGGCTTTTGCAACGACAGTCCACCCCACATTTCGACTTCATGCCGCCGCCCGGGAGCAAGGGGATCCGTTTTGTGCTAGACCCCATTTGGAACTCTTGAGTTCCTCCCCAAATGATACAAGTATGCGTAATTACGCTGAACTCGCAAGGTGAATTCATTCATATTTCGTCGAAAGTCGAAAGACGCCAAATAAGCTCACTCTTCATGAAGAGCTGCCAATGACGAGGACTCAACTGTAACTCAGAGCGTCTAGGGTAGGCATGAAGTCTTCGGTGTGCTAGTACTGGTTGTCTAGGCAACCACCGCCTTGGCGGGATGTCAATCCATAAACACGCAATCATGCCTCCGCGCTCTGAACCCCGGCCTGCTCAACGTGCCAACGCCATCCGAGACCCTCCCGCAACTCTACCTTATGCAATTTGTCCCTTTTTAGAGGATCATCAAGCGCTAAATAACAATCCGCATGCCAATCGACCAGCCAGCCGTAAACATGGATGACGAGTCGAGCCAAGCAGGCTCACCGGTCGGCAGGCCTCTCCAGGCTATCACCGCCAACGCGCAACAACGCGATTCTCTCAGCACCGTCCACGATAAGATCAGCCAGTTCAACAGTATGAGCATTGCGATGCAGTCTAAACAGCTCGAGCGCAAGACAGCCGACGCAGCCCTGAAACGCGCCATGATCGGGCGCGAGGAGGCCGAGGTGGAATTGCGCAAATGCAAGGAGGAGCTGAAAGCATTGCGCAAGGCCGTCGACGAGGGCAAAGAGCGCGAGCGTAGGGTCGGCGAGAGACTGGAGACTGTCATGGTTCGCAAGCACTTTTATGACCACCGCGCACCCAAGTTGCTAACCCACAGCGCAGGAGAACTATGGCCGAGCGAAGGAGACACACGCACACACACAAGCTCTCTGGGAGAAGGAGATTCGACGCGCAAGAAAAGAGACGTTTAAGACACAATCTACACACGTCAAGTTACAGGAGGAGCTCAAGACAGCCCGCAGCGCGACCAAGACCCTCGAAGAGACCGTCGAGCGCGAAAAGAAGCGAAGTCACATGCGGGAGCAGGATGCCTTTGAAGCGCGCTACCAGATGGTTGGCATCCAGGAGAAGCTCGAGCAAGCCCTCGCGCTGATTAAAGTCGTCGAGCAAGAGCGCGACGCGTACAAGACGGCGGCTAAGAACGAGGAAGTCGCGCGCATCGCAGCCGAAGGCCGGATTCCACTACCTGTATCGCACGATCCGCTCGACGAATTCGCATCACCAGCAAAGAAGACGCAAATGAAAAAGAGGAAGCTCAGCGTCGAGCCAAGGTACTCTCTATCAACATGGGAGGTCGAAGCCACATCGGCTGCGGAGTTGGAAATCGAGGACCTGACGAGTCAGATCCAATGGGAGAGGCAACGCGCCGACCGAGCGCAGGAGATGATTGATTTCCTGCGGGCGGAGTGCGAGATGAAGTTCTGTGCCTGCGGCAGAGCCCGAGCGCAGATCAGCCGGGACTCGTCCGCTTATCAACTTTTGAAGGCCTCTGATCGCCACAGCGAGACAGCGGAGGAGCCCATGTCTGAGGGCACGGAGGAGCAGCTCTCCAACCACCCAGATGAAACCCCGAGTGAGCACATGTCAGAAGCAGAAGACGATGCGACGGAGCGGCCTCTACAAACTATGCAACAAGAATTCTCGAGCGACAACATCCCGATGCCACCGCTTACACCCAGCCCACCACGACCCGCCGCACTTCAGCCTTCTCCCGAGCTAGCCCCCGTAACGTCCAAAAAGGGCCCACGCCTGAGCACAGTCTTCTGCCCCAACGAAGGTGTCTTTCGAACGGTCTCGGAGCAGGACGCCAGTCTGCTTGAAGCACAGGAAGAGGCGCAGGTTATCGTCGAAGATGTGGAGCCTCAGAAGGCAGATCCATCGCCCTACGAGCATGAGGAGGAAGAGACGGAGGAGTTGCCAACGCCTGTTGAGCCCGAAACCGAATTGGACTACACGTCGTCAGCCCGCCTGTACGCACGCACCCCATCTGTCGAGCCCCCGTCGTTCGCTATGCTGGGTCAGCAGCGCACCTCGTTGCTTTCTTTGCTTAACGCTCCACATGGGGCCAACCGGGGTCAAACAATGCCACATGTCCCCATGGTGGAAGATCCCGCTGAGACGGCAGAACGCCAGGACGAGGAACAGCTAGAGGAGGACGAGGAGGCGCAAGGACCAAACTTCGAGCCCCCGCCTCGTGCGTCGCTTGAAACACGGCCTCATACTTCGACAGCCCTTTACGGCACTGTCACAACGACAGTCCCTCTCCGAAATGAGGACGAACAGCGCGAGTCATCCATGTCCTTCAACGAGAAACTGCGCACGCCCTCCAGCGGCAGCACAGCCAGTTTCGACACAACAAACCCAGCGCTCACGCCCACAATGTCCCGTGAGCAAGCGCTCGCCAAGATCCGCGAGAGGCGAGGTCGTGCCCGCAGTGCGCAGAACGGAGCAGCCCCGGCTAGCAGGAATGCCAGCCAGGGGAAGGAAAGGAGGGATTTGAGCGCGCCAACGAACAAGGTTGGCAGCAAATCGAGATGAGGTTGACGAATCAGCTGTTGGATTTCAGGCATTCAGCAAGGTGTTTTGCACAAAAAAATGGCGTTCTGGATGATTCAGGGGATTACTTCCATGTTACTTGGAGTTTGAGTGTTATACGAGCTATTAGCGGGCGTCCATTGCTTAATGAACGTTATTCTTCAACTTGCCAACGTCGTTGACGAAGGTTCTCTTATACAACCCCATGTTCGGGACAGACCCTTTCAGGATCCTAGAAACCCCCTGGCCATGTTGCGGCCACGTTCCGAGCTTACAGCGTCAATCTTGACTGCTACGAGGACACACTCGAAACCACCCTTGCCAGCCTCCGAAGGACGTATCCGCAGCCTCCACTGACCCTTTTTGACGGTCCATTCCTCTGGTTCCTCTGCTCGCCGCCTTTTACGCGGATTGTGACTAGGGCCGTCCTCGTCTTTGAGCATGGCAGCATCTGCCTCATACTCCTTGCCATCCAACAGTATGGCTGCCTCGGGTGGTAGAGCCACGCGCACGAGATGTTCGCTGAGGGTCGTGTGGCCCGGCGAAGGGACCCGTGCCTCCCCGCCGCCCGCCGCCATCAACAACCCCATCGGTTCCGCTGTAGGCGGCAAGCCCAGCTTTGTGGCAATGACCTCGAATAGCTTTCTAATTCTAGCCTCGGTGTCGTTGAAGAACTCGGCGCGAGGATCGCCCGACGTGGGTAGGTGTAGTTTCGTTGTCTCATGGCCAATCTCCAGTACAAGGTCGGCGGCCTTGTCATCGACATAGGGACGCGCGTAGGTGACCCAGCCGCTGGTCCCCGCGGGTTCGCCGGCGTCGTCTCGGACGGACAAGCCTGACTTTTGCACATTTTCCAGACGCAGCGCAATCTCCGTGCGCTGCCGCACCTGGTTGAAGGATATCTCGTGCGCAATCAGCTTCTGCTCCAGCCCCTTGAAGTGAAAGTAGCGCGCATCGGCGAGGAGCTTGGCGCGCTGCACCTCGTCGCGTATCTGCACGGGGTAACCCCTGAGGATGCGCAGCAGGTCGGCGAAGGTGTCGGCGTCCCGGTTCGGCACAGACGGGGGCAGGATGCTCGGTGGCCGGATGAGGCCCTCGCGGTCGAGCCCGGGGAACAGCTCGTCCGGTCTAGAGAAGAAGGCTGCGAAGCCGAGCGAGAAGAAGTTGGGCGAGTTGCCGGGGGCGCTGAAGGTGCTGCGTGGGATCTGGAACTCGCGGTGGCCGATGGAGATGAAGATGCTCTCCTCGTACAGCTGGCTTATCAGCCTTGGGACTGCCGATTTGGAGTTTCGTTAGCTTTCCTCTGTGCGTAATCAAAGGGGAGGCCCAGCCAAACGTACGGGAGTAGAACTGCGCATCGGCAAAGAGGCGCACAAAGTGCGTCCCGTCTCTGGGTGTGACATGGTAGCCCTGTAGATGGAGCGCAATGTCGCGAAAGGTCGCGGGGTCGCGATCGATGTAAAGTGTCTTGATGGCGGCGCACGGGTCTTCGTTGTTCTCTCTGGCCCTTTCCAACAGGGCGCGGAAATGCTGCGAGAAGTATGATGGTGCTATCGATTCTGTTAGGCCGACTGTCGAGGAGAAGTCTAGTGGAGGAAGCTGTCGGTATACGAACCGTCTGAGGAGATTGACGCGCCAGAGAGGTTGAACGTCTCGCCCCCAATCTGTATTGGAAAGACGCGCTCGTGTGGGAGGATGTAGGGGATCTTGAGCGTCCCGTGCGTGGCTACCGCGGTCGTATTTTGAGGCTGTTGCTGTTGTTGTTGCTGCTGCTGATAGTACTGGGCATTGTTTGCGCCAGCTCCGCTGGGCCCATCTTGAGTTGGCTCAGTGGACATTCTGCGACTCGAATTCGGGCGGACAAGATTTGCAATGCATAGGTAATATTACTCGGGGCCATGTATCTTGGATACCTGCTGGTAGATGTAGAGATCAATCAATCACAGCAAGCTGGGAGAACCGCATGCCAACAAGGGTGCCGCTACTAAACGCAATGCCCGCATCGCACCAGCTGCCTGTCCGAGCCTCTATCTCGGAACCAACATTGAAAGGTTACATCAATCGTCAAAGCCTCGGCAAAGTGCTTGGATTTACGTATTCAATGTTAAGTCACTTTTGATGAGACAGCCGCTGCAGCTCGAATGGGCGGGCAACACCACTCGTGATACTAGTATCACGGAGGCGATCACATGTACGGAAAGCAGCAACAATTGGCAGTGCAAGCCATATTCATTCCCACGTTTCTGAAAACATGCAATGTTACCAGATTTCACATATCCTGGTGCTCTCGCACTATCTCATCCGCAACTCCCAGCAAGCCTTTTAGATCTGCTGCTAGACGTTCAGCTCTTCTCCATCAGTTCAACCCCGTTCCTGATGACTCCCACCATGGCTCCGGTCTGCACAACCTCACTGCCTCCGCCCGCGACCCTGTGTTCAATGTCCGCCAGACCCTCCAGCCACGATATCATGACTTGCGGCTTGACCTCCAGCTTGACCAGCTCCTCCGACAGCGCTGTGATGATGTCGGCCAACGCCAGCCCCCGTGCTGTCTTGAGCGAGTTGACCGTATTCAGACAGCTCGTGACATCCGACGTCTTCAGCAGCGTCGCCATGATCTCCTTGACGGCATCGGGCGGCGGCGCTGCTATGCAGTTGTAGATGGTTTCTGTGGTGATCATCTCCCGCTGTATCTCACTGTCCGGCACCTTGGGCGCGCCTGGCTCGCGCAGCGGCGTGCTCGACGCATGGCACGCCTGCAGCACGTTCAGCGCCCGTCGCATGTCCCCTTTGCTCAGCTTGATGAGAGCGTCCACCGCCTCGCCGCCAATCTGCACCTTTTCCTCGTCCACGACCTTCTCCACCAGCACCCGAATGTCGCCCTCCTTTAGAGGGCTGAAGCGGAATCGAGTACACCGACTGAGCAGCGCGGGGCTCAGCTTGTGCGCGTAATTCGCAATGACGCAGAACCGCGTGTTCACAGTGTACTTCTCCATGATCCTCCGGAGAGCCATCTGCGCCGTGTTTGTCATGGCGTCCGCCTCGTCCAGAATGATCAGCTTGTAGCCTGCCATCCCTTTGCTGCCCGCCCCGCCTGCCATGTTGAAGATTTGTTTTGTGCTGGCAAATGTCTTGATCTGCTCCCTCACCACATCGATACCACGGTCGTCAGACGCGTTGAGTTCGAGAACCATTTGTCGTATGTTCGCCTCGCCATAGATGCGCCGCGCGAGCGCGAGGATGGTGGACGTCTTGCCTGTGCCAGGAGGCCCGTAGAGAAGGAGATGGGGGAGGCGGTTTGTGTCGATGAATTTGTTGATCGTAGAGAGGATGTCTTGATGGCCGCTCACGTCGGCCAGTGTCGAGGGGCGGTATTTCTCGACCCTAGGCACGGTTCGCTGTCAGAGACGATACCCATCCTCAGCGAGCAGGACTTACCATGGCAGATTATCTTCTGCCTCAATTGGCAAGTTTGCCGCACTACGCTTGCCTTGCTTGGCTGCGGACGAGAAGGCAATGTCGTGGGATGGCGCGGTGCTGTCCACGTCCATCTCGTCCTCGTAATCTGACATGGCGGCGTGTTATGTTCAGAGAAATATCGAGCAAGGGGTATAGTCGTCGAGGAAGACGTGCGTCGAGTTTGACGTTGATTAGTAGAATTGGCTGTTCAAATGTATTGACACCAAGGTCTTGAGAAGTTGAGATGGCGACGCGTTCAACGACGCGTCGGTCCATCTAAATCCCTGCCCAGGCCTTGGGCCAATCATTTTTCCATCTATCGCGAAATACCCCACTACCTTATGGCTTCGACTTGAGTTCACGTACTGTAGAATGTAGATCAAGTGTGTCAATTACTACCACTAGTCATATTAATTCCTTCTTCGCTTCAATAGCCAAGGTGTCGCCGAGTCTATCATAATTCATGTCTCTTATAGGTCACGCCGCACGACCACGCAGGAAGAATATATACGGTTGAAGGAAGATGTATACACAAGAAACACACCCCATCCACCACTGCTCAGAGCTCCTCTGAGAGATGGTTCGTCCCCATGCCTATCAACTCGAAAATGATGGGGATGCCCGCTGTTGCGAACCACGCAATGCCTAGTAACGTCAGTTCTGCTGCTGCTTGGTAAAAACATCAAAGACAAGAGGCCTTACCTGCGTAAACGACAAGTTTGGTGACGACCTCGACATCATACCTCACACGAGGCCGCACCAGCAGCGAGAACATCTTTTCCTCATCAGTCTCATCATGCCCATCGACGACGGCATGCGCCTGTGCATGACCATTCTGCCCTTGTGGCCCTCCAGCAGCATCCGTCTCGGCGACGTCGCCCATCTGTGCCTTGTACTGTTGCAACGACGACTGTTGCGCGCCAGACGTTTGTGCACATTCAGAAGGGCCTTCTTCCTTGGTGCTTTTCAGCTCCATGTTGCTGTTCTTGCTTCTCAGACTTGGATTGCTGCTCAGGCTCTCCCGTCTCTTGCGCTCTCGGTAAGCCAACGCCTCGTACGCATCGGCCGCGGACTGTGGGCCGATGGACACGGATCGTCCGCGGGTTGTTGGGTGGCGAATGCTCTCTACCATGCGTGGAAAGTCGGACGCGGCCGGGAACATGGTGTCCAGCTTCGATCCAGGTGGGACAGATTTGTACTCACTCGCCGGCGTGAAAAATCTCCTGGGCAGACTCCACCCTGCTGTCTCGATGAGTCGAAAAAGCGATGGGAGGGTCTCGAGGAGGATGGGCTTCATGGATTCACGCCAGAGAAAGACGATGAGGACTCCGATGACAATTCTCGCCACGTTGGTGAGCAAACCGAGCGGGGTGATATCGACAGTGCTACGGCCGTGAGCGTGCGTCTCCCAAGGGTCCATTGGGATGCGACCGTATGTCCATGTTCCGATCTCAAGGCCAATTACCACGCCGGCAAACGCTACACTGTCGTCAAAGCAGGGACAGTCGTCTGCGGGCTCGGGGTGTATCCGGACGAGGATTAAAATTACCAACCCGGCAATGAACGGCGCAATCCATGAGCTCGAGTGCATGTACTCATCCAGTGGCGGGCCGTAATAAAACTCGACGAGTGAGATGACTGCTCCTAGTATCGAACCAATGATCACGTCAAGGAACCCATGCATTCCGCAGTACAGCCTCCCAAACACAATCGAGACGGCATAAAAGTAAGCGAGGATCTCTAGACAAAACCTGGTCGTTGGCGGCAGCGCATTCTCCGGGTCCTTGAGCAACAACAAGCCATAGACAGCCACCGAGACTGCGTTGGCGCTGTGCGTCGAGGGAAACCCATATTCCAGGGCTGCGGAGCCAGACATGGTGATGCGATGTAAAGGCGGCGACAGAGGTCGGGGAAGCGAGTAAAAGTCCTTGATGAAGCCTGTCCAAAACACCCCAAGAGCCAGGATATGCACAAGACTGTTCAATTGTGAGTGCCTGCTTTATCATGATCCGGCATTGTCTGTAGACCTACCCCTTCCCAAACGCCGGATAACCACACCAGAAGAGAATCGGCAACCCGATCATGAAGAACGTGTGCGTCCCCAGGTTCGCCGTGATGGCAAAGTAGCTGTCCAGCGCCGGCGTGCGTAGGTTATGCTGCATCCATGCCAGATATGGTGTCTCCCATCGTATCAGAGGGAGTGCACTCTGGCGCACAGCATAACGCCATTTGGGAAGCGCTCTCTTGTCTACGACACGGCATTAGCCCTCGACCGGGGGAGGTACAGTAGGATTGCGCACAATGGTCGAGACTGCGCAGACCAGCGTCAGGTACGTCTGCGCCTTCGCCGCTCGCTTTGGGGTGGGACATTGTCGTGGTCGGTACGAGGAAGAGGAGGAGGGATCATGTATCGGTCGGTTGTCGAGGGTCGTGTGTTTAGGAGGGGTTCGACATTGAGCCACCTCGCCTCAGTGCAGGCGCTTCAATGCCTCCGGATGCTCGAGTAAAGCGATTGGCGTGCTTGAAAAAGGCGCGGCAGCTCGAGCAAGACGGAAGGCCGTGAAGGGGCGCGGCAGGCTGCGGTGGTGCATGAGCAGTCAATGACTTGACGTTTGTGGAGGAGGAGGGCTTGAACTTTAGCTCAAGGTATTTGACTCCAGAGTCTCATTAATAGCGGCCACCTGTGACCTCGGTCGCAACTGAACGCCGCCTGGAATCCGTTCGTCCCCCACCAGTCCGTCCGGGAATGATTGGCTGGTTCCTGACGTTTGCCAAGGCCATTAGCTGGAATATCCTCGAGGCTGTCATTCGTCATTGAATGATAACTAATTACACGAAATCCGTTTCAAGGTTGTGTTGCGCAAGAGTCAGGACTTGTCGTTGCACCGGGTTGGACTCGATGATTATATGACCGGCACCGTCACTCACTCACCATCGTCGACAATGGCATCACGTCTGGCTGGCAAGCATGCAGCCATCATCGGCGCGACGGGTTCCATCGGCTCCAGCATCGCCAAAGCATTCGCGCAACAGGGCGCCGTGCTCTCTCTGCTCGGGAGGACAGCCCTTGACGCACAGCGGACACTAGGCCCTCAGCTTACGCCCTATCAGCCCTCGGCTGGCGACTCATCCAAGGCACCTACCGAGCACCGGTTCATCAAGCTCGACGTCACATCGTCAGCCGATCTCAAGAGACTCTTCTCGTCCCGTAAGGCAACTGTTCGTCACAGCAGGCACTGCTTGCCTACTACCATTGCTGATGCGGGTTAGGATGATGCCGTTGGCGCGGTGGATATCCTGGTCAACTGTGCAGGCATCACGCAGACCACCATCTTGAAGCGTACCCACGATGAAGACGTGGAGAAGGTCATGGATACGAATCTGACCTCGGCTATACTTGCGTGCAAATACGCCCAAATGAATGACAAAGGTACTTGCTGACCTCGCGTCCCCGAGTACCACAGCCTCACCGAGAATAGGCTGTATCCTCAACGTTTCCAGCCTGATGGCGACGCGTCCTGCCGTCGGAGCTGCCGTCTACACTGCCGCCAAGGCGGGCATGATTGGTACGTGAACAAGCCATTGTATTGCTAAATGCATCTGCTGCTTGCTTGCTGGCATCTGTGCTGACTCTGTATCAGGGCTCACTAGCGCCCTGTCTCTAGAACTCGCCCCGCGATCAGTTCGCGTAAATGCCCTCTTGCCAGGCTGGGTAGAAAGTCCAATGTGGAATAGTATGTACGCCTTTTTCTCCTTTCCCTGGTCATCCGAATTCAAATCATCGATCCCCTGGTTCGCCGCGCATCTCTCGTAAAATGGAAAACCAGAAGCCGGTATAAACCTGTACATGGTGGCTAATATTACATCACAACAACCGTAGATCTGAAGCCCGACCTGAAGGAACAGTATCTCAAGAGGATACCGGCCCGGCGTGTGGCGGCTCCGGAGGAGGTGGCTGATGCTGCTGTCTTCTTGGCGGCAAACTCCTACGCAAACAACTGCATCCTGAACTTGGATGGCGGGCTGAGTGCGGCATGAGAACCTCAATCCTCTATGACAATGGAGCCGCCAGCGTCCTCGACGGTCACGACTTCATCGTCCGTGGACCCTGTCCGCTTGGCTTTCTTTGGTTGCTGCTCACTGTCGTCCCCGTCCGGATGTGAGCGCTTTAGCCCCGACCCAACGGTCATATCGACGCTGACTTCAGGGTCAGCACCGCCGGTGGTGTGGCCGTTCGGTTCCGAAGCTGATGGCTTTTGCGGTTTCTTGGGAATCTTGGGCCGCTCGCTCGTGGGAGATCTGAATGCTGGTTCGTCGTCGCTGAATTTGCCTTCTTCGACATTGATCACGACATTGACCAATGTGTCTTTGTCGTCCTCGTCAATCACCGTGAGGAAGCTGCCGTCTTTGATCTTGAGCTCCTCCAGCTTTTTCGGGAGGTTGTCCACTTCGTCAGGGTCATACAGGACACCGACATCGTTATTCAAGACGAATTCCTTTTCGCCGAACCCGAGATGTTTCCTCAAGAACCCTTCCACAACATCTGCAAGGGTTGTTCTCGACGGATCCACCACAATTGTAGCATTGAATACACCGCAGACCGGACAGGCTGGGTTGGGCTCCCGCGACCGATCAGGTGCCAGAAGACGGCCATAAGCAAAGGGCGTCAGGAAAACCTATCGAGTCATTTAGTTGGAATAGAAGCGGATTCAGAAGGCAGTACTCACTTCTTTTGCTTGCCCATATTCTCCTTTGAGGACTTTGAAAGATTGCAAGACACAGAGGCCAGCTACAATGGCGTTCGTGGTCGCAATTGCTGGTATAATATTTCCCGCCATCTTCTTCACGTCAAACCGGGACTCCTTGTCAATACCAAAGATTGTTGAGCGGATGTTGGAGGTCGTGGTCACAAAGTCCAACGTATCCGGATCATCTTTGTCAAATGTGATCACCGGGTCAGGGCCGTCTGGTGTTTTGACCTTCTTCATGGCGAGCAAGCGTTTGCTCAAGCGATCCAAGCTGTCGTTGAAGACCACGAGGTTCTCTTCAATGGACCATGTCCGTTGGTCATCGGCGAGAATGAGGTCTTTCTTGCCTACGGCGTCACTCGATTGAGCCAGAAGGGTGTCGTATGCAAGCGGCTCAGGGGCTCTCCGAGTCTTCCACATGTCCTCCACACTGCGTAGTCGCTCAATGTCGGCGTTGAAGACCTTGTCGAACAGCATCTGTGGAAAATCTGCCGTGCCGACAGCGGCACGAATCTTCTTCAGCGCCTCGGACTCTCGCTTCAACTCCTCAATCTCCTTCACTAGGAAATGTCAGTCTATCGCGAATAAGCAGCCAGATTCAAATCACATACCATTATCAGCATCCTCTGAATGATCAAATGCCCCCTCTTCCTCGCTAGTGCCGAATATCTCACTAAGATGTGTCAGTCACAATTGCCCAGAGAATTAGAGCTGTTGGCGTACTTTAAGAGGTAATTCTTGGCCCATACAATGCAGTGAATCGGCTGGCTGGGCGTACTCCTGATAGTGCAGATAGGGAAGGATTTCGGGACCTCCTTCGGACTGCAATCGTAGCATGCGGTGATGCCCTTCTTGATAACTTGGACTTGGCCATTAAAGCCAGTTGTGCCGCTCTCAATCAGCGGAACGTCCGCTGCCAAGCACATTTTGTTCACGTGCCGACGCGCCTCGAGGTTGTCCAGCGCGTTGAAGACCACTCGGAAATCCCGAAACCACGAGACGTTGAATTGGGTGTCTTTGATGTTGGCATGGTGCGCAACGATGTTGACGTTCGGGTTGAATTTTCGCGCCGCATCCTTGGCTACCAGGGCCTTTGACTTCTTGATGTGCTCGTGTCGAAACAGGAACTGCCTGTTGAGATTCGAGAGGTCAATCGTGTCGAGGTCAACGACGTGGATCTCGCCAAAGCCGCTGAGCACGAGATTCTTGAGCAGTTCGCAACCAATGCCGCCGGCGCCAACCATGAGAACTCGCGCCTTTGCAATGGTCAGCAGCTGCCGTAATATTCGTCTACTCCGTGCCACACCATACCTGTTTCACATTGCTATTGAGATAGGGTCCCAATGACTGCTGGTTGAACCTGTCGCGCGGCGCAACTTGCCTGCGCTGCGGCGGCGGCTTCTGCTCGCTTTTGGGTTTCGGGGCATCTTGCGCAGTCCGAGATGCATCGTTCTGATTTTGTAGTGATTCTTTCTGAGCTTCGGTGGACGCGCGGTCGCCGCTAGCAGCTGGCGCAGGAGCTGCAGTGGTTGTAGCGTCTTCCATCGCTGCTTTCACGTTGATCGCAGTCGTGAGAGTCAGGGTCGTCGTTCGGTCGCGAGGATCCAGACCTCTCGTTCGGTGGATGGGTGCAAAAAGCGAGGAGGGAAAGCCCAGGATCGTCCCACCGCTCCTCGATATAAGGTGTCTTTCCCACTGTATTATCAGTCGAGTGAATGCTAAGGTGAGATAATACTGAGTGGCACGGCGACGGGATCAGAGAGCGGAAGTGCCAGGCGCAATTTCACAGCCAATGAGAACCCCCTATGAGGTGATCGAAAGGCTCCACTGAGCCTTGGGCCGACCGGGGGCTCTAGCGGCCTCTTAGAGGCACTTGTGATTGGCTCACCGGCTTGCGCAACAGCAACTACACGAAAGTCACTGTGGCATGCACGTTGACGCAGTTGGCCCCCATTCCAAGTAACGCTGGTGATCGTGTGTGCTACACAAAGTGACAGGAGAGAGACGTGCAACTGACTTTGGTGGGTTTGTTTCTTTCAGGAGACATCCAAGAGGTGGAGAATGCATCTCGAAGTCGGTCATTCAACAATGGGCTGTCCAGGCACTGCTGTTAGGCTAGGATCAGGTCGGGCTCAGACGATGGTTTTCCGCAGGGTTTTCAGAATGCCGTTTCCTAACCGAAAGTTCACAACATAACCGTAGACCGCCATCCTGTCTGTCGCTGCCGTTCATTCTATTCCGTCTCGATTTCGCACACGTAGCTTCGCCACCATGTCTTCAGATGATGAGGCCGACCCTGAGCTTGTGGAGCTTCTGCGCCAGCATTTTCAGGGCAAGCTCGCTGTGAAGGAGGAAGCTGACACCGGTGTCCTCGATGGATGCGAGTACATCTATGACAACTGCATCGACGTGGCCGTTGACATGCGAGCTTCAAAGGCGGCAGCCGAGACAATTTTCAACAAAATGGCTGATCAGGGTTATTCCATGTCTTCCTGGTCTGAACATGAACTTCACCCCAAAACCAAGGATGAGGCAACTGTGGATTTCATCTTCACTATGGACCTATTGAACTTCTCTTTCTGGTCAGAACTGCCGGAAGATGAACGGTTTGCGATCGAGTATAGAGGCCGAAGATGGACAGGCTACTGGAGTTTAGTCGCTGGTCTGCAAAGAGCGCTCGAAGAGGGTATGTGATGCCGGTTGTGTTGCGTCCCGACTCATGTAACTAACAAGCTCAGGGATACCTATTACAGACCCCGAGTTCTGGCGTGATGAGCGCGAGTGCAACCTTGAGAAGCTAAAGTATGTCTTCCGGTCTTGCACTGATGAAGAGATGCCCATGCTCAAGGAACGCCTGGACTGCCTTCAGGAAGCAAGCCAGGTGTTGTACGAGGTATGAACCTTAACAGCACTAGGTAGTTATCCCCATTAACAGATCCACAGCGCTATGACTGCTCCGCGGCCAATCTCGTTGATGCCGCTGATGGTTCAGCGGCACGTCTCGTGAATCTCCTGGCTCAAGACTTCAAGTGCTTCCGTGACGAACACGTATACGAGGGCCGCACAAAGCCTGTGCGCTTTCTCAAACGGGCTCAGATATTCGTTGCCGACCTGTGGGCTTGCTTCGAGAATCAGTCATTTGGTGAATTCCATGATATCGACAAGATCACAATGTTTGCAGACTATCGCATACCACAGATCTTGATATCACTCGGCACACTGTACTGCAGTCCCACGGTGACAGCGTCCATCAAGGACAAAAAGCTTCTCGAGAGTGGCGGAAAGTTGGAGATGCAGCTCAGAGGTATGTTTCAAACAGGTATGCATATTATGGCTTGTGCTGACAATCGCCAGCTTGCAGTATCTGGGCTGTAGAGCTCATCAGGAGGGAAATCAAGCGACAACATCCCAAGGCAGACATCAACGCGATTCTCATAGATTTTTTCCTTTACGACACTATCAAGGAGATGGAGGCTCAGGGGAAAGAGCCCCTGCCACACCACCGCACAAGAAGCATATGGTACTGAAGAATGCGGAAAAGACGAACGCGGCAACGCATCATGGCACGTACAATTAGACGCTCGAGAAACACCTTCCACTTCGTCATACGGCGGTGACCCCAATAACTCCGTGATAACCAGCGAACCTTGAAGACATTGCGCCATTCCATTGTTCGTTCATGCCGTCGCACCAACAGCGATGCTTCCCATAATCTTGTCCATCTGAGCCTTCTCGAAGCCCCTGTTCTTGTCCTTGTCCTCTTTCAACAGCACGGCAAGGACTTCGATGGGTGGGTTGAGCCCTAGCTTCTCTGCCCTTTGCCAGCGCTTTGTCCGAGTGATACCAATGCAAGGCTGCGTAGATTAGTATCCTCGATATAGTAGAACGGCTTTCGGGACTTACTCCGTATTGCGAGCTGACGTCAAAATATCGTAAGATCTTCTCATGAGTTGACAGGCCCTCCTGGTGGACACGCGGCGCCATCCTCTCCATTTCAATACTCTTCCAGTACTTGTTTATGTGGGCTTCCGTCATCTTTTCAGCCTTGAGCTCGGCTTCGGATGCTGGCTCTGGTTCCACGATCTCCTCCTCCGCCTCTAGCTCCTCCGCTTCAGTTTCCACCTGGGTTGGGGTAACATCATCAACGGTGTCGGCCTCGGCCGGCGTGGGTGGAAGCTCGACTTTGGACACAGATGGTGAAAGAGCCGCCTTTTTGGCGTTATGCCCGACATTTTTTGTGACTTTGCTGTGGAAGCTGAGGGTCGATTGTCCCTTCGCTGGGCCTGTTGAACGTGTGGTACGGGCCATTGTGAGAGCAAGCTGAATGCGGCAGTGATTGAGTAAGTGTCGTCGTGTCAAGGAGAAAATAAAGTGTATGCTGCTGACAAGGACACTGGCTGGCGCTTGAATACAGGGATATCCTATACTGAGCAATGGAATTAATGTTTTATGATCTTGAAGGGTTCCGTTGAGATCACAGTCAATGCAGGCACGAAAACGTCCCTAGCCGGCGCCTACGTCGATCATAGTGGGCGTCATAGCAACGCCTGTGGCCTGCGACATGAATGAGGCTGGCACGTGACTCGGTTCATGATTTCCCAGCCACTCCATGAGGTGAGGTATGCCACGATGACGTGTGAGTGAGTCTCTTGAAAGCTCTGAAACAATTAGCTTGCTCATACCCTTACGCAGTATGAACATCGTTCATATTGCTGAAGCTCCAAAAGAGGAACCCTTAGAGAGCTGGAATCCCCAATTGTCCGCCTGCGACCTTCACTGGACGGATCAACATTCAGCGGGGCAACGCGACTTTGGAGCGTAAACACGTGACCGCCTCCGACGCCAGCACCAGACGGCACGTACAGATAGTTGTTGGGAGTTTGTTAGATCAACTATACTCCGTGCTCACGCGTCTATTTCGAGAATGCCTCTGCGGTCCGCAAACCCTTTGATCTAATTTCCTGTAGCCTCGCGATAGAATGAGATACTGCGGTTCGCACCAGCCGTGCAGAACATCTCGCTTCTTCCGGTTTTTGGCAACCACCTCGCAGCCCACAGCGCCTTGTCTGTCTCGCTGTGTGTTGCAACGCAAGTGCTGCGCTCTACGGACCACACCTTTGCCTTTCCATCCATTGCGCCGCTGAGAAGATACTCCCCACTGTCGCTCCAGTCCAGAGTGGTGATCCAGGACGCATGACCTGTCAGGTTACTAACGTGCTCGCCGTGTTTCATGTCGTAAATGGCGATGATGCCGGCATCGCCTGCGGCAGCGAGCCTGGTGCTGCCAGGCGAGAAAGCGACTGCGCGGACGGGTTTCGCAAGGCCTGTCTCATGTCAGCTTGCCTTGTACAAAGAGGATTCCGTGCAAACCAACCCGAGAGTGAGAACGCTATACGCCCTGTGTCGTTGTTGAAGATGTAGATCGCTCCGTTTTGATGCCCACTTGCCGTGAACTTTCCGTCCATGCTCAAATCGACGCTCATGCCAAAGCTTCCTGAACCAGGAGTACCCGTTTCGTAATCTTGGATCTTTGGCTTGCCTTCTTTCGTGGTGTCCCACACATTGATCCTGCCGTCGTTGGTCGTGGCGGCCAGGTAGCTGCCATCCTCACTCAGAGCCAACGCCCAAGCCTCGCCGGGTTTAGTTGCTGAAGTTGACACCTCACCATCTTGGCTCCATTCTCCACTGTCCTGATTGTAAGACCATAGTTTCACTTCGCCCCCGAATCCGGCACTGGCGGCCACACGCCCATTTCTTGAGGCACAGATATGGTGGCAGCCCAGCTTGTGTGCGTTTGAGATGGATTGCTTGAGTGGGAAAGTAGGATCCGTAGTGTCGTAGATATGCAAAGTTGACGAACCACTAGCGGACAGTATAGCTTTTGAAGTGGTCGCTAAAGCGAAGATATCGGTTGTATGAGCTGCGAAGATACATGTGAGCTCAACTTGATCCGTCATGACGTTAGCGGGGCACAGGCAGCTCACCATTGTCCACCGTATGCGTGGTCAGATACTGTTTGGACTACATCTGGTCAGCTTTGAAGTTGCCTGGATAATGATCAAGCATATGACTGACCATCCTGCCGCTCAGGGGCACCTATTGCTAGGCTTTCAAGTGGTTGGTGGATGAAGGAAACAGAAATGGTGGTGGGGCAGCAGACCTGACGGACTGAGGTTTGGTCATAGACATCGGCTTCATATGCGTCGTCACTACATGTAATAAGAACGCTTTCAAGAATGGCGCTTGCCCACAATAAATAAGGTAATTAAGAATCAAGGTGCAGGTACCCGCAAGATGCAAGGGCAAGATTTACTCGAATGCTGGTCCGTCAGCTTTGCGAACATTTCACACACTACAAACGACCGCTCGCTCAATCTTGCGGCACGTAGTGCAAGTGATATTCAAAATTGATCACTAGGTATGATGCCGTGGAAAGCAAACGCCAACTTCATGCATATCCCGCACCGCGCACACGAAACACATGCCCTTGTCTCCGGTGTATTTTACAAGATTATACATATCCGCACTCAATAGCTCAGGCGATGGGCGCTGGAGGAAAGTCCTCTTTCCATATCCGTCGCATGTCTGCAAAGATGATTAGTTTCCAGTATGAAAGTGTTTCGTGACCACGTACCCTCGAGGCAGTTCTGGCAGAGACGATGAGTTCTCTTGGCTTGACCGCACCCCGGGCACTTGCACAAGTGGTTCACATCCTTCAGTGCCTTGCCAGCCATTTGCCTCTGCCTCTTCCTCGAATGTGATGTCTTGTTCTTCGGTACGGCGCGTAGGATGCCCTCCCATATGTCGCCCAAAAGCCCAGGCAAGCTGATGCTCACACCAGGTACGGCGATCGAAAGCGTCGGTAGAAAGGGTAGACTGTATCTGGAGGTATAGAATGTCGCCCAGCGTGAGACAGCTGGCAGAGCTGGGAGTGCCAGGCGGGGAAGCAACGGTGCCGCAATCGTTGCCATGTTGATAATAACAGGATGACGAGCCTTACGTGCGATGCGACAGTTCAGAGTCGGACTTGGTCCAATGATAGTGCGATCGTTTTCGGATGACGCGAATGCCTCTTGGCGCGGTCGAAATTGAACAGTATGATGCCGTCGGGTATTCAGCGACGTTGGACCGCGCGTGGTTGTCGTGGGTTGGGCTGATCACGAGTTTCGCGATGCATCTTCAAAAGATTTCCGGACTGGCGAGATACGAGCCCAGTGTTCTGGAGCGGAGGGCCAATCAGAATCGCCCTGTGCACGGTCACCATCTGAGCCAATGAAGTGCGCTAACGGCAAGTGAACCCCTGCACTTTCCCCCTTTCTTAGTCCCGTCGTCCCTGCCTTCCCCCCCAGGACCGAAATTGCTGTGCTAAAGTCGAGTCGGGTGCGAGTGGACGGCAGAGGAAGGGGCCCCAAAAAAGTTGACCGTCTCCTGGCAGTTGCTGCCTTTGCTTGTCACCTCCCGACTCGTAAACGACCCCTTCGAAGCAGGCATTGTTGTCGTTTTGTCTCCGTTCAACCTCATCACCCGCGTTCTCTGTGCACTGATACAGCTTGGGCGTCGAATCGGAAGACTGTCCTTGGAATAGACACAATATTCTCCTGATCTTCACGAGTCCACCAGCAACAGTCACCGTATCCCGATCCCTCTGTCAGCTCCCTTGACGACAAGATGGCCGCCGCTCCTCCCAACACCATCTACCCTAACAGCCATGTCGGTTTCGACAGCATCACTTCGCAGATTGAGCGCAAGCTCTTGAAGCGTGGTTTCCAGTTCAATGTCATTTGTGTTGGTACGTTGGACCCGTATGAGCTATCCATTGACAGCTACCCCTTCCTCGCTAGCTCTGCGCAAGCATTCCGACCGCCTCCAGATAGTATCTAACTTGAATCCTTCAATTAGGTCAAACCGGTCTCGGAAAATCGACTCTCATCAACACGATCTTCGCGTCCCACTTGATCGACTCGAAGGGTCGCCTGCAGCCAGACGAGCCTGTCCGCTCCACCACCGAGATCCAAGCTGTGTCTCACATCATCGAGGAGAATGGCGTCCGCCTGCGCTTGAACATCGTCGACACTCCTGGGTACGGCGATCTCGTTAACAACGACAGGTGCTGGGATCCCATCGTCAAGTACATCAAGGATCAGCACTCGGCGTACTTGCGAAAGGAGCTTACAGCTCAACGAGAGCGCTACATTCAGGACACGCGCATTCACGCGTGTCTCTTCTTCATCCAACCATCGGGTCACTCCTTGAAGCCAATCGATATCGTCGTGCTCAAGAAGCTTTCGGATGTTGTCAATGTCGTGCCTGTCATTGCCAAGGCCGATACTCTGACCGTTGAGGAGCGCCTCGAGTTCAAGGAGCGCATCAAGGAAGAGTTTGCCTTCCACAACCTCAAGATGTTCCCGTACGATAATGAGGAGTTTGACGACGAGGAACGTGCCTTGAACGGAAAGATCAAGGTATGAAATCTCGACCAACCAACAACGTGTCTATACTAATTATAGCAGAGCCTTGTTCCCTTTGCCGTCGTCGGATCCGAGAAGAACATCATCGTCGATGGCAAGCAGGTTCGCGGTCGTCAAAACCGCTGGGGCGTGATCAACGTGGAGGATGAGAAGCACTGCGAGTTCATCTACCTCAGAGACTTCCTTCTCCGTACCCACCTGCAGGATCTCATCGAGACCACATCGCAAACCCACTACGAGACTTTCCGTGCCAAGCAACTCCTGGCACTCAAGGAGAGCAGTGCTCACGGAACTGGTGGCGGCAGCCGTCCCATCAGCCCCTCAGCCGACCGCGAATTGAGCCGCAACTCCCAACGCATGACCATGAACGGTTACTAAGCTTCACATTCACTGTGAGCTGGAGAGAGGAGCTACGGAGTCTTGGGGCAGAGCGTATTCGTGAATGGTCATGTTACGGACGAAGCTTGCGCAACCCCGCGCGAGCGGACAATGGCCAATAATAGGAGACTAGAAGGCGGCTGCTGGGATAAAAGGCGAAGAGAGTATACCTGTGGTCTTGCGTCCTGGCCCAGCAGTACTCCAACTTGGCGTTGACTGTGTTCTTCGAGCTTTCAGGTACCCAGCTGAATGCCTTGGAATAGGGATCTTTTACTTTGTGTTTAGTATTACCCCCGAGCTTATTGCCGTTTCATATGCTTTAATCAATGATTGCAAGACTCTTTATTGGTGTTCGGTCCAACGTGGTCTCTACTACATGAACGCTCATTTGCCGCGACGATGATGTACTCTTATCCTCCTTTAGGCTGCTGGTTTGTAAATGAAGTCCTCCAATTTTTTGTAGGCGGCCTCCAAGTCGTCGTTCACGATAATGGTGTCATGTACGCCAGAAACCTTTGAGAATTCCAGCTCTTTCTTTGCTTGATTCAGCCTCTTCTGGAGGCTTTCCTCGGTTTCGGTCTGGCGTCCGCGCAACCTCTGTTCTAGAGTCTCCAACGCAGGTTCCGGAGGGGAGATGAAGATGTATCTAGCGTCAATCCCAGACTGCTTGATTTGTTTGACGCCCTAGCGAGTCGTGAGTGGGCCGTATATCGTTTGCACGGGGGACACAGAACTGACCTCCATTTCAATGTCGAGCAGCACGACCTTGCCTTTCCTCTCCTGCTCCTCAATGGTTTGTTTGCTGGTACCGTAACGGTTGCCTCCGAATTTGGCGTGCTCGACAAACCCGTCTTTCGCGATGAGGTCCTCAAAGTCCTGCATCGTGACGAAGTGGTAGTTCACGCCATCCTGCTCGCCATTGCGGGGCGCCCTGGTGGTGTGCGAGACAGACAGAGTGAAGCAGTCGGGATGCCGCCGGAAGAGGAGCTCGTATAGAGTGCCCTTGCCAACACCGGAAGGGCCAGACAGGACGATGGGCCTGGTGTCGACGGGTGCTATCCTGTGTTAGTCTTTCCTCGCCAGTCGGGCACGGAAGGTAACGAACGTGTCGACATTGTGCTGCGGAGATGGAGGGTTCGGGGTCGACGAAGAGAGAATGTGCGGATAGGCGCAATGCGGGACAGCCGAAGAGTCATGCGATTGTTGGTGATCGTTCCACGCCTATTCGACTGCAAGGCGAGGCAAGAACGGCAAGGCTGTCTGTCCCTTTTTTTTTTCTGCCGAGTGGCTTTGGCGGGGTTGCGTCAAGGGTAAGCGCCGAAGCGGTGTACGTACGCGCAATCCGGGGTACTGGACGTCCATGCTGCCCAGTACTTCGATACGTGGTGGCAATTAATGTACAAGTCAGCTTTCCATGCAGTAACTCGGGAAAAAATGAAGCGAGTTTGTGAAGCTTGCCTTCACCTATGTACGTCCTGTGCAATGAAAATCCACATCCAGAGCACATGGCTGTTAGTGAGTGAATCCCGCCAGATCTACTACTTGAAAGCTGGCTATGCCTGTTGGTGATGTATTGGAACGCGGATTCTGATTCGTATAGTTAGAGCAGTGTGTTATTCTGCCTCGCAACACGTATAGCTGAATGGCCTACTGTCGCAATCTCTAACAGGGCATCGCAATGTGCCTAGGCCAGTCTTGCCAAAGCGCACCAGAGCCTACCGAGGCGGCGAGCAGGTAGAATAATGCATATTTTTTAACGTCTTGAATTAATTTGTATTGCATTCCTCTTTGACATCGTCATCCGCTTTCTAAATGGCATACCCTTACACAGCCCTTACTATATGCGAGTTGTAAAGGCTGGAACATCAGATCTTGAACGCCAGTCGTACATGAACTGGCAAGTCATAAACTTCCCCCAACGTCTATCCATCTGCGACCCCTGTCGTCATCGGACCTCTCTATGCGGAGAACTCCTGAGCCTTGCTCTCCTCCCACTTGCCTGGAACCAGAGCAAGGGGCACGATACCCGACACGTGCATGTCCGGACCGAAGACCTTGGCGTTGATACCGAGCTCCTGGGTAGCAGCCTTGATGTTCTTGAGACCCTCCTGGTAGTTAGGACCGGCACGGCGGACCCAAATCTGAACGTTGTGCTCATTCAGCTGAGTAGCAAAGTCACGCAGTGCGCGGATGACACCCTTGAAGGTGCTCGCAACGTTGGTGAAGTTGGCAATACCGCCACCGATGAACAGAACCTTGCCCTTGTCCGACATGGGTGCGCGGAGCATGAGGTCAAGGACGGTGCGGGCGTAGTGGTAGGTTTGCGACTCGGTGGGGGCACCTGAGTACTCACCATAGTTGGCAAGCTCATCGGCGAAGCCGGCAGAGGCAATGGCATCAGCGTAAACAACCGAAGCACCACCGCCAGCAACAAGGGTCCACACACGGCCGTTGGGGTTCAGGACAGTGAGCTTAAGCGAAGCACCAGTCTTGGCATCGAGGTCGGCAATGTAAGCTTCCTCCTTGGTGAGCTCGCGGCCGAAGGGCGCAGGGAACTCAATGGGGGGACCGGCATCAATGTTGACCTTCTCGCCGCTGGCGGGCGCAACGTTGGTGAGGCCGAGAGCAGCTGGCGACCGAGCAATAGCCCACTTGACACCGCACTCAAAGTCGGCGGTCTGGTCAAGCTTGGCGGCAAGATCAAGGAAGTGAACCTCAGCGGAGGTCTTGTCCTCGTTGGGGATGACAACGAGAGGGTTGATCTCGAGGTAGGTGAACTGGCAGTCGACGTAGACGGCGTAGAGACGGGTGATGAAGTCAACAAGCACGTTGTGCACGCCCTTGGGTACCTTGCTCAACAGTGTCGACGCGATCTCCTCGTTCGAGGGGAACTCAGCAAGGTCGACGGGAATCAGCAGCTTCTCAGCTTTCTCGTCAACATCGCCGACATCAACACCGCCCTCGTGTGTGAAGAGAATCCAGTCGCCCTGCAGTACGTTAGATATACATTTATTCCGCGATGCATAAAAACGACGTAGGTAAAGGGTCTTTGTGGGTCGATAGCGGCTCGAGGTACAGGGGTGTCTCGTGACGGCCTTGCGTCGAGACATCCGTTCGTCCGGAATGCAAGGTTCGAGCTTTGCCGAGTAATCCACATCTCAAACCGGGGACACGCTCTCATAAAAGAAGCGATTCCCTCATTCGAGCTCGCGCCCTCGTTCAGTGCCTTTTTTGCACCGGCTAGTCTCACACAAGCAAGCACGTCGTGTAACTGGTTTCTCGACCAAACGCGAAATTCGCCCCGCAACGACAACATGAATTCAAGGGGGGGTTGAAAGTTGAAAGACTTACATCGCGCACGGAGTTGATGTTGATGTAGTACTCAGTATCCTGAGGGTGGGGGACGAAGGGCTCAACCAGGAATTGAGTCAGAAGGCCCGAAACGTGCTCGACCTGCTGCTCCTTGCGTGCCCTCTCAGCAATCCAAGCCTTGGCCTCTGCCCAGGGCTTGTTCAGAGCCAAGAGACCGCTCTTGCCACGACGCTTGATGAGCTGATCGGGCTTTGCGACGAACTTGGCATCAGGGTGCAGCAGCCAGGGGTAGGTGACCTCAGCCTGGTCGAGCACATCGTTCACATCGGCATCCTCCGGGAAGCTCAAAGCAGCCAGCTTGGGAGGAGGGTTGTGCTTGGTGGGTTTGGGAAGAGGGCTCGGCTTGATGACAGGAGCGCGAGTGAGGTGGTAGTTGAGGATGGCCTTGCCGTCGGCCTCGAAAATCGACTTGGCGGACATGGTGAACTGGGAGAAAGATGGAGGATGAGAACGTTGCTGGTGAATCTAGCCTTGGTTTTTGCCGCTATCACACCAAATGTCAGCAATCTTCACGGAACAGTCGAAGCGGCATGCCTGATAGCGCATCGAGCAGTCAACAAGGCGACTCGCGGACCTGCTGACCGCTTGCTCATGCGCCAACTTGTTGAATCGGGCGATGGAGGGGCAGCACCAGGAGCTTACATACCACTGCACAAGCTCAAGCGACAATCTGAAGGATGAAGGACGATGTTGCAAATGTGCAATTGGGGTCGCAACGACAAGAGAGGGAGTGGTTGAAGCTGGAGATGTCAAAGAGGAAGATGTGGAGGGGGGTTTGGAAGTTGAATCGGAGGGTCGGTCTTTGCTCAGACTGAGCAAGAAGAGGGCCGGATGAGGGACCAGGACAACGGCAGAAAATTGACAAGCTCCAGCTGCAGGCGCAGGGGCTTGCCCATTGAGGAGTCGGCGCCAGGGTAGCTCGGAATCGGTGGGTCGCTACCCTTTGCTTGGGGTGCTTGGTGGCATTCAAGTTGGTGCACAAGCGGACTCCGCGGGCGGTGAGCATGTGGCTTCAGGGGGCATGGGGGGTTGAAAAGGCGGGCAGAAAAAAAAAGCATTGGGGTGGATGCTCTGCCAGGTACCGGTACCTACACGCCAATGCTGTTGAGGCCTTCAATTTCGCCGTCTCTTCCTGGTGGGTTTACGCGAGCCAAGAGGATCCAAGATCTATTGCGTTCGACCAGCAGGAAAACACCGATTTACAATGGCTCTGAGCAGGCGTTGGGTCGGCACAAATCCTCTTACTGCTGCAGAAGACGGCGGGGGTGAGACTGGAGCTTGCACCCTCAGTCGATATGCACCGAAGTCGCAATCCTCTTGAGCATGAAGACTCCGAAGCCAGCATTCGCACCCAATGTGCCACAGAAGACATCTGCCATTGGGATCTTGCAACACGAATTGGCCGACACTTTTCTGTCCTCGCTGCGCAGTGGCTGACCTCACAGCCTCCGCCATCCCCGACGTGAATTTTGGGGCAGCTTGGTATCACAACCACTTGTTACGAATCAACCCAAGCGCCCTTGGCTGGAAATTGTCACGGCAACAGCGAGTATGTTCCTATAGCGCTATGCGAGCGCCTAACAAGCCGGCAGTGCTGGGTGGTACGATTCTTTGTGTGATTCACTCAGACAAAGCGGTGTGTTAGACTGCATCTTGGAGGTACCGGTACTTGTACCACCATGATCGGCTGCCCCTCCATCTCCTGAAATGACGGAACGCGCTCGCGAGTCGCAGCATGGCATTCAACAGGTCAACGAAAAGCACCGACGAAAAGATATGCGGTCCCCAAAAAAGTTTTCCCCAACTTGTGCTGTCTAGTCCACACCGGTATCGCAACCGCAGCCAACGCATTGCTTGCAGCACTGGAAACGCAATATCAGCTGGGTCAACTGTCAATTGACGCTCTTCTCTACTTCAAGTGTCGAAATACGCCTTCCCAGCTACCACGACGTCTTCGCAACGGTCTAGCTAAACCAATTGCACCAGCATCTATTACATACTTTAGAGGTTCGTGCTCCGTTCTTTTGTCACCTCCATCCAGGGGTTAGCGCGTTCACGGCTAGTGCTGTTGTAGCGGCTGCGCTGACCTGCAGGGCCACAAGCTCTGCCCCGCTAAAATTTTGGCTGCAGCCGGGCCCCGAATCCAAGGAAGGCACGCCTGAGCCTCGTCCACTTTGGCGGGCACCCGAACGCACCGCACCTCCAATTGCACCTGGAAAGCTCCAGTCCCCTTCGCTCACCTCCATCAACAGGTTGATCTTTCTCTCTGCCCTCCTCCTGAACCTTCACCTCCTTCCCCTACATTCTGTCTCATACTGCCTCTGTTTTCATCTTCCTCTCCTTCTCTAATACCACTGCCTGTGCACACGAGGGCAGCTCCCATTACATCTGTGCTCACTGCTGACCGGCCATCCCACCTTTCAGCTCCCCCGCGACCACAAGCCTCTCATCATGGCTGCCAACGGCAACAAGGGCCTCTCGGCCAACGACAAGATCCAGCGTTTCGCAGCGCCTAGCCGGTCCATGAGCCCAATGCCTTCGCACGCTCTCTTCAGCGACAAGACCAGGTGCTTCGTCTACGGTCTCCAGCCCCGTGCCGTTCAGGGCATGCTCGACTTCGACTTCATCTGCAAGCGCAAGACCCCATCAGTTGCTGGCATTATCTACACCTTCGGCGGTCAATTCGTCTCCAAGATGTACTGGGGTACCAGCGAGACTCTGCTGCCCGTCTACCAGCAGGTCGATCAGGCCATGAGCAAGCACCCCGATGTCGATGTCGTGGTCAACTTTGCCTCGTCCCGCAGTGTCTACAGCTCCACCATGGAGCTGATGGAGAACCCCCAGATCAAGACCATTGCCATCATTGCCGAGGGTGTGCCCGAGCGTGTAAGTTTCGTGTGAGCCAACGACACATGCGCCAGCTAATCATATCTCAGCGCGCCCGTGAGATCGCCCACGTTGCTCAGAAGAAGGGTGTCACCATCATTGGCCCTGCCACCGTTGGTGGAATCAAGCCCGGGAGCTTCAAGATCGGTAACACTGGTGGTATGATGGACAACATTGTCTCCTCCAAGCTCTACCGCAAGGGCTCCGTTGGCTACGTCTCCAAGTCTGGCGGCATGTCCAACGAGCTCAACAACATCATCTCCACAACCACCGACGGTGTCTACGAGGGTATTGCTATTGGTGGTGACCGCTACCCTGGCACCACCTTCATCGACCACATGCTCAGATACCAGGCCGACCCTGAATGCAAGATTCTCGTCTTGCTTGGTGAAGTTGGTGGTGTAGAGGAGTACAAGGTCATTGAGGCCGTCAAGCAGGGCGTCATCACCAAGCCCATCGTGGCCTGGGCCATCGGTACTTGCGCCAGCATGTTCAAGACCGAGGTTCAGTTCGGTCACGCTGGTTCCTTTGCCAACTCACAGCTCGAGACGGCTGCCAACAAGAACAAGTCCATGCGTGAGGCTGGTTTCTACGTCCCCAACACCTTCGAGGATCTTCCTCAGACCTTGACCGAGGTCTACCAGAAGCTTGTCAAGGACGGCACCATCACTCCCCAGCCTGAGCCTGCTGTGCCCAAGATCCCCATGGACTACTCCTGGGCTCAGGAGCTTGGCCTCATCCGCAAGCCTGCTGCCTTCATCTCCACCATCTCCGACGACCGTGGTCAGGAACTCCTCTACGCCGGCATGCCCATCTCGGACGTTTTCAAAGAGGACATCGGCATCGGTGGTGTCATGTCTCTTCTGTGGTTCCGTCGCCGCCTTCCCAAGTACGCCTCCAAGTTCTTGGAGATGGTTCTCATGCTCACGGCCGACCACGGTCCCGCCGTGTCTGGTGCCATGAACACCATCATCACAACTCGTGCTGGCAAGGACCTGATCAGCGCTCTTGTCTCTGGTCTCTTGACCATTGGTTCGCGCTTTGGTGGTGCCCTCGATGGCGCTGCTGAGGAATTCACCAAGGCTTTTGACAAGGGTCTGAGCCCCCGTGAGTTCGTCGACGGCATGCGCAAGGCCAACAAGCTCATTCCCGGTATCGGCCACCGCATCAAGTCCCGCAACAACCCCGATCTGCGTGTTGAGCTGGTCAAGGAATACGTCCTGGCCAACTTCCCCAACCACAAGCTGCTCGACTACGCTCTGGCTGTCGAGACCGTCACCACTTCCAAGAAGGACAACCTGATCCTCAACGTTGATGGCTGCATTGCCGTCTGCTTTGTCGACCTTGTCCGCAACTGCGGCGCTTTCTCTGCGGAGGAGGCTGAGGACTACCTGAAGATGGGTGTTCTCAACGGTCTCTTCGTTCTCGGCCGCAGCATTGGTCTCATTGCTCACTTCCTCGACCAGAAGCGTCTGCGCACTGGCCTGTACCGTCACCCCTGGGACGATATCACCTACCTTCTGCCTTCCCTCGCCCAGGGCCAACCAGGGTCTGAGGGCCGCGTGGAGGTGTCTGTGTAAGGGTTTTATGTTGATGACGCGGTTTGAAATTAAGGTGTTTGCTGGATCTGGGGTAGAGCGAGATGTATGAAAGCCTGGAATGATATGGCGCTAGAGCTATAACACCTTGATGGTTTACTAGAATATAATGACCAAACTACCTATTGTTATCTTCTGTGTTCTTGCGTGTTGAGGTTCCATTTGCTTTCTTCCCACTGAATGTCCAAGAGTGGTGAACTAAACAGGTGCCACACACCGCTACAACACGCTCAACACGGTGATGCAAGCTGTACTGCGCTAACCAGGGGCCGGGCACTATTCAAAATCAAAGATGCACATTGACCGCCATTTGTACAAGCGATTTGACCGACTGTGATCGCCATATGTCGGCTGGGGTGAAGGTGCATGTGCATGTGCAGGGTAACTGGCTTCAGAGGCATGCACGCGAAATGCGAGGTCACGTGGCTGCAAGTCGTCTCAATTTGAAAGTCTTGGCAACCTACCTGTAACTTTCGACGACAGCGTCCCATGATAGCGAGCAAAGTGTGCCAACGCGAAGAAACTACACCCAGCGACCTCAACCACGCTCCACGACAACAAATAAGAGGCGAATAAAATCACGATCGTCCTCCTGCCATTTGCGCAACCGACTCTTTGTGGCTAGCCCAGTCACAACACCGACCGCCGAAACACCACCAAACCACACATACACCGGCCCAACATGGCCTTCTTCCGCATAACACTACACCGCTCGAGCATTGGCATGCCCGAGCGCACGCGCGGCGTTCTACATGCCCTCGGTCTGCGACGACGCGCACAGACGGTCTTCCATCCCGTTAGTCGGCAAACGGCCGGTATGATCATGAAGGTGAAGGAGCTGGTACGGGTGGAGGAGGTTGAGAGCAGTCTCAGCAAGAACCAAGTCAAGGCAGAGCGAACGCCGGACGCCGGTTTCTACCTCGAGAGAAAAGTGCAGAGGATGGAGGGCTAAGACACGACAGCGCGCATCGGTCGTGTTTTTTCAGGAGAGGAGGACTGGTCGTGCATTCTACACGATCGCGATTGTACATGTTTGTAATGATTTGTGTAAGACACTAGACTAGCGATTCTGGGATATGAATACGCAAATGTGGTCCACGCCTTTATCGTCCAGGGGGTACGTGTGGTCTCAAGGTCACTCATTGAGTTTGCATTTGCCATGCTGATTACTGTTGTCTACTGCTGCGTCTCTTTTCTTTTCCCTGGGTACAATCCCAAACTCGAACCCCAGCAAATTATTCGCAAGGGTGGAAAAAAAAAAGAGAAAGAAACCAATGCCCCGATTCATACAAAATCATGCCACAGCGTCGCTACACGGTCCTCAGCGAGCCGCGGCGCGGTAGACTGCTCTCTGAACGCTCGCCTTCCTAAAAGCTGCGCGCCTTGTCAATGTACTCGGAAGAGGGCGTCTCATACTCATTGACAAAGTAGGTCTCGCTGTTCTTGCTGAACCAATTGGTGAACTTGGAAATCTCCTCCCTAAGGCGCGAGACAGACTGTTGATCCATGTTGGTTTGAGCAAGAAGTTCAGGCAGAGAAACTGTGTGTGATGTTAGTGGCGTGGTGAAGAGAGGGAGAATGACCATGTCGTACCGATCAGACGAGCAAGATGCTCGGCGCCGTAGACGTCCGCAGGTGACTTGTACTGCTCATCATCTGATTTCTCCCACAGCTTACGGACCTCCAAGTACTGATGGCGTTCAAAACTAGAGTCGTTAGATTGATTTGCTCGCAACTGCTGCGATAAACGAGCCTTACCGATAAAGGAGAATGCGGCCCAGCGCCTTTTGGAAATATTCTTGGAACCCGGCGATCACCTCCAGGAGAATGTCGTGGCTGGCTGTACCTGGTGGACGCGCCGGGCTCTCGTAGTCAATGTACGCATCGAGAATGTTGCGGACAGATCGCTTGTGGGGAAGAGGCACAAGCTGGTTATTCTTGGTAATGTTCTCCCAATCATCAACGAGTAGCGCCTGGAGATGGTCGGGGACCACAATGTTGATCATAGGTTTGGCGTGGAAGGCATCCTCCTGACGATTGAGTTAGTGGCGTCCTGCTCAGTCGCGAGCTTGCGTTGACAGTTGTCTGAACGACAGTAGTGAAGTGAGGGCTCATCCTAGTGAGCCGTTTGCACCGGTGACAGTGTACGGTCAGAGCTGTTGTCCGCCGAATCCTTTGATAGTTCTGGGGAGGGTGTTTCCACAGGCTGCTGCGGCTTCGCAACTCCTAATGGCTTCTGCTCCTGACCATCCTGACCCTCTGTCAACTTCTTGGCGGGAACCTTTCGCCTAGTCGAACGACGTTGGCGCACACGCTTCTCCTGACAAGGAAGACGGTCGCCAGGAGCGACGTATCTGTCGTCAAACAGAAGAGCACCCCTGGCACCAACATAGCGATGATTGCGTCTTGGTAGTTCAAGTAGATGATCGCGCACTTCCCATCGCGCAAGCTGCTTGGCCTTGGCTTTCGCAGAGAGTTCCTTAGGCGGCACTGCGTTGGATACATCGCTGGAAACGTCCATTGCTGTCTGTTGGATGGGTGTGCTCGTTTCACCACACTTCGCCTCAAGACCAGCCAGGTGTGGGTTACGACCAACATCGGACATTGGAAAGTCGTGGCGCGTGTAAGGAACAGGCCGAAAAAATGGCTTCATCTTGGGAACTTTCTCCATGTTCTTGCGAAGATTTGGTTTGACGTGACGTGGCATGGTTGCGGGTTGTATGAGTTGACATGAAGTGCGGGTGTTATGAGTGAAGGTGGGAGGGAAGGTAAAGCAAATGAGAACAGGTACTTGAGGACAGATGGTTAAAGCAAAAGGCTCAAGGCGCACAAGAAAAAGTTCATGGAGATGAAATGAGAAGAAGGTTTCGACGGACTGGTGAGCGTTGTGCACGCAGGCGGCAACTCTGTATCCCAGTGACAAGGCTGATCTGGGAAAATGGTGTTTTGCGATCGACCTGATGAGGGAGACTTGGATGAAACTGTTGCGTTTCCCAATGGCAGAGCCATATAACACCAGCTCATCATGACTTGCAACTTTGCAATGGGTCGAGGCGTGGGTGAGTGTGTAAGCCTAAATGCAGAGGGTAATGCCGCTTTGTCTGCCCTGTGTTGTGAAGCGCACGCGATCAGAGGCTGCGGATTGTTGCCTGTAGGACAGGAGCAACAAACGCTCCAAGCACTTTTGCGGGAAACTCAAGTCCGGACAAGCCGAATCATCAAGGCAGATGGAGGATCTAGAGCCAAGTGGGTGTAGAGTTATGCAGAGCCAAACATGTCCGCCTGTGAAGCACAAACAGGTCGAGATGAAGAGGAAAATCGCTTACCTGCTCGAGATCCCAATCTTTGCCCCTGCGCCCCCCTCGAACCCCTTGCGCAGCCGAAGACGAGCGCTCCTCACTACCGCGCGCGGAGTCTGTGGTGCCAGGCTTGACTGTCCTCTTGGGAATCCTGTTGCTCTTCTGCATGTTGCTTCGCAGCTGGGCCTGGAGCTGCAGGGCTAACTCCTTGTGCTCGTCGTCAAGGGGGCGGATGCGATCGACGGTGACCCAGTCATCCCACGTGTTCTTCCAGCCCTTGTAGTGGACTTTGTAACGGAAGCCCTCGGCTGGCTTCTCGAATGGTTGAACATCCATGATTTTGGCCTCGTACAGCATGTCCATGTGAAAGCAGAGAACCTTTTCGTCCTTGTTGAACTGAGGCTGCGGTTGGCGTGCTGGAGCCATCTTGGTCTGTCCGTGCAAAGCACGATGAGTTGCTCTCGTTGTGTTCCTGGGTAAATGGGGGAAGGGTTTCCGTGCCTCCCTAAGCGCGTTGTTGATGCCCTCGGTGACTGCCTCGACAGTGGCCAGTCTCCAGGCGACAGTGAGTTCCTTCTGAATTTTTGAGTGAAGGATGAAGATTGTGACAATAAAGTGAGCCTGTTGTAAAGCACGTGATGCTGATGATGGTTTCAGGTGATGGCATGAGAGAGATGGTCAAGTCGCCTTGAGTCTTGGTTGTCCCTTTTCCTCCCGTCAGGGTCGCGATCTCAGATCCTGCCCAATCACGCGTCGCGGTGCGCTCTACCAGGCCAGCGACAGACACTCGCCATTTTCTTCACAAAGACAAGTGACTTGCTTTGCATGTATTCAAAAATTTCTCGCCTAGGCTCTAAGCTATGTTTGGGCAAGATATCAAGTGCCGCGAGCAGTCACAGCCCAAGTATCAGCCGTTGCCGATCCCCCGTCGTCTTAATGCCGCCCGCCTGCTCCAGTTCGATGGCGTTTGTCACAACGTCGCTGGACAACATGTATAGAAGCCTAGACCCAGCATCTCCTTCTGGTACTCGTTTTCACGGGCAATAGACTTCCACTGATTTAGAGAACAAGACTTGTCATTGAGGACAGGCGCAGTATGTAGGCTGGGCTTCGCCGGCCCAGTGGCTTGTCCAACGGAACCCCATGAGCAGCAGTTCCGGCGCAAAGAAGTATCGAATGCTTGTATCGCTCAAATATTGGCAACTGGGTCACTCAAAGCAATTTCAAGAGGCCCTCCTTCTTTTCGGCGAGCATCTTGTTGAATGTCGTGGGAGTTTATGGAGTCGCTGGGACCGTATCCCGGGAGTCGCAGGTAGTGAAGAGCGAGGGGGGAAAGCACACCGTGAATGTTGTTCAAAGATGATAGCAATACGTCAATTTCTATATTCAGACTACATTGTGAACATCAAGAATAGTAGCTTGTCGTTTTGCAATGTCAAAGTGGTGCACTTACCTTACAATACCTGACCTACTAGGTACCTCAACAACTTATTCCCACTGGGGCACTGCTACGTCACACTATCCCACTAAACGCGTCAAACCGACAGCACCTCTGTATTATCCCAGATCCCCCATTCTCGACCATGGCGATCACTGAGACTGACGTCTTGACCAACTACCTCCTCAACCCCGCGCCCCTGCCTTTGGTCATCAAATTCGAGCGCTTCGCTGAGCAATTCCCCCCAGCGCAACGCGACGCACCCGCCGTGCGAGCGCTATGGCAGGATCTTGTCGCGCAGCGGGAACGCGTTTTGGCGTCGGTGCGAGAAAACATTGAAGAGGAAGTGGCGCGGGGAAAGGCGATGCGGCGCGAGGTGCTGCGGAAGAGGAGAGAAGAGGGCACCGACGAGGTTGATGCCGAGATTGAGATGGAGCGAGCGGTAGGAACCCAGCCTCGCAACGTTACGAATCAGTGCCTAATGATACCAGCTATTCGGAGATCTGTCCGGCGCAAAGCGCGCAAAGCATACTCTCGACTCGGTCGTTCCCGAACTGGAGGGCGCAACTCTTGCCTTGGAAGCTGATATTGCAAAGCTACAGGATGAAGAGGTACAGCTCCTCGAACTGGTCAAGTCCAACGTCGACAGTCTGAGCGACCTCCGCTATGGCAAGTTTGGCAACGCAAAGCTTCGAGACGAGGTGCTTGATGGATTACGCACGCTGCAGGAGACATGCAGTAGCAAATGATGATACCGAAATGGCGAAAGAATGATTACAATTTCATTATACGAGGGCACGGATCACCCTCCAGCGCAATCATAGACGACTACCAAGGTCAGATCGCACGCTTCCCGTACGTGAAACACCGGCACCGAAATTTTCCGCCATTACAACGACCCTCAGCGCTCCCACTATGAAATGATAACAAGGCCCCAACATCTGCCACGCTTTCGTTCCCTGGCCAATCCTTCTCTTCGTTGCATCGTCGTCTCAGCACGGTATATCGTCTAAATTTACCTGCCAGCGGGCTGCTGCTGCTGACCGTGGCCCTCCATGCGGCGGGACCTAAGGAAGATACACATTAGCCGCTGTTGTTGTTGTTGTTGCCCGCCTCGTTTCTGCGCGGACCGGGGACCAAGACCCACATCATAGAACGGCTGAAGAAGGAGATGATGAGCATAAAGGCCCAGCTGGGGAGCAGGTTGAAGCCCCAGAGCAAGTAGGCCAAGGGGACGGAAAGACCCAGCTCAGCCGCCTTGCCATTGAAGGGGTGCCAGAACGACTCCTCGAGCTTGAACTCGGTCTTGTGCTTGCCCTGGAGGGCGACGAGGTCGTCCGAGGTGACGGTCGTGAGGTTGAGACGCTTCTTGTAGATCTCAATGGGCGCGGGCTCGGGGAGCATCTGGAACGACCAGAGCCAGCCAACGCCAGCAGACCAGACGTTGCAGAGGATGGGCTGGTCGTCGCAGTTGAGCATGCCCATGTGCGGCGCGTTGGTCTGCAGAGCGAACTTGGCGGCCGTCTCGTTGAAGGCCTGCTCGACGCGGTCGCAGTGGCCTGATGAATTAGCATCCTGGGACGGGCTTTATTGCTTGTCGCGATACTTACCGAAGCAAGTCTTGTTGTTGCCAGTAGTCAGGATCCACCACTCCTCAGGCTCCGTCTGGCCCTCCTTGACAGGCTCGTAGAGCGTCTGCTTCCAGTTGTCCAGGGTGAGGATGTTGAGCTTCATGGCGCCAGCCTTGGCCTCAGCCGCCGCGACGGGGTCATGGCGCCCAGGGTTAGGGATGTACGACCCAAAGTTGCCGAGGAAGTTCTGGAATTGGGCCTGGTACTGGCCAAAGGTGTCCTGCTGAGCAGAAGCCAGGGCGGGCAGCGCCGCAACAAGAGTTGTGAAGCGCATTGTGATTGTGCTGATGTGGGTGGTTGCGGGGAGACAGACGAACGGGACACGTTGAGGACGGACGGGCGACCTGGAGGCTGCTGGTCACTAATAATGCACGCGCGCGCTGACAATGGAGACCTGGACTGGAGCAGGGAATGGAGACGCCTTGGGGAAGGGACGGAGGACTGGAGGCTGGACTGGAGGGAGAAGAAGAAAAGCCTGACTGGATGAATGCACGGAAGGCAGCAAAGTCCCTAAATTTGTTGATTCAATTCCTTTGAGCGCAACAAATGGACAGCAAATTTGGGACATGCATGATCCCTGAACATTCACCTCACTCACGCATTCCCTTCCCCATCTGTTCCCTGAAGCCAAGACTCCGGTCGCCGTCGCAGACGCGCAACCCGAACAGCCTGAAGGGACGCAGCTAGACCACTGGCAGAACCTCGGGCTGGCTCACTGAAGGAATTGAAGTGTGGCTGATGGGGCGACAGCTGCCAAGGGCCCAAGAAGAACGGTGGCTTGACGCGGGGAGACTGTCCCACTTTACTAGTGCGGCCGCCTACACAGTGCAGTGAGTGAGTGTGAAGATTGATGTAGACGCGACATGACGCGCCAGGTCGCCCAAGCCCTTTCAACATCCCAGAGTGCTCAAAATGGTCAGAACCCGCGTTAAAATGTGTTCGCGTGAGATGAAATGTTAACTGTGTATCGCAGCCGCGGAAATCAGCATCGCCAAAGCGCAAGCGTTATTCAATGCCCGTCGCAGGCGACACGACCCTCGAACGCATCGACGAGCACGAGAGCGGTGCAGCACCAGAAGAGACACAACCGAAGAAGCGCGGCAGACCGAAGAAAGCAGCGCTAGGCGATACTCTAGAGCAACCAGTAGAAGCAGAAACGGAGACAGGAGCACCAAATGAAGCGCCACGACGGAAACGAGGACGTCCCTCGCTTGAAGAACAGTCTCGACACGTACAAGACGAACCTTCGGAAGAGCGCCCACGCAAAAGGGGGCGGCCGCCACATAGAAGGGAACAACCTGCAACAGACGATGCCAAGCCGAGAAGGAAGCGTGGGCGACCGTCACTCGGCGAGAAGAGCCACAGCGAACTGAACGAGGATGTCGGCGCAGTTGATCAGTCCGCGGGAAACAATGCACTCGAAGTCGAATTGACCCCTGAAACAACTAAATCCAGGAGAGGCCGCCCAAAGAAGGCTCTTCCGACGCAGTCCCGAGACGAAGAAGCTGTCCTGGAGCAAGAAGAGGACCATCGCGACTCGACGACTGCATCGCGGCAGAGGCAAAGCAGACACCAAGAGCCAGCACATGAAGAACCCGAGCAGTCCCAAGAAGAAGAAGAAGGGCACCCTGCGGCTGCGACTCGCAAGAGGGGCCAACGGAAGAAGGCCACGAGGCAAGCAGAGGAAGAGGGTGAACGACAAGAGGGCAGCCCTCCGCCCGCGAAGCGAAAGCGCGGCCGTCCCTCACTGAACGCTGCCGAGGAACCTTCATCAACAAGCCATGCCACGACCTCAAAACCAACCAGCAAGCCAGTCGAGGAGCAACAGCCCAGCGGTGACGCGCAATCCCTGGAAGAGAACCTGGCCATTGTGCGGCACTACAACGACATCCTCCCCCGATCCCACCCCCGCCTCGTGCCCAAGGACCGCACTCTCTCCAAGGCGGAGATTGATGAGAAATGGGCGCCTCTTGCCGGCCCGGCGCTGGAGGCAGCCACTGAGCTGCTGGTCCCCGCAGGCCATGCGACAATCAACGCACTGCCCCTCGGCACAACGAGGCGGAAACATACGGAAGCGGCTGTTGCGGGGATCCAGAGACGTCTGATGGCGTACACCAGCAGAATGCCCTTCCCGCCGTCGTCGTCCGGGATGCGCCGCAAGGCAAAGAAGCGGGGTGGCCTGCCGGAGGAGTACGAGACCGAGTTTGACTACGAGTATGTGTACGACAGGACGACCAACCTGCAGGCCCAGCTCGACGCCGCGCAGTGCGCGGTGGAGGTGCTGCAGCGGGAGAGGGACAAGGAGGAGCGGGCGCTGGAGCGCGACTACAAAGTCCTGCAGAGCCTCGAGGCGAGTGCGAAGGCAGAGAAGAGAGACGCGAGAGAGATGATCAAGAAGGCGCATGTCCTTGCGCCGGACAGTCGGAGGGCGGTGGAGGACGAGTATGGCTTGGTGGTCGACGGGAAAACCCAGCCATCTCTGCAGGTACGTGCTTTCTTCCTCCTCTTCTTTCTCGCGGGGCTTGTTGCCAGAATTTGCTAACTTGGCAGAATCTGGAGGATGAGGAGGTCAAAGAGCTGGCCATGCAGTTGAGCGGACACATGGACAGCATCCGGACGAACATGGCGCAGCTCGATGGGCTGTCACCGCAGCTGGAACGGAGCAGTGCCGCGTTGAGGAGTGTCCTGGCGCGACACCTCAGCGCCGAGGAGTATCACAGGGTGTTATTTAACTAAAGCATGGCAGCACTTTTTTGCAAGCGAGGCGTTTCTGGTGTTTGACTGTTCTCTAGCTGCGATGAAAGGGCACGCACGGCGAAACGACACCGATTTATCATACCACAAGCAGAGTGCAATCACAATGGAGACTATTCGACCCTGGTGGTCCCTTGGATGCAGATGTCATGATCGTTTCATCATCATGATAAGATTTCTTCCAACGTTTTCTCTCTACCTTTTTCTACTAACCCCCAATACAAGAACCAACAACTATATACAGTTTCCAAGAATGAAAATGATCCCGTGATCGCCACGCATCCCCGAGTCTATCCAACGCAGTACCCTCCAAGGGCGCAGGAGTGCTCCAACGCACGCTCACGCAGTCAGCTTAGAAGCGGAAGCGCTTGGCGAAGCCGGTAGGGCCAGGGACAATGGGCCCGGTACCGTTGCCGGTGGGGTAGGGGATGTGGGTGGTCGCGGTGAGAGTGGTGGTCTCGTCGGGCTCGCACTCGTCGTACTCGTCCTCATCATCATCCACATCCTCGTCGTCCTCACCGTCCGCGGCATCCTCGTCCTCAGCCTCGGTCTCGTGCTCGACGGAGCCGGTAGGGGTAGCGGTGGGGGCAGACTCGTCACCGCCCATGGTGATGTAGACGGTCGAGGCAGGGACAGTGACGGTGACAGCAGAGGGGCAGACGCAAGAACCGTCATTGCTGCTGTCACCCTCGCTGTTGTCACCCTCGGTGTCGCTGGGGATGCCACCGCTGCCACCCTCAGGGGAGGACTCAGAGTCAGTGGCAGCAGGAGGCTCGACGGTGAGGGTGACGGTGTTGGTGGTGGTGGCAGTAGTGGTAGTGGTGGACTCCTCAGAGGCGCTGGACTCCTCCTCGCCGGGGGTGACACTGCAGGGCACGGTGACGGTGGTCTGGTAGGTGGTGTGGACGACGGTGGTCTCGACGTCGCCAGAGCCGTGGGTGATGGTCATGGTCTGGTCCTCGACAACCTCCGAGGTCTGGGTGGTGAGGCTCACGGGGGCCGTGGTGGTCGCCACGGGCAGGGCCTCGGAGGCGGCCCCGGTGGCGGGGACGTTGTCACCGTCGGTGGGGATGGCGCCCGTCTTGGTGGCCGACTCGATGATGGAGGAGGAGATGGCGGGGGCCTCGGAGACGGGGCAGACGGTGGTGGTGATGTCCCTGGTGATGGTCTCGATGTAGGTGGTCTTGTCGGTCTCGGGCAGCTCCTCGATGTCGGTGGGGTTGGCTGGGCAGTTGGTGACGGTGGGCGCACAGCTGGTGACGGTGTGGACCTCAGTGGCAATGACGGTCAGGGTGGTCTGGGCGTCACTGGGCAGGGTCGAGTTGTCACGCCTGTAGTGCCAGTGCTCGGGGCGGAAGGCCGTGGCGTTGGCCAAGGTGGCAGCGAGGCCGAGGGCAGCAATGGAGGCTTTCATCTTGAAAGTGGTAGGTGGTTGGTTGGGTTGTTGTAAAGTGAGTGGGTGATAATAGCAGGCGAAATCTTCTTCAAGCTGGACTCTCCGGGAGGTGAACTGTTTCAAAAGAGTGAAAATCGATTCCACTTCAAAAAAGACTGGTTGGTTTGGTTGTATCTTGCTTGCAAGATGTCGTTGGCACAGCCAAGTATCAGCGAATGGAACGGAAGAGAAAGGAGTGGCAGGAAAGGCCTGATCAAAGACGTTTTCGAAAGGAACGAGAGACCTCAAGGAGTGAGAGTGAAGATGGTGAAGAAGAGGAAGAAGAAGAAGAGAGGAAGAAAAGAGGCGGGCTCGTGTGTAGAAAAGGCACGCATGAGCGAGAACGTTTCAACCCAAACCGGGCCGGAGTATACGGATCTCCACCTCACACGCCTCGAAGCAGTGAAATGGCCAGGATCGCCACACCCGGGATGCTTCAGATTTCCCGGGCCGTATGGACTCTTGGCGTCGATGGCGTGGGCCCGCGCTTGCGTGGGCGCTCGAGCGTCGAGTCGGGCCTTGGCCAGGGTGGCAGTCGTCCGTGACAAACATGAAACGCCCATCGCCAAGTTGTGATTAATTGCTCACGAGGCGGTCCTCTGATGTCGTTTGCTTGGTGAAGAGCGCAGCTCATATCTGGCTGCTAACCGCTGTACGTCGAGGCAGAGACCCATCTCCTTCGCTTGATTTCCCTGAGTGCTGAACCTCTCCTCCTCCTCATGATTGCCAGGGCAAATACACTCAGCTGGCGAGCAAGTCGACTGACTGTCCAGCGTACATGCGTATTCTTGCATTGCCCCATCTGGCCTGGACTCTCTGGCTTGTTTGATGTTGACGACGCCCACGCCTCCACGGAGAGATAGTTGATGAGTTAGGGGCCGCCTCGGCGGGCAGATCCTAGTCGACTGGGGGCCGCTTATGCAGGTACCAAGACGACCTGAGACGCCTCCTCCGCCAATCAGTCGCTGAAGCCCAAACTTCTCTCTCAAGAGTCCAATCGCGCGACTGGGCTGTCACTGGACTGGACTGGATTGGACCGGCTCCACGGACGCGCAGATCGCTGGCAGATCCTCAAACGCTGGCTCGCGCACCATCTCGTCCACCATTCAAATATCCCCTCTCGCGCCCTCATCCCAATAATTACGAGCCCCTTGCGCGTTTATGCAGCCACTGCGAAACCTTCGGCTGGATCGGAATGGCCGTTTCCGTCGGAGTTTGTTGATGAAAAGTTGAAAACCAGCTCTGTCGCCCATACCGGGAGATAACACATCCGTCAAACCTCATCGTCGTTCTGCGACGTCCTGTTTGTTTGGCAGCTTCTTCTGGTTGTTTCCGTCGTCTTTCATCGCCGTGCCTCTGCCCGTGCGGACATACAATACTGCAATAGTGTACTCGCGTCGTGACGCAACATGAGCACAACGTCCTTCTTCTCGTATCCTGACATACCCTGCCAGCCATGTAATTTAAAGACTTATACCTGACCACGGCATTCTTGTGCGACAGACAACGTGTTGTGCAGCGTGCAGCGTGGAAGCCTCAGCTGAGAGTCATGCAAGCACCGCCCCAATGCTGCAAACGAACAGATAATCAAGCCTTGTTTCAGCACCAAAATGCTTCATCATTCAATCTCCTCTATCCTGGGCCGCGACTGCTCAGACGGGTCGTGAATCCCAGTGACCGGGTTGACCGCCAATCCGGCCAATCTCCCGAGGACGGGACCCGACATACTATCCTCGTCTTGCCTTGGGAGAAGACTCGTCATCTGCCAGGCCTCCAGGCTCTCTATCACATCCTGTGCGTGCTGCTGCACAAGAGCATCGTTGTCCGTGCCGGCCACGTACTGCAATGTCCGAGTAATGTCCTCGCGGCTGGCGTCCGTGAGCCCGAACCCAAGCGAACGCTTCTCCTCGCGGGCCTTGGCCAACGCCCGGACGAAACTGAGGATGGCGATGATGGCGGCTCGCCGCAAGATGCCCTTCTCCATCTCTGGCTCCATGACCAGGACGTGGAGACTGAGGTCCACGCCCCCCGAGGCAAGCGCCGGTCCGATGCCACCGATGTTGGTCTCCAGAGCGGTGCCGAATATCGAAAGAGCGGACGTACGCATACGCACGTCTTCAGTCCCCCGCTTGCTCTCCCATCCTTGCAGGATGCGGGTCAAGATATCGTTGTTGGCCTTTTGCTCTTCCGAGAGCTCTTCCTCGTCATCCGATAGAAGATCCTCTTCTTCTTTAGCCTTTCCCTTCTTGGCCTTGAGCGCCTGCAGACGCTCGTCTCTGGCCTGTTTGGCCTTGGTCTTTGCCCTGTAGCCGCGTCGGCCGGCAATCGACAGTAGTGTCTCCGCGATTTGCTGTGCGAGATCGCCTGCAAACGTCTGCCCTAGTCTCTGCACAATTTGCAACAGGGCCTCGCCAAAACGGAGACGTGTATCTGTCGTCGACTTTTCGCGAGGGTCGAGGTAGTTCTCTAGTATCTCCTTGATGGTTGTTTTCGGGTGCTTGTCAGCCAGTGTGTTGAGCATCTTGACGATGCGAAGATTCACAAAGTCCTCGCCATTCGCCAGAAGCCTACACAGCAGGAGTGTGGTTGTGTTGATGTCTAGTACCGAGCTGCGATGTTGAATCAGCTCGGAGAGCAGATTCAGTCCTTCCGATACTACTGGAGGTGGGCTGTCGATCTCTGTGATATAATTCATCGCCAAGTTGTACTTTCGACGGTCTTCCACTTGGCGAGGCCCGGGTGCTGTGCTGGCTGTTTCCTTTTCTTGGTCAAGTTGGTCTCGATATCGGAGCAGCATGGCCAAGTTGGACGCTGTCTGGGCCACTGACCGGTCGCTCTTGGCCAGCCGCTCGAGAGACGTCTCTATGGACGCAATTTCTTCCCCTTGAATGTCTGATCGTTGGAATGTAGGCGCCGTGATGACCATGTTGAGCAAGCTGAGCACAACACCAACTAGCTCATCGCCCAGCGAGGCCTGGGAATCGGTCTGTAGAACCTCGCAGATCAGACTAACAACCTGGTCAAATTGACTGACCAGCTTTCCAGGTGCCTTGTCGAGAAGCTGCTGAAGCAACGAGATCTCAAAGAGATCCTGCTGGGGAGGCTCCGTGGGCTCGTCCTCCTTCTCCGCCTGGAGCACTATCTCGCCCGAACTCTTCTCCGCCTTGGCGATCCATCGACGCAGGAGGCCGAGGAAAACGGTCGAGGTATCCTCTTTCGACGTGGCAGCCAGCATTTTTTCCGCCAGTATTGCCGCTTTTTGCTGCAGAAATTGCCAGTCCACCTCAGCCTCCGTGTTCGCTTCGGGCTGCCCAGCTACAATGTCCACTGCGCCCTCGTCGCTCGCTCGGTAGAACCAAGCTTCCGCATCCTGGGAAAGAGAGCCGTTGCTCGGAGCCGTCGGGAACAGATGCAGAATAGAGTCTGCAGTACCGAAGAGCTTGAGGTATGTCTGCAGGAGGCTCTGTGCCGCTGTCTGTAGAGCCCCATCGCTCGATGCGTGCGGCAGTGCAGCAATGCTCCATATCTGTGCGATTATGGGCTGGAGCAACCTCTTGCAGAGGCCTGCCGAGGAGTTTGTGAGAACAAGTAGTTTGACACGTTGAAAGGACTTTCTCAGTTGCTCCGCTGTGACGATGACACGCCCTCGACTCAGATCCACCAGTTCAGCGTCGCTGTCTTTGGTCTGGCTCAGCAATGAGGGATTGATATCTTCTAAAAATGGCTGCGCGAAAATGTTCCAGCCCGGAGCCCCTGTGTCATGATCAGTTCATGGTCTCGCGAAGGAATCCAGCCATGCGTACCGGGCTCTCCGTACAACCGCTTCCCCAGCACACCAAATCCTACGACTTGAGCGGCGACTCTAGCAAGATCATCGCCCTCATTACCGTCCATCAAGTGGAACAGCTGGCCGGATATCCCCTCGAACCACGCTTGTGGCGTGATGGACTTGGGCACGGACGAGAGAAGTCTCGTTGCATGGGCCACGGCTTCGTGGGTTATACTAGCCTCCTGCTTTTGCGGCTTCGCAGACGGCTCAATCTTGCCGTCGTTACTCGGGTGCACCTGGAAGATAAACTCGAGCGTGCCACGGACACCGTCTGACTTCAGAGGCAGCATGGTAAGGGTTTGCATGAATGGCTCGGCGAGCCATGGTGGGAGTGCGCCCGGCTTGATGAGCGTGTTCAACGGAGCCAATAAAGGCCACGTATCGCTTCTGCGTCCATCAAGTCAGACTTGCTCTTAAACTAGACGCCGTCTTTTCTTACCTCTGGATGAGTTTGTTGAAAGCCTCTAACCCGGCCGCTCTGGCTTCGGGATCAAGCGAGGGATCAAAAGCCTTTTGCCCATGCTCAACGAGAAGGCGTGCGACATTTGGCCGTTGGGGTGGCGTGTTTACACTATCGGACATATCGGCATCGCTTTGACAATTCACTAGGCAGCATTCAATTACTGTTTTTGTCGGCTTTGTTGCTTGCCAGAGGAGGCCTTCAGTTTACTCATCCGCGGCAGTGGGGCTCAACGTCAGTAGTCGTTGCGCACCCGGGCGCGCAAAGAAGTATCACGTGTTACACGCCCAGGCGCGTCAGGTAGATAAGATTCCTCATGTATAAGTAAGCTACTTAATAAACGTTAATCTGGACCGCTAACTACATATGCCCTAATAGTGTTGATATAATTCGCCTTCTCAGTGATCTTAATACTATTCTCTAATTATGTCTTTTCCACTCACACCTACCGCTCGAAGATAAACGCGAGGCTCCCCCTTTTGCTTGATAATACTTCTTATAACATGCAAACTTAAAGTCAGGCCGGACAAAGTAAAAAATCAGTCATATCTAGAAACATATCAGAAACTATATATAATTCGTTCTAGTTCATCGCGTCTTCTCTTCTGCATCCACACACCCGCAGCCGCACACTCGTCCGTGCACCTCGATCCATCGAACCACCACCAGACATGACAGTGTGACGATTCACACAATGACGAAATCCAAAGACAACCCCCAGGCGATACTCGAAGACCGTCCCGGTACAAGCCCCTGCTACACGATTGCCACGAGGGTGGTTAAAAAACCATGTGTGAATAGGATTGCTCATTGCGAAGATCTAAACCATACAACGGCTTGTGATGAGCACTGGAAGTTGTTAGAAGAACGCTTATGCCCCTGCTGCGTATGTCTCTTTGACGAGGGGTTCATGTATGAACCAGTGCGAGAACTCGAGTTGAGCTCCACAGCTAGGAATGAGCCCAGGCCCAAGACAGAGGAAGAACGGAACAGGAAGGCTGCTGAAGGGGGAAGAGAGGCGGGTAAAGAAGAGAACAGCGAAAAGGAATCTCGACTCGGAAGCGGCACCTCCCCGAACTAAGGTACTTTGGCAGCAACTCAAACAGACAGGCAAATGATCCGGTTGCAAACTCTCGTCAAGGTTGCTCAGGTGAAGCTGAAAAGTTGACTCTAGTCAGGAGTAGCATCGTAAGGCATAAGCTTGCTTGTGCTACTGCACGATTCAGATCAATAAGGCTCGAGCCAAGACTTGCAGCCTGCTTAGGGGGAGATCAGTTTTGCTTCCTTCTCCTCTCGGTCTCACCTGAATTGTCTTCCCAGACCTCCTGTGCACTATCGCATCATCGCCGAGTACGTGACAGGCCACCTGTCGTCTTAAAGATCTCTTTCGCGGCTTTTGTTGAATGAATCGAAGAATAGGTGTTGCAAGAGCTCCTTGGCAGTCTTCCTCTTTTCGAGCAACCATTGAAGCATGCCAGAAGCAAAGTCGAAAAATGCCTCTTTCTCATGGCCATCGAGTTCCGTCACCCAATCTGCCAACTTCATTCCTTTGGTATGAAGGTCTGGGCGTAGGGTCTTATCTAAGACTCAGGCATTTGTGAGTTTTTCTGTCTGTTTGGTCTGAATGCTCGACCTTGTTGACAAAACTTGCCATCGTCGCCAAAGAAGGGGCCTCCCCAGAACTCGTTCATAGTCTTGCAGGCCCTGCCGTGTGAGTCTGTGACCGGCCGCTTGAGCGGGTACTGACGATAAATTCGCCCCCTCGCCGGGAAGCAACTCCTCTTCGATAGGTTCACTGATCTCATGAGCCATTGATTCGAGTTGGGAAGCAGAGAAATACCAGCTCCAAGAAGGAGGCCATCCGATGGGAATTTTTATCGTAAGGAACCGCGGTCTTGCAACGTTCGCAGTGTTAATCATCTTCACACAATCGCGCGTCAACCGTACTTCGGCAACAAGAAGTGAAGGGATCTGGCAAATGTGGGTCGTAGAAAGGGTTAGATGGAGAATCACAGATGATAGCGGGAGGTGAGAAGTCCTGAGCAATAAAGTGGTAAGCTGTAGTATTACTGCACGACGCACCAAGATAATGTCAGACCGGGGCATAGTATGATGTGCTAAGTAGAGATTCTACTTGTACAGGACATAGGTACTTAGCTTACGCGCTCGGGCGCTGATGATGTAGTCACGTCACGTGCCAACGCGCAAGGCCCACACCTCTCCCCCCAAAGCGACGCGTTCGCTTTATTGACTTTCTCCTCCACATCTCCACGTACCGAGACCAGGCCATGCAACAGCCGCGATCCGCTCATATTACTCGAGGCCTCTGGTCCATCTTCTCGCATCACTGCCCGCTACTGCTGACTCGAACATCAACAAGTTCCTTCATTGTCCGCCAGGACTTCACCTATTGCGCATCGCCTTCCCCACAGTTCTCCGACTCTCGTTTTCCGTCAGGAACGTCTATCGCAGACCTCTCCTCATGGCCGGATGACCCGATGTGCCGCTCTCGAGCCTGTAACAGGACCTCGCTGCCAGCCGCAATTGGATTTTTCGTCGTCATTTGCTGTCGGTCACTAGACAGCCCGGCCGGATAGGAGAGAACGAGCTTCGGAACTTAACCCTAGCTATACGTCTGGTTCGCTCAAGTCTTGCGCTTCTGTCGTCCGAACCGGCTTCTATATTGGCCAGGAGAACCACTGAAACATGCCCGCTGCACAAGCGGGACGATTGATGTTGGAGACCCTGTGCCGATGGACTGCTGGGGAGGACACTCCAGTCACCGCTTGCGGTGCGCGAGAGGGTTTATGCCATGAGTCGTCTGGTAAGAGCCTCTGGTGAGGTCGCTCGTCAGCTCTACCCGCTGGAACTCGAACAATGGTCACCAATAGGCCGTGCAGCTGGCACTTGCAGTGATATGTTGGCGGGAGGACGCTGATTACCCAAGAGGCTGTGGCGTGGAGCGTGTACAAGAACAGAGTTGAGCACAAAGTTTGGCTACATACGGACAGTCGCGGGTTTCCAATCTTTCTACTCCGTTGGATGTACCTTGCCGGAATGCGCCTCGGCGCTGCGAGGATCCTTCGGCTACAAACAGAAACCCAACCCGACTGTCTTCCCCAATTTCCGCCGCTTTGCCAAAGCTCTCGGTCCTCCGTACTTTACACAGCTCCTGTCGCCCTCGGGGGAGGTCTTTGGGCCCACCCTGCCACTCATTCATTGAGGTCACTGCGCTGCACCACAGCAACAGCTACCGGTGTGTGATGCTTCTGCATCTGGCCTCGCCGAGCGCATTAACCTGCTGCTGCGGGCTCTGCCCCGCCGTTTGTAGGACGCCAGAAATTGGTCCAAGTTCTTCGGAACTCGGACTCATTCCTCCGGTTGTCCTGAAATACGGACCATCAGAGATGAAAGCGTGGTTTTTATGGATGTCTTTTGTCCACGCGGAACGCCCTCCAGCCCCTTCAGGGTGCTTTTGGAGCGGACACAAAAACTAGTCCTTGTCGGCAGCGCACTGCAAACGGAAGGAGCTTGAGTTCATGGAAAGCCGTTTCGGAAAGGAATGCAGAGAGTGATCGGGTGCCGACGACGGTATCATGATGATCCTGGCACACGCTAGGCTTTTCCAAACAAACAGCGGGGATTCATGGACCCTTTGTCTTGCTCGGTTTGGGAGCAAAGTCCGGGACCCAGCCTGCGTTGGAGTCAAAGTTTTGTACTTGTCCGGCTTTATGAACAATTCCCTCGGGACTTTGGTGGACGGCTTCCTTGCTGGCGTGCGGATGAAGATTGGAGAAAGGGACAGGCCCCGAGGTTGATGGCAGTCCCTGGCTGTTCCTTGCTCCAGTAATGGCGTGAGGACAGCCCTCTTCATCGGAGGAGATAAGTCACTCGAGTCGATTTAGTCGATGAAAACCCTGCTGACTCTTTTGCAGTATGTTGACACGATACTCTACGCCGATACCCCCTGAATATCTAGCGGCGGCAACACGCAGCGAGCGCTGCTGCAAGCGTGGTTGCTTGCCTCCCCATCACGAATCTAATAATCGAGGATTGCAAACGTGCGTGGTTCAAATGTGCACGTATAATCAGTTGCTTGACTTTGACGCCCTTCCTTGGGTCGCCGCTTTGTGCAGAATGGAAGAGGCAGACAATTGATCTCATTTGAAGCGATTCATCTACCAAACTTTTCACATTAACTTCGCAGGTTCGTCCGAAGCCCAGCCTGCGGCGCCCGTCGCTCTTCCACGCCTAGCTCAACAGTCTGTTGTCGATCTGCAATCCGTACCGACTCCTCCGATGCATACCGTCTGGAGGAGGCTTGACCTTTTCTCGAAGAGTCCATGTCGTGGAGTTGTCTGTGGGTGCTACCATCTCCATCAAGGTGTATTGGAGCACGCCGTCGCGAATATCGGGTACGATGATATCCCAGGCACCACTCCCAGCGGGCTGCCGGACTTGTGGAGGCGACGCTGGCTCGTCGTCCCGTCCTTCAGACTGGAGAAGCCGTCGGTCAGCAAACATCCTCTCTTCTTTTCTTGCTACCTACAAGACATTTGGCGCAGGGTGCGTTCTTGACCCAGACCCAGTTCGGGCACGGATCTTCGTAGTAAAAGTATTTGCAACGGTACTTATAAAAACCTCCGCCACCGCTCATGTTGGCTTGCTTCCTTCCGAGGTTGTAGAGATATATCTGGCTGGCTGGCTGGCTATGGAGAGCCGGTTCTGGTTTGATGGGGAGCTTGCGAGTTTCCACGAACACTGTCGATGTCTGCGTGTGATTCTCGCGCAAGAGCTTCGCACAGCGAGTTGCCCATGCCTTATATCATCCCGACGAAAAGACCCTGACTCGAATCATACACGGTACACCATCATGGAGCGGCAAGGGCCGCCTTCGGACCCAGTGAAACAAGGATATCCCCTGATGGTAAACACTCGGAATACTTTGAGCACAGCTACTACGTACACACGCGAGTTCCGTGTGCGTCGTGGGATGTGGTCGCACCACAGCTAGTCAGCCGGGGGCCCGTCTTCTGGCATGTTGCAGCTTGTGTTCATCTGCCTAGAATAGATGCCGGGGGTTGTACTCTGTAGCATCCTAGTAAGAAATTTCGAGTCTTTGGACACCCCCACAAGCTGATTGTACACTGGCAGAAACGTACGTAAGTACGTAGGTGGAACAGAGATGTGTCCATGTCGTGTCGGCCACTGAGCTTACTAGGTATACGTAGAACCCCGGCCGATGCCCCCTCGTCTGCATGTACGTAGCGTCATCAGGAGCATAACTTCACCACTCCTGGCCATTGCTCGAACCCTTTGGTAGTGGGCACGAAAGGGGGTGTATGTGCCTTTATAGCTTTCCTTCTTGTCATCAGAGCGAGCGGCAGTCGCCTGGACGCTGGACCACGCAACGTCTGTCGAGCCCAGTCGCTGCACGATGTCGGGTGCTCAGCGCGTTGCATCCGGTTTGCAGTAGCGCAAGCTGACATGGTGTTCCCTAAGCTAAGGGGCATGGCTCGCTACTAATACTACATACGTCTAGACTCCTGAACCGAGCATCACTCGGTCCACTTGTCGTTCTCGTGCCTCGAGTAGCGGGTCCATGTGTGTAGTGAACCTAGAGGCTAGGGGCGCATCTTCCGAGACTTGCTTCATGCGTCTACCCGTCTGGGAAAGTTGTTCATCATTTCCCATGGCACCTTATGTGGTGCTCGGCAAGTGATATGTGGGACAAGCGCTACGTACTGAGTCAGGACGTGGTGGTGATGCGCCTCGCAAGGCTCTGACAGAACAGATATGTCCCAAAGTGAATTACGGTACAAGTACGTAAGTATGCACGGTTAGCCAGGCTAGATCGTGGCTGGGACAACTTTATGGTTGATCACACCACCCGTCCGTCACTCGGCACTATTACCTTATTTGACTCCTGTGCAAGGTAGTAGGGGTGCTGTCAGCCTGTCCCTGAGGTTCGCTGGCGAGGTCCGCGAGGAGGGTTGAAGATGACACGTCTGATTTTGACCTTGCGAACCCAGCAACCAGGTCACAGGTGCTCGGTAACCAACAATCTGTACGCACAACATACAAGTACCTAACATGGCAGCCATGCGCGTGGATGTGACAGAATCTGGAATCCTGGACACTTCCCACCACACATCTCGACTGGGTAACATCATTGCCTTTGTGCTGCAACCATTGCAACCACTGCATGTGTGCCCGCATGAAGTACACGATTGCTGACGCCTTGTGCCCCTTGGCTGGATCGTACCACAAGAGCAAAAATCCCATCAACCAGTGCAACCACTCGGACATTTTTTTGGTTCGATCTGCGGTGTACATGTTATCTTCACGTTGAAACATGCGCGTTGCGCCTAGCCGCTGAGGCTGAACATGCACTACTGTATGCTGATCACTTCCCGATTCTCTGTGCCTCCTTGAGAAATAGGACAGACGAGGGAACCAGATAACAAGCCGGACCAAATTTCCCTGGTCATTGGGTCATTCATTGCACGGTTGGACATGCCAGCCCATATCCTCTATCATTGGCAAAATGTCCGACCGAGGCGTCTATCTTTCAGCACCGATGTTGAGGCTCCGATTCGCCACGGTCAATCATGAGCTACAACCGTTATAGCATGGATAGGCGATCGTTTTCGATCTTGCAGAATGCAGCAGCGATGACTTCATCGACGATCAGCGAGAGAACGCTAGATCGCGGCAAGGCGCAGCGAGTGAGCCCATCGAACTGGCAACGTCGCAACGACTGTACAAGACTCCATGAGGGTTGCAACCCGCCATCTCAAAGGAGATCCATGGAGCGCAGTTTCAGATTTCGTCCACCCTGTGGCCTGAGCCAGTGATCGAACCGAGAGCCCGGGATCTGACGCGCGGGGGGCACATCAGCCTGAGTTGCGGCGGAGTTTACCTCCTTAGCAAATTGTACTGACAAACGTGTTGTAGGTATGATCAGATATGAAACGGCATTCAGCTAGCTCACCAGTCTAGTAAACGACCATCTATTGCGACGAGCCCTGTCCCGCTGCCAATACGCCCTCTCCACATCGCATGCCATACATAGTTACGCCTTGACACCATTCTATTGTTTCCATAGGTTCCTGTACCTTCGCGCTGTAAGTAGGCGGGCGCGTATTAATTCAGCTCTCGTTATAATAGCGGCTCACGCTTGGGTTGCTCTTCACCGATCACCCTTCATCGCAGCCTTCCGGCGCTTCTTCTCAGCCGCTCTCATCAGAGATCGCTTCACATCGCCATCATCGAACGTTTCGAGGTCATAGTACGTGGGGGCAATTTCCTGTGACAAATATTAGCGGACGAGTACAGCACATACTTTGGGCAACAACATACCATGAGCCACTCAGGACGAATGCCAGTACACGTGCGGATATACTGCTTCGAGGTGAGGACGAACTCGTTGTAGAGCACCCAATCGTATTCAGTGCGAAGCACCGTGGACGGATGAATGAGAACAGCCTGGTCGTCTTTGACGGTGCGGTACACCTTTCCAGATGATTCCTTCATGGCCACCTGCATGAAGAATCCAGACAGGAGGGCGCGGCGAATGTTGTTGTAGTAATTCTTGTCTTCGAACGGTGTTGACACAAGCTCGAGACCGTGTGTCTCCATGATACGCTTCAGCTGGGCACGCACATTATCGGCGCTAGACAAGTGGCGGAAGGACAAAAAGTGTTCGTGACACCACTGCTTGGCGCCGTGAGAGTCGTTCACAGACTGCCCCTTGAAGGCATGGTAGGCGTTGAGCAGCGTGAGATGATCACCGTCAGGGTGGGCGAAATGCGATTTCATCTCATCGGCACGCTTGCGGTTGTTGGCTGGCCGGACAAAGATTTGCGGAACAGATAGCAGAGACGTGATGGACAGAATCTCGTTGGAGCAGTAGAACTCGGGGGAGGAGATGAGCATGACCGCCAGAGCTGGATCGAGAGGAAACTCAGAGGCCAGTCCACCGAGAGTGGTGAGCTCGCCATCGTCATCCAAGCAGGCCAGGTAGTTGAGCTCCTCCAGCGCTCGCATCATGGTCTCTGGCGCCGGGGGGTCCATCAAGTCAAAGTGCACCAGATCCTCCACGCCCAGCTTCTTCAGCTCAAGCACCGTGTTGGCCAGGTTGGAGCGCAGAATCTCGGGATACGTAGCCTCGATGAGCTCCTTTTTGAATGCCTTCTCGGTGTATAACCTGAAGCACTTTCCTGGCTTGGTACGACCGGCACGACCGGCACGCTGCTGCGCGGAGGCCTTGGAGATGGGCGAGACAAGGAGCGACTCGACTCGGATGCGCGGGTTGTAGATCTTTTGCTTGCTGAAACCGGGGTCCACAACATACACGATGCCATCGATTGTCAAACTGGTCTCGGCGATGTTGGTGGACACAATGCACTTGCGGCCTGGCTTTCCTCCCTTCCTCAGCGGTGGTGGCGCCTTGTCGAAGATGCGCTGTTGCTGCTGGGGTGGCAGAGTACCATAGAGGGGATACACAACCAAGGGGCCGGCATCTACCTCCCGCTGCAGCTCATCGGCCTCCATCGAGATCTTCCGGCAAGCATCTTCAATCTCATCCTCTCCGGTCAAGAACAGCAAGATGTCGCCCTCTGGTTCGGAGGCGTGAATCTGCAGCACAGTCCTGATGGAAGCTTCGACGTAGTCTCTCTCAGGTTCGGGCGTGTAAAAGATCTCGACGGGGTGCGTTCGTCCGGGGACAGCCAGCAGGGGCGCGTCGTTGAAGTACCGCTGGAACTTCTGTGCGTCAAGCGTGGCGGACATGATGATGATCTTGAGATCGGGCCGCCGAGCAGCGATCTGCTTGAGCAACGCCATGAGAATGTCTGTGGCGAGCGTACGTTCGTGGGCCTCGTCGAGGATGATGCAGCTATACCGGCTCATCTCGTGGTCGTGCATAGCTTCGCGCAGAAGCATACCGTCCGTCATGTACTTGAGCATCGTCTTGGGGCCCGTCATGTCCTCGAAACGGATGCTGTAACCAACTTCCTCTCCCAGCTTCACATCCATCTCGTCGGCAACACGCTGCGCGACTGACATGGCAGCCACACGGCGAGGCTGTGTACAGGCCACCATCTTCCCCGACAGGTTGGGTAGTTCGTCGTACACCACATATTGGGGGATCTGTGTCGTCTTTCCGGAACCTGTTTCTCCGACGAACACGAGGATCTGCGTGGACTGGTATTTCTCGAGGAACTCCTGGCGCTGCTTGTGCACGGGCAGATCACGCCTCGTCTCGAGGATCTGGAAGTACTTTTGGGAGTGCGGCTGTCCGGTGAAGGCGTTGTCGCTCAGGGTCTCAACTTTGGAGTGTTGTTCAGCGGTCGTCTTGCGCGGCTGGAAGCCGGCAAATGGCGAGTCGGCGGATGGGAGGCCATGGCGACTCTTGCCGTTGCCCTGCTGCCTGTGCGCGAGGTAGGGATTGTGTGATTCGTCTCCGTCCATGTCGTCGTCTTTGCGAGCCTTCTTTCGCGAGGAGTCGTCGGCTTCGGCGCTGATTCGCTTACTAGATCGCGAGTCGGACATGCTGGTCAAGATGATGCGCAGACTTTCGGGTTCGTAGCGAGCGACGGAGGGCAGTAGCGACCGATGAAGTTGCCCCGACGATTGTCAACGCCGGGCAAATTTTTGGCGGGATGGTTCTTATCGATAGGACGGGACTCTACAACGTGGGCCAACGCATGCGGACATGGAAGCGCACTGTGCATCAACGCACCATACGTATACTTCAGTATGGCCCAGCTCGCAGTAGCAGCATCCAGCTAGCGTGCAATGAATACCAAGAGAATAATGACCATTTTTATCTTTCTTCATTTTGTCTACTCTAGATTGCGGATCGTAAATATTACCTGCCGACTTTCCCATGAGTTGACCAACGCATAATGCGCATCGCAATGTTTTCCCAATTGTCAAACCTGAGCATCATCCTTCCTGTCATTGATGAATCAAATTAGTTCAACTAATCGCCATGCTTTTTTTTAATTTTTTTTTTTTACGAGATACATGAAGATTCTTTAAGGTCACCGGAATGGGCGAGATTGACAACGTTGTCCGGCAATTTGGATACCATCTAGGGTAAGCAGTCATCACCTGAGTACCAAGAGTAGACCACCAGGCACTCGTAATTGTAGCAACTTGCAACGCTCCAGGATCACTTACAGGCCCATCAAACATGGAAACTTCAGTACTGAATAACATGGTTTCGCGCCGTCCTGTCAAACCACACCGTAACCATCGGCTGGTTGGACGCATGTATGCATATAGTGTCCCTTTGCAACTCATGGGAAGCCCCAGTCGCACTGTGCCATTTTGCAACTGCTCTCATGGGTTACACCCTCTCACACACATGCGATAATATGAACTGACCTCTTGTTACTGCGGAATCTGCCAGTAAACCATCCACCAGCAGCTGTTAGGCCGCACAATAAAAGGCCGCCGAATTGTGTTTTTCATAGCTCACCAATAACCTTCGATTGCCCTCGGCTTTTGCACGGCATCACGGATCCTGAAAACTCTCTCTTCTGGTACCCACCACCCAAAGGTCGCCTACAGCTCGCTCGAGAATATCAGAATGGCTTCAGGCGGTACTGGGTCCTTTGACCCTCTAGTCGTTGCAGCTCAACGGCCGAACTTCCAAATTGGACAGCACGACTCAAGGAGACAGGCCCCTCTGTCTGACTTGCAATATGGCTATCTGCTTAACCAAGGAGTAAGATAGCACAACGGCCCTTGCGAAGACTTGGAACCTCTGACACAAAAGTAGATTAACTTCGTCACGACTCCCATCACCAATGAAAACTTCAGAAAACGCGTCTTCGCCTTGGTAGAGAAGCACCTCTCCCTGCTGCGAGACTCAGAGAAATCGGGGACGACCACCTCTACCTCAGCACTGGCTGAGCCTGTTCTGCCGCCTCTCACCCCTGAGGATACCAGCGTCTTTCCTAGTGCATCTGTGAACACGTACACGGGCTTCATCAGCCCTTGGATCGACCTCGCCTCTCCTAACCCCATCATCGCGAGCATCTCTCGGCAGGTACTGAACCTTGAGATCAACTATGCCAATTTCACTGGCCTGAGATCGCTCGTTCTGCCAGGCCCATTGCGAGATGCGTCAAAGAATGGCGGTAACCAAGGCCTTGCCCAGTACTCTCGCGCTGTCCGTGAGGCACTTACCGTGGGGAGTCGGTTGACTTTCTTGGTTCACATGCCCATGTATCGCGAACCTGGGGCGGAGCAGACCGAGTCGCTGTCATCGCTCGACAAGAACTTGCCGTCCCAAGAAGCCGAGAAGGATGTGGACATCTACACATCCTGGGACTCCTGGAATCACATTCGTGGCATATGTGACTATAACCTGCGACTGTTTGTTGGTAAGCCGCTCCCCTGCTTGCAAGATGGCCCTTTCTAATCCCGGCATAGCTCTCCAGATGCCCAGGAAACTACCGGAAAAGAACTTGCAAGACCGATGGTTCGCTGAGCCTCTTCACTATCTGACCCTGTGTCCTCAAGTTTTCCAAAAGAACCAGAGTGGGTACCCTAGTCTCACGAAACACCACCAGCAGCTCATCTTCGATTACATGCGCTTGAAGAATTACCCGTGGCTGTTGCTATGCGATGTTGGACCCGATGTGTCCGGCATTGACACGCTTGCTGGGTCCCTCGCCGACAAGGGCGTGGACACGTCTTCCAAAGACCAGTTCCCTAGCCTGTCCGAGGCTCAGAATGCCCCTCAGCCCTCCTTTAGCACAAAGGCACCCAGTGACCATGTGGACTACATCAAATGGCTCGAGTCACAACAGCCACCTCTAACGTACCTCGAATCGGACACGCTCACCAGCTTCCAGGACTGGCTCCAATCACCTCTACAGCCGTTGTCCGACAACCTGGAGTCCGCGACGTATGAGGTGTTTGAAGGAGACCCAGTGAAATATGAACAGTACGAGTTTGCTTGCATAGAAGCACTTTCGGAGTGGAAGGAACTGAAGAAACCAACTTCGAAAGAAGGCGTGGTCGTTATAGCCGTGGCTGGGTCTGGCAGAGGCCCCCTGGTCACCCGCGCCCTTCGAGCTGCTGAAGCGACCGGCGTTGCAGTTGAGGTCTGGGCGGTCGAGAAGAACCCCAACGCATATGTGTATCTGTTGCGCATGAACGAGACCGTGTGGGAGGGAAAAGTCAATGTCGTCAAGACTGACATGCGAGCCTGGAAGGGGCCGGTGATCTCGAGCACGGCGGAGACTGGACCGGTATATGGCAAGGTCGACATCCTCATCTCCGAATTGCTCGGTTCCTTTGGCGACAATGAACTGTCACCCGAGTGCCTGGATGGTATCCAGCATGTCATGGCCAAGCCTCATGGCATTTCGATTCCAAGCGCCTACACCGCTCACTTCAGTCCGATTGCGACGCCGAAGCTGTACGCTGACATCTTGTCACGGTCTGCAACGGACGAGATTGCTTTTGACACACCGTGGGTTGTCCACCTATATGCCCTCCACTTTGTCTCGCAGAAAGTGCCTGGCCATGCGCGCATCCAAGAGGCTTGGGAATTCACGCATCCAATCCCAGAGGATACCCTCCAGTCTGTCGAGGCAAAGCGCTCAGGCGGCGTTGTTGGTGGTGGTGGCGGCAGCATGGCTGGAGCAGCCGGTGCGAATGATCACAACTCGCGCTACTGCCACCGAACATTCGTATGCCCAACTCGCGGTGTGATGCATGGTTTGGCAGGGTATTTCGAATCGACGCTATATGAGTCGCAGACAGAGGTGACACGGGGTCAGAAAGTTGAGATCAGCACACACCCTGATTACATTGAGCAGAAGAGTAAGGACATGATCTCATGGTTTCCCATCTTCTTTCCCCTCAAGGTATGTCGCTGCACCACGCGATGCGCGTTCCCTTACTGACATGGACAGAAACCTCTTTACTTCCCTGGCGATACTGAGCTTGAGATCAGCATGTGGAGGCAGACTGATGATACCAAAGTTTGGTACGAGTGGCTCGTTGAGGCGTGGACATGGGTTGGCCCATCGTCAAGGATTAAAGTAGCCTCGTCTGAGCTATGTAGCAGCCGCAAGGTAGCTTGCTTGATGTAGGCAGTCATGGATGAATGAAGAACATTGAAGCCCGGGTCTTCGGCTTGAAGCTTTCCGAATTGGTGCCTTAGTTTTTCCCTGCCATCAAAGGCCGATATCGTCGTCGGGAGCCGCCGATCGCTCACGGTATTTTGCTCGAGTTAATAATCCGCCAAAAACTACGCAGCAGGCCTCGCACGGACAACATCCGCGACCGCACAAACCACAGACACTTCACAACAGCAGCCACCAGTGCGAGAGCTCACGTCGGATACGCGCCGAAGCAATCACCCCCCTTCGCGACTCTTTACGTAGCCGAGGCAGCAGCCTGGCACCTCCATCAGGAGGTTAGCGCAGCTCTATGCGGCTCCAGATCCGAAGCACCCTCCTCAGATCGGCAATGGTGCCCCGCAAGCTCTCAATGGCCAACCCCTCCTCGTCCGGTACATCATCGCCTATAAATCGTCTAGCCCAGGTATCGCAGCATCTCAGTGGCACGTCGAACCCATTGCCAGTATCCCAGAACCAGAGTCGAACCATCGCAACCATGTCTTCGCAGCCTGCCCATCCCACTCTGCTCATCCCGGGCCCTATCGAGTTCGACGATGCTGTCCTTCAGTCCATGAGCCACTACAGGTAGGCTCGTTCCCAGGCATTGCCCCCCCTACGACAGGAAAGTAGCTAACATTGGTCTTTCTTAGCGAGAGCCACGTTGGCCCTGCGTTCGTTGCGACCTTTGGTGAGACCCTCACACAGCTGCGTCAGCTCTTCCAGTCGACCGATGCCTCTGCACAACCCTACATCATCTCCGGCTCCGGCACCTTGGGCTGGGATCTCGTGGCAGCCAACTTGGTCGAGGCCGGTGAGAGCGCGCTCGTGCTCAGCACTGGATACTTTGGCGATGCTTTCGCAGATTGCCTGACTACCTACGGCGCCGACGTGACGAAACTCGACGGACCTGTCGGTGGACGCCCCCAGCTACCCGAGATCGAGAAGGCTCTGTCGCAAAAGAAATACAAAATCCTCACAGTCACGCACGTGGATACTTCGACGGGTGTTCTGAGCGAGCTCAAGGACCTCACCGCCACCGTGAAAAGGGTGTCGCCCGAGACCCTGGTCATTGTGGACGGCGTATGCAGCGTCGCATGCGAAGAGATCGCGTTCGACGAATGGGGCCTGGATGGTGTCGTCACAGCCAGCCAGAAGGCCATCGGATGTCCCGCTGGTCTGTCGATATCATTCTTCAGTGGCAGGGCGATGCAGGCCTTTGAGAAGAGGAAGACCCCCCCGGCATCCTACTTTGCGTCGATGAAGAACTGGACACCCATCATGAAGAACTACGAGGCCAAGAAGCCCTCGTACTTTGCGACGCCTTCGCCACAGCTCGTCCACGCGCTCAACACGGCTCTGAAGCAGATTCTCGCCAAGCCCTTGTCCGAGCGGTTCGCGCGCCACGCCGAGGTGTCAGACAAGGTCAAGAAGGCAGTCCAGGATCTCGGCCTCGAGGTTGTGGCAACGAAGCCTGAGGACCAGGCACATGCCATGACGGCCATATATCTACCCGAGAACGTTAAGATTCCTGACATTCTGCCCAAGCTTGCTGGGAAGGGCGTCGTTTTCGCGGGTGGCATTCACAAGGCTATTGCCACCAAGTATATCCGTTTCGGACACATGGGTGTGAGCGTGACAGACCCCAAACGCAAGGACATTGACCACGCGCTTGAAGCGCTGAAGTCCGGTCTGTCGGAGTGTGGCTACCAGAAAGCATAGAGTTGCAGAAACGTATAGATGAATATATCGATGGCCTCATGGCTTGTTCCTGCATAAGAGGAAAAAAGATAGACAGAAGCGGCGTGTCCATGATCTCCGATGCCGAGTACTAGTACTATGTGAAGCAACATGTTCAAAGGTGGCTGGGGTACCAGATGTGTAAGTTATCATGTCACATTGCCTCGCTTTCAAGAGCCAAAGAAATACTAATTGGGAGCCAGAGGCAGACATGTGAGTACCTCAGTCGGACCCTCGTCTTGATGAATATCAGATAGGTATCCCAAGAGGCATCATTCGATCAAAGTGGGGTCCCTGGTCACTGTTCGTGGAGGTTCAAGCGGATGTACTGGTACTCGACCCAGGTCGTCATGGTAGCGTATCATGACAACGTCGACATGGATGACCCCGCACTTGAGCTCTTAAGCCTGACAAATACGGTCACTGGAGGCCCGGTAGCGCGGTGACAGCTTGAAGGATGTACCGGTACCTCAAGTCGTTCAGCGCTGGAGGCTGCCAGTTAACACTGCGATCCCCTCCTTACAGCGACCGACCCCGCTATCTCGCCCAGTGAATGGAGCTGGCAGCTGCTGGAGTCCACTGTGATGTGAGCTTTTCAAAGTTCCTCTCTTCCAGTCCCGTCCTCGACTCCAGTCCGTCGGTTTCCAGCCTCTCTGACTTCGCAACCTCTCCTACGTTGTCTCTTCAAGATTGGATCTTGCGTTCTATTGGCTTTCACGTAGCCTTTCTACACTCACCCGCCTGGTGTTTGCTGGTACTGCAAGTGCAGAGGAGAACCTTCCGCCAGCAGCACGAACCCAGGCAACATTGCTTTCCGTCACACTTGAACTCTTCCCGCCTCGTTTGCTTTCAACTCCCCCACTTCAGTATCAACACGCGCCGGCTTTGTCCACCATGGCGCCCAGCATCGAGGAACTCGACGCGACTGTGCGCACCTTTTTCGAAGGTCGCGGAGAACAGGTTTGCTCACGTCACCTACATATCGAAAATCTCGTGCTAACGACCGTGTTTCTAGCAAAAAGCAGCCCAGAATGCTCTCAACCAAGTGGGTTATCTGCCACCCTTCCCGCCCGAACGACGACTGACGCCATATCTAGTTCAAAGAGGACCCGGATGCGTGGTTGATGGTCGACAAGATTCTTTCGGATGCGCAGTATCCTCAAACCAAGTGTACGGACGCGTCGATTTGGGTAGAGCTTGGACGGCGAAGGCTAACATCAAGCAGACATCGGTCTCCAGGTCCTCGACAATGTGATCATGACGCGATGGAAAGTCCTGCCTCGAGATCAGTGCCAGGGCATCCGCAATTTTATTGTTCAGTTCATCATCCAGTGCTCCAGCAGCGAAGAGTCGTTACGAACCCAAAAGACCCTTCTCAACAAGCTCAACCTGGTTCTCATCTCGGTGCTGAAGCAAGAATGGCCTCACAACTGGCCAACGTTCATCAACGAAATCATCTCGTCCTGCCACTCGAGTCTGTCCATCTGCGAAAACAACATGATCATCCTGCGTCTCCTGTCCGAAGAGGTTTTCGATTACTCGGCCGAGCAGATGACTTCGACCAAGACGAGGAGTCTCAAGCAGACCATGTGCGCCGAGTTCTCCCAGATCTTCCAACTTTGCCAAGAGGTTCTTAACACGGCCACTCAGCCAAGCTTGGTCAAAGCAACACTCGAGACGCTGCTCCGCTTTTGCAACTGGATCCCCCTTGGCTACATCTTCGAAACGCCGCTCATCGAGACTCTGCGCACCCGGTTTTTGCCCACGCCCGAGTTCAGGAATGTCACACTGCAGGTGTTGACGGAGATTGGCGGCTTGCAGACTGGCGGCCCAGGACAGCCCAATTCGTACGACGAAGAGCTGGTCAAGATGTTCACCGAGGTTCTCAGCACGATTGCGGATATCATCCCAGTATCTCTTGACCTCAAGACGACATACCCTAGCAGTAATTCGCGGGATCAGGAGTTTGTGCAGAATCTTGCGCTGTTCCTTTGCAACTTCTTCAGTTACCACTTGGTCGTATGTCTCTTGGACTCACGCTCCCCAGTCAACCTCGCTAACCACAATATCAGCTTATCGAGAACCTACCGAATCGCGATTTCCTTATGCATGGTCACTATTACTTGATTCGAATCTCCCAGATCGATGACCGCGAGATCTTCAAGATCTGCCTCGACTACTGGCTCAAGATGGTCCAAGAGCTGTATGAGGAGATGCAGTCTCTACCGCTCAACGACTCGAGTGCTTTGCAGGCAATGGGAGGATCTGTTTCGGGCAGCGGCGCCCCAGCGCCCAGCGTCCTGGCCAACTACCCTCTCCGCAAACACAAGTACAACGAGATTCTGTCGAACCTGCGGGTTGTCATGATCGAGAAAATGGTGCGACCAGAAGAGGTGCTCATTGTGGAAAACGACGAGGGCGAAATCGTGCGCGAGTTCGTCAAGGAGAGTGACACTGTCCAGCTGTACAAGACGATTCGCGAGTGCCTTGTGTACCTGACGCACTTGGATGTGGTCGACACCGAATCTATCATGACCGAGAAGCTGGCACGCCAGGTGGACGGTACGGAGTGGTCATGGCATAACTGCAACGTTCTTTGCTGGGCGATTGGATCCATCTCGCTTGCGATGAACGAAGAGACCGAGAAGCGCTTCCTGGTCACGGTCATCAAAGACCTCCTGGGCTTGACGGAGATGAAGCGCGGCAAGGACAACAAAGCGGTCGTGGCCAGTAACATCATGTACATTGTCGGCCAGTACCCCCGCTTCCTGAAGGCCCACTGGAAGTTCCTCAAGACCGTGGTGAACAAGCTCTTTGAGTTTATGCACGAGTCGCACGAGGGCGTCCAGGACATGGCTTGCGACACATTCATCAAGATTGCGCGTCAGTGCCGTCGCCACTTTGTGGCGATTCAGCCTAGCGAGCAGGAGCCGTTCATTGAGGAGATTGTGAGGAACATGGGTAAGATTACGTGCGATCTCACGCCCCAGCAGGTGCACACCTTCTACGAGGCTTGCGGCTATATGGTAGCAGCTCAAGGAAACCAGCACCAGCAGGAACGGTTGCTGGCCGACCTCATGAGCATCCCCAACTCGGCCTGGGACGAGATCATTAAGCAGGCGACGTCGAACCCGGCAATCCTCCAGGATGCGGAAACGATCAAGGTCATTGGCAACATTATGAAGACCAACGTATCGGCGTGCAGCTCGATCGGGCCATACTTTTACCCTCAAATCGGGAGAATCTACCACGACATGCTCGAAATGTATCGCGCGACAAGCGGCCTGATATCGGAGGCTGTGGCCAGAGATGGCGACCTTGCGCCGAAGATGCCCAAAGTCAGGGGCCTGCGCACGATCAAGAAGGAGATTCTGAAGTTGATCGAGACATATGTCGACAAGGCAGAGGATCTGGGAGCTGTGCGGACCCAGATGGTACCGCCGCTGCTCGAGTCGGTCTTGGTCGACTACAACCGGAACGTGCCGGGTGCTCGTGACGCGGAAGTGCTCAAGGCCATGTCGACAATCATCACGAAGCTTGGGGTAAGTGCGAGCCCACCTGAGGATGAATCATGTGCTAACCTCTGCAGGCCATTATGGAAGATCAAGTCCCGATTATCATGCAGAACGTGTTCGAATGCACTCTTGACATGATCAACAAGGACTTCTCCGAGTTCCCGGAGCACCGCGTCGAGTTCTTCAACTTGCTCCGAGCCATCAACCTGCACACATTCCCAGCGCTGCTGAAGCTTGACAGCAACCAGTTCAAGTTCGTCATCGACTCATGCTCGTGGGCGTTCAAGCACGACAACCGCGATGTGGAGGGTGCTGGCTTGAACATGTGCCTGGAGCTGATCAACAACATTGCGGACAAGACAGACGTGTCGGCCGCCAACGAGTTCTTCCAGCGATTCTTTGTCAACATTCTTCAGGATGTGTTCTTCGTGGTGACGGACCCAGACCACAAGGCCGGGTTCAAGACGCAGTCGATGGTGCTGATGAAGCTCTTCTACTACGTGCAGCCGGCGGATGGAACCCAGCCTAAGATTCAAGGTCCCATCTACACGCCAGAGCAAGCAACAGCCGGTACATCGAACAAGGAGTTCCTGTCCAACTACGTTGGAAACCTGTTGCAGAATGCATTCCCCAACCTGCAGCCGTAAGTGCCTTTCTTCTATGATTGGGTTGTCTACAAGACCAACGACTAACAACCTGCGCAGTGCTCAGATCAAGGAATTTGTGGAGGGGCTGTTCATGCTGAACACCCAGTACGACAAGTTCCGCCTCAACCTGCGCGACTTCCTCATCTCGCTCAAGGAATTTGCAGGGGATAATGCCGAGCTCTACGCAGTGGAGAAGGAGGAAGCGGAGCGCGACAACAAAGCTGCCGACATAGAGCGGAGGCAGAAGGTCGGCGGCCTGCTGAAGCCGTCGGAGCTCGACGACGAGGAGCTCTGACTTGGTGAAGAGCTGCGGACAGAGTATGCCCCCAAGCACGCGCGCGGGGACACAGGGGAGGATGTGGACACAGCGAACATTGGCGACGGCTGGGAATTCTACGGAATATAGACACAGGTCTTTGGCGAGGAGCGACTCGAGATGATTGATGACCACAAACAACGATACTCAAGACAGTGAGCAAGTGATCAGGCTTGATCCGGCTCGGAGGGTGTCCTGTGGCTTTGCAGACGGGAGAGACCTCTTGCGTTGTCATTAGGTGATGGTGAACCCGGGGACAAGGGCAATGCATTCATCAGGAGTCTGTGCCACGCAGAAGCTATAGGATGGGTTGTGAGGCCGGCCAGCTGGTTTGTTGGCCGTGTTGGAGTATCAGTAGTAAGATTGTCTCGCAAAGTAGGAGAAATCAGATCAACCAGGCTATGATTACCTTTACGGATGACGATTTCTGGTAACAGAAGGGGCTGGGATGTGAGAATGACCACAGATCCCGACGTGGGCGGTTGACGGATGTGGCTGGCTGCCCCCTCCCACCACTTCGGGCGCATCCTGATGCTTTGCGCGTACCAAGAGCCCACTTTAAGGAGTGTGCCACCACTCTGCGGCGTCGAATGCGCGTATGGTCATTACTTACGTATGTTACCGCATGTGATTTTAGGCGCTCCCGACCCTGCAGAAGCCGGAATGTGGGGAGGATTACGAGTCCAGTCCTCAGTCCAGAGCGCATGGACCACGCGCCGACCAGCTACGGTGCACGAGTAGGGTCGGGAGCTGACGAGGCCCCCCAGGACGGATGGATGTGCACCCTGGGTACGTACGTACGTGTATGCGTGCGTGCGTGGAAGCAAGCACAGCTGCACAAGCACTGGTGGACGAAGTGCCGGTGAGTGGGCGGCCGGAGGAGGCACGGAGGGGTCCCGCGCTGGGCTGGGCGGGCGAGGGGTGGGTTGATTCCTGAATGGGGTGATGAGAGAGAGCAGAGTGAGCAGGCGGTTTGGATGAGCTGGAGGTCAAGGTATTTTCTAAAGGTAGCAAGTATCGATATTTTAGTAAGAGGCAATTGAGTTGGGTTCCATGCAGCAAGTGGTAAGGCCACCGAAGGTATGGAGCTTTGTTGGTGGACGGAGGCCTACTGAGAGCCTGCGCACGTCAGTGGCATCAAATTGAGGCTGTGTAAACCGGGCATATCCACTCAGCAGCACCTTCCTCGCCTCGTCTTGCTTGGTCGTGGTCGGCCCTTCCTTCTTGGTCGGTCTGTCGCTCCTGTCCATGTCGCTCGACTTTTGCTGCAGCATTTCCTCTCCCAGCGGCTGCTGCCTGTCGCCGACCAAGACTTTTCAGCAGCAGAAAGCAAAAAAGAAGAAGACACAGAGAGAGCGTTGTCTCCGCCGTCTCATGACCCTTACACCCCCAAGCCAATCGATGGAGTTTTACATTGTCGCCAACTCGACGCTGAACCCTTGCTCGCGAGACATGAGCGAGCTGTTTCACGCAGACCATCGAAGTGCGCCTACACGACGCCAGGACCCTTGAATTGAAGGAGGCAAGGAAGCAAGGAAGGAGGTGCAGACGAGACGGCACTGGAGTCGACAAACCGAGGGGCGGTGTCCAAGGTACTAACCGACTCATGGTCTGAGTCTTCTGGGGGCGTCGCGCGGAAATCAAACAAACATTCCCTCATGGCCCGTCAGGAATCTCAGACAGGTCCAGCTATGAACGGGCCCACGAGCGGAGGAGGAGGTGTCGCCGCGAACACCACCGCGAGCAGCAGCAGCACCAAGACGAGGCGGTCTCACCGGAAATCGCGAAACGGCTGCGCCGAGTGCAAGAGGCGGCACATTCGCTGCGACGAGGGCAGACCCGCGTGCACCAACTGCACCATTGCCGAGCGCGCGTGCTCGTTCCCGAATGCCTCTCTGGGCCACCATGGGACGGCAGCAGCTGCGCAGGCTGGACAGACGATGGGGACCGGTGGTGCTTCACCAGCGGCGGCGGGCAGCAGCATCAACGGCGGCGGCTCGCTGGAAGTGCCTTCTCCTCTGCATCACTATCCAGGCACGCACAGTCCGGCGAGGAGTAGCAGCAGCACGGGCTCAGGCCCCAGACCGATGAGTGTCATTGGCGAGGACGGCCTTCCGCCGTTACATGCTGCTGGAGCCGGAGCTGGAGCTGCTGCTCCCCACCACCAACATCATGTTCCTTCTCATGCGCCGCATCACCATCACCACCAGCAGCAGCAGCAACCGCAGCAGCCGCTGCCAACACAGGGACTTCCCCGACTCGTGCACCAGCAGAGTCTCCCGTCGTTCAACGAGTCGTTTGCCGATGCCGCGCCGCCCGTCGCACCACGGTTGCACAAGGCCAGCAGCAGCAGCACTGGACCGCTGCCTGCGCCGCAACCACAGCCGCCGCAGCAACCGCAGCAGCAATTACCGTCACCACAGTCGCAGGCCGGAAGCAGCAGCGGCGTCGGTCCCGGGGGTGGGAGCGGGAGCGGGAGCGGGAGCGGCAATGGCAGTGGCAGCGGCAATTTTGACGCCCAGCACATGATTCTCCTCCATCATGTCGAGACAAGGATGCACTCGGACATTCTGGGCGTGGGTCAGACGCCGACGGTAATCGAGATGGCGATACGGAACGCCGTCGAGTGCCCGTACCTGATCGACCAGCTGCTGGCGCTGTCGGCCATGCACCTCGCCCACCAGCGTCCCGAGCACGCCGCCACATTCCGGCACCAGGCCACGGAGCTGCAGACCCGGGGCATCACCTACTTTGCCAAGGAGACGAAGCGGCTGACGACGTCGGAGGACAACTTTGCGGCGCCTCGCTTCCTCTACGCCACCCTGCTCAGCATCCACATGCTGGCGGACACGCTGGCCTACCACCGCGCCGACTTTGACGTCTTCATCGACCGCTTCATCGAGTGCATGCACCTGCACCGCGGCATCCTGTACATTGTCCGCCCGCAGTTTGAGCAGCTCATGCGGTCCGAGCTCGAGCCCATCCTCGCCCTGACCCTGACGCAGCTGCCGCGCGACCCTCGCCGCGGCTCCGAGTGCGACCCCCTCCACGCCGTCCTCGACCGCTGCGCGCTGCCGCCGACGCACGCCGCCGTCTGCCGCGAGGCCAGCAGCATGCTGCAGTGGGCGTTTGACCTCTCCGTCCGCCTGCCCTCCCCCGACGTGCCGCACGCCATCTCCGGGTGGCACGTCGTGCTGCCCTCGGAGTTTGCGGACGTCCTGCGGGACAGGAGGCCCGAGGCGCTTGTCATCCTCGCCTACTACGGCGTCCTGCTCCACCGCGCGCGACGGTACTGGATCTGCGGGGGCAACGGGGCGGTCCTGATCAGGGCGATTGCGAGGCAGCTCGGGCCCGAGTGGGGGCCCGTCATGAGGTGGCCGATGGACGTGATTGATAGAGAGCGAGATTGATTGATTATTGACATCAACTAAGAGAAACGAAACGTCTTTTGATTTTCAAAACCTGAAAATGTCCACCTTCCTGTAGCCCAGCTGTTGCAGGATCCCGCCATCGCTTGCGCCCCGACCCCCGGTTAACGACGCCTCCATCGACGGCGGGCCGCACACGTAGGCACGTCCTCGCTGGCTCGCGGGCACGAGCTCATCCAGCAGTTCCTTGGTCACGCGGCCCTTTCTGATCTCCTGCTGCCCATCCTGCTCTGGCGCTGTCACCGTGTACACGGCCCTGAACCGACCCGGGTGCTGCTTCTCGAGCGCGCGAAACTCGTCCCGCAGCAGGGTGTCCTTCTCGGTGTTGACGCCGTACACGAGCGTCATTGTCGTCGTCAAGTCGCCCTTGTCAGCGAGGATACCCTGCAGCAGCTGGTAGACGGGCGTGATGCCCGCGCCCCCGGCCACGAGGGTGATGTGCTCTGGGGATGACGAAGGCGACGGTTTCCATTGGGGTCCCTTGAGGGGCACGGCGAAGCGGAGGGTGTCGCCTGGCTGGAGGGCGTGGAGGTGGGTGGATTGTTTGCCGTTGGGGTATTTTTTCACCAGGAAGTCAATGTGGCCGGGTTCATCTTGTATTCGCGTCAGTCAGTCGATGGTGGAGAGTGGGAGGAAGTTGGGCATGGTGTATGATGTACCTGAGGTGCTGATGGGGGTGTATGGGCGAGCGACGGGTGTCCATGAGCCCTTTGGCCAGGAGACGGTCAACAGAGACGCTGATACACTGTCAGTCCTTGTTTTCTTTTCCGAGGAAAGAATGTATCTCTGCAAGGTATTGTTCACGCACATGTGAGAGGCAGGCCGCTGACGGAGTCAGGCGTGGGCAGCTTGAATCGCAGTCTCTTGGTGTCGTGGTTGACCTGCTCGGCGCTCTCCAGCGGCAACGCGATGAACGAAGGCCCGCCACCAAAGACCTTGGGCGGCGTGGGATGCGACGCGGCGTGCGCGTCTGTGATCATGAGACGTGTGAAGATGCACAGGGCGATGCCGCCAGTGGCCAGTGTCGCAACGGCTGTCCGTGGGCGAATCCTCGTGAAGAGGGTAGAAGACATGATGGGCGTGGTGGTTTACTGTGGTGGGAGGGCGAGGAAAGCTTTAGGATCAGCTCGGTCCTCATATATAATCACACTTCTTTTCCGTCAATGCGAAATTGTCCAGAGTCCTTCCCAGGCCGCCCGGACTAGCCGGACAATGTCAATGTGTCCGGGTCCGAAGCGCGCCAAGCCCCGACGCGCCGGTCTTGGCCCGGGTCCGAGGGAGGCCTAATTACTACCGTACCACGTACGTACGTACTAGTGTGGAACAGCAGAACCCAGGGTATTATTTTATTCTAGACTAGGAGACAATCCTACATCAATCGCTAAACCCCCCAAACTCGGCATCCTCGGCCGCCTCCTTGGCCTGATTCCGCTGCCGGACCTGCTGGATCAGATCCTGGAGCTTGGCCTCCTTGACCTTCTCCTCCTCCGTCAGGTGGCTCGTCCGCTCCGCCTCGCGCTTCTTGCGCCTCTTCTCGCGCCGCTCGGCGCGCACATCCTCCTTCTCGTGCTTGTCGCTCCACGCCTCCGTGTTCTTGCGTTTCCTCTTGGCAATCTCCTCCGCCTTGGCCGCCGCGTGCACGTCCGGGCCGGCCGCCAGCGCCTCCTGCCGCGCCTTCTCGCGCGCCCGCTCCCGGTACGCGAACGTGTCCCAGTCCATGGTCTGCCCGAGCGTCTTGTCGCCCTTCCACGTTTTCAGCTCGGGCATCTTGGGCATCCGCAGCAGACCCCAGCCGTGCGCCAGGTCCTCCCAGTCGAGGTCGGCCGACTTGAAGATGGACGTCGCCTGGTGCGCACCGTAGCTGCGCGCCCAGCTGACGAACCCGCGCTGCGCCTTGTCGTAGATGGCGCGGTCTGTCCGTGCCACCTGCCGTATCCTGCGCGACGCCTCGTCGGCATCCTCCTGCGAAGTCGTAATCTCGGGCTTGACCAATGGTTGGATGGGTGTCTTTCGTATCTCGAGGAACCGGACGTAGTCTTCTTCGGGGCCGGGGTGCAGCATGACAACCGCGAGACCTTTGCGGCCTGCGCGTCCGGCGCGCCCGCTGCGATGGATGAAGACCTTGGGGTCGGAGGGTGCGTCGATCTGAACGACGAGGTCGACCTGTGGAATGTCTAGCCCGCGCGCCGCCAGATCGGTGGTGAGCAGAATCGTCGGCGCGACAGACATCAGGAACCTGTTAAAGTTCTTCTCGCGCACCTTGGCCGGGTGCTTGCCATGCAGGGGTACGAGGCCGAAGCCCTTGGGTAGGATCTCGGGGAGCATGTGCTGGAAGTAGTCAACGGCGGCGCAGGTCGATAGGAACACGATGCTCCTCTGGGGCGTGACGGGCAGTTTCTCGAGCAGCTGCGCTAGGGCGGGCAGCTTCTGGCTCGCGGGCTTGACCAAGTACCGCATCTGCAGACTAGCGGGTGTCCGTCGATCCTCGACGATGGCGCCGTCCTTCATCTTGACCTTGACCTCGATCTTGACGGGGTTGCGCAGACCGACCCTGATAATCTCACCGACCGCCTCGCTCACACTGGCGCTGAAAAGGCCCGTCCGGCGCTGTTTCGGGAGACAGCCCAAGATGCGCTGTAGATCATTCTTGAAGCCCAGGTCCAGCAGCCGGTCCCCCTCGTCGAGCACCAGCGACTGGAAGGCCAGCTGCGGGCAGTGTACGTGGGGCGAGGACAGGAGCTCGACTAATCGGCCGGGCGAGCCGACCAGGATGTTGGGGCTGGTTCGGAGGAAGGTGCTTAGGTCCTGGGCGACGGTCGTGGTGCCGCCGACGAGCAGCTGCGGGACGACGACGGGCCTCGTAGTGTCTGGTCGCTTCTCTTCGTCGTCGAGGTACGGCAGGGCGTGTTCGGCCGTGTCGCTGTGGAATTTGAGCAGCGAAAGAAGGACGGTGTGGATCTGGGCGGCCAGTTCGCGGGTCGGGGAGACGATGATGGCGGACACATGGTGTCGTTTCGTGGGTTCCTCGGCGCGCAGGATCTTCTGGATGATGGGGAGGAGGAAGGTGAGGGTCTTGCCACTACCGGTGACAGCCTGCGGGTGTTAGTAGACTCGAATAGAGCAGAATATCCCGAGAAATTAGCCTCACCTCTACGACGACGTCCTTGTTCCCCAGAAAGTGAGGAATGGTCGCAGCTTGGACGGGTGTCATCTGCGCGTAGCCCATTGTGGCCATGGCGTCGAGGATCCATTGATCGAGGCCGGGCTTGAGCACATTCCAGGCTCTGCTGTTGCGCTTGGGCGCTGCCTTGTCTGGCGCCATGCTCTCGTCGAGTGTCTGACTGTCTGTCTGCTCGTGGGATGGATCATGGATGGAGGGGGCATGAAGCACCTACACGATGCGCACTGGGGCGCTCGCAACTTTTTTCGTATCGGCGCTTATCAGATCTTATCGCCGCTGATCAGCGCTTATCAGCGCTTATCGGACCCCAGATAACGACATGGCGCTGATCAGCTGCTGCAACGGTACGTACCCGGTATCCGTACCCGCTCTGGGATTTCCGTCCTTGGCAAATGTCTGCATCATCTGGGGATACCGGCAGGCAGGGCAGGCTCACGATGTTTCGACTCGGCCTACACGCCCAATGCGCTGGTTCTTGGGTCTGAAACACCGTGAAAGTCGACTCTATGAGTGAACAGTACTCTGAGCCTAGTACAATTAGCACATTTGGGGATGAATGATGGGAAACAACCGTGGACATGGACCCCTGCACGGTCACATGCTCGTATACCTGAGTTAGTGGCAGGCTGGCACCGTAGCGGCGTAGCCCGGCGGGAAAAATCTCGTGCTTCTGCCAGTGTCCGACCCCGAAAAACCCACCGCAGCAGAGCAGACGGATTGAGATTGCCAGTGCCAACATCCAGCAGCCCGACCAACCCCGAATCCCACAAAGTCCGCTGGTCACAAGCCACGCTTGCTTTCTCTCACTCTCCCCCCTCTGATGACCACAGGAACAGCCCGCCCCATGCGAGCGACCTCGACCTCTGCCATCTCACCTCTCCGTCCAACATGCCGCGGGGGAGACACCCTCCGTTGCATCACCACCCGACTTCATCCTGGATTCGCTAGACGTCACATCGCCTCAACCCTCTGCTACGACGTCCAGTGACCGTCCACCAACCCCTTCGCTCGCTCTGCTCGAAGGCCCAGACGCCCCTCTGGCGCGCCCTTCGCGCCTCGATAAACATCTCCACTCCACCACCACCGCCCAGCCTACCGATCCCTACACGGCCTGGGTCGCCAGCTTCGCCTCTCTCAGGCGCATCCTCGTAGGCGCACTTGCCTGTCCGGCACTCCCAGCGTTTCCCGGCATCATGTCCACCCGACGTCGCGTCCCTGCGAGCCCCCGGGTCATCTCACCGTCGCCCGATCCTTCGGAACATGAACTCGACACCTCGCAGGGCCCCGTCACACGCTCTGCTGCTAGGAATCGCAGAGCGGCATCGCAGACCCTGCAGGACGAGGACAGCAACTCGGACGAAACACCGGGCCATCGTCGATCGCGCACGCGGAGTCGCTCCCCCATTGACACGCGCGCCATTCAGCGCATGACGCCGCGCCGGCCCAAGAAGCCATCTTCCTCCAAGATTGTGGAGGAAGTCGAGGAAGAGTCGGCAGCAACAACAACAGAAGTCACTCCCTCTGTGAGCAAACCGCCCAATGGGAAAGCCACGACGACAAACGGCCATCTGGCACCGCCCGAGCCGAGTTTCGCTGGCTGGACATGGCGCGACTTTAGTCGCAGCCCCAGTCCCCTCGGCCTGATCCCCATCCACCGACACTGGAGGACGTTTGTGCACAAGCACGAGGTGCCCCGCAAGGTGCTGCACGTCTCCATCGGCTTCTTCGTCGTCTGGCTCTACGTCGGTGGCACGCAGACGAGCGCGGTGCCTCCGTATCTCATGTCGGCCCTCGTGCCCATTGCCGCGACCGACTGGCTCCGCCACCGCTACGCGTCCGTGAACCGCTTCTACGTCAAGGCGCTGGGGGCCCTCATGCGCGAGAGCGAGTACGCGGGCTGGAACGGTGTCATCTGGTACCTTCTCGGTGCCTGGACCGTCCTCTTCTTCTTCCCCAAGGACGTGGGTGTCATGAGCGTGCTGCTGCTTAGCTGGTGCGACACGGCCGCGAGCACCTTTGGTCGGTTGTGGGGACGCTACACGCCCAGGTTGCGCCGCGGCAAGTCCCTCGCCGGCTCGTCAGCCGCGTTCCTCGTGGGCATTGCCACGTCCTACTTCTTCTACGGATGGTTGGTCCGCTCCATTGGGCCGATGCCTGGCGACGAGAACTTTTTGTTCCAGGGCGCGCTGCGGCTGCCGGCCACCGTGTCGAACGCACTCGGCCTTTCCCCTGAGAAGGCTACTATTACGGGCTCCCTCGCGCTTGGCGTCATGGGCGTCTGGTCCGGCTTCGTGGCGTCGGCCAGTGAGGTTGTGGACTTGTTTGGATGGGATGACAACCTCACCATCCCGGTGCTGAGCGGGCTGGGGCTCTGGGGCTTCCTCAAGGTCTTCACCTGAGGCGGGAGAGGCCAGCTTGGATTATATGGCTCGTATATTTTATGCATAGTACTTGCACGTGTTACGGATCAACGGATGGAATACCCACGCCTCCATGGCGGATTGATTGTGGGGGGCTGGGCTTGTACGACTTCTAGGTAGCATTGTCGCTCACCATTTACTTCTATCTTTCTACGGATAATGTTGTTCATGAGCATCCGTCATTTTGTCAATAGACTTTTTTACAATCGCTCGAAGCAACATGCATACAGCAACGCCTGGTGACTGACACGTGCAGCGCTGCGTGCTCGTCGGGGCTGCAGATATCGTGCAGATGGCCTTCGTGGCAAAACGCTAGGTACTACGTACTCTGCACGGACAAGGGGTTTGGCGAGGGCCACACTCTGGCTGGTGAGTTGTCTCTGCATCCTGGATGGTACGCGGGTGTGTGGCTTCAATATCGACAATGGTCCAGGTTGAGCATGGATGCAATGGCCAGTGCTACATTCATCTTTGCCGGGTGGCGTGTGTTACTCGCCAGGTCATCATCGATACCGGCTTCCCCAGTCCTGCAATACCCGAACTGTGCTTCTGTACGTACCTCATGGTCTCTACATATACCACATGTGAAAGCAATTTACTCACTATGTGACCCTTCAGCAAGCCCCTTGGCCAATAAGCACTTGTCGACGATGGACGCTACAGTAGAGCCGTGACAAGGCCATCCTCAAGAATCCTTCACCGCCTTTCTCCAACAGTGGCACAGACTAAGCATGTATGGATCACTGTCGAATTATGTCATGAGAAACGTGAACCTCACCCCACTGGCTGTCGTGATGGCGGGTCGTTTAGACTTGTCTCGAGCCAAGGTGGGAAGTACTCACTTGAGCCTTGCGGTACCTGCCAGCGCGCAGGCGCCTAGCGTCACTCGAAAAACAGTAATATCGCCGTGGTCTAGATGGCTTCCTCAGAATGGCCATGGGGTGGACATGCTCAGCAAGGCGTTCGGGTCAGCGCTGCGTAACGTCTGTTCATCGGGTAGTGGCAGATCCACGGTACGCTCGTGTGTTACGTCGGATGGTCTATCCCTCCAGCATATCAAGTGTAACAGCTAAGTACCAACACTCTAAGCTGATTGACAGTCATCGCTGTGGGCAAGGCCATGATAGAGGACGCTGGACGGATGAGCATCTTGATTCTTGCCCGAGGGTTGAGGTGGGGGAGGGGCAAATCAGAGGATATCTACTTCTTTGGTGTGCAGAATTTCAGCCAATAAACGTGGCAAGAAATACCGACAAGGTCGATTTATGGCCAATTATCATCTCAAGAATTGGCCCCACCAACCATACGACAACATCCGAGTCCCTTTGATAATGAAAGGAAGGAGCCATCATGTGCATGTCCTCCGCCGGTATTCCCCCCCTCCAGACCTGCACCGAGAATACCACGACGGAACCTGCGCTGCTCAGCCCTCCGTTCTTGGGGACGCCTTTTCGGACATTTCTCTGGCGAATGTTCTGACAACGCATCGTCAATCTATCTATCGCTCTCATCTCTCCTGTCCCGCAGACAGCACAGCACGCAGTGCATTTGCAGACGCAGGCGCACTGCATCCCGCACACCCATCATCGTCCAGACGGTCCTCTCTGCCCATGCAGTCCTGCCCAATCCCTCGTCATCTTGCCCTGTCTGAGGCCAGGCAACGCCCATGCCAACACCAGTACCTGGGTACCCCAGCTGGCGGATTCGTGCTTCGTCAACGACGGAACCTCAACCTGCTCTACTCATCCATCTAGCTTGCGAACAGAGCTTCGTCCTTCCACCTGCCTCACGAGCCAGCGTCAAGGGCGTGTGGAACAGCATCCACACGCCTCGTAATCCAGTGCTGCTTTTGCCTTTCACCTTGTACCTTAGCGTCGATGTTGCGCTTCTGCTTCTGCTTCTAATTCCTTGGTCTGTTTCTCGGCTTCACGCCCACCCAAGTGGCGTGCACGTACTCTTCCCTCCCGCCGTCGAACATGACGCTCGTCCTTCGATAGGCCAATTCGGAACGGGCTCGATCCTGTGGGGACCCCTCGAATCTTCATGCGGTTCTTGTTGGCCAATGCTACCAGTGTAGCCACATTTTGACCTTGTTGGTGTTCGTACGGCCTACTTGTCACCAACCGATGATGCTCTCTGGTAACCTGACCCCAACCTATTCTTCAGGTGGAACACATTTCTTCGGTGGCTTCGGCCATTCATTTACTTCTGCCGCTTCCCTCCTGGTATCTTTGGCTCCAATCACAGAAGCCTTGGCCATGTCGACGCTGTCCTTCGGCTCTATCAGAGCGGCTCCGAGTCAAGGGATCCATCGTCAAGACACGCACACACCCCCTTGAGCACCAACGACAGAGAGGCATCATTCCTCTTAGCCTCTCGAATTCTCTCTTCCCGTTGGCTCCCACCCTACTGGTGCCGTGGCTAATGCGTCTAGTCCCCCTTTTTCCTCCGTACTGGCTGCTTGCTTGTTTGGTTGACATTGTAAACTCACCCGCACGCCACCGTACGCCGTCGGCCGCGATCACCCTCATCACCGCCGCCCCAGCCCATTCTGTCTTTGCCTATTAGACCCTCATGGCCTCCTTCTTCGAGCGGGGGTCATGGCCGTCCACGAATAGAGTCATGGCGTGCTGCTCTCCTGGTTGAGGTGTGTGTCCTCTGGGGTGTTTGAAAAAAGTATAAAAGAGGTGAACTTGATGGAGTAAAGTCAGAGTCCTTTCTCTTCCTTTCTCATCATCCAAATTCCAGTTCCCAAGTTACCTCTCTTCGGCCCACATCCATTACCTTGTGACCCACGTCCATACACATCTAATCCTGACGGCAACATGTCTGGCCCCTACTACACCACATCATACACCATGCCCGCGTCCGCTAGCAAGGGCAACCAGTACCCTGCCTACAGCCAATACTCTACCTCTTCCATGGACTGTGACGAAGAGACCATGAGCCATCACGGCTCGGCTGTCCCGTCCGTCTACTCCGCCACTTCGGCTGGCTACATGACCAGCTCCTCCACCAGTGATTACGACAGCACACAGTCCGCCAGCGGCGTCGACTTTCAGGAATACATGCAGGACCGCTACGCCAACGCCTTCAACCCCATCCCCTTGGACCGCAGCATGGCTGTCCAGGCACAATCGTGAGTTTTTGTCCTCCATATCCACTCGATCCGCAAGGAGAGCCGACTCGGCTTGTCCTTGCGGACTGATTTGCGTTATGTCCCCGCGGCTAACACGGAGACAGATCCGGCAAGCTGAACGCCAAGCACCGCGAGCTCCTGGAGCTCCAGCAGCAAGCACAGGCGCGTCTGGCGAGGACGCGCGAGCGCTTCCAGGACGGCATGCGTGATGCGCGTGAGGTCCGTGGCGACCTTGAGTGGACGCAGAAGAAAGTCTCGTGAGTCTTCGCGCTCCCACGCCCAGTGAGGAAATATCACTGACTTGTGCGTCTGTCCAGTTCGCTCCAAAGCAAAGCTTCGCGCAAGCACCCCAAGGAGTACGCCAAGGCGCGCGCCAGGTATCCTTCTCCCGAATGCTAAAGGGAGCCGGTGCCAGAGTCGTCGTTGAGAGATACTGCAATGGCAGTTCTCGCGCACATCATTTTTCTTCTCGCCAACTGTCGTTCCTGCACAGCGGGGGAGGATCATGCAGGTACAGATCTACTACCCCTGAAAAAGCAAAGGCAGACGGGAGCATTATACGCAAGATCTGGGGTAATATGGGGGGGAGTGGAAACGCGCGTGGCAATCTTGCATCCCGCGTCAGGAACCATCCGCTCGGGTCAGGCTAACAGCGCGCGCGTGGATGCTGCTTTTGCAACGGCGAGATGTGGGGGGTGGAGGAGCCGTTTTTTCTTGTGCTTTTTTAGCGAAGCGTGTGTTTTCAAGGCGCGTTTACGAATCATGATTGGATGGCCAGGGGGAGTATGAGACAGCCACGGGGAGCGCAGCGACACTACAGAGACGCCTCCCTCCTCCTCTGGATGACAGCTGCAGGTCCGGGAGGGAACGGCCATGGCAGTGCCCAGGGGGGCGTGAGGAGAGCAACAGTGTTGGCCCAGGGCGAAAAATGACGAGCATGGGAGAGGCGTGTGCCTCCAGGTGGGAGTGTCAGCTAGGCGCAGGCTGCTCGGGAATCGAGGGTGGATATCTGAGTGAAGGTCTCTTATTGGGTGCTCGGTTCTGGATACGGCGTTCGGTATTGCTTCAAACTGTATATAAGAGTACGTATACGCCATCCTGAAGGTACTCCATCTTGTCTTGCAGTGCGCTTGTCTCTCCACGGCATCGTGACAGTGCGATGACACAGATACGGGGCCATTGTGTCCACCACGCCCGCTGAAGTCCGATGATCATGCGATCCGCACCAAGTCTCGACTGCTGAGAGATGATTCTGTCATGTGAGGGGGCTGCTCCAGCTAAGGCCGGCGTGGAGAGATCGAGTGGCATCTGTGCTGCTGGGGTTGCGGTCACGTGATACCCCTTTTGCTTCGCTGCCTGGACTTTGGGCATCATGCCATAACATTGCTTCCAAAAGTGGTGTTGCATGCGTGCCGCGACCCGTGATGGGAAAAGACATATGGCTTCCCGAGACTCTGTTGGTAAAGGGCCATAAAGATGCGCGACCTCTAACAGTGACAGCTCCCGCCAACGGGTAAGTCAGCCCTTGTCGGGATGGTGCGTCCTCGTATAGCAAATAAGGCGTGTAGATCTCTTCAAGTCGAGACTTCTCCAGGACGATGGCTGCTCTGTGGCAGCCATGTTCCTTGAGCCTGCAAGCCAAGGTTCCTCTCCAGCTTGTCCCATGGATTCTGGTTGAAGCGCGGGTCGTAGTAGTCCCTGTACCAAGCTCCCTGCGTATTCCTCGATCCATGTTGAGGTATCACACCGTGAGCACCTGGCTCGCCTTGGCTGGTTGCAAAAGCTGGCCGCTGTGGAAGACCGTAGGGAATAGGTTGCTGCTGGTGTAATGGCGTAGGCGTAGGTGGCTCCTCGTCGGCTTCGTCATCGAGTTTGATCTCATCGTCATTTGCCTTTGTACCCAAGGCATGACCAGAAGCAGCCTTAAAACCTCCTTCCCCTTTCCGAGCTCCAAGTGGTGTCATATTGGACCCGGTGGAAGACTCCGGCTTAGAGATGTAGACTTGGGCGTCCGCGCCAGGGTTGTACCGTCGCTTCTTCTGCGGGCGATCTGGGCCACCGAAGGCGGAGAAGCCCATCATCTGCGCCATGGCTGCTTCATCGAGCTGGTCGTCCATTATGAGGAGATTGTCGTTGAATGTCCTCTCACTGCGAGAATGGAGTTGTTTGAGTGAAGTCTGTCAACCGCTTGTCGATAATTCGAGATCGGCGAAATAGAGCGATGCCATTGGTTGAGGTGACATCACGCGTGGACCATCCTGGCTCTACTTCTAAGCTTACCTTGAGGCAGGAGAGCCTTGTCGCCGCTTCCAAAAAAGGATGCACAAATGCTGGACTGGTTCAACGAACCAAAATCTGGATTTTATGAGATCGGCATGTACTACTTTTTATAAGGCTGGACTGCGTTTGCCCAAGGCCTCGCACAATTGAGTGGTTGCTTCCATTGCCGTGCCAATTCCGGATAGTCTAGCTTCCGAAGATCTGTCTGAAGAAGCATACAGTCGATAAAGTCCCCTTCAAGCATGCCTAATCGTGCATCACGCCCACATCACTTTTCATCCCCGAAACACCATAGCTCATCTAGGACTGCCCGCAGCCCATTCACAGTCGCATCATGGCTGCCGTCACCATCAACCTGCCATCCAAGTACGCGCCCAATCATGCCAAGAAGACCGGCCCTGAAGGCCCAACGCCAACGCCATCTCTAGAGTGGCTCACACGCACCTGGTGTGTGACCCATTCCACCCTCTCCATGTGGCGATCAGCCCGCAATGTGAGGATCACGTACAAACCTCTCGCCGCAAAGCCAGACGGGACACCGCGCATCGACGACCTGGTCGAGTATGAGCCCATCAAGAAGCAGGGCGTGCGCAAGAGCGTCGAGGGCGTGGACACGCGCGCCGCCGATGGAGGCTGGGATTGGAAGGGTAAAGGCTGGCTGTTCTTTGTGGGGAGTCACTGGGAGATCTTGGCCTGGGGCGAGGAGGCTGATGGAGAGAGGTGGGCCGTGACGTGGTTTGCGCCCACGGTATTCACAAAGGAGGGGATCGATGTGTACTGTGATCGAAAGGAGGGCATCAGCGAGGCCACATGCACCAGGATACTGGAAGCCCTGAAGGCGGTTGGGGTAAAGGAGCTGGTGCAGATGGTCGAGAGCGACATGAGGGCCGTGGAGATCCAATTGCCTTGGACTGAGGCGTGATGTTCCATTCCGTTAGCGAGATTGATACTTATAATGTGTGCACACTAGCCTCTGCTACGGCGTCTGGCATCGTCGTTGTCTCTGGATCTCGCCCGAGTTGAGTCCTCTCTCGGCGAGCGCGACCTATGTCGCCGGTGGTGACGATGCTGCCGGTCATGATGATGTCTCCTGTGCCTACTACTACTGTCATGGTCACGCGACGTCTTGTGAGAACGCCCTTCGTGGTGCCTGTCCCCTGAGTTGGGCGAAGGGGACCTTGAACTTCTCTCTCGCCGCCGCCTGCGACGCCTCTCGGCGTGCTCTTGCTCTCGCCGCAGTTGTCGCAGCTCGGCGTCTCGCTCCTCTTGTACGCGCTTCCGCTCCTGGTTCACTTGGCGAGCCTTGGATGCTCCGAGCTTCATCATGGCGAGGGGATCATTCGACACTGTACGCTGAGCATCGCGCTCTCGACGTTGAGGGTCATCTTTACCCCACACATTCTTCAAGGGAGCTTCCGTAACGCCGTCACCGGCATTGGAGTACCATGGCTTCTGCACACCTTCCCTTCCCGCAGCATTCGCGAAGCGCATGGTATACTGGTCTTCGAACTCTTGCTTCTTCTTCTTGGCCTCTCTCTCAGCCTCTTCGTTGCCTTCAGCCCGACCTCTCGCCCGCTCATCACCAAAGAGATCAATGTGACCTGCATGATCGGTTATCGGCGCGGAGCTGGTCTGGTGCTTGAGGTCGGCAGCTTCCTCGGGTCTAGACTCGTAGCGCTCGTTGGCTATCCGTAGCTCGAAATCTGTATCGTCTTCGCCTGGTCTTTTGCGCTTCCGCTGACTTCCGCGTGCTTCGCGCCTCTCGACAGCCTGTACTACTGGCGGCTTCTCCTCCGTTTCCGGCAGTGGCGGCGGTATCTCACCTCGCAGTATCGACAGACGTCTCTGCGCATCAACCTCTTGCATGCGCTGCTCCTCGGCTTCCTCGGCTGCCCGAGCTGCTGCCTCGTCGCGGCGCACGCGGGCGATGTTGTCGGTATTGTACACGTTCCATGATTTCTTGCCGAGTAGATGGCTGCGGCGTGGTTAGCCGATGGGTGGCGCAAATATGTTCTCGGGATCGTACAGAGGCATGACTGGTGCCCTGAAATCCACAGCTTGGTTCACGCTCCAGACATGGAAGCTGATGAGGAAGAGAGACAAGCTGACGTTGACCACATCGTAGGGCACGCTTAGATACATATAGGGTTTTAAGGATAGTATGCGGGACGCAACCGGAGCGATAGGCTCAAAACGGGGTTCAGCAGCCCCACTACATACACTCTTATGTAATCAACTTCTACGCCGCTCGATGCAGGTCGGTGTGGCTGGACCGTGGCGGTGAAACTCACCTTACCTGTAACCTCACTCAGCTCATCACTCCACATTACTCCGTATAGCCGTGCATCATCCAGGACAACACGTCTTCGCTCATTCATCATCCGATTACATTCTTTGTTCATCAGTTCCCGTTTCCCTGCCATTATACAAGCGTCTTGAAGTTTTCTTGCGAGTGTCTCCCGCCTCATCAGACACAGTCATGTCGTTCATGCCGCAACGTGGCGGCCCTGGCCAGCCACGGCCTGGTCCTGGAGGTCATCCTGGTGGTGGCCCCGGCCAGCATGGCAGTCAGGCCGGCCCTGGAGGTCCTGGACGCCAGGTCACCCTCCAGTGCGCAAAGGTGAACGACAAGAACTTGCAGTCGCAACTGATTTACAGCAACATGTGAGCATCCATCTTCCCCAACAGCAGCACGCACCCCGGTTCACACTCCTTTAGTTGTGCCGTCAACCCCAGAGACTTTCCGACGCAGCGTCCCAACCAGAACTTCCACGTCCTTATCCGAGGCGGGCAACCCAGGGGCGAATTTGTGGTGACCGCGAGGCCTCTGGACGTTCTGCCACCGGGTACCATCAGTCTCTCTGACCCCCAGCGTACCTGGTGCGGCATCTCACTAAGAGACCAGTTCACTGGTGAGGTGTATGATCCGTTCTCGGCGCGCGATGGAAAGGCCTACCTATCCTCGCTGGACCTCGAGGTCACATTTGCCTCGCCTAGTAAGCGGACAGATGTCCCTTTTGAGGAGTCTGCTCTCATTGCCGATTTCACCAAGACGTTCGATGGCCAGGTTCTCGCCCCTGGCCAGCGCATCATCATGGACCGGGGCAACATCCCTCTTCTCGTCACCGTCAAGTCCATCATCCTCGTCGACCTCAGTGGCGGGTCCGCCCCCGAAGGCGCAGAGCGCACCAGGGAGCCATGGTCAAGGGGCATTCTCACCACCAACACAGATGTCGCCTTTCGAATCGACAGCCAGTCCCCTCTCAAACTCAACACATCTTCGACGCGTGCCAGGGCCAACCCGATCCTCGCGCCCGACTTCAAGTTCCAGGACATGGGCATTGGCGGTCTCGCCGACGAGTTCTCAACCATCTTCCGCCGTGCCTTCCTCTCACGTATCTTTCCACAGGCAACCATCTCCAAACTGGGCATATCCCACGTCAAGGGTATCCTCATGTACGGTCCTCCAGGTACTGGTAAAACCCTGATGGCCCGTCAGATCGGCAAGATGCTCAACGCTCGGCCGCCCAAGGTTATCAACGGTCCCGAAGTCCTCAACAAGTACGTCGGCCAGTCCGAGGAGAACATTCGCAAAATGTTTGCGGACGCTGAGAAGGAGTACAAGGAGAAGGGCGACGAAAGTGGCCTCCACATCATCATCTTCGATGAGCTGGACGCTGTCTGCAAACAACGTGGCTCGGGGACCGGTGGTGGCACTGGTGTCGGAGACAGTGTCGTCAACCAGCTGCTGTCCAAGCTCGACGGTGTCGACAAACTCGAGAATATCCTTCTGATCGGCATGACCAACCGAAAAGACATGATTGATGACGCTCTGCTACGTCCCGGACGTCTCGAGGTCCACCTGGAGATCTCCCTTCCTGACGAAAAGGGCCGCCTCCAGATTCTTGAGATTCACACGAACCCGCTGTCCAAGAACAAGATGCTGGGCGGCGACGTCAATCTGCACGAGATTGCCGAGCAGACCAAGAACTTTTCTGGTGCCGAGCTCAACGGTCTCGTCCGCAGCGCCGTGTCATATGCCATGTCACGCAGCGCCCCCATGGGCGAGCAGGGTGTTCCCACCGCCAACCCCGAGAGCATCATGGTCGACCGCGACGCCTTTGAGTACGCTCTCCGCGAAGTCCGCCCTGCCTACGGTGTCTCGGAGAATGACCTCGACGAGGCCGTCCGCAGGGGCATCATCCGCTACAGCCCGCACGTCGGCACCACCATTGAGAGCATGGCTCGCGTCATCGACATGGTCGCGACTTCGCAACATCAATTCGGTCACTCTGTTCTCTTCCACGGCCCAGACGGCTCAGGAAAGACTGCACTGGCGGCCTTTGTGGCGAAGCAGTCGGACTGCCCCTTTATCAAGATCATCACGCCCGCGCACCTGGCCAGCCAAAGGGACGAGTTTGCCCGAAGCGACTACATCCGCAAGGTCTTTGCCGACGCGGCAAAGTCGCCCTTTAGCATCGTCATTCTCGACAAGGTCGAGAAGCTCATCGGCTGGAACCCCATTGGTCCCCGTTTCTCTACCACCATCCTGGAGCCGATGCAGGCTCTCATTGACCAGCCTGGCTCAGAGGTACGTATTCGGCCATGCGCCATATCAAGTGGCACCTGCTGATATTCTCTCCCTTTTTAGAAACATCGCCTCTTGGTATTCGCCACAACGTCAAACATTTCTGCTCTGAAGATGCTCGAGGTCGACCGCACATTCAGAAAGCACACGGCCGTGCCCGCCGTCAGCGACCTCCGTGAGCTTGGTGCTGTGCTCACCGAGTCCCCCGTGCCCTTCTCGTCAGATGACATCAACACTACGTTGGGCGCTATCCAGCGACAGACAGGGACCGATCGTGTCAACGTTGGTATCAAGACGGTACTCGAGTGTGCCTTTGAGGCGCAGATGGCCCCCGCCAGTGAGATGCCACTCATGTTTACGGAGCTTCTCGTCGGTTATATTGAATAGAGTACAAGACGTATATGTCTGAATAGAAGGTTCATGAATTGGAAGCCAAATGACATGCTCATCGCTGAACTATCTCCTAGTCTACTTGGAAGAATGTGATCCAGAAGACCGCCAATGCACACGAGCAGCATCAGGTCAAAGCAGCGGTATTGTCTGTGAAGAGACTGTTAATCTTGCAGCTCGAGAAAGTGTATTCAAGCCCATTGCACCGCGCCAGCATAAGCCCTAGGTATCTCTAAAACATATAAAAGAAGCTCAGACTAAGGAAACATGTTGTTGCTGGTATAGCCGCCGCTGGGAATATGTGTCCTTTCCAATGTAGATGCGTGCCCTGTCCCTATCCTCAAGTAGACAATATGAATATGAATATTAAGAACGAGTGTGCTCTGTCGTCGGCAACAGACCGACGCCCAAAGTCGATGTATCGCGCGCCTCGCTTGGTCGTTAATCGGAACTGTCGTAATGGTAGGATCTGGCCCATGTGTATGTATGATGTGTTATGTATGCATGTATGCCGTGCTGCTGTCAAAAGTACAATTATGAAATGTGTCGAACGATGGGTATCGGCTTTTCTGGTACGCCAGTGTAGCCTGCGAATCGGTATATACTGAGAAAATTATTCCAGGTTGCCGGAGTGTCGCCTGATTTCTTCTTCTGTCAAGGCGCCGATCCAGAGACATCTCTCGGTGACACCCTCGATTGGATGGAAGTCGTAGTAGGTGCTTGCCTCGAGCAGTCGCAGCAGAGTTTTGACGACTCCGGCGCTGATACGGCATCGCTCAAAGTTCACGAGAGGGGGCGTGGTAGGCGAACTTGCAATCTCCGATGGCCTCTGGGCGTTGTAGATCAGATCTCGCGTGTAGATCACCACGAACGGAATGCACCCAATGTTGGGACCCGACTCCATCTCGGCGCGGAGGTCAAAGAAGTTGCGTGTAGGCGTGACCAGAGCTTCCAAGTCCTTTAGAGTCTGGAGATCCAAAGGGGGCACGAGCTCCCACGTCCGAGCCAGGCGAGAGACTTCGTTGCTGGATAGCGCAATCGTCAACTGGGCAAGAGTCGCAAAGTTGCGGTACCGACGGCAATGCGCAGCGATATGGATGTATTTGATAAGAAAGCGGGCTCGCTCCTCAATGTGTTGAGTCAGGACAATCTCAGAGACCGCCCATTTGACCATGAGGTTGAACCGGGCAATGACAACCTGAACGCCCTGTGCATCTGTGTTACGGAGGAACTCAACCCAAGAGCTTGGGTTGTCATTTGCAGCGTTCTTCCAGTCCATGTCCACGAGTTCCTTCCAGTCAATTTCGTTGAGCGCATCCTTTTCGATCAAGGTAAATTGTTGTGCCAAAGTTTCTGAATCAAAGGCCAAGATAAATGGCAAGTGAACAGAGTACTTGCGGCAAGCATCCGCCTCCTGTCCTGATGCGTCGAATGGAGGGTGGTCCGTGCCTATCTGATCAAATGGTGACCTTGGTCCCAACGCAATGCCCGGGGTAGCATCTGGAGTTGGGGGCAATGGCTTCAGAGTCAGATCTCGCTGTGCTGAGGCGCGGCTGCCATTGTCATGTGGTGATTCTTCCGTGCGGCCGTCGCCAGTATTGCTCGGGGAAGATATGTCGCTATCTCCCAGCGGGTGCGCTGGGAACCCTCTCGTCGGTGAAGCCGCATAGTGAAGACCCGGCTGTTTCTTTGGGGTATCTTCCTCTGAGATTTCCGAAGAGAGATCGCTGTCGAGGAACGTCTCATCCCCCGTGCTGTTGCGGGCAGGAGCTGAAAGAGCTGCCTTACTCTCGATTGCGGCCTCTGTCTGCTGAATAAATTCAAAGGATAAGTGAGAACCATCGGGTGAAGCGACTATGGCCAACGGGGAGGCGTCGTCTTCGTCTTGCAACACAGAGCGATCAGTCCAGTTGCGAGTTGTGCGCTCGCTCTGCCCGTCGTCGTCCGTCAGACCTCGATCTAGAAGTGGGACAGACAGGTATGATTCTCTTGTTGCATCTGACAAAAATGACTGACGGTTCACCTCTGCAGCCGCAGCAGGCAAGTCCAAGCGTCGGATCCTGGGTCGGAGGGCTGGTGGTGGCGTACCCGACTGTTCTTCCTCGGCCGTAGATGCTTGACGGTGGATGTCGGTCCATGTTTCGCTAAAGTCAACACTGCTGGTCTCAGACAGCGCATCGTCGTCGCCACCTGAGAGATCCATGGACAGCTTCGGGGGGGTAAGCCGCTTTTCGAACTTGCCCTCTAGTTTTGCCAGGGCAGACTCAACACCGCCATCGTCTTCATCGTCTGGTATTTCAGCGAGTTTCTTGGCTTCCGCCTCAAACGAAGGTCGCATTGGCGGCTTCGAGGAGCGCGTGCTACACAGCGAGACCTGTCGTTTCTTAGGTTTGTCCGCTAGCTGCCCAACAGAGAAGACCTGCGATCGGATTGGATACTCGCTGCTCTTGATGGACCCCATTCGTTCGGCTGACCTAGGTCGGTTTTGGTTGCCAATAGAACCACTGAACGACTCAGACAGGGCCGTGATGGAACCAAGCGACCTTGACCGCCTGAGCATACGTTTGTCCAAGTCATCCACATTGGTTGCAGCTCGCAGGTCGCCTCCTGGTCGTCTACGAAGCATGCGCAAAGGCTTCGGCACGGGAATGTCTGGCTCCTCTTCGTCAACTGAGTATCGCGTAAAGCTCGTGGCGTCAAAGCTCTGAATGTGCGAAGGGGGTATGATGTCGCTGCTGAGGGATCCGTTGCGGTGATGCAGGATAGAGTTGAGTGACTGGTGGGTTTTACTCAACTGATTCCGACGGTATATCTTGCTCATCCCCCCGCTGAGAGGTGGAAGTCGCTGGCTGCGTGCCCTGACCGTGCTCGGTGGCTGATGATATCCTTCGTCCGACCCAGGAGAAGAAGGGTCTTTCATTGATTCTGGGTCGGGCACAGCAGGTACCGGCACATCTGGCGCCATGGCAGTCCGCACGTTGTGGTTGACGACATGTGAGGAACGCCGCGCCAGATCGCCCTGGCGAGCAGGAGGTGTGATCGGAGGCGTGATGTTGGACATCTTTGGTATTAGAGTGTCACCAAAGACTTCGATAGATCTGTCAGACGGCGGGATCGTTGTGTAATTGTCCGAGCGACCAGCAGCAGAAACGGTGTCATCCACAATAAGGATCGACTGACTGCCACCGGACAGAACAGACTCCCTTGGTAGCTGATGTGTTGGTTGCTGCTGCGGGTTGTGGGGTGGCCCAGTTTCCAGGTCACCTGGAGAGTACCCTAGATAAATGGGCTTGTCCTCCTCTTCTTCCTCCTCCTCTTCCAAAGTCGGTTCCATTCGATGATCATGATTCTCGGCTTCTGCAGCAGCGTCCTCCCTGACCGCTCTCTTGAAGTCTTGGGCTACTTCAGCCCCGAGGAGGTCGATCCGCACCGGCGGCCTGGCGCCATCTCGGCTGATTGGCTTCTGGGGGACAATGGCTGTGCCAGGGAGGCGATTAGTAGCGCTGGCGGTCGCGGCCCTGATCGGGAGATGATCTGGCGAGACGCCAGTGCCCGGGGCGCGAGTACTGAGAGCCCTGCGCACACTTCCAAGCAGCCTCTTCATTCCTCGACTGGACATGGCGTCAGCTTGGACGTCAGGCATAAGCAAGCGTTCATCAAAGTCTTCATGCTCAAAGATAGTGGTGTGCCGCCCAGAGTCCCAGCGAGCTACCTCGACGAACGCCTTGCCAGGAGGCATCATGTCGCCACGCACAAGACTGCCGGCGTGTGGAGTAGCCATGGTGAAGTCATGGTCTTTGTATGAGAAATTCGGAGGCTCGTTGTCTGCAGATGATTCTGGAAGGCTGTTGCTGCGCTGATGATGCTGCTGATTCGGCCGGACCCTCTTCCCTACCAGGGCTCGAGGTGTAGTAGCCACAGGACCGCTATGGTTATACGCGGAGCTCGTCGACACAGGATGGGCCCCCAGACCATGATTCACATGCGGTTGGAGACCACGGGTGAACTTGTTCGGAAAGGAGCAGGAAATTATGTCGAGACTAGCCAGGCTCTGAGGCGACCAGGGTCCAAAGTCGCGATCGTGCATGGTACTCTGCGCGTTCTCAGGTGTCGTCGGGCGTCTCGCAATGACAATCGAGTCCCCAATGTGTCCAGGCCTAGACAGCTCAGGCAGGAAATTCGACGCTGCGTTCTCAGAAACGGGCATGAGCCTCGTAGACTGGGGCGGCGCTGTGTGACGCTGCTCCCAGAAGGTGGGATCAAGTGAGGAGTCCCGGTGACCGGCCACACCACCAGGTAGTATGGGGGCCTCTATCGCAGCTCCATCATTGAACTCGGGTCCATCCCAGTAGTGCGAGCAGACTCTCCGCCAACATTTCTTGAGCTCGTCCAGCGTCTTGAGCTGCACCTGGTATGTAGGGGCTTGCTGTAACAGATCATGTACCAGTTCGTTGAGCAGCTCGCAGAACTCACGTCGAAGATCGTAATCGACAACGAAATCGTCCATGAAATAGTTCAATATCCAGTGTCGCAAGGCAACAAACGCCCTCACGTGGACGATCATGCCGGTTCCATCGTTCCGCGCAGCAGCCCAGCGCAGACGAGCGACAAGCATGCGGACAAGGGCGTCCGGTTCAAGGAAGGCGCGATATGTCAAGAAAAAGTCGGAAATCAGCTCGTAATCGAGGAAGCTTGGCGATGTTATCTCGGCCACCAGTCGGGGTGGCGTAGCAGCCGTGACGGCGCCAGAGGTCGGTGAGTAGCGAACAATTGTCCGATCGTCGCATGCCGGTTTGAAGGTCAGCTCATCGTACATCGGCGCATCGATTATCGTTCGAGCGGACATGAAAGTGGCACGAAGTGGGTTGGTAGAAGCCTTGGACGGCACGACGCCTGGTGAGCGGCGTGGCGTTTGGCGTGAGAATTGAGCTTGTGGTATTTGCAGAGTGCTCGGTCTCCTGGGGCCGAGGGGCGGTAGAGGGAAGTTGATATCACTATATGAGCGGTCGAAAACTGATGCCCGCGCGCTCTGAGGTTCCTCACTCTGTGGGCCGCTTTGCGCAAAGGACGGGGCATATGAAGAGCCCCGGAGCAGAGGCGTGCCGGTTGCTGTGAATCTTGGTGTGCCAATTTGCCAAGAGGGTATGGCGATCTCGAGATGAGGCAGCACCTTGCCGTTAGGGTCTTCGGTGGTCTTTGGCCTCGACGGGTCACCAGGCTTGGATATGACTATCCTGAAGGCCCCGGCATCAGATTCATTAGGCGTGACTTCGTGAATGGTGCTGTCGGACAGCGCTCTCCGATGTCGAATTGGGCGTGTATCCGGCTTGGACAAAGGCACATCCAATGGCCCGTCAATCGCGGGGGACTGTCGAGGTGTCGGCGTCCATTGGCTTTGATGAAGGTCACTGTCGACTTCCAAGACACTGCGATCGTGGCTGAAAGTATCAAGCCCCGCGGTCCCCGGTGGGGTGACTGGGAATGTGAACTTGGGCTGAGGGTATCTTTCGTGTGCCGGTCTGACCGTGGGCCTGGAATGTGTTAGCAGACGTGACGCTGCGAACTCACAGGGTTTCCACGTGGACCCCCGAGACAGTTTGCATACTTGAGAAATATCCTCCCATTGTTCCCTACGTTGGCGACCGCGAAATGGCGTCCGCTTCGACCCGCAGAGCTTCCATCGGGGGCGATCTCCCAGTTGTCGACTTCAGCGTCCCGCTTGGCCTTGTGTAGCGTCTTGTCTTCCTGTGATCTGCGCTCTGAAAGGGGGAGCAGAGGTCTAGCAGATGCTGCGCCTCGCAATGATTTCGAGGTCTTGACTTGCGCCTGGTCCCTTCCAGCAGCACCATCTGCAGGGGATTTGGGTGATAACCTCTGCGCCCTGAGCTCCTTGGTCGATCGCTTTGGTGATATAGGATTTCTTCGTGGACTCGTTCGCGTCGTGGGCACCGAGACCCAACTCGAGCCCGGGGGCAAATTTGGGCGTAACTGCTCGTCCACGTCCATATCCTTCACTCGCGACGGCGTCACGACCATCGCAGCTAAGGTGAGCTCGTGGTGCTCGCTCGGTTCGCGCCTACACGTGACATTGAGTTAATACACGCGACGGTCCTCCCAAAAACAGCGGCCAGAAAGGGTCCAAGAAGAGTTTCCAAGACAAACAAGTGTCTCACTCAACCCATATCACCGTCCACCAAGACCCGCGAGTCATCCCAAGGCCGAGTGACGTCTGCGATGGCCAACTTGGGAGTCTGGGTGGGCTGAGACTTGAGTGGATGGCGGAATGGGTCCAACAACTAGTTGGCGGTCTGATCAGGGCTCGGGAGGATGAAAATCACGTACGTCGTCAAGCCATTCGGGGGGGTTAGTTGGCAGTCGAGGATCAAAGCATGTCCATGGAGTGCTCTGGCAGTCCAGTCATTCAGAGAATCGTAAGGCCGAGGGAGCCAAAACCAAACAGCAAAAGGACAATCTGAGCCATGGCGGGCACGCATGGGTTTTGGCGGCGGCCAGCCCATGGGTGGGTGTTTGCTTGGTCGGTTGTTGCGGTGGGTGGGGAGGCCAGTCCAGGCCTGACCACGGTTCGCGTCATCTCTACGCACTGTACAAGTAATGGTCCCGCCTCGATTTGGCTCACTGCGCCGGTCCAAGGAAGACATCGAGGCGAAGTGTCAAACAATTGGACTGCCGGCCAGCTGGATTCCCAGATAATACGTATACTACATCATTGTGTTAACTCTTCGCCTCGGTTTCAGTGTCTGCCTGGTCGATCCTTTGCGCGTTCCTGCGTCAACGCGTCTAGGCCCTGGCACAGCGTCGGTGACACAATCCTGTCATTCCCCTGTGGGCCTGTGGCCGGTCCCAAGCACTCGGTTCCTTGTGATCACTTGCAATCAATGAGGTGTAACTTGGTTTCCCGGCAGGTTTGATTACTTTCGGAGAACCTCCTTTCCATCCTCAACCCTTTTTCCGGTTAAAAATAATTTGAGCCTGGTGCAAACGCCAAAGTTGGACGGACACCCAAGGCGACATCAACAAGATGTCCACCCAGCAGATGTTACCCAAGCTCTTTATCCAGATGTCCGGTGCGCCAGGTTCTGGGAAGAGCACTACAGCGAGGCTGCTCAGAAACAGCATCGATGGCGTGGTCATCGACCATGATATTCTCAGGTCTACTATGCTCGAATCCGCTGTAGGCTTTGATCAGGCTGCGAAACTCGCCTACGACCTACAGTGGGCACTCGCCCAGGACATCATGAGGCAGGGCTTGAGCGTCATCATCGACAGTACCTGCAACTTCCAGGAGGTTCTCGACAAGGGATCTGTCTATGCTAAGCAACATGGCTACGCTTATTGGTATGTCGAATGCAAGGTTGAAGATATCGATGAGTTGGACAGGAGGCTGCGCACGCGAGACCGTATGGCAAGTCAGCGAAGCAGTGTCGACCAGCCTCCCGCTGCAGCAGTGGCAGCACGTGGCGGAGAGGAGAACCCTCGGGCGCGCTTCAAGAAATGGATTGAGAGTCCATGCCGCCCAAAAGACAATGTTATAATCGTGGACTCTACGGGGGACATGGACACGCTCCAAGACTGCATCCTGAAGCAGATTGTTGGTTTCGGTGGCTGTGGAGGAATTGTCGACTCCTCACTCTGACCAGACTGGAGTCTGTGAGAGCTGGGCCATCTGGGGCGAGGGATCACAAGTAACGACATGTCGGTGCGCACTGTGCACCTGGCCCACTTCCGAGTGGTCGGTTCATCCCTGCCCATCAACTCAAGTCAAGTCATTCCCACTGAACTTCCAGTCTGCTAATGACCAGCCCGCGCCCTGTTATCAATGCTGGACTATCCGCAATGACTAGGGACAAGAGCGCTACTCATCAGCTCCGGAATCCCGCGTCATCACAACGCAAAAGAGAGCGGGTTCAGAGAAGAGACGGAAGAAGAAGAGTGAGAAGAAGGAATCCTGGCGTGATGCATGCTGCAGACTGCAGCCGCGGAACACATCTCCCCTCTTTACGCGCCTCGAACTGTGCGTCTGGCAGCTCATTGGGCGCAATGCGGCCATCGTGACCATCCTTGTCGTCGGGATGGTATTTATGCAGCACACAGTCCTTGTAAAAGTACGGTGTCCGATGCGGCGATGCGGTGGCCAGGCACGGCGCGATCCTTTCGGTCACTAGCATTGCGGCGTCAGCACGTGGGCTGGATGAGCTAAATCATAAAGTACCTGACGTATACGGTATACCTGAGAGACGGACTCGGCCATCATACCGTAATATTTTTTTACTTATCAGAAATCGTAGACATCTGTCCTCTGGGCCTCTTGCGATAAGTCTCTCCTGAAGGTGTGACTGCATTCGTCGCGACTCATGCGCACAGACTCGTCACTCAACGGGTTCAAGCCAGCCACTGACACGCCCGTGTTGAATGGTGTACGTAAAGCAGGTCGTCGAAACGTTTGCATAAGAAAGCAATAAACCGCCTGCATGACTCAAAACATGCAGCATATATTCGCCGGTGCTACAGTCTTACTCGCGGGTTTTACGATTGGGATAAGAGCAGCGATATGAGATCACTCATTGTGAGACATCCACGAATCGCCGTTGAGTGTTGAGCGTTGAGCGTACGTTGTTGGTGGTTGCCTACAATTCTTCTGTTCCCTTGAAACAAGTGGTCAAAGGGGACATGGACTGTTCAGTGTTTTATAGGCTACATTACACGCAGCGAGCGCTCGCGGACGACATGCACAGTCAGATGGAACCAGACGCATCAAGTTGGTCAAGTATTGTACCAGGAAACATTGGTGAGATAACGGTCAAGTCCATCCCATTGGCCGCACAGGGCTTTCCCTCACCATCCTCTTCCAACAGACAAGTCGGAAAAGGGGTGAGTATCTTTCCCTCATTAGTGCCACCAACCGTGCAAATACAGCCCGGCACACATGTTTCCCTGGGGAGTACAAAGAAGAGATATTTTTTGCTTTTGATGTAGAACCTGATCCGAGCCCAACTCCATGTAGCAGCAAGCTTCGTTTCTTGCGTCTCGTCGTAGCGGTCAAAGCACCTGACCAAGAGGGTGTCATGACTACCAATTGTCGTACGCGGGCTCCTCTGTACGTGGAGGAGCGACGTTTTCCTTGTCAGCGGATGGGGCGGTCTCGGGACCTTGGACACCCTACCACTGGGTTTCCTTGGCGGCCTCGTTGGACCACTCGGTGGCGGGCTGGCCGGCAGCGGCCCAGTCCTCAACACCAGCGCCGGCAGCACCGTCCCAGTTGCCAGTGGCGGGGGCACCAGCGAAGCCAGGGGCGGGAGCCTCCCAGTCGGCACCGGCCTGCTGGAAGCCGGACTCGATGGCGGCGGCACCCTCCTCCTCAACACCGGGGAGCTTCTCCTCCTCGACCTTCTCCTCAGCCTCGGCCTCAGGGTCGCGGTCTGCACAGTCAGTAAAGATACATGGCGTTCGTCCGGGAGACACATACAGAAGTACAGATCGGGCATGACGTCCCAGGCGGTCTCGCGGTTGTAGATGGTACCGCGGAGGCGCAGGACCTCGCGGGCCAGGAGCCACCAGATGGTACCGATAGCGTTGCGACCCTTGTTGTTGGTGGGGATGGCAACGTCAACGTACTCGGTGGGCGAGTCGGTGTCGCAGAGGGCGATGACGGGGATGTTGACGTACGAGGCCTCCTTGATGGCCTGGGCGTCGGTGCGAGGGTCGGTGACGACGATCAGACGGGGCTCCTTGAACGAACGGGTGATGTAGTTGGTGAAGGAACCGGGGGTGAAGCGACCGGCGATGGGGGAAGAGCCGGTGTGGGCGGCGAACTTGAGGACAGCACGCTGACCGTAGGGGCGGGCAGAGATAACGCAAACGTCGGCAGGGTTCTCGATGGAGACGATGATGCGGGCGGCGAGGACAATCTTCTCCCTGGATCTCAGAGTCAGCAATTGCGTCGCCCAGTAGCTTGCGCATGATTCCAAACATACCAGGTCTTGCCAATGTTGATCACGTTGACACCGTCCTGGCGAGTCTTCCAGAGGTAGGGCTCCATGTGAACCTGGAGGTTCTTGCTGCCCAGGTGAGCCTGGGAAGCGAGGAGCATCTCAATGTCATTGCTGGTGGCATCGAAGACGGGGGGCAGGTTGTTGGGAGCCATCTTGACGGTTGTTGTGGTGGATGAACCGGTTGTCGTGGGGAGGAGGGAGTGAGGTTGCTGGTGATCGTGGAGGGGAACTCAGAAAGTTCGCGATGTGCCGTCTGGATTTTTGCGCAAGGTGTGCGTGGGACACCAGTGGGAGCCCTCATGGCGCTAGATCGTACCTGGTCTAGCGTACTCTGACCTGCGACTTTCTGGAATCTGCACGTGACGACTGCGCTAGTCCTCTTTGGACAACGCGTCAAGACTTCGTCGGAAGGGACTTGTGAATGCAGTGCAGAGCTGGGAAATTTTATGGATCGACTGCTTCGACATTGTATCATTTCCAGCAATTGAGGTGCCCGCCATGGCGCCCAGAATACCAGCGCTGAGCGCAAACCGTACGTATGCCAGTACGACTTTTCGAAAACCTGTCTAACCAGAGTAGTATGCCTCCGCCCGGTCGCGAAACCGACAGTCCCCAACTTCCTACCCATCACGCAGACGGCAAACCTGTCGCAGCGCGAGAAGAAGCGCAAGGCCAAGCAGCACCCGTATGCCTGGGCTCAGGCGCAGCAACGCAAGAATGCCAACTTGAAGCGCCAAGAGGAGCTCAGGCAGGAGCGTCGGGTTGAAGGTGACAACGATCCGGTCAGGGGCAGGACGACAGCCTTCCTCGATTCACTTGAGAATGCCGAATCAGCTGCGGCCGGCGCTGGCAAGGGCCGGTCGATGGCGGAGCGCCGCAACTTTCGACTCGCCGATTCCGAGCTCAAGGATGTCATGCAGCATGCGTACGTGCTGAACAAGCCCATTCACCACAGCGTCGCGGAAGGGACGGCCATGAAGGGCACCGTGTTCCACTCTGAGAATGCGGAGGAGCTCTTTGCTGAGCACGAAAGGAAACACAACCGGGCTTCCGAGGCGTTGAAGCGTATCACGGCCATGGAAAATGCGAACCAGAAGCATCGTTACTACCACAACGTCCACCGCATAGTCGAGGAGTTTGGCCGACACAAGACCGACAAAACTTTGAAGAAGCTTCCGAAGAACGCCGAGCCGCCACAGGAAGCGAACAGGAAGGCCCGTGTCTTGTCGTCGATCTGGGACGCTATGCGGCCACTGAGCATCCAGCCACCCCTGGTGAGGGCCGGCCCAGACACCGGCAGCTCGGAGGTGCAAATTGGACTCCTCACTGCGAGGATTAGGCGTCTCGACACCGTTCTGAAGTCCAACAGGGGCTACAAGGATATCCAGAACAAGCGGGCGCTGGAGATGCTGGTCCACAAGCGACAGAAGCTGCTCAAGTACATGGAGCGCAAGGAGAGGGGCAGTGAGCGGTGGACACACATGCTTGACAAGCTTGGCTTGACCCCATCGTCATGGAAGGGCCAGATCACGACATATGGGAGAATTTGAGGGCCCGACAACCTTGTAGAACACCTGTCCTTTTTATGTACAATACGAAGCCATCTGGAGCCGGGACTGATGTCTATCCGTGTCAGGATCTTTGCTGTGTCCATTTTTGCGCCGAGAATTTGTATCTCCTTTCCAATTACGAAATGAAACAATGCGCTACTTCTACAAAGGCGTGATGCAAACGATGTGTAAAGGGTGGGGGGGTATGTTGCAAGATCAAAAGACACTGATAAAGTTGCCGATCCTGTCCTTCTGGTTCTGCGCTATGCACTCCGCGATCCAAGTGATGTTGCGGATTTCCTAATGGTCATTAGCATCCAGCCCGGCACACACGTGTGCGTACCACTTACCTGCTCTCTCAGTTTCACCCACGCGTAGACGATGGAGTGTGTGAACTGCCTCGTAAACGCATTCTTCGAAATCTCCATCTCCTTCTGGTAGAACAAGTCCTCAAGGGACTTGCCGTCGGTCGAGCCGCCACCCATGTTTCCGGGTCCGGACGCACCGCCACCAATCGACACTGCGTCAAAGAAGCTCTTGTAGTCGTGGACGCCGTCGACAGCCAGGCGAACACCCTCGGCGTCATCAGCCCGCGAAAGCATCAGTGTGCCCTCCGGGTACAGCTTTCCAAAGTTGGGATAGAGCTTCTTGCGGTCTGCCTTGGCCAGCTCCGTGCCAAAGGAGTTGAGTGTGATGTTAATGGCACGGCGGTCCGCCTCGAACTCGAGCATCTCAGACATGACATCTGCCGTCGGCGTCCCCGCCATCTCAGGGTGGCTGTTGACGAAATGGTAAAAGTCCTCCAGGTAGTTCTTGTAGAGGGTGTTGCGCACAATCTCAATGTTGAGCTCGTCGAGATCCTGGTGGCTCAGACTGCCCTTAAAGTACGGCGCCAAAGGTGTCTCGATCAGCACGCTGTTGTAGAGCTCCTCAATGTTGGTCGCAACGCAGAGAACAGGCATGGTCTCGAACCAGCCGAGGGGATGGCATCGCTCGAGGAGTTCGCGGGTGTCTCTTTCGTGGAGTGTGCCAGTGATGAGAAGCGCAACGTTGTCAATCATGTACCCGTAGGTGACGTAGTCCATGAAAGTCGCAAGCGAGCCGACAGCATTGGCACGAACGTATCGGAACTCGGAGATAAGCTTGTCGGTAGTCTTGGATGCGAGGCTCGATGTTGAAGGGTTCGGTGGTAGGGAGGCCAGGAAGTCGCCATAGGCAGGGCCAAGTTGGAGCTTAAGATCTGGAGCGGTCAGCCCGTGTCGTCGAGAGGGTATCGTTGAACGTACCATCAATGGTCTCGCACTGCGTCAGGTTGTTGTAGGCTGGACCAGTGAGGAGGCTGTTGCGGTAACCGCGCACGATGCCCTCGACATAGCTATTTGATGTTAGTGCCGGCGATGCAAGGAAGACCACGTAACGTAACATACCCATTGTTGACATTGTACAAAAGACCTTCCATCTTCGCTTCCAAAAGGGCAGCAGTTCAATACACAAGGTGATGTACAGGAACCTTGAGATGAGCGGCTGATGCTGCAGTTAAAACAGGCGGCTGTCGACTGGAGGACGGACGTCGTTCACCTGCCACAGTTGAGGCGCAATATGCAGGCTAACGCCTCCGTGCCCACGATGACGGTCGGACGCTGGCGCCCAAGGGACTCCACGTGAGTGGCTGGGGGCTGTGCGGAAGAATGAGCTGCCGAATGCCGGGTCTGCGTCCCACCAAGCCAGACTGGCAGAAAGTGGAGTCCGGCCCGGATTGGAGCTCGCCGCCGACTGATCAAACTTTCGAAAAAAAGTGTGAAAAATTTCCCAGTAATAATTGTCAAGCGTAACCAACCCACCACGAACCTTCCTGCCTGAACTTCCTCCGCGCACATACCACTTCGCCTCTTGTGCTTGGGAAGGAAGGAACACGACGTTAATCCGCAACGAACGAGGCAGGAGCTGCAGAGGGATTAATCGCGAATCACGTCTTGCTTCCCGCCGCCATGTCGCTCTTTGTGCTGGCCGAGACGCCGGCAGGGTAAGTTCATGCCACCTCATCACCAATTGAGCCTTCACATACTGACTCAATGCTTCCAGCTACGGTCTGTTCAAGTCCGCCGACAAGAAGTTGCTCAAAAATGACAACCTTGCCGAGGAACTCGGGCGTCCCGAGAAGTTGGTCGAGATGTACGTTTCCAGGCGCCGTTGCATTTTGAAGGAACCAAGCATCTGATTGTGACTACAGGTTGAAACTGAAGAAGTTCGTCAAGTTCGACAGCGCTGCCATGGCCCTCGAGGAGGCTGCTTCGTTGAAAGAAGGCAAGATTCCCGAGCTTCTGTCGACCCTCCTCGAGGATCTCAAGTCCGAGAAGAAGGCCTCTCTCGCCGTTGCCGACATTAAGCTCGGCACCTCCATCTCGAACCTTGCCGATGCCAACATTACCGCTGTCGCTGGCTCAGATACCGTTGACCTGTTCCGTGGTGTGCGTGAGCACCTGTCGTCGCTCATCCCCGGTCTCGAGACCGAGAATGTCGACCGCATGGCCCTGGGTCTGTCGCACTCCATGTCGCGCCACAAGCTCAAGTTCTCCGCCGACAAGGTCGACTCCATGATCATCCAGGCCGTCAAGATGCTCGACGACATTGACAAGGATCTCAATGTCTACGCCATGCGCACCAAGGAGTGGTACGGATGGCACTTCCCCGAGCTTGCCCGTACCTTGAACGACAACGTTGCGTACGCCCGCATTGTTCTCGCCGCAGGCATGCGCTCCAATATTGCCGAGACAGATTTGTCTGAGATCCTGCCCGAGGAGCTCGAGACTGCCGTCAAGGCTGCCGCCGACATCAGCATGGGCACTGACATCACTGAGGCCGATCTCGCCAACATCAAGTCTCTCGCCGAGCAGGTCGTCGACTACTCTCAGTACCGCTCGGAGCTCTCCTCTTACCTGGAGAGCCGCATGCGCGCCATTGCGCCCAACCTGACCACTCTTGTCGGCACTCTGGTTGGCGCTCGCCTGATTGCCCACGCCGGTTCCCTGATCAACTTGGCCAAGTCCCCCGGTTCTACTATCCAGATTCTCGGTGCCGAGAAGGCTCTTTTCCGCGCTCTCAAGACCAAGCACGATACACCCAAGTACGGTATCATCTACCACTCGTCGCTCATTGGCCAGGCCACCGGGCGTAATAAGGGCAAGATCGCACGTATGCTGGCTGCCAAGACAGCTCTTGGTCTCCGTGTCGATGCTCTCGATGAGGAAATCGATGAGAAGGACGAGGAGGAGCGTACCGCTATGGGCATGACCAGCCGTATCAAGCTCGAGAACCACCTCCGCAAGCTCGAGGGCAAGGCACCTCTTCCTCGCGGCACCAATGTTGACCCCTCTGGCAACATTGCCGCTCCCGGACAGTTCACGCTCAAGGAGACTCGTAGGTACAACACCGACGCCGATGGCGTGACAGAGGAAGCCAACGGCGAGACCCCCAAGAAGAGCAAGAAGGACAAGAAGAAGAAGATTGAGGTTGTCGAGGAGTCTGATGACGAGATGGCCGATGCCAACGGTGCGGACGACAGCGACGACAATGCGGCTGCCACAACCCCTGCCAAGGCGGCCAAGCTTTCCGAGGCTGACTACGAGCGCCTGGCCGATGCTGCGGGTCTCTCCGTCAAGAAGTTCAAGCGCAAGTACGAGCGTGGTGACGTGGCTCTGAACGATGACGGCACCCCTCGCGTGTACAGCAAGAAAGAGCTCAAGAAGCTGCGCAAGGCCGATGAGGGCTCGACACCGTCCAAAGCGGCCGCCGTGGAGACTGTCACCGTCGAGAAGAAGAAGAAGCGCAAGCACGACTCGGACGACGACGAGGATGAGGTAGTGGAGAAGAAGGAGAAGAAGCAGAAGAAGAAGAAGCGCCAATCGACCGATGCCTAGGAGGCGACATGGACACAGAGGCCTAGGCGGGTGTGAATCTTTCCTGTTTCTCATATTTTTCTTGTACGCTACGTGGATACCTCGAGGAGACAACGCTGTCTCGATGTTTCTTGGTGACGCCGTTGGCTCTAGGCGTTCCGGATAGGGTGTTTCTTTGGCATTTTTTATCTCTTTTTACGGTGGGTCTGGGAAGGCGTGGACAAGCAATCTTGCTTCATCTGATTAACATCAGTTCAATGTCTCAATGACACATATTCAAACAATCGTGGTTTCAGCACTCCAGGTGTGATGTTAAAAGTGTCTCTCGTTGCAAACTTGCTACGGCGCCGTAGTAAAAAACAACATAAGTAAGTGACAATAACATATTGAATAGCTAACATTAAGCAATCCCGCCTTAAGCCAGCAGCACGAAGACGAGGAAAGTGACTCCATGTCGGCTTCCCTCGGCTGTACTGCCACGACTGTCCTGCCGGTTCAAGGTATCATTTGGGTATCATATTTCGGTCGTAATCCAATCGTAGAACAAATTCCCCAGCGGCCGTTAGTGTGAGCCCCATCTCCTCGTTGCGTTCATGACGCACGCTCGACCATCCAATCTCATCCAGGGACTTCCTCACACTTAGATGTTCTCAACTACGCGGGCGTTCATGGCGGACTGGAAGCCGGGATCCTGCTGTCCGTCGCCAAAGGTGCCGAAGCCCTCGCCAGTCTCGTTAGCGGCGGCGGCGTTGACGGCGGAAGACATGTTCATTGTCTGGTTGGCAGCGGGCAGGAAGATGACCTTGCTGTTGGCCGACTTGGCCATGGCCTGCATCGCCTCGAGGTAGCGGATCTGCATGGCGGGAGCGGAGCTCAGGATATCGGCGGCCTGGCGCATCAACTTGGCGGATTCGACCTCTGCCTTGGCGGCGATGACCTTGGACTCTCCAATACGCTTGCTCTGCGCAGCCATGGATAGAGACTCCTGGAGCTCCTGGCTGAAGATGATGTCCTTGATGAGCATGCTCTCCACTTGGACACCCCAGCCGGCGGCAACATCTTCAATGATCTCTCCAATGGACTGGGCCACCTCCTCACGACGCTCGATCACGTCTTGGAGGATGCGCGCGCCGATGACGTGGCGCAGGGTGGTCTGGGTGCGCTCGACAAGGGCCTGGCGGACGTTGGAGATGCCAAAGGCAGCCTTGTGGGGGGCGACAATGTGGTAGTAGATGACCGAGGTCAATCGCAGGGTGACGTTGTCCTTGGTCATGCAGACCTGCTCGGGGACCTCTGCGATCTGGATCTTGACATCGACCTGGATCAGACGCTCGGAGAGAGGGTTGATCTTGACGAGGCCGGGATCGACGGCCTTGTAGAATCGACCAAACTTGGTGACGAGGCCGACGTTGCCCTGGTTGACACTCTTGTATGGGTTGGGGCAGATGATGCAGCAGGGGATGGCGCCCAAGGTGCCAACGACGGCGCCAAAGGTGTTGATCATGCTCCCGTACCAGCCCTTGGGGCTGGCCTCGGACGTGACGGTAGAAGCGTAGCTGCGCTGCAGGTCCTCTTTCTTGGGAGGCTGGACTTCCATCTTGTTGGTGGCCTGGAAGCCGACGAGATCCTCGGCTGCCTTGGAGGACGAGCCCGGGCCGTTCATGTTGGGCGCACGCGATGGTTCACCCTGCTCGTGTTGACCGTTGTACACGGTGGTGCCGCCTACTGTGGAAGCCATTGTATTGATGAGAGAGAGGCGTCGAGTGGTTGTCGAGTGACTTGATCCGGATAGGAGGAGGAGCCAAGAGATTCGGTGCTTGACCTATGTTCGGGGGTGGTTCGGTGGGATAAAGGCGGATGTGAAACTGGGGTCAAGCACGGGGTATTGGTGAACTTATAGCAGGTGCTTACGTCTCCCTTTGCTGGGCTGTCGCACTCGCCGTATCAATGATGTGAAGCTAAGCTCAGAGGCGCATGCGGCGCGGGTGGCATGCGCGCCTGGCCTGGCCTTACAGGGGGCCCACTCGCACCCGCTGGCCGGGCTACCACTATTCCGTAACTTGCTGCCAGTGGACATAACAACCGGGCGTAGTAGCGACTGGACTGGACTGGACATTGCGGTTTGTTCCCATGACCCCTTGCCCTCGGTGACGTCGAAATTGGCGAAGTTCTTAGCTACAATTCTGCAGCGCTTCTGGAACTTCTACGTGCGAGCATGCCGCGAGACCGCAAATGATCACCTCCAGATGGCAGGAGGCGCGTTGGGAGGAGGAGAGGCAGTGAGGCACTACAAATGCGGTAGCAGGGGCTTGTTGGTCTTGGCTTTTTGTCGCTAACTGCAACTGGAGTATGCGGCACGCGGGGATGCTGTCCCCAGCCTCTACGGACCATGAAGTAACAGCTTACCCTGGTGGTCGACTGGCCAGTGTTTTAGAAGCCTTTTCTCAGTCGCTCGCACGGAAGCCTTGCAATACCATGTTCTCTGGACTCAGAAAGAACCAGTTCACAATTTGCGTCCCTTATCAGAGAGAAAGCCTTGCTGATCGCGCGACCATCAGTAGACATACGTTGGTATTCTGATCAATCCCTAGCGCCATCCATCTACTTTACCTCATTGTGAAGTGAGCCACTCCCATCCCCAATCCCGAAATCGATGACACTGCCAATGCAACATTGCCCAATCAACGCCAGTCGCCGAGCCAAATAGCGAGGATCGTATCCCACCCAATCTCCATGACAGCGTACCGGAAGCTTGACCATCGTGAAGCGTGACCTTGCACTGCCTCGCTTCCGGCACTCACCCTCCTCGGTGCCTTCTGTTCCAGGCGATGGCCGGGCGATCTGGTGAGTTGGAATCATCTTCATCGCCCGTCTCGCGTACGTACGTGTCACCACTGCTCGGCGACAGTTGTATACAGTTGAAGCTCCAGTTGAGTCCTTTCCAAAAAGGGAAACGAGTTATCGCTCTATAGTAATAATTATTGAAGACTCGAGAACGCACTGCGTACAGTATCATCTAAGTACTCCGTACATTCAGCACACTTTTGTTTCCTAACAAACGTGTACTATTATCCAGAGTGCTGCCTACTTGCTTGCAAATTCCATTATGCTCGCCGTGTTCAAACTTCAAACCTCTTTCGTGATAACGGCACTATAGTTCCGAGCAGTGTGTGCACAGTCGGGTCGCGGCACCTCGTGTTACGCGTATACCTACTGGTGTAAGTACACAGAAGCTAAGCTGTAACGGACACAGCAAGACTACTTATCTACGGGTTCCGTGGTCTGTTACTCAGTAATGTCACATCAGTGGTTTCATGAGGCTGTGTAGCCCGAACTTCTGTCAACACTGCCTTGACCGCAGCCTTGCGGACATTCCCGATTTGAGTACGGAGGACGTAGACCTGCCACCCGCTCCCCACAACACCATAACGCATTCGTGCACTCTGCGGCCCTCTTCACCTCTATGCATCATAGACAGGCACAATGCCTGTACGAGTCATCAACTGCCATATTGTAGCTGGACCTCGTCTCGGTTTGGCCTCGGACCCTGGGCCAACAGTTGAAAGAGGTATTCGTAGACGCACGACTCAGCTTGGGATATGCTCAATGGCCCGGTAACATACTCGCGTCGATCAAAAGTCGGAAAGTCGACATGCTTACATTGTTGATAGATGCCATACATTGCAAGGTTGCCTCCCAAACGCCAAACCCTTGCTTCCAGAGGCCCCGTTGCAGTTCCCCGACGCCGTTCACTCTCATCGCAACTCAGGTATACGCATGTAATCAGGTACTTCAAAGCCCCCATCGCCCGTCTCCGTGTTTGCTTCGGCCAGCTGTTGCGCCAAAAGACTTAGCCTCACGTTTTCCTCCGCGGGCTGCACGGCGGCCGGCTGGCGTGGGTTGGCCACCATCATTTCCACCATCTCGTCAACCGGATTGTGCTCTCTGCTCGGCACCTGCGCCGACTCGGGATCGAAGGCGTAGATCTTGAGAGCCCGCAGGTGCGTGTCCTTGCCGTTCTGGTGATTCTCCAAAATCTGCATCTGTAGAACATACGAGACGAGAGTGTTCCCATCAGCACCGCCGCCTGCACCAGCGAGAGGGACCTGTTGCCAGCCCACGGGGCTTTCCAGATTGAGGTGGGCGAATTCGATGAGGTTGTTCTCGCTTGTGCCGGACTTGAAGACAATATTGGTCGGCGTGTACGACTCATCCTCGTTGTAGTTGACGTAGAACCGGATTTCTCGAATGTCGACCCGTTTGACAAAGTAGATCGTCAGCCGGTGCGGCTGAGGGCCATCCGACCTGAGAGTGTTAATATGGCGTGCCGGGCGCCTTGGATGCGTTAACTCACTGCCAGTACATGTTGAGATCGTCGTTTCGCAGGGACTCGACCCCGTTTCCTTGTTTGTGACTGCTAACGGTGAGTCTACCCAGGTTGGAGATCTCCTTGAGACCTAGAGTTGGCGGCTCGGCATGCAGCTCTGGCCCGCCGGCGTCATCTTCGCCCTTCGCGTCCCCTTCCTCGTCGTCTCCTGGGATGTCCTCGTCCTCGTCGTCTTCATCCTCCTCCTCCTCCTCGTACTCGTCCTCAACGCTCGTATCCTCTGCTTCGACCTGGGTATGTGCGTCGTCACCCACCATCGTGCCGGTAGGTGCCGGTGCAGGGGCCTCCTGTCGCTGAGTCGTGTTGGCGCGCCTCATGTCCACGATACTTTGATCAGGTTCGCTTCCAGAGTCATCCGATATCTCCGGCATGCTTAATCGACTGTTGGGTAGATCTGGTGTCGTTAGCAGCGTTTGCTAAGTAGATGCGTTCCTTTGCCAGCGTAATATCTTGACAAAGAATGCAGTTTCGGCCACCCGACACTTGTATGAGAGCTGGGAGATGAAGTTTGTTCGTCCTGAACCAAGTTCTGCGCCAAATCGCTCCTGCACGGACGTCCATTGCTCGGTTTCGGGCTCTTGCCGCATGGCAGGCCTCAGCGAGAGTCGGATCAGTGACTGATGTCAAATGCAGGCGCACCAGTGCATTCTGAACAGGCTCCAGTCATATGACCCTATCAAGCTAAGGCAGCACACGAGATGAAAATCCTCTCCTTGCAGAACTGTCACTGTGCAGCAAGACTGGGACTTGTGTCCCTTCTGACCACTTGATCAAGGCAGAACGAACTTTTGAGCGATAAAAAAACACTTGATGAACCACGGCAAGAACAAGGGATGTAGCAGGTACTCCTTGACCTTGTGAGCCGTCTTCATTTGGGACTTGGGCATCGCATGGTTTAAGAATCTGCCCATGCATATTCCAAAGATGAATGTACGGCGTTCAGAGATTTGAAGGCTCGAAGTGAAGACTTACTTCGATGTAGTCGGAAGGGGTTGGGTCGTGGTGCCGCCGGGTTCGGGTTGCCGCTGACTTGTTGCGAAGGGTCATGCTGGGTCTGGTGGTTTCGATTGCGTCTGCCAGACCACTGCTCTGGCGTGTCATGCCTTCGCTGGTGTAGCATGGCAGCTGTAGGCGTCACTCTCCGGCCTTGACCTTGGCCAGCAGCGCCTGTGGGTGCTGGGAGCTGCAAACTGGGGGTGCGCCGGGCGTCAGCACTGGGGCTTGCACCCGTGCTGCTTCTGGGGGCTGCTACATTGCGAGAATTCCTGTGCACATTGTCCATCGCAGTGTATGATTGCCCGCAGTCGCGATGAGATTCATCTCTTATACGCGATGCGCTGGTGGTGGGGGATGTTGTTTTGATGCATCACGTGATCCACCTGACTGCTGAAGCCCCTGTGCGCGTCGCACGTCGAGGTACTCCGTACGTGATGGTTGATGATGAAGTATAGTAATGGTATTTGGCATAGAGATATAAGCGAGTTCTAGTCCCCCCGTGACTTGTGTTAGCTCGCAGTTCGTGCCCGGACAATCCGTTGACACCAGCATCCAGTGTCGCCCGCGGTGAACGTCGATCAACGGTACATGTATGTATGGCGCTGAGCAAGGGTTTTCAATCATGAAACTAGAACAACGCCCTACGATTGCTTGTATTCTGTTCGAAATACCCTAGCTAACAGTTGTTGGTTGAACAATAACTGATGGTATATGCAGTACAAGCGCCAAAGACGACAGCATGATACAGCCTACCCTGCTGCCACACCGATACCCGCAGCTTTGAAGAAGGAACAGGCGGAGAAGAGTGATTCAAAACAACGATCCCACGCTAATATTCAGAAACCGCAAATCAAGATCGGCCGGAGTTTGCAACCGAAAAGGGACAGGATAGGGGTTGAGACCGTTGAATTAATGATCGTGTTTTGCAAATATCACAACAGTATGAGCAGGTGCCCTCCAATCACATCGCGTCTCGTATCACGTGGGAGTCTGGCTATTATTGGCACCGCTGGCGCCTGGGTGCCGGGACACCGAAGGCAGGTAAGCTTCCAAGCTGTCAGCCGCAGGCGACCAATGCAGCTTCCCTATTGGTGTATCTCACCAAGCGGGTACCCTAATTTCCTCCCACATCCCCGTGAAGCGCATCCCTCCCGCCATTTTACAGAGGGCCCGGGTCTCGCAACTCGCTGAGGGACGTTGCAAACCGCAGACTTGCTGACAGACAGACAGGAAGGGATGGACTGGACACGGCGTCCGTCGTTATCATTCCAGATGTCTCTGCGCTACGGAAACTCGCCCTGAACACCTGGTATATGTCCGCCCTGTGCCGAGCTTGGCCCGTGGTCGCTGGCTCTCGGTTTTCTCGTGTTCCAGGTCGTTCCTCTCCAGCTTTTTCTTGATTTACGTACCTATCGAGCCAAATCTATTTCTGCGCCGTGCTATCAATTTGCTGGAGACGCTATTTGAGTCCAGACGCCGCCTATTCACCTGCCGTGCCTCCTAGGCTAGCTGGACACGTTGAGGTTCTAATAGTCCGACCGGCCCCAACGAACATCCTCCTACGCCCGTCCTCTCTTCTGCTTCTCCCTGTATTGCGTTTCCTCCCTTTCTCTCACATTGCTATGCCATCATGAATAATCAGAATCCGGCCATGGCCTCATGGGCGCAAAACCCGTCGCGCTTCGCCCCCAAAATGTGCGGGCGGCGGCCTGCGATCATTCTACTATCAGTCGCCCTGGTTCTCGGGAGCTTAATACTCTACGCAGCCTTCCAACTCGGGGATATTTGCCCTGAGGGCGGTGGTCGATGCACCTGGGCCGGCGCGATGAACACACTCGACTACCTACGGGGCAAAGGTAGCAATGGCGAAGGAGAGCCTAAGGAAGGTGACGTGACGAGCGCACCAGCAGTCGGAACCGCAACCGCAGACAAGCCCGTCGTCAGCCCCGAGCAGACACCGGCGCCAACCGAGCCGGAACTGGCACCAGGAGTTCCCGTCGAAGAGGATCCAAGCTGTCATGGCTTTCCAGACATGTCGAACATCCTACTCGTCATGAAGACGGGAGCCTCGGAAGCCTACTCCAAGATCCCGACGCAAATGCTCACCAACCTTCGATGCGTCTCCGAATCCAACTTTCTTATATTCAGCGACATGGCACAGTCCATCGCTGGCCAGGAGATTATCGACACACTCGAGACGGTCATACCCGAGGTGAAAGAGCACCAGGACTTCGAGCTGTACCACAATCAAGTGGCGTGCCCCATCGATCAAGAGACCTGCAACAAGGGCATCAATGTAGCCAAGCAGGGCTGGGCGTTGGACAAGTACAAGAACATTCACATGGCCGAGAAGGCCTATGCGCGCAACCCTGGGTTCGACTGGTACCTGTACGTGGATGCGGATACCTATGTCGTCTGGTCCACCCTCGTCGAGTGGCTCTCGAGGGTCGACGCCAAACAGAAGATATACATGGGCAGTGTGGCCATGCTTGGCGGATTCCCCTTTGCTCATGGCGGTAGCGGCTATCTCGTGTCCCAGGGCATGATGGCCGCCATGTTCGATGGGAAGGAGAACGTGGCCAATAGGTTTGATCAGAATGCGACTGGACTCTGCTGTGGCGATGCCCTTTTCTCCATGGCTCTGAAAGAGGAGACGGACGTATCGGTCCAAAACGTGGTAAGTTCCATCCGCCTCGGCGTGGGGATCTCTGTCCACCAGTCCCGGTCGCTAACATGTGGCAGTGGCCAACCGTCAACGGAGAGAAGCCAAACACGCTGTCATACGAAGACTCACAGTGGTGCCAGCCCCTTGTGACGATGCACCACATTGGGAGCGAAGAGGTCTCTGACTTTTACGAGTGGGAGTGCAGCCGCAACTACACGCAACCCGTGCGCATCAAGGATCTGTACCACCAGTTCATCAAGCCCCATCTTGACGACACGCGGGCGGAGTGGGACAATCTCAGTGACGATATACGCTACGCCGACCGCGATGCCGATGGGATCGACTCGACGGATGACAAGTATCGGTTCGACAACCTAAGTGAGGTCGAGCAAGAGGCACACGACAGCGCCACGAACTGCCGCGCTGCGTGCCTGGAACTCGAGGAGTGTATGCAGTGGCGGTTCCATCGCAATGTGTGCTACATGGGGCGCAAGATCAGGCACGGCAACCCCATCATACCCGGCGACGGGGACGGCGAAAAGATGGTCAGCGGCTGGCACAAGGCTAGGATCGCGGCTTGGGCAAAGGAGCACGAAGACTGCGGAGAGATCCAATGGCCGAACGTGAGGACCTCCAACTGAGAGACTGTGGTTCGACGTCAATAATGGTGCGTCTGAAGCATCGCTTTGCGGAAAAGCCTGGTCGAGGGCAGACAGATATGCTCGCTTGTGACCAGACTCAGAGACCACAGGCGGGCTCCAAGTCCTTTGCATGGATGGGCCAAAAACAGTGAGCCCCCAAACATTGCAAAGACGGCACGTCACGGAGGAAAATAGAGACGGCCTTCAACATTTGAAGGAGATGATGGAGATGGATCTGACATCATTGTTAATTACCCACCCTGGGTCGCAGTCTGCAGACGTCTTCTGCAGAGCCCTTGCTACGGTAGGCGTATGGGCATGGATGGGGTCGGCCATACGATAACATGAGCCGTGCTGCTGGCTGCATCTTGGCAGAATGATGATAGGCAATGCCGAGCCCGGTGGTGCGTGGGCAAATGAGATTTGCATGGGGACGATTACCATAGAGTCCCACGGCAATTTGGTCATCTCGCTACGGCCAAATGATCGCGGGACAACGCGCAGATTAATTAGAGCGTCCTCGCCGCGTGACGACTTTGTCCGGCTGGGTGTGTACGATATTGACTTACCTCTGCCTGCCTGGGACATTGTCGGACACGATGCTGCACTGATTAATTCAACAAATTCGTTACCAACACCGGACTCCAGTCGTTCGTATGCGCGCATGAGTGGGTTGATGATGCCCACACCCGACCGGCCCCTGGCGACAGCGCGACGCTACTGTAGACTAATGACCCCAGCCGGTTGGTCCCTGATTGACGGTCAGGCTACGTACGTACTAATTACCGGCGCGACTGGACGTACGTATTTCACTGACAGGTTCTCCTTGGCGGTACGTACAAGTAGCTATCATCTTGATGCTGGCTTGCCTTCAGGCGGCTGTCGCGTGTGCTGTCGATGAGCCAGAGCAGCCTTGAAACAAATCACTGTCAATGCAACACATCGACGAGTGTTTACTTGGCACGTACATATCCGTACTCGGCACTCAAATCGAGGGCTGAAGCGCGGACACGCGTGACCGAGACATGGCCATTCCGGAATGACCATCGTCTCAGCGCCACGTCTCGTGCAGGACAGGCATGGAGTATGCGTGATGAAAGGAAACGCGTGAGAATCATGCGCCCAGCGACATGACATTAATTAGGTGGAAGACACTGTTTCCCCCTGACCATGAATTGAGACCAGACCATCTCCATGTCCATCTCCCCCTGACCCCCTGCCCTGCAGGCTGCCCCTCTCCCCCTGGCCTGGCTGGTGAAATGGCCCAATGCGTGCCCAGCCCACCACCATCCAGTCATCACCCACTGACCGCTGACCACTGACCACTGACCACTAACCAAATGCCCCCCCAGGTCACAGCTCCGCTAAAGGGCATCCTGTCCATCTCCAGTCCTCAAACATCTTCTTGTTCTTCTCTCTCCCCTTTCCCAATTTGACTTCACTACCAATATCTGGCTGTTGAACGCTTGTTGCTCTTCGAAAGCCTTACACGCTGATCAAAACCCAATACACAACATGGATCCTCACACAGACCAGCACAAGACCGATGAGGAGCTTGACCGCGACTGGAAGCCCAGCGGTCGTCGGCCACAGTCGTACGTGCCCGCCCACCCCCTTGTTCCTCTCACCTCGAGTCCCTCACCCGGACATGCTCGAGTATCACCACATATAGTGGTCAGGACAAGGAGCATGACCAAGAGAACACCCCAGCTAACGGTGACGCCAATGCTAGGACCATGGCGCGCTCCTTCTCCGCCGAGCTCATGGACATTTTCCGCATCGAAAACTCGGTATCCGATCTCGACTCTCAAGTCCACAAGAGGTCCGTCTCTCTTCTCCTCGGTCTCACTCACGACAGCAATGGCAGCAGCAGGAGAGCAGCAGCTGACGATGCGACGCGCTTAGGAAGCACACCGTTCAGCAGACCACCACAGAACTCGCATCGCTCGAAGCGCGCCTGAAGGAGATGGAGGCTCGTCTCAAGCACTCCCAGGCTCGCATGTCCATCTCAGGCACCAGCTTCCGCCCTTCCGAGGGCACGCCCTCCGACAACAACCACGGCATCCCCCCATTCAACCCCAGGGACGAGTCATCAGCACCAGCAGTGGCAGCAGCAGAAGACAAGGCGCGCTCACGACCCGGCACGGCCAAGGCGACGCAGCAGGCACCAAGCTCGGGCGACATGCCTCCTACACCAGGAGCTAGCGAGGGTGAGTCGCTTCCCACAGCTCGATGAGTGAGATGAGCCGCCCTGCTGACGTTTGTCAAGATGGCGACCGCGAATAAGCACCCCCGACTGCGCACAACGACACCCGAATCCCCAACCTGGAGCGAGTATTCTGCTGAGCGATGGCGTATCGTGAGGAGCCACCACCACGACCATCACCCCTTTGGGCTCCTCCTTCTCTGGCGCGAGGCGGCCCTCATGCCTCGATATCCTTTACGCGAATGAGCCCTTATTCTTTTTTTTTTTTCTTGCCACAAACATACATTGCATGGGATGGAGGCAGGAAGTCCCGGTGTCCATTCGCTTATACATATATCCCCTACGGCGTTGAACGGTCTGCTTTCTATCATCTCATTCTCCACGGCGAGCCATTATACCATTCATCTTCGATCGCTACACCTCACCTGATGTGACGGTGTTTGTTAGAGCGTTGCACGCGTATTCGGAGCCGATACAATTTTGTAATTACATGGTGGTCCACGTTAGATGGCAGTTGCTGGGAGGACAGGGCTTATAAGGAGGAGGAGGAGGAGGAGAAGAAGAAGCGACAGCTGGACGAAGATATGCTGGTGTGGGACGATGCCGCAAGGTGCGGTGAGTGGTGCTTCGAATATACCATGCTTTTATCGAGGAGGCAATTGCATTCAATATGACGCTGAAGAGGATAAACAGTCTTCCGCTCCCTGAATCCGCCAATGTCATCAGGTATTTCAAGGTCAAACACCCCCTTCTGCTTCCTTATCTCGGGATCACATCTCATCCGCACAGCTCTCGTGATATGTAACGCCTTTAGCGCGGTAATAAGAGATTCTTATTTTACCGTAACGTGGGCATCGTCGTTCTTGATCTGGGGACTAGGTAAATCAAGTACTTGTCACGCTCTAAGATTCGTCACCGAAGACGTGAAGGTATATAGTCTTTGTCGGATAACCATCTACTTTGCGCGGGATATATATGTGTGTCGTTACTGAAATCATAGCTCATCATGACCACTGGCCTCCTTGGGCTTGTGCTTTGCAGCCTCCTCTCGCTTGAAGTCCTCGCTCACCTTCTCCCAATCGCCTTCGCTCATGTTGTTGATCATCTCCTCCAGCTCCTCCGCCGTAAAGGACTGATCTCCCACCTTGATGCTTTGCTTCTCCTGGGCCTTATTGTTGTTGGCCTTCTTTGGCTTCTTCTTCTCCTTCTCCGTCTTCTTCGACTTGCCCATAAAATTCCTGACGCTCTTGAGACTGAGCTCCTTGCTCATGCTCTCGATTTTCTGCAACTTGGCCTCCAGATCCTTGATTAACAGGACTGGATCAGCCGTGGAGGGAAGCGAATCTTGTTTGGGCTCAAGCTCCTTGAGCCACTCATCGGTGGTCTTGGACAGCTTCTCGAGATCAACGAGGTCCTCCAGCTTGTACAGAGGTGGCACAGGGCCTCGCTCCTCAAGCACGTCCTCCATTGTGGGTGCCTTGGCGTCGTCTTCGAGGCCAACGAAATCATCAGCAGGCGTCTCAGCCGGGTCCTTGGCGCTCGAGGCCGCATCTGCAGACTCGGCCGGGTGGTCGGCATGCCACTTGTCGTAGTCAGAGATAGACTTGCGTGTCGCGTCGAGGAATTCAAAGGTCTTGCTGAGGGTATCTTTGAGTTTGGTCAGTAGCTCGGGACGCTTCGCGCTCTCTTCGCTGCGCTTTTGAATCGGCGAAGCCAGATCCTGAAGCTCCTTGAGCTTTGCCTTGAGCTCGTCCTTTGTTGCTTCGGCACCGTCGTCGTAGAGCCACTCGCTGATAGTGCTGCTCTTGGTACCCAGGTTGGTACGCTCGACTTCAGTAGAGGCGGCAATAAACGCTTCGTCTTCGAGAAGATCGCGCACCCTGTAGGTGAAGCCCTCGAGCTTATTCAGAGCTTCTTCACGCGCCAAGCGGGCCCTGTCGGACACGGTAAAGGCCTTAAGACGATCCTTGGTCTTGGACAGCTGGTCCTTGGTAAGCTCCGGAATGCCGAGATTTGACACGGTGATGTCCACGGGAATGGACACGACCTCGAGCTTCTGAACCTCGGGCTTCAACTCTTCCGAAGAGCCAGTGCTTTCAGCGTCCGCAGTCTTAGCTGAGGCAGACTCAGCTGCAGCAGACGATGCGTCAGCCTTTGCATCCTTGTCATCGGCCGGCTCTGGTTTGGCGTCCTCACCCTCCTCCAAAGGCTCTTGATCTTTCTTTCCAAAGCCAAAAAGGTTCTTGACACCGTCCACGAACCCCTCCTTGACTACCACCTCACATCCCACAGCAGCACGAGTAATCTCTATCTCGCCGTTCTCACTGTTGAGCTTGGCGGTGATGCGGAACTGGGGTCCTTGATCGGCACATGTAGGGTGGGCCTCCTTGAAAGAGGCCATGGTGGCCGTGAGATTCTTGGTAGTGAAGGTCTTCACATCCTTGTGATCATCGCCGACCTGCTGCCAGAACGTAGCGGTGAAATCCTTGTCCTCGGTGAAAGTGTACTCCTTAGCAGGGCCACCGATAGGCGAAACGGCCGACCAGATGCGCTCACTCTGCTCTTGACCACCAGACATCCAGGACATTCCGATAGGATAGGCTGAGCCCTCGGACACACGGATCTCCTTGACTCGGAAGCTAGGACTGAGCTCGGCGGCGCGGAAGCCGGCGCCAAAGACAGCGGCTTCGTCCGAGTTAACGTTGGAGCGGAGCCTGTCTGGCGAGCCTACAATCTTCTCGAGAGCTTTTTGGACGAAAGGTGTGCGCGAAGCACCACCATGTAGGATGACAGAGTCAAGGTCGCCGATATCAAGACCAGCCTTCTTGAGAGCATCGTGTATGGTCACCGCGACGCGCTGGGCGTGTGCCTCAGACATGACCTCGAAATCGGCACGCGAGAGCTGATACTTGAAGTCGACGTCTTCGTAGAGACCCTCGAAGCTGGCGCCAGTCTTCTGGTTGGCGCTGAGAACGTGACGAACGCGCTCGGCCTCCTTGTTGAGCTTGGCCATCGCGCGACCGTGGCCCCTGATGCCGACTTCGGTAGCAGAGACCTTCTTGGCGCCCTTGGAATCGACAAACTGGGTGATCATGTCGTTGACGATCAGGGTGTTGAGGTTGTCTCCACCCAAAGTCCTGTCCCAGCCGCTGCCCATCAATTGAACCTCCTGGATTGTCTTGTTGAACTTGCCAATATCCTTGACATTGCGGCTCTGGAACTTCATGACAGAGGCCTTGGTAGACCCCGCGCCCATGTCAAATACCATGTGGTATTCGGGCTTGGCTCCCTCGTTGATGTTGGGAAAGACACGGCTCGTGGCGTAGTTGAGACCAACGGCCAAGCCGTCGCTGATCAGACTGAGGACCTTGAATCCTGCAAGCTCGGCGGCAGACTGAATGGCGCGCTTCTCGTCGGTGGTGAAGAAGGGAGGAACAGTCAGCACAATGGAACGCACTGTCGTCCCATCACCAGCAGCCAGCTCAGCGTTCTTTTGCACGCTCTGAAGTTGCATGGCCAGAAGCTCCTCAACCAGCCATGCTTCCTGGTCAGCCGTCACCGCATTGCTCTTGAAGGCAGCCGTGCCGCGGACATCGTGCGTCTGGAGTTGGAGAGCCGGGTATCGGGCGGCGTATTCTTGTACCACGGGGTCGTCGATCGTGAGCCCGAGAAGGGTCTTCAGGTTGGGGTACACCTCGCTGGGGAAGCGTGCAGACAAGGCCATGGCGTCGGATCCATAGAGACGTTCGGGGAACTGGCCCTCTTGCGGGCCGCCTCGTGACGGCTTGAAGGCCACAGCTGATGTCTCTTTGCGTCGGGAGTCCTTGGTCAGGACAATGTCGAGGGGAATGCCGGGCTTGACGAGTGCTGCTTTGATGTATTCGGTGCCCAAATCGACGCCCAAAACGGCTGATATAGCGAGGACTTGGGAAGAAAAGAAGAGAATGGCTCCGAGGAGCATTATCAAGGGCGATGCCCTCGAGCGGAAGGCCACCATGTCAGATGGTGGGGTGCGCTGGTACTGCAGCGCTGTGAGAATGAGTTTCGCAGAAGACAGGGACAATGCACTGCTTATGAAAGGTATCGAGTATAGAGGCGCTAAAGAGCGTCGAAGCGCAAGTGAATGGCTTCTAGACGATGGTTCAAAGTTGAGGTCAACAAAAGGTGGCCTCAACTAGTAAGTGGTGTGGTCGAGCCTACTTATGGGACAATGCGGTCACAGAAGAGGACAACTTGTACATAAAATAAAACCCAGGGTGGGTTGGTTGACAGAATTTTGAGAGGAATTAATTGCGTTTAACCACTAAGATAAGTGCGCGCGTTATTGTGGCCACCTCATTCGTTCCTGAATGCATGGCTAGTACTCCGTAAGGTGTGGCTAGTGATCTTGCAGGGGTAGCTTCAGCCACAGCTAGCTAAGGTTCTCAACTGCCGGACTGATTACCCTGTGGGCGACACAGGATCCAACTTCAAGTGATCCAAGGTAGACGTTGGTGCATTTGTCGTCCTGGCATATCGTGTGGTGCTGCAGAATATGCAATGCCTTTGGCGCATTTTGGTAGTTAAGAACAGTGGTAGGTTTCAGCTTGAGAGGTCGTAATGCATCATATTGTACATGTCCAGCGATAGGACATATCTAACAATCACCTAAACGACCGCCCTCCAAAATATTGTCCACACACACCCATTGTGTATCTTCCGTTCCTGGAAATCAGCCATGAACCCCCTTGCTATGCCACGGTGACTCTGTAAAACGCCTTCAACAACTGATGTACAATCGTCCTTGCCGCTGCGAGCAGGACGATGCTAAGGTTACATGTAGGTTTAAGCCCTCATGGAAACCAAGCCTCCCTGAGAGATGGAGTTCTACGACTCTTCAGTTCGGCGAGGTCCACCACGCGAAGGGCCACCTCTGCCACCACGGCCGCGACCGCGAGCATCACCACGGCCACGACCACGGAAATCACCGCGTCCACGGCCTCCGCGGCTGGGACCACTATCATTGCGGCCACGGTTGCGCTGTACCGACTGGAAGCCTTCGTTCGGGTCAGCAGTCTTGGGAGCAGGCGTTTGCTCAGGGTGGTCGTCTGCCCACGACTGGGTGTTGGCAGCAACGGCAGGTGTCGCGTTCAGGCCCGTGTCGGTCTCGGCGGGGTCCCGGGGTACCTGCACCCACTCGTCCTGCGAGGTAGGTACGTCCTTGGAGCTGTCCCAGTGACTTTGGCCAATAGCATTGGCAGCTTGGTCGGTGACATTGACATTGTCGATGCCGCTCGTGATTGCCTCCACAGATTGGCCATTGAGCTGTGTGGCGTCGCCGGCTTCAATCTCGGTCGTAGTCGCGTGCGCAACTGTGGGGTCAGTGGCAGCCTCAATCTCGACAGATGGCTCAACCGCCGCATCGATTTCGTAGGGACTCTTGTAAGTCTGGGCGAGGGTCTTGATCTGCGAGTCTATAATGTGGTTAGTCCAGCACGGCCTGAGCGCAAAGAATAAGAACATACATGGAGTCTGTAGCTGCTCCCCAGGCACACTAAGCGGAGCGTCGGACGATCCTTGGGTGAGCTTCAGCATAGTTTCGACTGCGCTGTCATCTCCTGTGTAGATGGCGAGAAGGATGCCTTCAATGGCTTGGGACTCGTCCGACTCTGCGTCACCACCCTCCTCACGGCGGTAGGCAGCTAACCGCAGGAACTGGGATAGCAGCAGCAGATCCTTGCGCTGAGAAGCTCGGAATCTCGCCTCTACCTCGGCGGCTGCATCGCTCTTGGCCTTTTCGAGAGTCTTTTCCCATTCAGCCTTGTCCGCAGTGGCTTGTGAGCGATAATGTTCGTCGATCTTGATGTACTGGTTCAGCTGCTCCTCTTGCTGCTGGAGCTGAGCCCGGAGCTCTGGCTTCTTCTCGATTTGAGCCTTCTGATCAGCGTTGATAATCTTCTCGCTGACGAGTTCATCGAGGGTCTTCTTGGGGTGCTCGTTGAGGATGCTATCGGTCTTCGAGGCGTTTGTCTACAACCTTGTCAGTGGTATATCGGAGAGCTGCTGTGCTAGAACCTACAATCTTCTTGTTCAGATTGCGAATATTCCTGTGGCGAGCGTTAGTCAACTTGCGGAACAGGTCCTGCTTGTCACGTACTTCTGGAGCTCCCTGATGTATTGACTGGCGGGGCCGTCGTCGCTGTTCTTCTCAGCTGCACCTGAGGCAGCACTGGGAGCAGGAGAGTTGACACGCTCGATAGCCTTCGCAGCCTTCTTTTTGGCCGACTTGGAAACAGATTGAGAAGCTGGAGAAGACATCTTGACAGCTCGACGGAGAGAATTGGTGGGAGGGATGAGGACGATCCGAGATGAGTCGATGGGGGTTCGTTTGGTTGTCACGAGCGAGGTCGAGAACAGGTCGTTGGAGGACACGGTTGATCTACTGACTCTGTGAATGATAGGGCAAAGGAATTGAAAGAAATCGTGTTTGGGCGCGAGGGGAATGACTAGGTAGACTTTGACGTTGCACGGTGGTCAGGCAGGGAAGCACGAGAGGTGAGGGTCGATCAATGCACGTCAGGCAGCTTCGTTTTTCTGGGGCTTTCCTGGCTTGGCTCAGCCCTGCAGTTGGTACCTAAAGTACTCCAAGACTCCAACAACCGTGGGCACGCGCTAGCTTATTAGAACATTGAGGGGAAGCATTTTCTAGAATCACGGACAAAACCAATGTTGATATCTGGACTATTGATCACACCGTCCTGGTATGCACGAATGACTCCTCCATCTTCGTCTACCAACCCATATCTTTGACGTCGCCACAACTACCTAACTCAACATAATCCGGCACGAGAGCTCGGGAGCTTGAGGTACCACGGGCAGGTTCCTGTGATGGTTCATCGAATGTTTGCAACATTGCTGAAATCACTGCTGTAGCAGGCGCATGCAGGGAGCTTTGTTTGTGTTTCCACAAACACTCTTCTGCGTCCCCACGCTAGCAAGTAAACGCCCTTGGAAGCGCACACCAGCCGTCATTTCGTGGCAGCAACCAATAGGTAACCATGGCGAAATCCGTATGGTCCTTTGATGCCTAGACCGCAGGCTTGAAGCTCTAGTCGAGGCTGCCGTGGCTCAATGGGCATCATCGCCATCACAGGCGTGTACTAGACGTTGTACATGTGCAGGAAACAAGCCTTTTCAGCCCTTGAACTTTGCTAGAGTATCCTGTCGAGTTCGATCAGCCACGCGCTCGAAGGTTTGGCACTTTGCGGCTTACCCTCGTCACCTTCTTCACGCTGCGCGAAGCGAGTTTCTTGTCACCGTACAGCTTCGAGTCAATGGCCGCCTCTTTCACTAGCCTAAACGCTCTTAGTTGACAAAACTTGGACGCCATGCATGGTCTTACGTTTCCATAAACAGAACATAGTTGAGGTATATCTGACATTCTGTAAGCACGTGTGCAAGCAGTAACAGCGAGAGGCCTACCGTGACATCGGCGTTCTTTTTCAGGTTCAGATTGGCATGCGCCTTGACAATCTTCTTCAATGTCGCCTTGGGATAAGCTTTCTTACCGGCGACTGCCATAGTCCTCAGCAATTGTTCATCTGCTTTGTCTGGTGATGATGAGGCGATGGCATGCGCGTTGAATGTCAACACCATAGTGGGTCGCATTTGAACTGTCCTGCACCGTGTGTGTTTCGCCGCACTGTCTTAAGCACTGTTCCCCCACCATGAAGCTCACTGCACTGGCAAACATTTTGGATGGACATTCTAGCACAACCTGGAGTTCTACAAGACAAGCTCGCAAGATCGCATCATGTCGGAAATTCTCGGCCGCCGTATGGTAAGTAGGCAATTGAGGCGCATATTTCGGTGCTAACACAACCGGTAGCTTTCGAAAGCAGAGGAGGAGGGCAGTGACGAAGTCGAGGTGCGCAGAGAGGACCAGGATAAGATCAACCGTTTCAGTCGTCTGCACCAGCGCGAATTGGCGATCAAAGAGGAGCTGGAGGCCAAAAGTGTAGGTGCCCGGAAATTTTGGGAACGACAGACATTGACCGCATGCCGCAGAAAGAAAAGGAAGAGCTCGAAGATCTCTCTACCGAACTTGAACTCGCAGACGAAGACGAAAAGATCCAGTAAGACCTCTCTACTATCCAGGCAAACCGAGAAACATAGCGCTTACCCGTACACCAGGTACCGAATCGGCGACTCCTTCTTCCACCTACCCCTCGAGCAGGCTCAGGAGATGCTGGAAGCAGCGTCGACGCGCAGCGAAGAAGAGACAGGGGAGCTCGAGGAAAAGCTCAGTTCAATACAGGACGAGATGAAGCAACTCAAGGTCGACCTGTACGCGAGATTCGGCAAACAAATCAACCTGGAGACATAATGCAATAATGTCAAACATGATCATGGTCCCCCCCTGTCCCGACTGCACAAGATTTCCACCCCGAGCAACCACCTGTGTATCTGTGCAAATAAGCCGGCGCACTACGACGTAAGATCCGTTACATCATGCTAGAGAGCCGCCGGATCATTACGGTGGTACCGGCGCTGGATCATCTATCGCAGCCTCAGGATCCCGCTGATTGCTTAGTCATAATATCAAAGCTGCTCCTTGAGTCGTTCCACCCCGGATATACGAATTCCCCCGACTCAGGAGAGCTCTTCTCACAGCCAATAGGAATTGCAGCCATTGAAGAAAGTTGGAGGCCGGCCGGCCGTACGATTGATGCTTAAACCCGGCGCTGCCCTTGTTACAGTTACGTACTGTTCCATCAAGCCGAGAAACGGAGCTGTTGCTCAATGATAGACAAGGGCCTACTTAAATGAGCGAACCAAGGCTTGACCCCACGATTCCTGGGCGGCCCGTGGTTCATCAGCCGGGGTAACGCTCTCTTCATCATTTCGCAATCGTCACCTGAAGTCCTGAACTGTCCTGTACCTTTCATTTTCGGTGATAGGCGTCGCCAGAGGTCTCTATTCTCGCTGTGCACCGAATTGCCATGTCCTCACAGTTGGATCAGTGTAGCGAGCCCAGCCAATACCACCATTCGTTGTACTGAACCACAAGTCCCGTCGTCGTCATGGCGAGTAGTGAGACAAGCGACACTAAGACGGACACGACGGCCCATGAGAACCGTAGGCATACATTTACTACCCCACGGTATTGCATGCACATATTGACGTGGTACAGGCGGTCGGCAAAGGAGCGTTGCAGCCGAGGATCAAATTGATCGCGTGGACACTATCGATGCAATGTCGATATGTGACGACGAGAACGGCGACAAGGGACTGGGAGCCCTTCACAGCATTCGCTCCAGGACACGAAGCCGAACAAATGAGACAGTTATTGGGTGGACTTACAACGACCCCGACAACCCCCAGAACTGGTCAAATGTCAGTGCTCGAAATGGCCATTGTACATTGTTCCTAACGTTGTTGCAGACTAAGAAAAGCGCCGTCGTCTTTATAAGTGGCTTGACTGTCATCAATTCGACAATGGGCTCAGCCCTACCCAGCATGGCCATTCCGAAGATCACCGACGAGTGGGGTGTAACGTCTCCAGAACAGAGTGTGTTACCCATCTCCGTGTATCTCATCGGCTACGTCTTTGGCCCGATCATCTGGGGGCCCCTGAGTGAACAGTTTGGGCGGAGGAACTTGAGCATTGCCGCTTTCTCCGTGTTCTCGCTCTTCACCATGGCCTGTGCCCTGGCGCCAAACTGGCCTTCCTTCTTGGTCTTCCGCTTCTTTTGCGGTATTACAGGAAGCTGTCCCATCGCCGTCGTGGCTGGGATTCTTGCTGATATCTACGGTGAACCCCGGACACGGGGCCGAGCCTTCGCCATCTTCATGGTCGTGAGTTCCCTTGCCAAAGTTTCGCCGTCAAGTTTTAGTTACTGAATCACTTCCAGACGACCGTATTCGGTCCGCTCTTTGCACCCATTGTCTCCGGCTTCTGTTCCTCCAGTATCGGCTGGCGCTGGACCTTTTGGATCGCCCTCATTGTCTGTGGTGTCACTTTCGTCATGATCATTCTCCTGCCCGAGACCTTTGGACCCATACTCCTCGCTCGACGCGCAGCTCGCATGCGTGCCGCTAACCCGTCTGCCAGGGTGGTCGCACCAAGAGATCTCGAGTCGACCGACCTAAATCAGCTTCTCACCGTGGTGCTGACACGGCCAATCAGGATGTTGATCTCGGAACCGATCGTGAGCACCACCTGCGCGTACCTTGCATTGTGTTACGGCATATTCTACATGTCCTTTCAGGCGTTTCCCATCATCTTCCAACAACTGTACGGTCTGTCGCCGGGTGTGACGGGACTGTGCTACCTTCCGATTGGCGTTGGAGCAATCTTGTCTCTGCCCGTGTTCTGGTATTGGGATCACTTCCTCGCTCTCGCTGTTTCGAGAGGAAAGACGTGGACCAAGCGTGAAGAGTTGCGTCGCCTTCCACTGGCCTGTGTTGGTGGGCCATCCTTCGTCATCGCACTGTTTTGGTTGGGATGGTCTGCCCAAGAGGGAACCTCGTTCGTCGTGCCCATGCTGGCTGGCATACCCTTTGGCTTTGGCTTCCAACTCATTTTCATGGCGCTGCTGAACTATCTGACCGATGCCTACGATAGCTTCGCAGCGTCAGCGAACGCCGTGGCAAGCATGTGTAGGTCATTGCTCGCGGTGGTGTTACCGCTGGCAACGAGTCACATGTTTAACAATCTTGGTATTTCCGGGGCCTGTTCTCTCCTCGGCGGTCTGACTGCGGTAATGTGCGCAATTCCGTTTGTGTTCATCTGGAAGGGACCCGACATCAGGGCCAGGTCCAAATTCTGTATCGCTTTGCGTGAAAGAAGGGAAGAATTGGCTCGAAAAGCGGAAGAAGAGAGGCTTAGGGCCGAGTACTCTGGTGAGGGCGAAAAGGAACAAGCAGCCTGAATGTAACATTGTGTATTCATAATTCGATTACGTCCTGTCGCGGAAACCTTTAACTTCTTGGACTTGCCCCCGTGTCTTTCTTCACCAAGGTATGGCTGACGCATTGGACGTGGCAACCGTAGCATCGTTGACTCCTCTCCCTCATTTGATGCCATCTGCGAGATTCAGCCTACCAGAATCGGCCCAGAAGCCTTCTTCGACTCTCACACGCTCCGGTAGATAGCCAACACTAGGGGTTAGCATCTCCAGCTCGGGATACTGAGTGTCAGGCCGCAAGCGCGAGCTATCACGACGTATTTGAAGCGTGCCTCTCTCAGAGTCCTTTTCAACCCACTTGCTAGGCAACAGCTTGCCGAAGCCCAGCTTGATCAAGTGACTTGCTCGCCCTTGGTGTGAGGCTGACCGACTTTTCTCGCGGTCGTCTTCTGCTGTTCGAGCAATACATGCAGGACAGGCTCTACGTCCATACAGCACTTGATCCTGCAAGGCCGCGCTCTGATTTCTCTGAGTGCGGGAATACGAAGGATACCTGACCCATGACTCTGGAGATGTTGCTAGACGCACTGCTGGCTTTCGCCAATTCCTATGCAATAGCTCGTCGCTCTGTGTATCAAACGTCTGTTGTGGAAAGGAGCCCGTTCTGATGACCGAGTTATTCGACCTCAAGACGCTTGGTTTGGAAGAGATTCCGCCGAGATGGTCTCCCTCTAGACTAGTAAATCGATGCTTCAAGGCTGTAGCGTATCCTTGAAGTGCGGATTTCAGGGAGATCCTGGAAATCTGGGGATGTGTCTTTCGACTCATTCCATGGCGATAGTGGCCCTGAGGAGCTGAGGGTGACGGCGGCGCGCGAGATGCTGCCACTTTGCCTTGATGTGCTTCTCTACCGATGCGAGCTGACGAGAATGTCCTGGCTCTCCCGGAAACTGACGAATGGACTCTTGATATGAGCAATGATCTTTTTCTCTCCTCTTTTCCGGTCTCGCCGAAGTCCTCCCTGAACCGAGACACCACTTGTGTCGCCGGCTGTTGCCAGGGTATGATCGGTCCAAACCTCTTGTCCACAGACTGCAGCTCGATCTCGCGCTGCTCAAAACTTGAGCTTTCAATGCGGGCACTGACTGAAATCTCCTCCTCTTCTACAACTCCAATGGTGGCATCCAACATCTCGCCATGCACTGAATCATTGCCACGGGCAGTGGCATAGGAACTTTGTCCCTCTGATCGTGTTGTGGCGTGAACACCAAGGGAAGGCCCGTGCACTGGAATCTTCTCCGTCAGAGTGAACGGGAGGAACTTGCTTGACGAGTGTGTTGATGGGCTATCGTCTTGCGGCATCATGTATGCCAAAGCAACGGTGTACTTGTTGACTAAGTCCTCTGATGAAGATTTGGAATTACGATGGCTGTCTTCTTTTTGTGACTCCTGGCTGTTTGAGTTCGTCGAGGTGTATGGCTTCGGCTGCGAGCCCTTGCTATCGTGATCAAGCTTGGTCTGTTTGTCAAAAGCCAATGGCTGAACTTGCGTGTGGTGTGACTGTCTAAGTTGTTCGATAGCTTTGTCATTTGTCGAAGAGCCGCTGAGATTGCTGTGCCAATGCTCTCCAGAAAAGCGCGCTTGTGTAAGCAAGTCTACACGCGAGGTCGGTTCACCTGTGGTCGACGGTGGCCGCTCCGATCTCATCCAGGAATTGCTGTCTATCCCGAAGACCCAATCAAGCCACGATGCCGTATGCGAAATTTGAAAGCTAGGCTGCGTGTCTGACTCCCGGAGTTTTAGCATCACAGACGGTGGCTCCGTCGCAATATCTAGAACTTGGGTGTCAGGCTTTGAAGCCTCGCAGACGGGCCAAGCTGCATTGTTGTTGGCCGTTGTGGAGCGTGACAGAGAACATGTTCGATCGCTGGCACCTTGAAGTTGCTGAAAACGACGTATTGATGAATGACCTTGCAATGGGGATGCCTCTTTGCAGGACTGAGAGAAGTCGGTTGCACCGCGAGGCCTTCCTCCATATTTGAAAGCGTCCGCTGTTCTTGTAGGATCGTAACCCTTTGATGTGCGATGACTGCCATCGTCGTCACCCGCCTCAGTTCCAAGTACATACTGAATTGCTTCTTGGCCTACGTGTCTCGACTCGGCCCTGGGATCAAGTTTGGTATTCCTGGCATTGGCAACCCGTGCGTTGCCTGCTCTGTGCAGTAACTGCGAACGCTGGCCCTCGCTTTCGTCCCTGTCTGTGGTGAGTCCATCGAGATGAACGAGCGGGCCACTTGGGACCGCTGCGGTGTCCTTTGTGTCATCAACATCCTTCGAGTAGTGCTTGATGTTGTGTGTAAGGTTTCGGAGGGTAGCGAAATCAATTTTCTCGTGCTGCCGTTGGGGCGTAATATCACGTCGTGGCCGCCTTGTGATGAAATTGTGCTGCCTTCGCCTCGAGCCACCGAAACAGAGTGTTGTCATGATGTTCGTTGGATGGCAATGGGCCTTGGCAACACTTCTGTGAAAAGAGTATGGCGGTAGTCGCCGGAAACATCCAGAAGCTTGCGGTGCCGTCGAGGTGATGACTGGGGCTTGGATGATGTCAATTCTGAGGTGCTAGTAACGAAGTCTTTGGATGGAGATCGGATGGTTCTTGCTTCTGATCGGGCGTTGTTGCCTTGCACTCTTGCCTTACAGGTGACATGGAGTTGGCTCTTGCGGATTTTGGAGTCTGGCACCTGCTCATGGAAACCTAGCAGACTCAAGTAGACGGGCATTCGAGGACTCTATATCAGCTTCAAGGTACTTACGGAAGCTGCTGTCCAAGCAGCTTCTGGCCCCCAGAGACGCTTGACATGGCTGCATACTAGATCAGACATTCCAGAGATGTGGTGTTGGAGCTCCGGGAAGGCAACGGCAAATTGAAACTCGAAAGCAGCTTGAGGGTCAACAATACAGGGAGAATTTATAGTGCGGAGTACGCGGGGGTCAGGTACGTAGATTTACTGTTGTCATGTGGTGTCCAGTCTCCAGTCTCACCAACTGAATTACCCCTTTTCCATGAGGCAGTAGCAAACAAAGCCATTGTGGGCTTCCGGCTCTCGACTAGTGAGAGGCTGCTAGGAAACTTGGGCATCTGAATGCAATCGCAATCACAAGAGTAAGGTAAGGTAGGTAACTGTTGATAAGACCAAGACTTGGTCTTCATGGCCTTGAACCCTGTCGAGTAATTAGCCAACGGGCAGCGGAACCCGAACTAGCCATAAGATATTCCGATGCATTGGGAACTGTAGTTAGAACTTACGAGCTACCAAGTAGAGAAAAACGAGTGGGATACTCTCACGCTGATAAACTTCTTTGCCGGCCATGCTCACAGTCGAGAATTGTATAGAAAGCGACGTGAATCTTGTGTTATTAGATACACGTGCAGCTTCACAAGTGAGCTATAACTTGGGCTAGTCACTTCTTCTTGATAGGGCGCAAAGAAAGCAAACCTCTCTGCTGCAGCCTAGTGCCGACATATCAAGTAGCTGACTCCCGGCTCGTTCACATCTAATGAGGCGAAACGGTATAGCTGCGCGCCGCGCCGGGACAGCTTTGGCCGCCAAGGTCTACGAGTACCTGGCTTTGTCGTATGCAAGATGGCAGTTCTCGTGGGACGCCTTTCGCCGCCAGGGGCGAGCTCTGACGATACTGCCCACTCGAGTGGCCCACTGTTAGTACCTCAAGCTCAGGCTCAAGCTCCGAAGAACGGCGATGGCGGGGCTGCGCCATATTAGCACAGGGTCCAGCTCCACCCAGGCTCGACAAGACGACGACCGCAAGCACACGGTTGCGTGATGGCAAAGGATTGGGCGGTTCACCCGGTCGATCCAGGCTGCTTGGCCGAATGGAGGAGACGTGACATTGGCAATGCAGATGTCGCTTCTGAGGCCTGTTCGACAGGCTGGTGGTGTCTGACGCTTGCTGCACGTGCTCCATTCGGTTGCTTTTTGCTCTCACATATCAAACCCAATACCAATGCAAGTTCAGCGACTGGTTTGCAAGCTACCGACCCTCTGAATACCTACTTAGAGATGTAACAAAACGAGCTCGGTCGGTTCGGGGAATATGGACTTGTCGTCATGGGCTAGTTGGGGACGTTCACCCTCTGCGTCGGCTCGGGCCAGCCTTTCTCTTGGTAAGGCGTGCCCGCCACCCGGTGCCGTCTTTCGAGGGGCAATCAGGTCAGGCACTGGAGGGACTCGGACTCAGGCGGTGGATCGCATCAGGTGGGGCAGGGGCGCATCGGTGGGTGAACCATGAAGGAAGGAATGAACCTTGGCTCCAGTATCGAGCATCTGCTGGGCTAATAGGCTTCTAAGATCGAGGCCTTGTGCGTAAGGTACGTACTGTAGAGGTGGGCGGCTTGGACTGGACTGGAGGTGGGATGTTTTTCTGCAGCGAGACTACCCCTCCCCCGCCTCGCATCACCTCACCTCACCTCCGTGCGTGCCCAGCGCAGCACAATGCGCCTTTTCTTGTCAGTCGCCAATCAGAGCGCTGGCCAGTCAAGCTATCAGGCCAACAGATGTGCCATGGAGCTACGCTCAACGCCTCAGGCACGCGTTGCCAGGACGCATCTGCCTGCAGTGTAGGTGGCTCTGGGAGACCCCTCCTTCCAGTTCCAGCGCCTCCAAGATGCAACGGTCGCTTTAAATCACCCCGCCGCCGGCATCTTTTTTTCTGACCCTCCCCTTCTTCCTCTTCTCTCATCCTCTCCAAACCCTTCCTAACCCGTCAATTCGTCTTCAACCGGGTGGAATTATCTTTTGCTTGTCTTCTACAGGTTCTGCCGTCTTTAGTACGAGAACCTTACCCTCCCAGTTAAGTACGTCTCATCGCAGGTGACCCTGTCCTTGGCGCCGCTTTCGCTACCCCTCTACCTGATCAAAAACTCTAAACTTCACTCACCTTCAATGGCTGTGTTCTGACTTTGTTACCAGCTCCTATCTCTCGACCGATCCGCTGCACACACCCAAACCAGCCGGCAAGATGGTTCAGTCTGCCATTCTCGGTTTCCCCCGCATGGGTGAGCTCCGTGACCTGAAGAAGGCCACTGAAGCTTGTGAGTGCTCCGTTTTCGGATTGTCTTGACCGCCGATTGCTGACTAGCTGAAGACTGGGGCGGCAAGATCTCTCAGTCCGACCTTCTCGCCGAGGCCAAGCGTCTGCGCCTGGCCCACTGGAAGATCCAGCAGGCTGCTGGTGTCGACAGCATCCCCAGCGGTGACTTCGCCCTCTATGACCACATCCTCAACCACATCCAGGACTTTGGTGTAAGGACATCTCACCCACCCCCGCCGAACATGTTGCTAACGTTGCTCTGCAGGCGGTTCCTCCTCGCTACACCAAGGATGGCCTCGACACTGTCGACCAGTACTTTGCCATGGGCCGTGGCCACCAGAAGGACGGCATTGACGTTCCCTCGCTGGAAATGGTCAAGTGGTTCGACTCGAACTACCACTACGTCAAGCCTACCTTCCAGGACAACCAGACCTTCAACCTTGTCGAGACCCCCAAGGTTGTCTCCGACTTCCTCGAGGCCAAGGAGGCCGGTATCAAGACCCGCCCTGTCATTGTCGGTCCTGTGACTTTCCTCCACCTCGGCAAGGCCGACCGTGAGCAGTCTGTCGACCCCATTGATCTGCTCGAGAACCTCCTGCCTGTCTACGAGCAGCTCCTCGCCAAGCTCAAGGAGGCTGGCGCCGACACCGTTCAGATCGACGAGCCCGTCCTTGTCTTCGACTTGCCCGCCAAGAGCAAGAACGCCTTCAAGCCTGCCTACGAGAAGTTCGCCAGCCTGGGTGCCAAGATCCCCAACCTGGTGCTGACCACCTACTTCGGTGATATCGTCCACAACCTCGAGGCCCTGCCCAAGGACATCCACGGTGTTCACGTTGACCTCGTCCGCAACCCTGAGCAGCTTGACACCGTTGTCGGCGCTCTTGGCCCCAAGACTATCCTCTCTGCTGGTGTTGTCGACGGCCGCAACATCTGGAAGACCAACTTCAAGCGTGCCATTGAGACAGTCGAGGCTGCCATTCAAAAGCTTGGCAAGGACCGCGTGATCGCTGCCACCTCCAGCTCGCTCATCCACACCCCTCACACCCTGGCCAGCGAGAAGAAGCTCGACCCCGAGATTGCCGACTGGTTCTCGTTCGCCTCTGAGAAGGCCGTTGAGATCGCCACCATTGCCAAGGCTGTCACCGAGGGCCCTGCTGCCGTCCGCGAGCAGCTCGAGGCCAACGCCAAGTCCATGCAGGCTCGTGCTACCTCCAGCCGCACCAACGACCCCAAGGTTAAGGAGCGCCAGGCCAAGATCACCGAGCAGGACTACAAGCGCAAGAACGAGTTCCCTGCCCGTATCGAGCAGCAGCAGAAGAAGCTCAACCTCCCTCTCTTCCCCACCACCACCATCGGCTCCTTCCCCCAGACCAAGGAGATCCGTGGCTACCGCAACAAGCTCACCAAGGGTGAGATCACTGCGGAGCAGTACGACAAGTACATTGAGAAGGAGATCCAGGACAACGTCAAGATCCAGGAAGAGCTTGGCCTCGATGTCTTCGTCCACGGTGAGCCCGAGCGTAACGACATGGTTCAGTTCTTCGGTGAGCGCCTTGACGGCTATGCCTTCACCACCCACGCCTGGGTTCAGAGCTACGGTTCCCGCTGCGTCCGTCCCCCCATCATCGTCGGTGACATCTCGCGTCCCGCTCCCATGACCGTCAAGGAGTCCAAGTACGCCGTATCAGTCTCCAGCAAGCCCATGAAGGGCATGCTGACTGGCCCCGTCACCTGCTTGCGCTGGTCTTTCCCCCGTGACGACGTTCACCAGTCCGTCCAGGCCGAGCAGCTTGGTCTCGCTCTCCGCGATGAGGTCGTTGACCTCGAGAAGGCTGGCATCGACGTCATCCAGATTGACGAGCCTGCTCTCCGTGAGGGTCTCCCTCTCCGCTCCGGCGAGGAGCGAACCAAGTACCTTGACTGGGCTGTCAAGGCTTTCCGTCTCAGTGCCTCGGGTGTTGAGGATGCCACCCAGATCCACTCCCACTTCTGCTACTCGGAGTTCCAGGACTTCTTCTACGCCATTGCTGCCCTCGACGCCGATGTTCTCTCCATCGAGAACTCCAAGTCCGACGCCAAGCTCCTCAAGGTCTTTGTCGACGAGGCCTACCCTCGCCACATCGGCCCCGGTGTCTACGACATCCACTCGCCCCGTGTCCCCAGCGAGCAGGAGATCAAGGACCGCATCGCTGAGATGCTTCAGCACCTCAAGCCTGAGCAGCTCTGGATCGACCCTGACTGCGGCCTGAAGACCCGCCAGTGGAAGGAGACCAAGGAGGCCTTGACCAACATGGTCAACGCTGCCAAGGCCTTCCGTGCCCAATACGCCAAATAAGTGTGCTGTCACACGTGCATAGGGGACGTTGAAGAATGAGAAACGACTGTGACAATTAGTGTGCAATTTGACAGCAGCTGCCTCAACGGCGGCTACGATTTCAACATCGGCGTTTGGGCCAAGGAAGGGGATTGAATATTCAGCAAAGCATGCAAAAAGTTTAGCCTGTGGTCAAAGGATGCGACCAGGCTTGCATTCAACATAGATGATTAATGATGAACATATTAAGTATTTCAGAACCATTCCCAGAATGAATGTGATTGCAACCTTCCACGACAGCCGACAAGACTGTTTCACCTTTGTGATCACAAGCAAGGGGGTGTTACTACTCAGTTCTGTGGCATTTGCGCCGAACCAGGGGCCCTTGGGCGGCATGCGGTTGACAAATCATAATACACAACAGCCTTGATACAGGCTCGGAAGTAGATTAGATAATGATATGGTTTGCCTGTGAACAATTGTTAATGACGGAGTGTGAGGACTCGAGGAAAATGGATTGGTGCAGTCCGAGGATTCAAAAGCAGGTCACGTGCTCTCGCGTATCCCTCCCCTCCTGTTGATACCGCAGTCGCGTACGACACCGTCCTCATCACGACACACGTATTATAGCCCACCTCTACATTAAAGGACTTGCTCAATCTCATGGCTTCATTTTGCTATGGCACCCCTTGTTATCGCCGACTCAGATGACGAGGATGACCTCGTGTATGCGCCTGAAACACATAGCTCGCCTCAACAATCAAATTACGATGACGAGGTGCTCTCATCAGGCTATGTAAGCCTCATGGGCCCAGTGGAAACATCAGACTCGCGCAATACCTCGGATCGGCGCGACAATACGGTGCAGCCTGGTCAGCGAAACGTCTCCAGGTACTCTCCCATGTCAACCGATCCGCTTCATGCGCAAACGAGCATTGATGGAAATGCTTGCCACATCCAACAACCCCCCAGACCACATGGCACGACCATCGCTACTCCCCATGGATGGGGCGGCGATTCACTGCAGATTTCTAGCAGCCCGTCTGGGGTCAACGGATCAACTGAGCTTGATGAAGGCGACAGAGCAAAGAAGAGGAGAAAGGTCGATGTACTACCTTCTTTCGCCGACGCTGACGAATTGAGCCTCGTGGAACTGCCCGGGAAAGGGAATTTCGACAAAAGGACACAGATGCATGCATCGCTCGCCATGCCGCCCCCAACGCTGCCCGATGTCCAGACCAGTCTGATGGCCGAGCAAGCTAGACTGTACGGCAATGAGAAGAAAAGCGATTCGTCGGGGACAAATCCTGCAACCGATCATCTTAGCCAGGATCAGGGGCCCCAGGTTGCGCCATGTGCCCTGATACGATCAAGCGGCTCTGCTACGAACATCAACACACAGAGAAGTGAGATGCCATTCCCACTGAGTTTTGAAATACCTTTCCCGCCGAGCATGCCATCACCGGCTCCGTCTCAGCATCTTGGAACAGAGCCAGCCGGAACGAGCAGGGGTACGAGGGGCGATCTGGACGCTTCCCCCGAGAAGAGCCCAAAGAAGAGCTCAAGCGTTGAGCACTGTCCATCTGCTTTGGCAGAGGAACGCAACTCGCAGGTTGATCCTGATGAGACAAACACCATTCAGAAACCACCCAGCCAAGTTGAAGCCCTACCATTAGTGTGCGAGGACCAGGCAATGCTGAGTAACGCTGCCCCCGTCATCAATGATGGCTCAGAAGATGAGTTTGTGGAACAACCAACTAGGCCGAAGAAGCAGCGTGGTCGGCCAAGAAAAGCTGCAGCTCCTGATGTATCACGGGCGGGAGCTGGAGCTGGAGCTGCCACGGCCACGAATGCCGCCGATCCGCCCCAGGCAGCAAGTGGCAAGAAGGCAACAAAATCAAAGAAGAAAAGAGGCAGGCCGAAGAAAGCGGATCGACAGGACACTGAGGCAGAGCAAGCTGCAGCGGATGTTCCCGCCATTGGTGAACCTGCTTCAGAACTCAACGCAGCATTGAAACCCGACTTTGAGCACCACACTGCAACTGAGCACGTGGATGGGGGCATGGTGGCTCCGGCAAGTCTCGACGTACAGGGCACTACCAAAGAAGCTGTCGCACCGCGCAATGCCCCGGTGGATGAAGATACAGACATAAAAGACAAAAGCCTCTTAGATGCCGAGGTCAAACGCATGACACCTCAAAAACAGGAGACACCCCAGGAGAAGAAAGAGGCTGCCAGAGCGAAGCCATTGCCTGGTCCCCAGAGCACCGGGAAACCGATCTACAGAGTTGGGCTGAGCAAGCGGTCAAGGATAGCTCCTCTGTTGAAAATCGTGCGAAAGGAGTGAATGCAAATGCTTCTTTTTGCGTACGCGGATAGATGGAGTGGCTTTCAAGGTCGCGGGTGTCCGACACTGGCACGTTATGCTCATCAAGATCTTGCATCGTGTCGCTAACACGCAGCAATTCCTGTTGTTCTGCACAAACGGGCTGACAGTCTTTGTGGGCGGGTACTCACACGCGAAGCAGCAGTGCCAGGCTGTCAACACGACTGGGGCTGAAGGCAACGGCGGCTTTCATGTGCCAGTCAAGGCTATCGGCAGGCGAGCAGACCGCCTTCGCCAAGCATGAGGTATGGCGTACCACCTGAACTGGTACTGGAGACAATCCAAGACAGGCGCCGATCTCAATGACCCGGCCAGAGCATGTACTACGTAATATGGGAGCATGACAAATATGCGAGTGGCAACAGCCAGGGTCGCGGGTTGGAAACAAGAAAGAGAAGAGGCCAGAGAGCATTCACGATATTGCTACGATATGAAGGCACGGCGTGGCAGAGTGTCGTTGTTAGGTCAATTGACTTCGCAGTTGTTCAATGGTACGAGCAATCTACCCTGCACAGGAACGGACAGGTTCTGGAAATTGGCAAGTCGGTACGTAGACCCCGCACTAGGCGCTTTCGGGAAGAGGGGCAGCGCGGGTCCGAGTGACCGATGCCGGGCAAGTGCAGACGAGAAGAGCCACCGGTTTGGAAGCCATCCTGACTCTTAAATGCGCGCTATTATTGTCACTGGCTGAGGTGGCTGCTGTTGAATCGGAAGCAGATTTTGCAGCTACTCCAATTCACACTCGCTCTTCTAGATACAGTCGAGACTACCTGTGAAATATTTCCGTCTGGGTACGGTAGTTTCTGTTGGTGATTCCTTAGGTACGTCCCAAAGAGGCCAAGAAAAGGTGCGTGTCTGTCAAAGCTACATACGTACTCCGTACACCGCGCCTGCCTTACCTACCCTACCTTACTTATTTTGCACCCTTGCTGGTACTCCCTCTACGTCAACCCACCGCCGGCATATATCCTCCCCTCCCACATAGCTCTTTGAGAGCCCTGACGACTTTGCGTCTCTTTTCTGGCCGTGTCTGACAGCCTGCCCAGTTCACTGCCTGCGCCGGCCCACAACTACCTACTCGACGGCTCCGAAACCGCTGCGAAGCAAACGCAGCAACCTCGCAGGAAGAGCCATGGCTTCCAACGGCGTTGATCAGAACGGCTCTGCGAGCACCCACACACCGTCGCAGCGGTACTTAAGCACACGAGGCGAGGACGAGGGTGTAAGTGCCACCCTGGCGCGTCTTCACTTTGGCACATTGGCTGATCAATTATGCTGTGCAGTTCTCTTTCGAGGAAGTCGTCCTCAAAGGTCTGGCCAACGATGGCGGTCTCTACATCCCCGAGTCGATCCCTACACCGCAATCATGGGAAAGCTGGAAGGATCTCAGTTTCCCGGAACTGGCTTACGAGATCCTCTCCCTCTACATCTCCCCCTCGGAAATCCCTCCAGCGGACCTGAAAGATATTATCGATCGCAGTTACTCCACCTTCCGATCCCCCCAGACCACACCCCTGGTTCATCTCCACGATAACCTCTACCTTCTCGAACTATTCCACGGCCCAACCTTCGCGTTCAAGGATGTCGCACTCCAGTTTCTTGGCAACCTCTTCGAGTACTTTCTGGTGAGGAAAAACGAGGGAAAGACTGGTCGCGGTAAGAAAAAGAGCACACAGTAGTACGTGGCCTAGCTTGGCTGACAGGTAGCAGATCGTCACCATCTTACTGTCGTTGGCGCAACGAGCGGTGACACTGGATCGGCTGCCATCTATGGTCTCCGAGGCAAGAAGGATGTCTCTGTGTTCATCTTGCACCCCAAGGGTCGCGTCAGCCCGATCCAAGAGGCACAGATGACCACAGTTCTCGACAAGAATGTGCACAACCTTGCCGTAACAGGAACCTTTGATGATTGCCAGGTAGGTTGCCGTCTCCTGTCAGACACAGTTCGTGTGCTCACCAGATCCAGGACATTGTGAAAGCCCTCTTTGCCGATAAAGACGCCAACGAGAACTTGAACCTGGGTGCTGTCAACTCCATCAACTGGGCCCGTATCCTCGCACAAATCGTCTACTACTTCCATTCATACTTTTCACTTGCCAAGCAATCCTCCACCTTCAAGATGGGCGACAAGGTTCGCTTCGTCGTGCCAACTGGCAACTTTGGCGACGTTCTTGCTGGCTACTTCGCCCTGCGTATGGGCCTTCCTATCGAAAAGTTGGTCATCTCTACGAACGAGAATGACATTCTAGATCGCTTCTGGAAGACTGGGAAATACGAGAAGAAGGTGGCTCGCGGGGCAGACGCTGTCGGTGGGCTGGCCGTGGACGGTGCGATGGCTCATCCCGATGGTGTCAAGGAGACCCTGAGCCCGGCCATGGACATTCTCGTCTCCAGCAACTTCGAGCGACTGCTGTGGTTCTTGGCGTATGAGTTCGCCAAGACTGCCAATATGGATGACCAATGGAACAAGAGTCAGGCCGGCCAGGAAGTCAGCAAGTGGCTTAAAGAGCTCAAGACAACTGGCGCATTTGGCCCTGTGTACCAGGATGTTCTCAAGACGGCCAAGCGCGACTTTGACAGCGAGCGTGTCACTGACCCAGAGACCATTGAGACCATCCAGAACACCTTCAAGGACATCAGGTATGTGCTTGATCCGCACACTTCAGTCGGCGTTACGGCTGCCCACCGCTCTTTGGATTCGGAGGACGGCAAGGCCCATCCCCACATTGCCTTATCCACGGCGCATCCGGCCAAGTTCTCGGGGGCCGTTGACATGGCTCTGCGTGGTGAAGAGGGGTTCGATTTTGAGAAGAACGTCCTGCCCAAAGAGTTTGTTGGTTTGGAGCGGAGGGAAAAGCGTGTGACCGACTCGGAGAATGATTGGGCCAAAGTTCGCGAGCTGGTCAAACTGCAGGTCGAGCAGGAGCTTAAAGAGGGCAACTAGACGATCAAGAGGCGATTTTCTCGAGCGTAGAACAAGATGATTGAAAACCTACATTCTTGTCCTGTATGTGTTTGGGCCTGTGAGTTTCTTCTTGCAGTATTTTGCCAAGAAGGCTCTCGTTGAGATCTCGGCAAGGTAGAGCACACTTACAACAAAGGCGCGGGCTACGTTGTGTAACAGGATGGGATGCATTCTAGATGCCCTTCCAACAATGCCTTGGCTCTGCTCCCAGCATGCAGAATCCGAATAGCACCCTCGCCTCACTCCAAGGTTGGCCATGGTAGTACAACAGTGTCGTCCGTCACATTTCGATATCGCCCCTTTTTTTCTGTTTTTTGTGGCAACAGAAGCGCATATCGTATGCTAACAGTTTGTCCTCTGCATACGACAGCACCAGCAAGCCCTCTAGCGGTGAGTGCAAGCACCACGGAACAAGCCTCGCTTCCTTGGAGCTATCACTGTCAAAAAATGTGCATACCGATCGTTGCTGGAGTGGTTTGAAGGGCATCGCGAGGCAAATTTCTTCAACGATTGGTAGTTTTCTCATCTAGCCTGTCGAGATGATCCGCCCTGGAGAAACATTCCCACCCGCAATAGCTGCCCGATGATTCACACAGCACTGATGCTCCGTGTTAATGACGTCTGCAGCCTTGTTTGTATGCAATGGGGACTCGCCTGGGATATCCTCAAACACGGAATGAGGCTGATGCCAGCATCCATTGGCTCCAACCATCCAAACAATCAACGAGATCTGTTGGACAAGACCCGCACGTGTGATGATAGTTACGTCACGGGCTCGCTAGGTTATCAAGTGATTCTGGCAAACAATAGAAAGTCCACTTTGGCAGCTCGTGTGGCGAGCTTCAGTCACTCGCCTGTCTTCGCTGGAAACGGGTATAAAGGCATGCTCTCCCCCCTACACCACATCCTCCTTTCTCTTGTTCTCTTCTCAGAACACTCCAAAACCTTCACACAAGACCACAGACTCTTTGCAGAAACATACCACCTTGACAACTTCACAAAAACTCTCAAACAACAACACCCACCTTCTCAACATGTCTGGCAACCAGCAGCAGAACAACAAGGCCAACCCCATGGGCCAGGAGGACAAGTCCCGCATCATGTCCGCCAATGTGAGTAACTTGACTACAGTCTAATTCGGCTTGATGCTAACTTTGCTAGGCCAAAGAACCCAACAACCCTGGTTTCGCTGGTCGCGCCCAGTCCGCCGCCGACAAGAACCAGCATGCTCAGAACGAGCAGGCTAAGGCTGAGCAGTCTGGCAACAAGCAAAAGTAATTCACGGGGGATAGCAGACTTGAGACTCAACATCTGGACGCGGATGTGGGAGGATAGGTAGTCTGCCATCGTTGGGCTTGTAGTGTTGTTGGCTCAGTGCACGGGGTCGACCACACGATTTCTCAGGCCCCCCTTTACCCCTTTTTTGGTCGCTCTAGCACGATGAACACGAAATGATTTGATTCGCCACAAAAAACAGAAATGTGATGTGCGTGTTCGTTGATTGATGCAAAAGTAAGATCCGCGCCCTGACCAATCCCTAAACCTTCAGAGTGCATTTGCCAAACCATGCCCCTGGGTATCCCGTCCGGCCAAATAAACGCCATTAAACACAATTGCCAGAGTGTCATGTCCCCCCTGGTTGAGGATTGTTCCTAGATACAGGTAAGGGGAATAACAGTCCATCAGAGCTACCCCTGGCAGTCTGGGGCGCTTTCATGAGGCGGTATCGTTATCCATTGTCTTGATGTGCTTCTTGATAAACTCGAATGACGAGAAGAAGATGGCATTGACGACACAGGAGCGGCTCATGGATACCCCCAGGCCGCGATACATGTGACCTTTGAAGAATTCGATCTTCGGTGCCGGTACCTTCTCGCCTTTCGAATACAAGAGGGCGTTGCGTTGGTAGATGCTTTTTGCGGAGTCAATGGGGTCTGTGGTAGTTATCAGCGCCTCTGGAAGCCGTTACTGGCAGCGACCCAAACTCACAGATCATGGCCCATGATACGAGCCCACATAGGCCGCCCGCTGCCACAACTGCCACACGGTTCGTGTTGGGATCGTTTCCCCCGAATGTTGTGATGAGCTGTTTGGAACTTTCATAGACCATGAAATAGATGGACGTTCCCAGAGTATCACGTACTAATTGTCATCATGTCAGCGAATTGACTTGCCTAGCTTGGTCTTTGCAGGGACCCACAGAGATGAAGCCTGAAGCCCGTGTACAGCCCCCATGGTCCACGGTGCTTCATTATGTTGCGCATGGTCCGAAATGTGCCCTTGTTCTGATAACTAGCGGCAACCGCCCGGCTTCGCGGGCATGTGCCGGCTCGATCCGCCAAGAGGACGGAGACCTGAGCACTTAACTTTGTCAACTCGAAAGGGCAGGCTAAAAATGTGATGGCCGATCCAGCTGTTGCGCCGGCAGCACCAAAGCACCCAATCGAGTAGAGGTTCGGATACGTGCCAGGCTTGTTGACGTGGCGTAGAATATCGTAGTTCAAATTCCTTTTCACCCAAGCGGCATATGAATGTTTTGCACGCTGGTACAAAGAGAAGGAGACGGTCCGGACAAGAGTAACGCTAGCCATTGGGGCTGCCACGCCTACTTGAGGTTAACAAACACACCGCGTGCAATCACCCACAGTCACCTACCTCGAAAGAATCCACCAAGTTTCTCCGTATTGTAGGTGTGTCGTACGCAATCCAGGAAACCCCGGTACTGGTATGTTTGCATTCGGGTCTTCACGCTGTCCAGCGGGAACGCAGCGAGCGTCGAAAACACGCTCGACGTGCTAGCAGCTATCTCGGTTCGGTATCTCTTGACGAAGGGTTCGGAAGCCGTGCCGCTTGGCGCGTCGTGCTGACGGCGGTCTTTCTGGGCCCCTCCGGCTCCCAAGTCGGAACGAGGCATGACGGCTGAGGCTGCGAGGTCGAATGGGACATTTTGTTGACCAGCAATAGTGGCCTCAATGGTCATGCTGCAATCGCGTGAGGCCTGGCCAGGGCGGGCAGACTGGCGAGGATGCGCGATGATCCTCAGTCGCCCTGTCCCTTGGGCGGGGACGGCGAGTGCTGAACTGCCTCGACCAAGATCCTGTACAAGACTTGGAACTCTGGCGTGAGTCTGTTGGTGTTGCCCGCGGCTTCGTCAGTCGAATGAGGCTTGACGTTAAGCAGCTGCCGAATCGTGACGCTATCCGTGACGTCGGCTCGAAGGGTCGATCGAGAATATGTGAGCGGCACAATGGAGCATCAATCAAGATTCAAGATGCTTCTTTGTCGATAGTTGTAAAGGCGGGGATGGAAGGCGCCTTGCTGAGCTGATCTAGACGGAATGAAGATGGGAAAGTGTGTTTTGGCAGCTGGCGTGCATGTGCTCGTCACGTCGTACAGTAGATCGGTCGAGAGTTGATGGTGGGATGTAGGCTCCGAGGGCCTGGAATTGAATTGATTACAGACGCCGGAGAGGCCTCAACCTCAATGAAGATGGCAACGTCAAGATGCGATCGGAAGCCATGCACAGCAGGACAATGTGCGAGCTACTCACTTCCCTCCTGGGTCGACCATCCATCCAAGGGCAGACGAAGAAGGGTCGTGATACCGGTAGCAATGTCATGACACGCCGTTGAGCGGCCCATCCGTTGGAGACGGGATGGCAGTCGCCAGGGCCGTGATTGGCTGGTCCGGATCCAGCAGTTACCTTAGCCAGGCAGCTTTCGCTGCGGAAGGCACTCTGGACACTGGCGTCCGCCCCACTCTGTGGCGTCTCCAGCCAATCATCGATAGCAGAGGGATCGCATCCCTCAGCAAACAGAGTGCGGGGTCTGCTGTGCCCGTCTAAGTGCGTCTCTACTGCGGCTGTAGCGCGTAATAAAGTTGGGAATATTGGTGCCACGAACTGTAAGAGCAGATTCACAGCTCAACGTTCGCACGAATTAAGGTGGCTGACTAGCAGGCACTATAAGAAGCACTCGACTGGTCTCAGATACAAAGCACAGGATAGTTCATCAACGCATTAAATAACATCACTCGAGGGAGGTCTTGGCCACCCATGAGATATGAAATGGTCCGCGTTGTACCATCCAAACCCATGTACTCCTTGGGCCTCGATCTCGTGCAGATCGCTAGACCATGAGGCAGCTGGCTCGCCAAGAGGACGCAGCATGCTATGATATTTACTTCCACAGAGCCATTGAGGGTCGCTGAGAGGAACAATCAAGGTGGGTGTGTATTCAAGACAGGGCCATATGCCACGCTAGATACAGCACCGTACAAGTCAGGCTTGCAATCCCTGGCGACAGAATGAATCATGTCTCCCCGGACCCTGTCAGCGAAGCGTCCTCTGGGGCCTTTGGCTGATAGTGCTCGGGCCTGCCTTGCTCGCAGCGCCGTTCATCCTTTCGCAGTAGGCGTTATGATCGTAGATGTGCTAAACGAGTGGCTGTGCGTTTCACGATGCAGATGCCGACGCCTCACCTGAAGCCTCTTTGCCAGCGTCCCCTGCTGGTGTCTCGGCCTCGAGTGAAGGATCAACGGGCGGCGGCGCGCTTCCATTGTACGAAGACAGCAACCGGTCCTCTTCCTTCTTTGCCTGGATGGCTTCGGTTTCCTTGCGCATCCTCTCCAGGTTCCAGACATCGTCGTCTGAATCGTCGTCGGAATCATCTTCATCACGCCATTTGCCGCTCTCAAACAAGTCACGACCAGTCGTTTCCTTGGCTTTCCTTGCTTGCTCCTCTGCAGCTTTCTTGTCCAGGCGTTCCTTCTTCCACTTGGCGAAGCTCTCTGGTGTGACCGGCGTGAGCGTGCCGGTAAGCTTGTGACGTTCAGACTCCAGAAAGTCCTCGAGGGTGAGAGTCTTGAGTGGCGACTTGTCCAGAAGTGCCTTCTCGGCCGCTCGTTGTTCTTTTGTTTTCAACACGAAGCTAGCTCACGTTAGCGTTGAAGCGTCAAAACACGGACTTCGAAGAACTTACCCAGGTGGTAGTGCGTGCACATACATGCACTTGTCTCCTCCATTCGGACACGTCCAGAACCAGCCGTACTTTCCATCCTCGATGGCTTGGATAAAGTACTTGCAGACCTTTTCCGTTGTCGTCCTCTGGTTGCCCTTCTTGGACAGGACGACCTTTCGGAGTTGATCTTCGTCCCAATCAGCAGACGTCTCAGCCTTCTTCTTCTCAGCCTCCGCTTCTCCTTCGCGCGCATCTGTGTACAGGTTCTTCTTCTCTGTCTTGCGCTCGATTGAAGTGTCGTGGGAGAACTTGCACTTCTTTCCCTTTTCACAGTTTCCCTTCTTGAAGAAGATGCAGACGACGGTCTTGGGGTCCGTGCCGAAAGGGACTTTCTGAATTTGAGCTGCCTTGTTGAGTAGAAGCTCTGTCTCCCTTTTGGCGTCTTCGGCTGCCTTCTTTTCCTTCTCGCGTTGAGCCTTGTCTGCGGCCTTCTTCTTCTCTTCGGCAGTGCCACCAGCTGCCAAATTCTTAGTCATCTGCTGAATCTGCCTCTGTGCCTGCGCGCCCTTCTTGTTTTTCATTCCAAACGTTCGGTCCTCGACCAGTTGTTTGGCGCCTGGCTTCTTGCCAGGGCCTTGCGTTTTGTCCTTTTTTGGTGCCATGGTGGGCTGTGGCGGGGTTCGAACGCTGTACAAAGGGAAGGCGATATAGTTTGGAGGATGTAGATAATCCGCCGCAGTTGAGTTCGAGAATTGTATACACAGGCGTTGTGCTCGCTGAGGTCTGATACGCTCGTTTTCTCGACGGCCGTGGGCGTTGAAACTTCTGTCTTTCGGCGAGATGGTGGTGGGCAAAAGGCTTTGTCGCCAATGAGGTCACTGAAGGTCACGTGCGGTTATTCTCAGCACCGCTGGCCCGCGTCAAGTGGACCTTGAGATCAGCCGGAGCTAGCGCCCGGGGGGCATTGGGGTGAAGCTGCGAGTTGTCCCGTGATTAATTACATCGGCCATTCAAGTCTACAAGTATCGCAACCTTTGATTTTCCGAACTTTTGGCAAAGTAAGTCAAGGCGCCTGCATAATCATGCCCACGCTGACAAGTGGCAGTTGCCTGCTCCCTGATCAGCCGCCGCCCCAAGGCCAATCGACAAGATGATCTCCGACAACGACCTCTACTCGCTTGCCATCTTTCTGGGCTCCGCCTCAATGATCCTCATTGTCTTATATCACTATCTCGAAGTAAACGCCCCCGATGCCGTTCCAGATGCTTCGCGGAAGACACAATGAGCGGCGAGTACGAGCGCCAATGGCGGATGATTTCGATACCCGAGTTTGCGAAAGCAAGATCTAGCTAGTATACCCATGACGAGCGAGACACATACGACAGAGAGCGGTGCTACGGATGCCAGGAAAAGGAAGGATTGTCTGCCACCAAGGTCGGCGTATCACCTGTGTAACATGGGGCAGGCACCTGGGAAGTGAAAGACAGCCGGTGACGGAACCAACGACATCGACAAGGCTCAACGAAGCTTTAGTTCAGGCTAGCAACGTGCATCTTGTGTATATAGTGGCATGCCACGAGCCACAGGGATGGGAAGAGCAGTTACATCATCAGGCTCAAGGCCTCTTCAGCACGTTATACAATCTTAGATTTCGCTATCCCTCCACGAAAATAAACAGAGTAGCCCTGCCATCCGGAAGTCTGGCCTTGCCAGCCTTTCTCCAGCACAGTGAGGACCTTTCGGATAGGAGACTTGACATGCGATGTTCCATTGCCTCACGGCGCACGCTCAAACCAACGCAACCAGTGGGTGGACGTGGCAGCTTCTTCTGGCCACCATTCTCACCATTCGTTCAACGTTGCAGCTTCGCCGCCTGGATGGAAAGCGCAGGCGTTGGCGGGTATGATTTCCGGGTGGAATTTTGCAACAATTGACTTTGGTGATACATTTGAGTTTCCATGGTCGGGCGCGGCAATTCATGCTTCAATGTTCAACGCGCAGGCAAAGGGCCAAGCAGGGGCTTCTGCAACGTCCTTGGGAACGACTGAGCTAGATGTGAAGGATTGCCATACAATTCCAGGGTCTTCTCATTTGGGCATTTCTAACATAATAGTAATATAATGATATAGATAGCTCCCTGCGCCCCAATTGCGATCCTTTCGCGAAGCTCACTTCCAATTATTGAGGCAGGTACGTACCGTAGCTGCTTGAGGCTTTGGACGGGGCAGTGTGGCACGATCATTGGCTGGCAACGTCCAGCATGCACACTTCAGCTGGCGCCTCAGGCATAATTCGGCGCGCCTCACTGCGCTTTGAGAGCGAAGCTTGTTCCGTCGCGGGTCAAACACGGTCGCCCCTCCCGCACAGGACTTCATCCTCCCTCACATCACCGTGCTCCTTTATCCCCCAACTCCCTTGGTTCGTCAACCTTACCCCATCCGAGCAACCAAACACGCCAACAAAGTCTTCACTTCACCATCGCGCACTTCAAAGCCGCGCTTTTGTTTCCAGCAAGTCTCATTTAAAGCTCACGGACTTGAACATTCCTTCACACCAAAGACCACACTGCTTCTTCAGCTGCGCAATCGCGACGAACGCTCCTGCACTCTCGTCGCTTCCTGACCATCGCGGCATTTCTCTTTGACAAGCTCCCTATCGTTTCTTCTCTCGAAGCCTTCGTTCAACGACGACAAGACACATTTTAATCTTCTCAACCTACCCTCACCATCTCCAAAATGTCTAGCAACCTCGACAAGGCTCTCGGCGAGATCGAGAAGACTCAGCGCCGTGCCGGTGGCCGTCGTCGCACCCAGCGCAACGCCGCCGCTCGTGCCAAGGTCGCCATTGCGGCCCCAACTGGAGGTGTCAAGAAGACCAGCAAGCCCGCCCGCAAGGCCGGTGCTAAGGCTGCGCCTGCCCAGATTGCCCCTGCCAAAGGTGAAAGCAAGGTTATCGTGAGCAACCTGGTAAGCGCTTCCTTTCCCTTGCTCAAGTCAAGGCCCAATATTAACAAAACCAGCCTAGGGATGTCACTGAGCAGCAGATCAAGGTATGTTTCCGCTGAGGCATCTTTTGCCTGCGGACTTTATTCGATCATTCCTCGCGTGTCCCTTTGGATTCCGATGCAGCGAGTACGAGCGAGATTTGCTCAGATTCCTTCGATCCGAGACGTCCTCCTATAGCCTCCCTCTCTGGAAAACAAGCGATCGTTTGAAATACTCCATCGTTTCGAGAGGTCGAGATATCCTTGTCGCGGAAAGCCACTCAAGCATGCCTGGTCAGCACTTGATAGAGCTCGCAGACAACTTAGAGGATGCTATACACAGGAGGCTCGCTGGGTCAGAACTCTGCTCACGTCTGTCATGGTCGGCTTTTCTAGACGTCGACCCAAGCGAGTAGAACAGTGAGCGACATGCCCCGTGTATCTTATGGCTCGCACTGGGGGACTTTGATGTTTCGGTACCACCATTCGGTGACAGGATGGTGTGGTACGGCATGTCTGGCAACACATGGGATAAGTGGGAGAGGCGAATACACACTACGGCTACTGGGCGCGTGCTTGTCGCGGAGCTTGCGGCAAAGCTCACTGTTCTGCTCACCCAAGTCACATCTTGATCGTGAGAGAGAGTCTCGGCGAATGCGGGAGAACGGCTCAAGGAACAACGATGACGACTGGCCGAACGATTATCAGCTCAACAAACTGACCGTCACTAACCATTCTTCCTAACAGGAGTACTTTGTTCAATCCGTTGGACCCATCAAGAGGGTTGAATTGGTCTACGGACCAAACTCGCAGAGCCGCGGTATCGCCAACGTATCCTTCCGCGATGTCAACGGCGCCAGCAATGCTTTCCAGAAATTGAATGGCCTGCTCGTCGACGGACGGCCAATCAAGATCGAGATTGTTGTTGGTGCCGCGCAGGCAGACAAGATTCTCCCTACTGCCAAGACTCTGGCTGAGCGCACTACGCAAGTAACCTACTTTCTGACTGATTTTCCCGTCGCTAACCTGGAGAAGTCAGCCCAAGGCTCAGCCCAAAGCCCAGCCCAAGTCTGCCGCGGCCGACAAGAAGGGCGCTGCCGGTAAGGCCAAGGCCGGCAAGGCTAAGAAGGGACGTGCCAGCAGCGGACGCCCAACTAAGAAGACTGCCGAGGAGCTCGACCTCGAGATGGCCGATTACTTTGTTGGCAACGAAAATGCCGGCAACACGGCTGCGGCTCCCGCCCCTGCGGCCACTGGCAACGGCGAGGCCATGGAGGAGATCATGGTGCGTAGTGGAGTCCCCAAACGTACAAATACCTCGGGCTAACCATCACGCAGTAAACTTAGCTTCATCAAATCAGCGCAGGGGGAACGGTTTGCATTTTAAATAATTGAGGAAGTTGTCCAAGGCGTTACCGGAACAGGGAGGATGAGAATGCCGATACCAACACTACCAAATCACAAGCGAGAGAATATCTTCCCAGTTTCTGTAACATGACTCCTTTTTGTGCACAATTATTGAGCCAGGCAATGCAGGCCTGTGATATCGTAATTCATTTTCAACCCTGTTCCATGCCTGTCATTATCACCAGTGTAGTAGCATACACCGCGAGTAGGTAGAACTACTAGAGTTCCTTCTAAGCCATGAACCCAGCGTCTTGGAAAGATCCTTATGCCTTCGTAGCATCAGCGGGAGCCGCATCTCCCTTCTTGTCGCCTTCAAGCGCGGGCATATCGTCCTCGTCGTCATCGTCACCAAGATCATCAGGGTTGACGCCAGCACCAAGGCCACCAAGATCAGGCATGCCTCCAGCGCCCAGCTTAGAGAAGTCAATGCCGCCAAAGTCGCCGCCTTCGCCGCCCATACCACCCATACCACCCATGCCGGGCATGCCACCTGTCGCCGTCTTAGTACAATGCCATGCATCAATAGTGCGAATAGGACTTACCCATGCCGCCAAATTGGTTGAAGTCTTGCTCGGCCGCCTCTTCCTGCTCGTCCTCGTCGACCCACTTGTCGAAGTCGGTCTTGAGGAAGTGCAACCGCTTCGAGTCCTTGAGCAGGCGGGGCCAGTACTCTTCCTTGAGATCCTTCTTCTGCAACTTGAACTCAATGTTCTTGGCTGTGTGGTTGATTTTGCTCTGCTCGGGGTCGATCTCGGCGTAGAACTCGAGCTCGACGTGGTACTTGCGCTTGAGGGTGCCCGAGGTGCCGGTGAAATTTAGGCCAGTGGGCTTCAGGTCGAGCGTGAGGCCTTCCTTGGGGACATCGGGGACAGAGATTGTCAGGTAGATGAAGTTCTTCTCGGGGTCCGAGTCGGAGGAGCGCTGGGCCCAGAGAACTAATTGCACGTTAATGATCAGGTTCGTTGTGGCAAGTGACGGGTTCGGCGAGCTGTGCGCCTTTGAGGACATCTATCGCATACCTTCAGGAGTCGCGGTCTCAGACATGTTGTTCTGTGTGATAGAGGACTGATGAGAACTGAATTGACAGTGTTTGTGGATTAGGGCAGTCTGTGGATGAAGGGTGCAGACTTTAAAGCGGTGTTGAGGATGCAGGGTCTGTTGTCGTGACCTGACGATTTAACAAGGCTGGCGAGGACACCAGAGTGGGCATGGAAGATTTCAGAAGCAGAAAGATACGATAGACTGTGACTCCATGCCTGACCTTATTTGTGCGATGATGTGAGTATCTCCCTATCGCCACTCGCCCTCTCCACGCTTGACGTAGGGAACCCCCACAAGGGAGCAATGCTCTACCTCAGCTAGCACAGCAGATCAAAACTTCACGAGAACTGGTTTGTCTGTGTGCAGAAGCTTCCACTACACTCTCCCCACATTTTCAATTACCACAGAGCAATTTCTAGCTTGCTATATCGTATCTGCAGCGTGAGAACTCACACAATGTTTTGCCGCCCATGTTGCAAGCTGTACGGATAGATGGCGGGGTAATGGACAAGCCACCGCCGCGCCACAGGAGGATGAGTGGCTAAACCCCAATCGCTGTACCATACGTTGCCAATCAACGTCACTGCCAGGCTTCCTGCATCGCGCTCGGCCTCATATCTCTCTACGCGACCAAGGCTCGGCACAAGCAGTCGAGTCTAATCCGGCGCTGAATCAGACATTCAGTGTTCTGAAGTCACTTAGTCTGTCTTATTGTGCCCCTCAATACTGGTGCTATCACCGGGAGTTTGTTGGCCCACCATGGAAACCGTCAGAGCTCTGTTCGCCAAACCAGACCCCAATGCGCAGGTATGGTCCATGCAATGCTATTCCGGCACGAGTCGCTGACATTGGACCGGTAGTTTCGAAAATGTAACCAGATCCTTCGCTCCAACCTTCGCAAGCTCGATCGCGACATTGTCCAGGTCCGCAATGTCGAAACGAAGACCAAGCAGCTCATACAGCAAGCCGATCGTCGGGCTCAGCGTGACCCTACGCGCTCGGCGCAAGCACAGAAGGAGGTGCGCGACTTTGCCCGCGAACTCATCCGTGCCCGGCGCACGACAGCGCGCCTGATCACCAGCAAGGCACAACTCAACAGCGTCCAGATGCAGGTCAACGAGGCATTTGCCGTGCGCAAGATTGAGGGATCGATCAAAGCAAGTGTGGGCATCATGAAGGACGTGAACGCATTGATAAAATTGCCTGAGTTGGCCGGGACGATGCGCGAGCTGAGCGTGGAGTTGACAAAGGCCGGGATCATGGAGGAGATGCTCGAGGACGTGATGCCCGAGGATGTCGACATGGAGCTGGAGGGTGAGGAGGGCGAGGGCGAAGTGGACAAGGTCCTTGGAGAGATCCTCAAAGACAAGAAACAGACAGAGCCGGCGGCCAAGCTACCTGCCGCACCAGTCCCCGAACCGCGGAAGCCGGCGGCCGCTCAGGTGGAGGAGGAAGAGGAGGAGGATACAGATGCCATGATGGACCAGATGAGAGATCGACTGCAAGCCCTCAGGAGTTGAGGTGCTTATGGGGCTACGATGTACATTTGGGGCGTTTTGGTGTTGGGTTCTTCCGATCTAGGCGTCATGATGCGATGCCTCCTCACATGAAGTTGTGTGCAGTTCTTCACAACTCACAGATATATATGACCTTGCTACTTGATTTTCAACATTCTCAGCCAGCCGATTACGGCCTGCCGTCGAGATCCCGAGTTTAGACAAGTGAGTAGCATGTTCCAACGGAGTCCTCGTGGAGTCTTGGTTGTGTATGGCACTTTACACGCCGCTCGACACTCAAGTCCTCCGCGCATGTCTCTCAACTACGCCTTGATACATGTCACATTTGAAGGCTCATGGAATGACGCAATAGGACATTGCAGAAGGAGGTCACCTTTCGAGTGGCCTCCTTGGATCAGATCCTTCGTGGGGAGCCAAGAGACGAGAACACCCACGGTGATCCTACAGACGCCTCTCCTCTTGGCCCCCAATCCATCACCGTGGATTTCCGGGGAATAGGGTAAGGCAACAGCGTAATATGACGAAGGCAAGTCTTGGAACGCGCCGAATTCCCACGGTTTTCATTACTATTGTCCTGTCGAAGACGTTGCTTTGCTCTCCTGGCTTTGAATTGTGACGACACACTAGGAGTCAGCTTTGCACATGAGCACTGTGTAGCATCTGACAGCGCCGCAGCTGACGTGAGTGAACAACCGCCGCCTCGTAGACCAAGACAAATTCGATAACAGGCCGGGTAAACGTTGTCCTCATCTGACAGATGGGCATGATTGTAAGCGTGGGGTTGCACGGGGGGGCTCTTCTGGTGAGAGGGGACACTAACGAAACCCCCCTCCTCCGGTCTGAGGGCGCTAGATATCGGTGTATGTTCCGAGACTAATTATTTTGAGGGGGACGATTTCCCTCCGAGATGTTCTCGCCAAGAAGGAAGCAAACTCCGAGGTTAGAAGATAGTACAAGTAAGTAGCCAGCGAGGAGCAGACTCTTGCTCTCTAGTCCGGCGCCAGTGCTAGACTTCTTGACTCGGCTCGTGGGGATAACTCATGGCGAATTGGCAAGACAATTCCGCCGAGCTTGGTGCCAGTCGGCCAAATATTGGTTAATTATCGGGGCACTTCCGGACTTCTCCAACCGGACTGCCCGTCGATGATCTCCACCAGGGGTCCAAAGGCTTTGACAGGCAAAGTATTTAGCCGCAGCTTAAGACGGAGGGACACTATGCTGCCACAAACAGCAGGTATTGCGGCTAGATCCCGCGCCTCGTTCTAGCTTGCTACGTACCACTGGCCAGTGACAGTCAATGGGAATTCTCAGCAGACCGTAAGTCGGGCATGATCGATAATATCAGACAGAGTTGCTGCGCGACATAACAGAATGGGTGTGCCGGCATGGCACTCTTGCATATGACACGAAGCGGTCAACGGGTAGCCTGCATAGATTGTGTCCTCGACGAATGCCATATACGGCATACCGCCTTTCTGACTCTTCAACGACCATGCAGACTCCATGCGGAAGCGCAAAATCTGGCAGAATCTAGGCCGGCATAGATTTCGAAGGCCGACATCAACAACCGAAATCTAATAAAATCTGCAATAAGGGCAGTGGAGAGAAAGGACCGAAAATGATTTATCCACTTCCCCGTGGCTCGGCCTTATAGTACGTAAGTGTAAGTGAAAAATCGTGGCTCGGGAAGCGCACGGACGGAAACCAGAAGCGATTTAGAACAAGCTAGAAGGTTTCTGGCAGTTGCTGCCGAACTCTTCGTTGGAGAGTGGTTTCTTTGAACTCGTCGTCGTTGGAGAGTAGGCCCTATGACTCAGGCTGTGTGCAGCCGCGAGACGAAGGTGCCACTCTTGATCCGTTGGAGTCGATCTGTCGGGAGATCAGTAAAGTTGGGCTAACGTTAGGCTGGTATCAAACAAATGCAGGGACACGTTGGGTATGCGCTGTAATTAGATGAGCAAAGACGGGTTGCTGCAAACAAACATCGAGGAGTCACAATACGTACATACTTGTTAGGCGGAAAATGCATTGGTGGTGATTCATCAGCTACCCGAGGAGTGACAGTGGCGTCCACGCTGCGTAAGGTAGGGTAAGTGTGCCATCGGCTATCGTATTGGACGCCCGAGAAGCAATGACTGGCATGTAATTATTGTCGGTATGTATTAATAGGCCTCGCGAGTTTCACAGTGGCTGAATATCAGCTTCGCCGGGCGGCGCGGGGAGCCGACGGTCACCCAATGTCATTGTAAGTACGCATGGTTGGTCACAAACACGACTCAGATTAGGCGTTGCGACGTGTCGAGTTTGACATGGTGATTGCCCACCGCCAGCCAGCTCAGCAGCACGAGCAAACCAGCAAGTCGATGATGCGGGACGAACGCGACGGTGTGAATGCGAGAACAGGATAAAACGGGAAAATGTCTAAAACGGGCCGCGGCATGCAAGACGCGTCAAAAGGAAGAGAAGCAGCGGTCTGGCAAAAGCACAAACACGTTGTCGCGGGCATTCACATGCCTCAGCTCGGTGGTGGTTGCAAGTGATTCCTGCTTTGTTCGTGGGTGGTGCGCAGTGGTTGCGGTTGGTGATGGATGGCATGTTGCTTCTCTTTGGGCGGTGAAGGGAGGCGGTCAGAAGCAATCAGAGCGTGATGCAGCGCAGCAACGCCTGTGACAGCAGCTGGCCGAGCGCCATTCAGCGCTCGGGTTCGGCCAATCAGCGCGACGTGTCAGGACACATAGGCGGTCAGGCTTCTGTAAGGACCGCGGAGCAAGCCCTGCCAGCCACTGCTCACGCAATTCACCGCCTGCCCTACCTCGCAGTCGGCCTATTGCTGCCTATTGCGCGCCTACCTCAGCTATTTGCATTGACGATGGGGGATGCCAGCGGGAAGGTGCCACCCCGATGGTGACTTCCCATTCAGATGATTCCCATCCCTGCATACGAACCCCCAACCGGAATCCTGCTGGCCATCCATCGCATCCTCTGTTTCGGTCTCATCGTCACGGGTGTGGGCAGGATGACTCTAACCAGCGGCTGTGACTTGCGTGTGATATGTACTGTAATAGGTAGGTACTCGTATATGATCTTGGTGTTGGTCCCGACCGGCTCCTACTATCTTATCTCGTTTCCTCCCTTTCTCTGCTTTTTATCGACACCAAGCTTGTGTTTGCTCAAACAACTGAAAGCCCCTTGATCAGAAGCATCGTCCCCCTGTTCACCAACAGGTACTTGAGCAAGAGCGCTGCCCCGAGGTTCACTGCAACGAACCATCACGGCCTTGACTTGTCGGTTCCTCCAGTACAAGTTTTAGCCGAGCATCTGACTCTCCCGAGGCGCACCGAGCTCTCACGGACATCTGTCACCCACGAGAATACGCCCCCGAGGACGAGTCATCCCACCCCCACCCTGCGCCTCCATTCATCCGCACCCCCAACGCTAGCCTCCAATCCTAGTCAAGTCTACCACCGTCCACGCTTGAGCGCTCCGGCTTCCAGGGTCTGACTCCAGTCGCCCTGTCTTACCCGCCTGCGCCTGCCTGCCTGCCGAGCCCAAAACGCGACACGCCCGACGGAGCAGCCATCCGCCCACTCTGCTGGATCCGCCTAGCATCTTCAAAACATATATCAAGTCCTCCTCCCCAGATTCCTGTGCCAGATCCACACAAAGACCCTTAAAGATTGTTGATACCTTTTTGCTTCGACATCGACCTTGTTCGACCCGAGCTCGACATACAACAACTCACACAACAATCAGACAACAACACATCGCCATCATGTACTCATCGTGGGGATCCTCATATGGGTCCTACAGCTCACTGAGCTCGACCCTCTCCTCCACCTCAGCTATGGACATCTCACCGTCGCCGGCTTCATCATATGGTGCCTCATGCGCCTTTCCCTCGTGGCCTCGAAGGAGTTCCTTGGACAGGGAGGAGAATGAGCGTCCCTCCTCGTTTCTCTCAGATGAGGAACTTCTCGGCGACCCCTTTGAGGACTCCGACACACAGTCGATCAGCAGCACCAGCAGTTCCGCTGATGCCTCACCACGCCAAGAACCGACTGCCGACGAGCTGTTCCAGCAACAGCGTGAGCGCGCTCTTGCACAGAAGCAGTACATTCAGCACATGGTCACCGAAAAGGAGCGCAAGCGCCAACAGGCCAGGAAAGCTGCCGCTGCGCTGCACAGCAACCAGCGCAAGAGCAGTCCCAAGAAGGCCAGCCACAAAACCAAGCTCAACAACATGACGACAATCACTGAATGATCGACGTGTCATGGCGTTTGAATCAAGCAAGCCGCCGGCAACGAGATCATACATAGCCACGCCGTCATTCATGGTTGCCCGCCACCATGACTCCTGGGCGGCTGTCACTCGACACGAATGACGCATCCACCTCGCCCGCCAAACTTTACCCAGACCTCGCGCAACCGACCGAGAGCAGAAACCTTCGAGAAGCCTGGGCAAGCAAATTGCCTTTTCGGGCAAAGCTTCACCGAAGGAGACCTCGGAGTGTGGCCGAATCCTCGAGTCATTCCGCGCACACACCGAGCCCTCGGCAACACTTTCTGGTCGCCGATGTGGATTCTTGCCTCTTCCCGCGGGGCGACGCCGGCCCGACAGGGAGTCGAGTCCCGAGGTCGCGGACGCAACCCCGAACTTCCCCATTGAGACTCTCCGAGTCCAAAGGCCCTTTAGCCGAGGCGGTCAGTCGTGCCGATCGGCTTGCCTCGCCTCATTCCCCATCACCACCTTTCATTTACGGTCCTTTCACGAGGATCCCTCAGCGTCGTCGTTCTTCCTGTAGCCGGCGTTCCGCTACGCTCACAACATCATTAATACTCGGTTCATTGTTGGTCTTCATCGGGTTGGGAGGCATACGCATATGCATGGACATGGTCGGCGCCCAGTGGCTTTTTTTTTTTTTTTTGCATTGTCAATTTTCATACTCATCAGCGCCGGACATTTGGATAGATAGATACCTTTTTGATTGATATGATACCCGAATCTTATTGTTTCTCACATCAGGCATCCTATCTTCACGTGCATGCATCCACTATATCTGATCAGGTATCGATGTCGCGTCCTGCCCTACTGCCCCCCGGGTCCAGCAACAAGCGCACCAATGCATTCTCGGTATAATTTCCCACCAACAGCCTCATTATCGTTTCATTCCCTTCCATCACACCCATTAGCCCCAGGTGTACGGATAATTTCTGTCCAAACTAAAGAAGCCAGGACGGTACGTAGCATGCGAGGCTAGGGTTCCGGCATCACTTCCTAAATATCCCTGCGAGTCCTGTCAAATCTCGCGGATGCCCATGCCTGCATCCAAACCACGCCAGCGAGATCCGGCGGGAGCTTCCCCGGTGGTTGGGCCTTGGGAACAGCGCAGGGGTCAATGCAACTTGGTGCGGTCACGCTAGGCCCGCGCCTTTTCAACCGAATCACCAACTGTCGAGTTTACTTTCGACACAGCAGTGACAGCACTGACATGTGTTGGTCAATGCATTGATTGTTTGCTTGTTTGCTTGTTTCCTGGGCACCCTAACCCGGAATCGTGGGGGTTCATTGGTCTTCATCCACGATCGAATGGAAACAGCCTAACACGTTCTCATTAACTTCTCGCCTCAATGCGACTCAGGTAATTGCATGGCGTCACAGGTTGTTCATGCAGCGCATTATTTAGTCATTTTATGGGGTGGTCCCAAATTCATTCCTTACTGAGCATTGATGCTATTCAATAGCGACAGATCATGGCTTCTTCGGACATCTTCGCGTTTAATGCTGCTGGCGGGTGACGTTCATGAAGGTATCGAATCAACATTGTAAGGCGTGATAACATCAGACCGACAAGCTCTCTTCCTAGGATTGGAGAATTCCATCGACGTATCCATGGCAAGGTTTACAAAGGTTTTTAGTGTTAATAAGACTGTTGTTCTGGATGTCGCGATGTCCCTCGTAGATTACAATCTAGTCCTGACTACCCTGCACTGTCGACTCAAGCAAACAATCATTAACCTCTTCCATCGAGACCTTCCGCTGGAAGTGAAATTTATCATCTGATGGGCTGAGACATAACGACTTGAATGCAGGACTTGCTTGAATTCCCACGCTTAAATCCAGTGTCAAATCCAATAGTGCCAGACGTGGCCATTGCGGTGAGTTGGTAACACGTAAGCAGCGGGTACAAGTAAATTATATGTAATTATTAAGTCGCGATTGAAAGAATACAAGCAGTCTACCATCGGCCTAGTACTTATGGCCTTCTAAAAATCTAGTCATCGCTCAAGCTTAAATTACAGGCCGACTGACTGATTCTCCTTCAAATCACGTATTCGTGGCCTCTTGGGTAGTATGAGGCCACACGATGTAGCTCAAGCTGTGAGTTTTTTTTAACTCCGGCTCGACGGCATGATCGCATCCAAGGAATAAGAGCAAGACAAGCATGAGTCTTATGCTCATGGGTGCTGTTCGCCTGCTACCAACATGAAGTTTGGTGGATCTGGCCATCTATAAACAACAGGGGGCCTACAAACATACGAGCACTGTTCTATGTGCCATGCCTCTACAGACACCATGGATTTCATATCGACGAGCTCAAGCGCAAGAAAATGCAAGATTCCCCCAGGATGAGTCGAGAGCTTCAGGGCACTGCCTTGTCAGAAGTCCCAACGCTCTGTGTTAGAGCTGTGTGATGTGTCCGATAGAGCTGTGGAATGCTTAGACACGCTGGCTTCCCAGCTGTCAGTTGTTTCAATGATTGTAGTTTCATACTAGCTAGACCCAAATTGAACAGTGCTGACACTGTAGGAACTCGAACTTCAGAGCGTGTGGTTTGAAGGCCTCCACCGTCCTTTATGCCCAGCACGTGCCTGCTGTCGAGCGTCGAGCTTCATATGCATGCGGACGGGTACCTACGTTGCCGAAGGTTTGCACGAGTGAACTCGCATCTGTACGAGGTCGCACGTCCTGCGACCCCCCGATCTTGCACAGATATTGTTGAGTGCACGTGGGCTCCATGTGTGACCGAGGACTAGCAGCCTGTGAGACCCTCCATTGAGCTAGCCACATGACCAAGGCGGTTCCAGAGGTGCAACGAAGATATTACTTAAATGGCAGCGTTGTAGATACGGGAACATCATTGTTAGGATAAGCAAGCCTGGCTTCGAAGCATGCGCAGCAGCCCCTGGCAGGCAAGCGGCTGTTGTCGCGAGATCTGTGCCCTAGGATTATTTAAGAGGTAATTGCCGCATACTCCTCGATCACATGCACAAGCACCTAGACGGATTTAACTAGCCACGCAGAGAACTGGCACATGTTGACAGACGTGGAGCGTCGCACCACGCGGCAAAAGAACTTTTGCCCGTCCGTATTCACCAGGGGTCCTGTTGTGTGACATGTGGAGTCGTGAAGGTCACGGGAACTGAGCATAGTCCAGTAGCTGAGCGGTCGGTTGTTTCCAAGAGACAGCAAGACGAGGCGAACCGAGCCTGTTTGGATATCGTTGGCTGTGCGGGCTGCCGAGGCGGTCAGTGTTCGATACCAGCTGATCCTGTGAGGGCCAGATACGTCCACTCAGGGGCTGCGTTGGGCTTGGAGCTCACGTACGCCAGAAAATGACGACATGGCAATATCTGTCCCAATTGTATCTGGTCTTGGAAGCCGAGATTGCATCCTCTCGATTGCTCGCCGTCGGTTGCCTTCAATTTCACCCGTAATCATGGAGACTCCGACGCTCCCATTCTGCTACCACTAACCGAGGGAGGACTGAGGACTGGAACCGGTCCAATTACGACGACGACGATGAATATCCGATTTTTCTGCGGATCAGGCAGTTGGCATTTCTCCTTCAGCAAAACAATGAGGACCGGACTGCTGCCGATGAGGCGAAGGCGTCTGGCCAGGCGGACGTTATGGCGTGGGTAGACGGGAACACAAACATCATATGGTGCGATCCTTATAGAGAATGACAGTGTGGCAGGGTGCTATGCTGTTAATAAGACGGAAAAGACGATTGTGTCGTCGGTATAAACAGAAAAGCAATAGGTAGTTATTAGAATATGCGTCGCACGAGCCGATGAACGGTAGGCTGACGAGGGAAGCCCTGAAGGTATCCCCAGAGCCATTCAGTCGCTCTCCGCTATGAACCTATGATAGATTGTGCACATGTATAGCTCTGATAATCATATCGTCGTGCGAAGCGTTGTGGCGTTAGTATACGAAAAGACATTCTTGACAGTGAGTGAATGAGAGCCAGTGCACATGCACAGGCAGTGATGTCGAGAGTGGAGTGGAAGACTGGACTCGAGAGTAGACATGAGACTGGCGATCGAACCCCTGGAAGGCTGGAAGCTAAAACGGGCGGGAAAAAGAATGGGCCGGGGACGGGAGCGGGGCGATGGCAGATCCCTGTCAAAAGCTGTGATAGAGCAGCTGATTGGCGGCAGGAACAGGCACACCTGCATGAGCCGTGGCCAATGGCAGGCGCGAGCTGGTGTCGGCGCTTCGACAACCGCTTCGATTGAACGTCGTCCCTCGACAGCCCCGCTCGCCCTCTCAACCTCAGCCCAACCACACGCCATTGTGCCTGCTCTCGCGAGCGCTTCTTCGCTCCAGTCTGCGGCTCATTCGCTTCGAGCAGCTCCTGAACGCTGACTCGAGGACTCGAGGAGGCCCCAGGCAGTGGACTCGGAGCGGACTCGGCTCTGAGGGCGGTGATTGCGCCTGAACCGAAGCCTCTCTGCCAATGCCCCCCAAGGTACGTACTGCTCATCACCGCGATACAGCATAGCATCGCTGGCACTGGGCACGAGAGGACATCCGTCATGCCAGGCACTGCTTTACTTTGCCGGCTCGTTCGACCGCGCATGCTGCTGTGTGACTGCTACTGAGCGAAAACGTCGACCTTGTTACTGCGTGCCATGTAGGGGCATGATGCCATGCTGTGCGCCGCGAGAGCCATGAGTCCAGAGTTGCAGCGCAGCACAGAACCAGCTACTGCAGTCAACGTGACATACCTGGGGACAATGACGCTAATAGCCCAAGGGCATTGCAATATGCGAGGTGGCACTGCCTGCTAATATGGTCTAATTTGAGGATAGCCAGATATGCGTCGTCCTCGAAACATTTGCTTTCCAAAGCTCTCGACCATCTGCTGTGGACGATAGTGATTCGTGAGGGGGACCCTTGGCCATGCATGACCATGCATCGTCCTGCTAGTCTTGGCTCCCGGTCCCGTATCCGCCCTGGCCTGCTCCGAGTTG